TGCTTGTTCACCTAACCTGATTCTATACTACACGTGTAAACCAAATTGCTGTCATCCCATTGACTACCAACTACCCAACTTTGCCAGCAACTATGCACTCTTTCAACAATTCATTTAAGAAAACTAAGGCTGTTTCTGTTGCAACTGACTGCACTGTCAGCCAGACTGAGAGTGTGAGTTTCTTTAATGCTCTATTCTCATGGTGGTCAGTTCTATATGATGATTGTTTACTAGTGTCAACACTGAAAATTATTACACTGAAAATTGGTGGTGAATAGCCAAGACGGGTCGCTGACTAGAACACTGCCATGAGAAAGCGTTTGTTCTTATGCACCAATGCTAACACGCTACACAGGCCAAGGACATGCTTTCTGTATATGATAATGCTTCTTTTGTTGACATGCTAAAGACTTGGTTGAAGCATTTTGACTTAGAAATACACAAACGTGACTGCTAATTATAGGTTTGATGCATAAATGCTTTACAGAGTACGCTAAGGGTCCATGCCCATGCGATTTGAGTTATTACGGTCTTAACTCTTTATCAGACTAAGGCGCTTCAGTAGAGCGCATTTGTACCATTGCACCTGCACTTTAGTCAAAGATTGAACGAGCCGGTCGTATGCTCAATGACGTACTCGTCTCAGCAAGTAACTACTTAAATCTGGGTAATCTTAGAGACATTTTGTAGCGAATAGCTATGTTAGGAGTTCGAAGAGTTGCTGATCGTGACTGAAGCTGTGTAACACTCTTCGCTAGTCAAGCTGGACGTTGTCTGTCGCAGGGTAAGATTTGAGATTTAAAAGCACTCACTTATAATTCACTGCTGTTCGTGATTCAAACACTTACCGTAAAACTTCCGACTTAATAATATGATTTTTCGAAATGCACCCGGTGATACCAAAGTCCCGATTTAAGAGTAGCTTTGCATGAACCATTTAATGAACGCCTAACTGCGTCGGGTCTTCTTACTTTTTTCCTGGAGTCGTCATTTAGTCTTAAGGTCGCCACGCGACGAAAAACTCAAAACGCGTCTATTCAGTTCAATACTCAAGATATTTGGCTGTATGCAACTTTTTCGGTTTATAATAATCAAGTGTATCGTTGAAGTGCGTCATCTCCTTCGTATCCCCTCTATCGCATGTTCCAGGGTGATATCAAATTTCGAATATTGACTGAATGGTGATGAACGAACAGAGTAAAAATGCTCATAAGTCCATGAATATAGTGCTATTTAAACATCGTGCCTTTTGTCAGTGCTAGATTTCGAAGTGTACTCAATTGATGATTTGGGGCATAATTTGAGCATTTATACTTCAATACAGTTGTCTAACATATCAGCTGGGTTTTTTACATCGACTTAGCTACTCAGTGGTTGCCCCGACTTGATTTCTGAGGTTGAGGCATGACTCTGATCAACTGAGCGGGGGCGCAAGAAGACGCCATAGTTTTAAGTTGATCTTGAAATCATTGAACAGTGCTCAAACATTCTGTAAATGAATTCTCAATTCAATGTCTTACCAAGCTCGTGAGCGATTGATGGAAGAAAGAGCAGACCAAGCGAATAGGCATGGTGTGATAAAATATTTAAAGACTCGAGTAGGAAATAAGTGCATGATTGTGTTGCTTTTGGACTCTGATTGTGGTAATAATTACAAGTGCGCGTTGGCGTAGTGAGCAGAAGTAGGAGAATGGAGCTGTCGGAAAGACTGCATGACTTTCAAGTTTGGAGAGCTATTTTTATACGTTTAAACCCCTCAGTGCATCTCCTCCTACGTTCTCCTCTAGCTGATCCGTAATTTAAGAGCAGGGGGAGAGATGTGCCGCAGCGAAATATTGATGTCTTGGAACAATTCCTTTTTGCGCATTCGGTAGATGCAGATTGCCTCGACCAGCTTGATTACAAAAAGATGAGATAAATTAGGTGAAAATTGGATACACTAACAGCTTTTACTTCGCGCTATAATTCGGTTATATTATCACGCTTTTAATCCGCTCATCTTCAGGTCTCAACTAGCTTCGAGAAGGTAAATTTATGTTACAATAGTGGCTACGAGTATGACTAAATACAACATCTTATGCAAATTGCGTGACTAGTTAGTATTATAAAGAAAATCAGGTAAGCTATTTCGAGCAACAATTTTGTTAAGTTGATTTGAAGTGTTGGTATTTCATTTCGTAAGCAGAGTCTCTTCAAGAAAGACGAGAGACGCGATATAAAAAACGATTCAAGAAAAGACAGCAGCATAAGCGAAGCACTGGCCCTCCCTGTCGAGCATTGGAGTTAGGTGGAGAACGCCGTGTCTTACATCGGTAGCAGAAGTGCGCTGGAAAAGGCTAGCTTTACCTAAGTAACGTATACCCGCTCTAGTAGAAAGCGGCTCTCCACGCTTGAAAGCATCCTTGACAAGCTCCTTCAATGCCTTAGTCTCAGCATTGCGCTTTGGACCACATGAAAGCACGCTGGTGAGAGATGCGTGGTGCAGAGTTGAATAATTTCTGTCGAAAGAAGTCTTCGTAGGCAAACCCAAGAAAAGGAGCAACTCGGGAGTAAGGAAAACGATCTCTCGTTTATTGCGTTTGATCACCATTAGCTGGAGAATGAGCGTTAGCTGAGCTTATCACACCGCATCATCACTAACTTTGGTATAAGTGTGCTCAAAGAACGCAAGCTGCGATTCGAGGGGACGCGGTTCACTACCGGCGAGATTCTCAGCACCGTACAGTCTCTGACCTGTCTTATTGTTAGGCAGGAGATTGTCGGTCGGTCTGCTCTTTGAGAAAAGCTTCTTCATCTTGCTCCCCATGCTCGCCTGACCGTTGCCCAGGTTGGATCTGCTGTTGGTGAGCATGTCTCCGCCCACGCCTTCGTTACTAAATTCTGGTGACTGACCAGCTGCCAATCGCATAGACGACGTCTTGGTCTTGATCGAATGGTAGTCATTTTCGATGGGCTCATCCTCGGGTTTACCGAATCTGTTCATCGTTGGTGAAAAAGTGAGACCCTTGTTCTCCATCAGACCAATGTCTTGAGAATCACTGTTCGTCGTTCCAAGCAGGAAAGAAAGATTTTTTGAGGACGAAAGTATCCCAGTGACGTTGACCTGACCTCCAATAAAGTAAGCGATTTGGCCCTGCGAGTCGTGCAGCGGTATCATGTTGAGTAAGCAGAAGAAGGGTGTACCGTCAGCGCGATAGTTGAGGAGAAGTTCAGTGATTGATACACCATTATTGAGAGCTTCTCTAATACGCTGAACTGACTGCGGTGATGTACCAGGACCTTGCAGGAAGCGACAGTTGCGGCCGATAATGGTAGAGTGATGGTAGCCGGTGACCTGAGATAGAATGTCAGAATACACTCAGAAACCCAGTGAATCTTTCGCATCTTGGAGAAACCATCACTAGCCATAACGATTGGATGGGCGCGAAGTCTCGGATTTGTAATGACGAAAGCATCACTCAGACCATCCTTCTCGCGATCAGAGAGAATGGCCTTACCGAGTCTAACCTTGGCTCTCTCCACCAACTTGAAGCGAACGAATTGCTGGAACTCATTCTCATACAGAGAGCTGAGAAGGTGCTGCTGAATGGGACCCAAGCCAGAGTTGGTCTGGGAGAGCTTTTGTAAACCGTGGAAGGTATTTTCAGTGTGAACTGGGGGTACGGTGACCTTATTTGATGATGATGAGGATAGATAAAGCTCATAGAGAACTTCAGATCCAGCCTAGACATCTGTCAGTCTTCGGGCACCAACATAAATAACACAACCCACTTTTATTTGATTAACTAACTTGTCGTATACGGCAGTGTCAGTCCAGCAATCAAGTTTGCTGACCGAGTCTGGCGAGAGTGTTTCCAAAAATTGTCTGAAGCGGTACCTTCCAAGTGAGTCGTGAAGGAGCTGCTCGAAGACTTGCTCTGACATGAGATGTCTGAGTGACCACTCCAAGTCAGCTTGAATGAGGGATATTGGGTGGGATGTAAGGTGGTTCTAGGGAGTATTAGATTGGCGGCCTGTCAGAGACACTATGACGTACATCAGATCTGTTTAGGATATTCCAATCAGGAAGATTATGGAATTTGCGCTGAGATTGAGGTGGCCTAGCCATATCAGCAGGAGCCCATTCATTGAGATTCGATTTGTTGTTGATGTGGTGTATGTCTTGGTGAAAATTTGCATTTGAAGGCTGGCTGTTCAAGTTTGGGGGAGGAGATTCGGGTGGAGTGATGCGCTGAGTATAATTTTGGGTGCTTGTGAATAGATCAGAGCCTATTTGAGGAGTATTGAGCTTGTCCTCGGGAGACATGGGTGGGGTATCTTGGCTGATTGGGGGAAGTGAAGCGTCAGTCTTTGAGACATTAAAGTTGTTTTCTTGCTTAATGTCAGCATATGAATAATTTCAAGGTGGCAAACCTAACAAACCTTCTTCATCGGAGCTGAAATAGTCGCTAAACAGGGTGAGATAGCGTAAGCTAATAAGCACAAGACTAACTCATTAGCAGAAGCGTGTGAGTATCCTCTCCTCAGGTCAGTTGAACCGCGTAAACCGCCAGAAGGTGATCTGCGACGTGTTAGTTACACGAGTAGCCTATATGAGAATAAGCGCACCTCTTCTGCTGCAAAGAGTTCAGATTACCGCCGATAAAATTTAAATCCATGATGGTTACTGAACGAGACGAAGAATCTACCCTGTGAATGATTCATAACTGTCATAGATCGGCCAACTCATCAAGTCATATGGATGAGAATAAATTATAATATAAAATTGAAAAAGGATAAACAATTCGTAAATATATTTAGTTCTTTCATTCATCACCACCACCATGTTCTCGGTCGATGTGATCATCGCTAACATCATCAATCCAAATTCAAACGATTCAATTAAATTTTACCAGAATGAGCTGCTCAATTTACAGAAGTCTCCAGTTGGCTGGCAATTGATGGAAGATCTACTCACGAGTGATGATAAGATCTACAAATTCTATGGTGCTTTGACTGCACAGATAAAAGCGTCTAATGACTTAAGTGGTGTAAATGATGCCGAAGTGTCGAATTTCAAGGCTAAATTGATATTTTATATCAACTCAAACAACGGTAATAGACTTGTTTCTAATAAATTACTCTCTACACTTATCGTTTTACTGGTGAAAACGAGCTTGAATGAATTATTCAGCACACTCAGCCTTTTGAATCTCCCAGAATCCTTCAAATTAGCTGTAGCTTTCGAAGATTTGGTTAGATTCGAACTAAGTAGTCAGCAATCTCAGCAACTACATCAACAGCTACAATCCCATAAGAATCACATTGAAAATACAATTATCAACAATCTTAGCGATTTAGACTCAACAACGACCTCAATTGAGTGCTATCTGAGGTTCAACAGCTCACATGACTTCTTAGATCGACTATTGAACAATCTCCTAAACATGATCAACCCAGATAACTTCAATAAAGTATCACTCACCATTGAAATTCTCATCACTTTCAAAGATTATTCTATACCTGTTTCACATCTTCTAACTTGTCCATTATCATCTCAACTATGGCAGCAGTGTATAGAAAATGAATCATCAGATGAAATAAGCCAGTCTATCATCAACCTCCTCTTGACTTTTGTCGAATCTTATCCAGAGTTCATAGTGAATAATCCCACATCACCCACCACACACAGTCTCCTTCAACTAGCCTTGTCTGCAACCTCCTTTCCAGGCTTAGCGGGTAGTGATGAGGAAATCTCAGAGAGCTCGCTTGATATTTGGTTCCAGCTTCAGGAATCTCTTTCAGATGACCCAACCAACGCTGATCATTTCAAGCAGTACTTCTCCCAACTGTCCTATATTCTTCTTACAAAAGTGGTCTTTCCACCTTCGCTCGCCCAAAATCAACTCGCCAGAGATCAATTCATCAGCTATAGACAGATCGTAGGCGACACTTTCATATACTCCTACTACGTCATCAGAGATGCCTTGACCGAATTACTTTTCAACAGCCTAACAACCACCCTGCAGTCCTCCGAAAAAGTTGAATCTGTTTTTTTTGCATTCAAATCCATCCAGGAAGCATTACCAGAGAACAGCGATGCAGTGGTGCGGTTTTTCGATTCACACATCATTAATGTAATATCCACCCACAGCCAACGCGCTCAGCAGACCTTTCTGGCGACTATAGACGAATACTCACCGCAAATCTCTCACCATCCTTCTGTGCTCCCGCAACTGCTAAATTTCGTTGTCGCGAGGCTGTCACACGCGGAGCTAGCTACAACCGCAGCCAATGCCCTTAGAAGCCTATGCGGTGACTGTAAGCAGCACCTAATAAATGAAATAGGTGCTTTTGGAGAACTGCACAAAAATTTATCCACCAGCGTACCAGTTTCCGAGAGGTCGAAAGTCATTCAGGCTATTGTATCAATCGTCAATGCCTTACCTCCCGCTCAAGCTAAAGATCCACTCATTGCTATCGTTCAACCACTACTCGAAATCATCTTCACCAACTTGGACACAACCATCAAGTCCAAAGAGAGTGCTGAACGTGAGAGTGTTTTGGTAGCTTTTGACAACTTGCTCGCTGTATCTAAAGGTCTTGTCAACTACGATGATGATGTCGACTACGCACAAGTTGAGCTGGTCAGAGGTAATGAGATTTTGATGCAGTTGCGCAAGGCTTTTGTGGAGATAGGATTGAAAGTTTCCGTTGAAGCTACTTCTGATTCAGACATATCGAGTGTGAGTGCAGCTCTATTTCATTACCCAACTAACACATGAGAAGATATTCGGAGATATAGCAAAAAGTCTGACATTGAGCCCAACCCAGCCAACCCTCCTCACACCGCAATTAGAAGACTTGCTCAATGTAGCAGGAATGGCATTATCCTCACCACATCTCTCTTCCATCTGGTTAAGCTTATCGACCTCACTTATCAATAGATCCAAGATTATAATTGACCAGGAGCCGCAGAAGAGAGATCTGTATGTCAGTATAATATTACAACTCACAACCACCGCATGGAGTAGTATTTCCAAAACACTCACCAACGAACTCCAAATGCAAGAATACCCAGATATAACTTCTACGTTCTTCAGTATGTTAACAATGCTGACTAAATCTCTCCCAATAGCTTTCTTGCAATTGGATGGAGTGGTTTTAGAGGGATTGCTAACTTTTTCCACTATCGCTCTCAAGATTCCCGAGAGACACGCTTTAAGAGCAGCGGCTGATTTCGTCTCCAGTACAATATTTCAGACAAGAAACCTGCCTGCGATTGAGCAAAGTATTGTCGATGGCTTGTTGAAGAAGTTTGGTGCTACAATGGTGCGAACTAGTTTGATAGGTGTAGCGCAAAACGCCCCACGCTCACAGGTGCCTATTCTTGGCGAGATAATTTTTCTGTTCGTCGTCAAGCTCTCCGCTCAGTCTGAGCGGTGGGTCGAGAGTGCTGTGCTGGAGCCGCTGGACGTGTACACGAGGGCGTCGATGCAGGATAAGGAGAAAGTAACTAAAACAATCAATGCGTAGGTTTTTTGGAGATGGTTTTGCATTACATTCCCCGCTAACATTCCACCAAAGTGCACGCACTGCGAGACGCGTGAAAGAGGCATGCAGTGAGTTCGCTGGAGTTTGCCGCGGTACACAAGGTTCAGCATTCGGAATGGCAGTGTCCGTAGTATAGAAGTATAGAAGCAATATATGTATTAAATTATAGCACCCACTAGAACACATTGAATTGCTTAGTCATAGGCAGAATATCTGATGGAGGGACAGTGCAGAGGATGCCATCCGCTCTCACCTCATACGACTCAGGATCTACCTGCATATGAGGAGTAGTGTTGTTATGTTTCATATCTTTTTTGCCCACATCCCTGCATTTCTTCACTGCCAGTCCCCTTTTGTCGAGTTTGTAACTATCATACTTGCCATTCTTGAGTGAGATGTCGCTGACAAAGTTGAAAGAGTTTTTTGAAGCCGCTTTATGCAAGGCACCAAACATCTCGTAGCTAATTATAGGCTCGACGGTGGGTATAGATGCATTGGCATCGCCGACGGCTGCCCAGGCTATATATCCACCCTTTATCACTATCTCAGGCTTGACGCCGAAGTTCTGCGGCTGGTACATTACCAAGTCGGCGAGCTTGCCTGGCTGGACATCACCGACAATGTGCGCAATACCATGCGTCATCGCTGGATTGATGTTCAATTTCGATATGTAGCGCTTCACTCTCTCGTTGTCGTTCTGATTCTGCGCGTCAGCACCGTCCAGATGTCCCCTCAGCGTTTTCATCTTGTGTGCCGTGCGCCACGTGCGGGAGACTACCTCTCCAATTCGTCCCTGTTGGTGTTAGTAGGGAAACTTTTTCGCGGTCATACTCACCATCGCTTGGCTATCGGATGAGATCATGGAGATTGCTCCAGTATCGTGTAATACATCCTCAGCTGCAACAGTTTCCCCTCTGATGCGAGAGTCTGCAAAGGCGACGTCTGAGTGATGTGTTTGAGCTCTTGCTTCGTTCACTATAAAACAAAACTCACCTTCAGGGACATTTTTATCAAGATGATGGCACACCATTACCATCTGTGGCATAATCAGCGAGAAGAGAATTTTGACAACGTAACACCCACATCCAGATGCTCATCTAGAGTGTTTTTGCAGTATGGCCGCGTGGGGTTGGTAGAGCTAGGCAGGACGTTGTTTTGTTCGCAGACGACTATGATGTCAGGAGCGTGCCCTCCTCCAGCGCCCTCGGTGTGATAAGTGTGGATAGTGCGCCCTTTGAAAGCCTCAATTGTACTTTCTACAAAGCCACTCTCGTTGAGTGTGTCCGTGTGAATGTTCACCTGCACATCGTATTTGTCGGCAACATTTAAGCAGTTGTCGATAGACGCAGGAGTCGCTCCCCAGTCCTCGTGTATCTTGAGACCTGCTGCGCCAGCTTCGATGACATCTTCCAGTCCTTTGGATTCTGAGTCATTACCTTTTCCAGTAATTGCGAAATTGAGGGCAAACCCGTCCGTAGCTGCAAGGATGTTTTCCATATGGTTAGCCCCCGGTGTACACGTAGTCGCTGTGGTCCCAGCTGCCGGTCCACCGGTGCCTCCGCCGACCAGCGTAGTTATACCTGTGCCTAGCGCCTGTCTACACAGCTCTGGTGATATAAAGTGAACGTGTACGTCCTGTGCACCAGCCACGACAATATTACCCTCACCCGCTATAACTTCCGTGTTAACGCCAACTACCATGTCGTTTGAAACCCCGTTCATCACATCAGGGTTTCCAGCTTTTCCTATTGCTTTGATAAAACCGTTTTTGATACCTATGTCAGCCTGCCGTGGGTGTTAGCGAGTAAGACATATGTGTATTCGCTAATCGCACCTTGAATATACCAGTCCAGTCAACAATTAGCGCATTAGTTACGACTGTATCGAGTGTTTCACAGTCGCTCCTCCCCGTAGCCTGCCCCATACCCTCCCTGAGAACCTTGCCGCCACCAAATTTGCACTCGTCGCCATAATGAGTCATATCTCGCTCGACCTCGATCCACAGATCTGTATCGGCTAATCGCACCCTGTCGCCTGTTGTAGGACCAAAGATAGACACGTAGATCTCTCTAGAGAAGGGTGTGCCTGAGCTTAGCGATTCTTTCGGTGCCATCTCTTCCAAATGCGCAAAACCAGCCTGTCGAACATTCTCCAGTACTCTATGGCGATCTTCTTTGTTGTATGTGCCAGTTGCGATATTGCTGCCGCCGGAAATGTACTGCGTGCCACCAATATCAACGAGTGCGACAATTATGCTGGCACCTGGCTCAAATCTGACAGCTGTTCCTGCAAGAATATTCAGACGCTTGCCATATGCTTTACCCCTGTCGAATTGGAGTTGTTTGTTCACCTCCACGAAATGGAAATGCGAGCCTACTTGCACAGGTCTGTCGCCCAAGTTAGTGACTTTTAGATTAATTGCCAATCTGTCTTTGTTGATGATGACGTTAGGCGTTCCGAATTTGGTAACGATTGCGCCTGGTTGCTTGTCGGGTGCGTATAATTCGGGGGGATGAGGTGGAAAGAGGTCGTTGGAAGGGAGAGGGCAGAATGAAGAGTAGAGAGCGAGTGCTAGATCGCCATCGAGAGTTGAGATTGGCCGGTGGATTGTCACTAAAAACGTGCCATCGGGGAAAGTACCCTCAACTTGTAGCTCTTTGATGCGGAAAGGAACATCGGGAGTGACGTGCCTCCTTCCAAGCATGTTCTTACCCAGAGACATTAGCCTGGCGACGCTCAACTCGCCGTCTCTAATGAGTTCGTGTATCACCGTGGATATCAGAGCGATTGACTCTGTTTCATTGAGACATTGGCCGCGTGCAAGTCTACGCTGTGCAAGCACTCCAAGTGCATTCAGTTGGAGTTTGTGGTGCTCGTGTGGCAGCAGCCGCATTTTTCAGTGGTGGAAGTGAGAGACAGTGAGATAAGGAAGATAAGAATGCTGATAAGAAATTTGTGGAAAATAAAATTCATCTTTGAATAAATATTCAAGTCGTGTTCGCTGTGCGCGCTGTATGAGGTGTTTTGCGCTATTTCCAGCATATCGCATGGAAGTCCCGGTTCAACAACCTCGGAAGCTGATCACCAGAGATTTCGGAGATGTGAATCGAGTCGCCACTCATACCTTCAACAGCCAAAGAATTTGATTTGTGAAATATTTCACTCTTCTTATTCGGACATTTCAACTCCCGTCCTAACACCCGAATCGATGCAAAGTTTGAGAAATTTAGCCGGACATACGATGACAGACATTCCTAAAGCTACAGTGGAGTCTATCACCAGACCTTCCATCTCCAAGCCAACCGCTTCGTTCTACAAAAGGCCCTTGCCACCAAAATGCACATCGTTCAGCTCCCAGCCAGGCAAAGAAATATTCGCAAATGCCTTATTAGAGGGGAATATGGAGGCGTATTTCCCGCTCGCCAGCCAATTTGTCACTCAGAATGAGCCGGCTTATTGTGGACTCGGCACGCTGGTTATGATCCTAAACGCTCTGGAAGTGGATCCCGGTCGACGCTATAAAGGTCCTTGGAGGTGGTATGAGCAGGAGGTGCGTCGGTGTAAACCACAATTCTATCAGCACTCTAACCCACAGCTCAGATGCTCGATTGCTGTAGATCCTTGCAGAGCGTCGCAGAGACTGGAATTTCACTCACAGAGTTCACCTGCATCGCGCGCTGTAATGGTCTCAATGCCCACGTCCACTCTGCTCCCATGGGCCTCGATAAATTCCGCCAAGACGTTAAAATGGCTGCCAGGAGTAGCGATATGTTCATGGCATTGTCGTATAGTCGGGCATCACTCGGTCAGACTGGCTCAGGCCACTTCAGTCCCGTTGGTGGATACTCCGAGGCGCACGATTCGCTCCTCCTTCTCGACGTGGCTAGATTCAAATATCCAAGCTACTGGACTTCTATTCAGGATGCTTACGAGGCTATGCTTCCACTCGATCAAGTCACCCAACTCCCGCGAGGTTACACTCTACTCAGTCCGGTTGAGCCGAGCGAAAGCATTATGACATCATCACTCACCACTATCACTCTCAACAAGAGCACGTGGAAGCTGTTTCAGTCTAAGATTGGCAGCTCTCTGGACAGTGTGACGGGTGATTCAATTGGTGAATTCATCAACGCTGTCGGTCGGGTTGTGAACAGTAAGGAGATTCGTGTGGTGGGCAAGAGAAGTATAGCTTCACAAGACAGCCTGTCGGCTCTCCTCGATGAATTTAATGGATCGCAATTTGGAAAATTGCTTCAAGTTGACGATCCCATTGACGGTCTCTTCTTGATGGCTCTCTTCGCGCCAAACGGACCATTCAACATACGCATTCCACAGAAAATCAAGCCCCAACTGATGGAGGAGATTCTCTCTACAATCTCGAGCAGCAGTATGTCAACGGAGATGACTGTACTGCAGCAACAATTAACTGCTCTCGGTGAATGCTGTCAGCAGGAGTCTGAATTGAGCTGTGCATGCGGCAAAGAGAGGAGCTGTTCATAGACACGACAAAATCATTTATTGCATACCCGAATCAAACCAAATTATGACTGTAAAGTAACATTATTATGCATAGAGTATTCTATATCAGATCAGAAACCAACTAAACTACGCAAACATTACAGCCCAATTGTCAATAAAGTCTGCTTCTTTTTCTGCTGCTTTTTATTTGTATTCCTAGAGTCGCTGTTGGGAGATGATGCATCATCACTCGAGCTCTGTCCTTGAACAATTCTTTGCTGGTGTGGTTGGAAGAGTTTCCTGCGCTCAGCGTTCGCCTTAGCGACGGCATCAGACGACGGCAGGGAGGGAAAATTGGAAGCATGTCTATTAGAAGAGGTGGCGCCACCGCTGCTCCACCCGGTGCTAGTGCGTGGCTGTGAGCTGCTTGCAAGACCTGGGTAGTGGGAGCTAGACGCAGATGAGCCGGGCGGTATCCGCTGTGGGCGTCTAGGCTGGCTAGCGTCGCGCTCCCATACCGGTAATGCTCGACTACCAGCTTTGGCAGCAGCTGACGGTCCAAGAGAGGGGAAGCTGTCGATGCGTTGCTGCTGATGCTGACCAGGCTGTGCAAACCCACCGTTACTGGTGCTCTGTGCTATCTTGTTCTTTCCCCTGTACTCTTTCCACGCCACATCTAGCTCCCGACTCTTCTCAGCATTGTCGAGCAAAATACCAACTTGGCTGACAACTGACGCTATAATGTCGATATTGTTCTTAAGAATTGAGACTAAAGACTGAATCAAGTCTCTGGCTGTAGATTCACTATTCTTGAACGCTCGTATACTAAATTTGAACGCTTGAACTGAGTTGCTGGATTTGGTAAAGTTCATCACCTTGTCAATAACCATGGCGTGTTGGGCTGCGACTGCTGGGTCAATTGGTGTAGGATCGTTTGGTGTTGCAGGTGCGGATGACACGGCTGATGACTGGCCAGATTGACCAGATTGGTTAGGTTGGTTGGTCAACCGTCCACCGAAAGCGGCTCTTCTTCCACTGCCGGTAGCTGAACGAGTCTGTGCTGGTTGTGCAGATTCTGTAGGTGGATTCCAGTTGACCTCTAGTCGACTTACATCCCTTCTTTCTTTGTTGGTGAGATGGGCTCCGTGCTCTTCAACTTGGTGGCCACGTAAATCTAGCTCACTGCCAAAGACTACAAACTTCTTATCGACACATGTCGCGTCTGGACATGGGTAGTGGTCTGAGACAAAGTGCTTCTCGAGCGCTGGATAGTCTTTGAAGCTTTTGATTGTTTTGTTATGAAGTGTGTAAAATGAAGAGTTTTCACCCACTAGAGCATCCTGATACCTGCCTGTTTACATAGGAAACATTCCTCGTGGTTCTCGCGCATGTGTCTAAACAATTCGTCTTCACTGTAGACTGTGGGATGATTAGTTCAATACCACATCAAAGCTAATGACTGACAATGATCCAGACAAAAGTCGCAGCCGGGATGTGAGTCTATTGCAGGCTGCACCTTCCTAGCTTTGGCGGAGTAAGATGGAAGTGGCGGAAGGTGGCGGAGGAGAGAAGTATGCGAGAAGAGTTTGTGTTCGTGGGTGAACACCTTCTTGTATCGAATACATAAATCGCTTTGGCAAAGTCAGATAGTTCAAAACACCCGAGAGCTAACATACCAGAGAGTGCCTTTGTGAATATTCTTGGCATGTACGCGCAAATCTTGCCATCCAGCAGCAACATAATCGCACTTGCCGCAATTGAAACGAAGCATAGAGAGCGTTGTGCTCATGATTGCTTTAGTTTCGCAACGTATGTTAAGCTTCGAGTCGAAAGGCCAGCTATCTATACCTGAGTACTCGTTGTAAGGCTTAGTGGCGCTTTTTACGAAAATGACGTCCTCTTGCTCTTTCTGTAAAACTCCAATTAGTTGTGTTTTGAGTGACGTTATCCACCCACTTTACAAAAAGTGCATTCGCGATTCTTGAATAGGGCTCGCAGTCTGAGTGTGCAGGTGTGGCACGTGCGATGGGAGCAAGGGCCCAGAGCCCATATAGACACAGGCTCAGCACAAATGAAGCAAACGGCCTGATCGACGTCTACAGCTGGGGCTTCGGATGCTTTAGAGAGGCCTGGAGGAGGCATTGGAAGGGGAACAGACTGGCCCTTATTGTTATCTAATTTCGGGCCTTCGTGCTCGCTTTCAGAAGCGGTAGCTGAAGTGGCCGTGGCTGTGGCTGAGGCTATCGGTGGTTGGGCCGACGACGTCAAGCTGCCATTGAAATTCCTGCGACCGTTCCTAGGCTTATGCGGAGTATTGTGCGTGCTCATCGAGATGGCTAATGATGATGGTTGAGATGGAAGATGAGATTAGTGGGAGCTGTGCACAGGAGAATAGGGGGTTTTGAGCAACGTGGGTTTGAGTGCATTATAGCCCGTCAAATACTCACAATCTCATCGCGTAGCTTTAAAATCACGCACAAGTACAAGAAGGATATCAAAATGAGCGGAGTAGAGCGTGAAATATAATGCTACCAAATAGAGCACGATTCAACCAGAAATTCAGTACAATTTAAGATTATTTTGTAACATTTTCAAATTTGTAGCGTCTAAGCCGTACTGAGCCACTCGAGTGGAAATTCTTCTTGTAACCCAACTTGAACGAGTAAAATGGCAGACAACGAAATGCAAGTTAACGAAGGACTCATTGAGTCGAACTACGATGAGGTCGTCGACCACTTTGACAACATGGAGCTTAAGCCTGAGTTGTTGAGAGGTATCTACGCATACGGGTGGGTCAATAGGCTTGGGCGTATCCCCAGTGACTCACACACACACCGCCAGTTTCGAGCGTCCTTCTGCTATCCAACAACGCGCTATTATGCCTGTCGTTAAGAAGAACGACGTTATCGCTCAAGCCCAGTCTGGTACTGGTAAAACTGCCACTTTCACCGTCTCCATCTTGCAGAGAATCGACGCGTCTATCAAGGGCACTCAAGCTCTTATCGTCGCTCCTACCCGTGAACTTGCTCAACAGATTCACAAGGTCGTTGTTGCTTTAGGTGACTACATGGGTATCACTTGTCACGCTTGTGTTGGTGGTACGAACGTTCGTGAGGATATGGCTAAGCTTCAAGACGGTGTTCACGTCGTCGTCGGTACCCCTGGTCGTGTCTACGATATGTTGAACAGACGCGTTCTCAGCACCCAGCACATGCAAATTTTCTGTCTTGATGAGGCTGATGAGATGTTGTCCCGTGGTTTCAAGGAGCAGATCTACGAGGTCTTCCAACTCCTCCCAGGTGAAACTCAAGTTGCTCTCTTCTCTGCAACCATGCCTGCTGATGTTTTGGATGTCTCAAAGAAATTCATGCGTGACCCAATTAGAATTCTCGTCAAGCGTGATGAATTGACCTTGGAAGGTATCAAGCAGTTCTACATCAACGTTGACAAGGATGAATGGAAATTGGACACTCTCGCAGATTTGTACGAGACTGTTACCATCACTCAAGCTGTCATCTTCTGTAACTCTCGTCGTCGTGTCGATTGGTTGACTGAACAATTAGGTGCTAGAGATTTCACCGTTTCTGCTATGCACGGTGATATGGACCAAAACCAACGTGAAACTATCATGAAGGAGTTCAGATCAGGTTCTTCAAGAGTTTTGATCACCACTGATCTTTTGGCTAGAGGTATTGACGTTCAACAAGTTTCACTTGTCATCAACTACGACTTACCTGCTTCCCGTGAAAACTACATTCACAGAATCGGTAGAGGTGGTAGATTCGGTAGAAAGGGTGTTGCCATCAACTTTGTTACAGAGGATGATGTCAAGATGTTACGTGAAATTGAGCAATTCTACTCAACTCAAATTGATGAGATGCCATTGAACGTAGCTGATCTTATCTAAGATTAAATATAGTGTATTTAGGTTAATTATCTGGTTGTCGTGGTATCAGTAATTGTAAATTTCTGCATTTCTTTTTTACTTTACTTTGTGTGTGTCTTTGTATCTGAAAGTTTTGACTTTTATCGGGGTGAAGAAGGGTGATGAAATGTTTATCACTGTTTTCCTGAAAGCGTGTGAGCTATAATACACAATTCAAACAGAACCCTTTGGATGACTCCAGAAAAGCGAGAGGCCAAATCTAGCCCTAAATTTCTTACGGCCAAGGTTGATAAGTACAGATGAATAGGTCAATTTAAGGTAAAGTTGGCTATAAGATGTCGCATAAGGTTAGCTGCGAGGAGTTAGCTGCACTGGAGAAGTTGGAAAACGACCTAATCAGAAACCAGTCAATCTTCAAGTATCTGAGTAGATATCTCGATAAGAATAACAGAATAGAAGAGAATCATAGCAAGGGTCATGAGACTAGAGAGATATTTCTGCGGTCACTCGAGCCATTTGTCTTTGCTTGCTCGAGTCAATGTGTAACTATGTGGGGGTGATTGTTTGCCAGTTGCGTAAGTTGCTTAAAATGGACTGACTGAGAACGTAAAACAGCACTGCTGGCAAAATTCATTGTAACGAGATCCTCAAGCTGATCAAGCGCAAACCAGATTATGAGTGTGGGTTCGGTAAACACTGATCAAACAGCCTATTCATTGGACAAAACGCATTAATTTAATTACACTGTCCGCTCTTCTCATTGGCTATATGCCTGTCACAATTAAACTCTATCAAGAATCATACACAGGTAGCTTTTGTTTGTGCTTACATTGGGAATGTTAGGACTAAGCAGCTGATAGCTTTCGTGAGGGATGTATGCAGCTTTTTCCGTCTACAAAGTCGATTTCGTTCTGCAAAGACTTGAGATCTGCCGAGAAGGTCGTCGAGAAGGTCAGCAAAACTCAGCCAAAGGCGCTGGTTGTGTACCATGCACACGACAAAGAGGCATTCGATAGAGTTGGTTTGTGCGTGTTAAAGGTGATGGTATCAGTCTCACTCGCACTTGCGCTCTTCACGTAGACAACGACGAGCTGCGTATATCTTTTAGCTCTGATAATATCCCGCCTAGCCTGATTAATCAGAAAATCAAGCTGATTGTGGGTGTATGCTGACCAGCGAGCACACCACAAACAAACAAACACTGCAGGTGAACTGCAACCAGCCACCGCATCACTGAGAATACACAATCCTGGGCGGTTTGCTGAGTGGAATTGACGCCAAGTCCTATCAGATGTGTAGACCGCTGTTATCGGCTGAGAAGGCAATTGCGATAACGCTTACGAGCGAGCTCGAGATGATGCCGTTGGTATAGTCCAGCTGGTGAGCGTCGTGTAGTGTGTCGAGGTTGACACGAATCTGACCGGAAAACCAGCTGAACTCGCGTCTAAAGCGTGAACTGGGCTAATGCACACTGCAATGACAAACTGCTGTAGTTTTATTTTAAATTTAAATTTCCATTTTGTATTTTGTATTTCAGATAGTAGACACAGATACCGCGACGCGTCGTTGAGTTTTGTAAAGTTACCAATGAGTGTAGCGCCGTCTGTATGTATGGAATGGGTGAACTGCGATACAAATTAACGATGCGAGCAGGAACACCTCTCCACGCTGTGGTGCCATTCCGAGGGATTGGCCCGTCTGCTGTATTCGCCAGACGGGAGCAAGTTGTACACGGCGGGGAATGACTCGATGCTGCGAGCGTTTAGTCTGAACAGCGACCAGAGTCTGGGTGAGTCGCAGGTGATAGATGCGCACACGGACTCGATCCAGTCGCTCGACGCGACGAGCCAACTAGTCATTACAGCCTGCGAAGATGGCTGCGTGCGGTCATTCAACCTCTCCGACAACTCCTTCAACGAGCTCCTCGTTAAATCCTCTCTCCCGGCGCGCTGGATCGGCGTCGAGAGGGTTAGAGGGCGTGCTAAGCGTATAGCGCTTGCCTCTGACGAACTTATTGTGAAAATAGTGGATTTGAATGATCACCTCAAGGTCAGTTTGCTGCAGGGACACACAAAATCAGTCAGGTGTGCTACGTGGGCACCCAACGGCGGCGTCTTGGCCACCTCCAGCGCAGACGGCTCGATAAAGATATGGAAGGAGAAGCACAGCCAGTTCGAATGCATCAAGACAATCGACGGGATTATCAGAGCCGATGACGCGGAGTGAGTGGGGTTTTTATCTTGGTCTGGCTCTGCAAACACTCTAACGCGTCTTTTTCAGCTCCGAATATGGCGTCGCAGCGCACTGGCACCCTTCTGGCAAATTAATCGTCTGCACTACGCGTGCAAGCGACATTGCCATCATCGATACATCCACATACAGGAAAATTGGCAGTCTGTCTCACGATGGACATACAGCGGACGTGTCAGAAGTGGAGTGGTCGCCCAATGGTCGCTATCTCGCTAGTGCAGGTCGTGATGGTAATGTACTGGTGTGGTCCATCGACGACAGGAGGGTGATTGCAAAAACTAAGGCTGAGTCACTCGTGACGGCATTCGCTTGGCATCCGACGGAGAACGTGCTCTCGTTTATCGATACTTCGTCGTCAGTTACGAGATGGCTTAGACCTGTGCCTGATGCTGCTGAGCCGCCATGCGGTGGCAAGGTGCTCTATGGCGATGAGATGCACACTGCTAATGGCAAGGCTGGACATGCGCTCGGGTATGAAGACAAGGAGTCGCGCCAAGATGAAGACACGGTTTTGCGCGAACTGAGTGAGCTGCGAGACGGAGACCAAGACAATCTCGATGATTTCGCAATAGATGGAGATGACAAGGAGAATGGCGATGGTGATGGTAATTTGGATGACGATGAGTATACCCACTCAAAGCGGAAGCACACCTCGGCAGCAGTATACGACGGAGGTCAACGCCCCTTCCAACCAGGCAGCACACCTCTGCGCGTAGACAGACGCTACCTAGCGTTCAACATGGTTGGGGTGGTGCACGCGGTAGACCAAGACACGCACAATCTTATCACGGTAGAGTTCCACGACAAAAGTGCGCATCGCGGTTACAGTTTCCAGGATCACTTCAAGTCGTCCTTGTGCGCGCTCGGGGAGGCAGGTGCGGTGTATGCGTCTGCCGGAGCAGCTGGAGCAGCTTCGATGGTTGTCTACAAACCCTTCGACAGCTGGTCAGCGCAGCAAGACTGGAGTGTGCGGCTGGGAGACGGGGAGGTGGCAAGTTTAGTCGCGTGTACCTCGAGCGTCGTCGTCGTATGCTCATCTACCCCTTCCACCCACCTCATCCGCTTCTTCACGACTAGTGGCATACAGAGGTATGTCCTCAACCACGGCAAAGAGATGGTGACTGCGAGCGCGAGTAGACAGTATCTCATCATCGTTTCCCGATCTACCGGGGGCGCTGTGAACGGACTCCAAAATTTGGAGTACGACGTTATGGATCTGTTTACACTCGAGTGGGTTCAGCGTGGTGCTGTGCCGTTGGGACAGGGTGGCGAGATACGCTGGCTGGGTTTCTCGGTGGATGTCGATGTGAGTGGGGTTGTTTTATTCGGCGGACTGTCTCACTCACACTCCGCAGATACCCGTCATGTTTGACTCTAATGGACTGTTATCGATGCTGGACCGCTTTGCGACACCCATGCAGGCGCGTTGGGTGCCGTTGCTGGATACAGCCACACTCGAGCGGGGGCGCGACAAACAAGAACGGTATTGGCCGGTGGGCGTGGTGGGCAATTCGCTGCAATGCCTCATTTTGAAAGGGAGGGAGCAGCACCCCTTCTTCCCCCGCCCGCTTATCAGTACATTGGATGTGCGCATGCCGGTGCTTGGCCTAGATACGCAGCAGGGGCAGCTAGAGGAGGGCGTACTGCGCGACTCGCTGGTGCTGAGCCACGCGCGGGGGCAGGCTGAGAATGTAGGAGACGAGGAACATTCCAACCTCGAAGAAGCCATCAAGAAACATGAACTCACCATCGATAAAGGACTCCTGCAGCTTATTAATACGGCTTGCAAGGCGGATCGCTTGCAGAGAGCACTGGATGCGGCGGGGATGCTGAACCAGTTCAGCTCTGTCGACGCAGCTATGAAGATCGCCGCCTTCTTTCATCTTCCTAGTTTGCAGGATCGCATCTATCTGCTGAAGGAGGAGAAGATGCGGGTGAGTGGGAGGAGTAAGGGTGGGAGGAGTAAGAGGATGAACTACGAAGAGAGACTGATGAGCAGGCCGCTGTCGACACTGCCTGTCGGCTCGGTTGGTCAGAGCTCCCACAGCAATCACGCACCTGCATTTCCAGCTCGGAAACCACACCAGAAGAGGCGGTTTGACGCACCTGTAGAGCTGGATGACGTTGACGTGGGCGGGGATGTGACGCAGGAGGTGGTAGACGTAGAGGGAGATGGCGATGAAGATGAGCCTATTGACTTTAGCGACGATGAAGAGGAGGATGGGGCGGAGGAGGGAGAGCACGCTGAGAACCCCACCACCACCTCAAACAAACGCAAGATGGACGCAGTTGACGACAGCCAACTCACCTTTTCACCGCCACAGAGCAGCCGGGCGAGACTAAGCGAGGAGGTGATGGCGATACCACCCCCACCGATACCAGGAATGGCGACGGGCACCGCGCAGACTACGCAGTCCAACCCATTCGCCAAGTCCGCCAATCCATTTGCTAAAACACCCGCTGTCTCACTCGCGGATAACAAGACAGCGCTTAAGAAGAGCAGCATACACCAGTCAGATTCCTTCTTTGAGCGGGCAGAGAGGCCAGTAGAGAGGAGCGGGAAGGCGGGACAGAGTAAGAAGAAGAACACGAATAAGAAGCAACAGTCTTCACTCCTCAGCCACCTCCAGAAGCCTGCGTCGGCATTGCATGAGAGGGATGAGAATGAGAATGAGAATGATAACTCAAATGAGTAGTGTCTATATGTAATTAATAAATAAGTAACCAAGTAATATACAAACGATCCAACTAAAACTTCTTCTGCTTCTTTTTGCCTTGGGAGGTAGTTTTGGGGAGACTAGCAACGTCGTCATCCATATCCATATCGTCTCTCGCTGAATGCTTGCCTTTGCGTTTCTTTTGCTGCGATTCGCGCATTTCCACTGCGGCCAATCTCGCCGCTTCGTTGACGCGTTCGACGAGGAGGGGAATGGCCTGTTTATCGTGAGGGAATTCCTCCATTTTAACGTTGGTAGATTTTTCGATACGTTGGAGGAGTTCCACGTCGTATTGAGTGACGAAAGTGACAGCCTTACCACTGCGTCCTGCTCTCGCTGTTCTACCCACACGGTGGATGTAGTCTTTAGAGTTGGATGGTGTATCGTAGTTGACGACGTAGTCCACACTAGGAATATCCAGCCCACGACTAGCTACATCGGTAGCTACGAGAATGTTGCGTCCACCTGCTTTGAATTTGTTGAGGGCGCCAAGTCGGGATGACTGAGACAATTGACCGTGCAAAGGTATCGCGGGAAAACCAAGGTTGCGGAGAATGATGGAAATGCGTTGAGCATCTGCGACAGTGCGGGTGAAAATAATCATCGAATGGCCAGCTACTTCGTTAGCCAAGTAGATGAGATAGCTGTCTTTGAGTTTGAAGGGGAAGAAGAGGTAGTGTTGCAACAGCGTAGACACAGTCTGGTACTTGTCACTCACTTCCACCTTAACTGGGTTGGAGAGCGAGGCACGTTGAAGTTTGGCGACTTTCGTGGTCATTGTCGCGGAGAAGAGCATGGTTGTGCGTGATTTTGGGAGGATCTTCAAGAGCTTGTCGATGATCGGACCGAAATCCATATCAAGCAATCTGTCAGCCTCGTCCATGATAAGAAACTTGATATTCCGGAGGGAGAAGCCCTTTGTGTTCTCGAGGTGATCGTGGAGGCGCCCAGGGGTTGCGACGATGACGTGCGGTTTCTTGGAGAGGGCTATAGACTGGGTCATCATGTCCATACCACCAACGATGGTGGCAGTGCGTAGACCGATGCTTGAACCGAGGGCGTCGAACTGCTCAGAGATTTGGTACGCGAGTTCTCTGGTGGGAGCGAGGACGCAGCAGAAGTAAGGGGAGGGAGTATCGTACAGAAGCTGTATAACAGGCAACGCAAACGCGGCAGTCTTCCCGCTGCCTGTCTGGGCTAAACCAATGATATCCCTCGATTGGAGCGAGTAAGGGATCGACTGTTGCTGGATCTCAGTGGGGCTAGTATATCCAAGGCGTTGACAATTTTTAATTAAATCATCGATGAGATTGAGGTCCTTGAACGAGCAAGCCATGGTCGTTGGTGGTCAACGGTCAACAACCACTACTTGAATGAACCTGTACAGCGTCTGCAGTTATAGACCGCGGGCTGATAGATCACCTGGACTGGTCTACTACAGCGGGAGCAACCCACCCACTCGAATCAAAGGTGCGGATCGAGTGGCAGTTGAAGATTATCAGATAGCGCATAGAGAATCTAATCAGATTGCGCATAAAGAATCTAATCAGATTGCGAACAAGCAATCTAACAATATCCAACTCAGAGGCCTCATCAATCTCGGCAACCTCTGCTTTGCTAATTCCATCTTCCAGTCGCTGGTATTTTGCCAGCCATTCTATCAAATGATGATTGGCCTGTCGACTCAGCTGCCCTTCTCCTTCAACAAAACTCCTTTGCTCGACGCTACCATTGCTTTTCTCCAGCAATTTAACCCCACCAACGACATGAACGACATGAACGACATTGGCGAACCTTTCACCCCCACTCTCATTTACGACGCTCTCAAGCAATACAACAGGTTCAATACCATCCATCGTGGCCAACAGGAAGACGCTGAGGAGTTTCTTGGCTTCTTCTTGGACACCTTGCACGAGGAGTTGGTGAGCATATCTCCCAGGCTTAAGCCGCGGACTCGTTGGTTTGATGGAGTCGATAGCCCAGATGACTCCAACGAATGGCTCCAAGTGGGACACAAGAACAAAACGCTCAACAAACCCTCAACCCCGTCCAACCCCACTGAATCACCCATTTCCAAGTTGTTCGGTGGTAAATTCAGATCTACCCTCAAAACTCCGGGTCAAAAGGACTCTATCACCCTAGAGCCCTTCCAACCCCTTCAACTAGACATACAGCCAGATCACATACACTCCATAGAAGACGCCCTCCTCAACTTAGCCCAGCCAGAAACTATCCACGGCGTTTACTCCCCCTCCAAACAAGGCCCTGTCGACGCAACTAAACAAGTCACTATAGACACTTCCCCACCTATCCTCATTATCCACCTCAAGCGCTTCTTATATCACAGCGTCGGCGGCGTTATGAAAAGCAACAAGAGAATCACTTACCAACCCACTCTCTCCATCCCCAACTCCATCCTCTCCCCTTGGAATACTCCCGCTGATGGTCTCCATTATAGATTATTCGCTGTTGTCTATCATCATGGCCAAAATAGTGGCTCTGGTCACTACACTATAGACGTCCTACGCCAAGATCTCAAGCAATGGGTGCATATTGACGATATTGTTATGAACTTCCTCGATGAAAATCATGTCGTGGAGACGGAGTATGGTAGCAGTGGTAACAATAACAGCAATGGTAGCAGCGCAAACAACGACAAGACAGCTTACTTACTTCTCTACAGCAAGATGTAGATTATTCACCTTACTCCCTGCACACTGCAAACTGCATACTGCTTTGTTGGATACAAATAAATACAAATACATAACAGCTCTTAGGAATCAGTCAATCTCCTCTAAAACGTCACCCTCTCCCCCTGTTTGGGTCTGTAAAAACGCACTCCGAGGTTTTGTGTGGCTGGGTTACTCTCGAGCTCCGATAGTATCCTCTCACCCACCACATCACACCCTAACATGGGATCCTCTTTGACGTGAGTTATCGCAATGGTGAGCCCTTGTAGTGGTCTGCTCGTCGTGTGTCTGTGCACTCCAAATCCCTCATTGTACCCGGTTCTCGATGCGTGGTTGAGCCCGCCGAAGAGCGCCTTATTCACTGCCTGGCTCGCTTGATGCGAGAGGGGGTGTGAGGGTGTGTCGAGGGCGTTGTCGATGGGTGAGTGAGTGTGGTTGTGCTGAGCAGCTGTGATATCTTCATCAGCATTAGCATAACCTTGATCACTCCCGCTCCCACTCCCCCCACCCACGCTAAACTCGCTCGTATTGACACTACGTAGCTGCTCTACACCCATCCGCCTAAACCTCTCCACAATAATTGCAAGCGTCTGTAGCTCATCGACCAGCAAATCAGGCTTGAGGTGACCAAAGAGAAGGTGGTTCGGCCGGGCGTTGGTGTAGCTGCATTCTATCCACACCCACCGCAACTCATCCAGCACGAATCGCCTTGCGGCCTCCGCCCACACGGGTTTATTGCGCGGGAGTGTGCTTATCGCATCCGGCTCTACATCTCCCCAGAAGAGGAAACTGAAGCTCTTTTGCCATTTGTGCGCAGAATCTGAATGCTTCTCGACGAAATAAGCTATACTATCATATACCTCGTTAGGGTCTTTCTCTACCTGCACAGCAGCGCGTGTGCGTGCATCCGCCACTAAACCCACAGTGCCGTGCGAGATTGGGAAAGGAGTGCACGAAAAGGTGTGATTGGCGGTATGTGAAGGTGTGCCACTCACACTCCCACTACCTGCATCATGCACATACCCAGGCACGTCGAATTGCGCAAAAGGTTCTATCTGCATATACTGCAACCGTTCAACGAGCCCACCACAACTGGCCCAGCTAGCCAGCGCGGGCCAGAGCAGCCCACCGAAAGCCACCTCAATCCCTTTCAAAGTCTTCTCAAAGCCTACGAGACGCTTGCACGCGCCAAACTTGATCGAGCTGTTAATCACCAGTCCGGCAAGGTGGTCGAGGTGTGGGTGAGTGATCAGATAGGCTGTGATACTCGTGTAGATCCGTGAGGCGAGCCGGTAGCTGTCTGTATCGTGTCGGGTGTCTGCGGTGACTTTCTTGTGGGCGGTGTCATTCGAGTCTGCCTTCGAGCTAGCCCCCTCGTACTCGTCGCCCGGTAGAGCCTCCCGCAAATCATCCACGATGCTGATATCCGAACGTATCGCCCGCGATAAGGCCCCCACACCCGAACCGGCATCTATCGCTACACAGCCATCGTCCCAGGGCTGGTGATGTGATTTGAATATGTAGCTGCGTGTGCGTTGGTGTTAGGTTTTGGCTCCGTGCGTGTCGCCGTCGCCTCACTCACCTCGATAAATTACCCTCATCTGGCCCTCCGCCTACGCCGACGCAGATCATGTCGAAATGCGGACCAGCGTATGCATCGTGTGTGTTTTGTGTGTTTTGTGTGTTTGTTGAGTCCATCTTGGTGTGCGTGTTGCGTTCTGCGTTCTGCGTTCTGCGATGGTGGTTGCGGACGACGACGATCATTAAACCATAATCAATTGAGTGATATACACAATGAGCTCTATGAGGCCGTCTACTCACAATACAGACAACGCCAGTGTCTCCGGCGATAGCTTTACAGAGGACGAATACGACGAGCATGAGCATTATGGGCACTCCAACCGGGCTAAAGAGAGCAACATTACTAAATGGACTAATTTCATCAACTGGCGTAACACCAGTGGCAGTCGCAGTCGCAGTCGCAATCACAATCACAACCCCACAGAGGCCGGTAGAGGGAGAGTGATATCGCAGAGTGACACCCTCGAACAGGAAGCACGTCTCGAGCGCGACAGATCCAAATTCGAAGCAGGCGTCATACTCCACATCGAGTCAGCCACCCAAGATACACACCAACTCATACACGCTCAATCCCGGAGGCTAGATAGTGTGGACAGTGCGGCTGATGGTGTCGCTCTCAGATTAGATAATGTCGACGCGCACATCAACGCCCTCGATACGCAGTCGGACTCAGTTAATGCGCGTTTGGAGGTGATTGAAAAGGACAGCACAAATCAATCTCCACATTCAGATGCCCTCGCAGATCGGATCGCTGCGCAGGACCATCTCATACACTCCCTCCAACTCGCTAACCAACATCACCAACATACCATCTCCACACAGGAAAATCAACTCTGCGATTTGCGCTCGGTCGTCAGTAAACTACAGTCCGACCTTAGAGGCCTTTCTGTCTTGGCTCTTGAACGGATACAAGGTTTGGAGAAGAGTGTTGAAAAAAATACTGAAAAGAATGCCGAAATTAAGTCTGAGAGGAACCTCAAAGAGAAGGCTGAAAAGAGTACTGAAAATGTTGTTGAAAGTAACCCAGACATAAGCAATGACAAAACCACAGACAGACACACAGACAACCCCAATGGCACCCCTTACCACCGCAAAATTACCAGCTTTTCTAGCCTCAGGGATGAGAATACACCGTCATCTACAACAAGGTCACCCGCAATAAAGCCACCCACTACAAACCCAACAAACACGAAATCACCCACTAAATCTCAAACCCCACTCAGGCGACCACCTGGCTCTCCTGTCAAACAATCTCCAGCCATCCAAGCCAAAGCAAAGCAATTCACCTGAGCACCTACTAAATATGTTTTGTTTAAATTATCCTCAAACTAATCTAATACATGCTAATAATTTATATCTACCCACTAACCACTACGCATCCGGTAAGCCCTCCATTACAATGGGTTTTCGACTTTTGGTCATCTTCTTGCTCCGCTGCTTACCCAGCCAATGTACATTCTCGAGTACATACTCAATACCCTTCTCCGTCCTCAACTTCAAGTCCTGCGCTACGCTGCGTTTCGTGTAGTCAAGCGTGAATCTGAAACTGAGCCAGGTGTAAAGTACCAGTGATCTGTGCAAACTTTCTAGCGTGTTGAGTGTGTCGGGTGTCAGTGGTGTTTGATGGGCTGGATTCTTCATCACCCTCTCTACAGCTTCCAGTTGCGCCAATCCTAACCCATTCAGTGACACTTCTGGATCTATTGTCTCACTTTGCGCTTGAGAGTCTATAAACCGACATGACGCGGCCACCACATTGGCATCACGAGTGTTGCATGGCGCCATAGCGAACCTGAATGCCTCCTCCAGAGGTAATTGTGAAAGCGGTTCACTCGCTATATCTGCCATCTGCAGAAAGTTGGTATTTGATGTGACAAAGTAGTTGTTAGACACTTTAATCAGACTTGTGAGCGTTTTTATCAAATCCCCAAGTGATGGCCTCGCTGGCATGAGATTGTTGATTTCTTTGAGTGTGTCACTCGATACACCAATTGCTGCTTTGTTGATTGTTGGTATTTCTGCATTGATCGCTCTTTCTAATATCTGCAAATCCATAGGATTGAGCGTTGTAGCTACACCCGACTCATCATCCACCTCTTGTATAGCCGCATTGTTGGTTTCAATCACATTTTCCTTCTCATTCACTCCATATCTACCTGCTCTCCCAGCGATTTGCTTCATCTGTGATATCGAAAGAGGTACTTCTTTTGTACCATTCCATTTGTGTACTGTCTCGAACACAACACGTCGAATCTTCCTACATTGACCTATCAATTTCGCAGCAAAGTTGAGATGAATGGACCCACAGATTCAGCCCCATTCCAATAGCGTCAGATGCAACCATAACATCATACCCGCTATCTTTGTCGTTGAAGAGCTTCGCTTGCTCCGCGCGAGTTTCAGGAGGGAGACCACCGTAAGCAACTGCGCAGCGTAGCCCGGTCAAGTCCTCAATCTTCCTCTTGAGTGCCCAAATGCCAGTCCTGCTGAAAGTGACCACACAGTCACCCTTTTTGACATTCTTCAATGTGCTCAGTGGTTTGCCCACTCGCAACTCAGTCAAACGTTTGTAGCGATTGACGACGATCTCGTCTCCGGTTTCCTTAGCTATCCTCTCCATCAACCCAACGACGGTCTCTTCACCGCATATATGCAGCTCCTTTGCACGCATACCTAACACGGCTGATGTCCACGCAGGACCTCTACTGTCATCTGCTATCAACTGAATCTCATCAATCACACCAACATCTATTTCATGATCTAGGGGTACCATTTCCACTGTACAGCTTTTCAAGCCTGATTCTGCATCAACTATGCGCACTTCTTCACCTGTATATAAGTTGCACGATTTCGGTGGACCTGGTGGGAGTGGTTTACCATCTGGACCCATTCCAGGACTAATAGAGCCTTGGTTTAGACGGAGGAATATTTCATGAGCGAGTAATCTCAACGGACCTGCATAAATACCAGTCTTGGCTTGTGATAGTGCTAATATCGCGCTATGAGTTTTTCCACTGTTAGTTGGACCAACGTGCAGTATCAACTTTCTACGCATCGTTCTAGCTTTTGAGTATTTTAGAGCAGGTTGACGAAAGTCTGTGATTGGGAGTACGCTTGGGACATTATCGCTAACGAGTCGCTGCTGGACAGCCCTCTCAATCAATTTACCACGGGATACCGCCTCTGTTACCGGCTTTGAGTTGAAATCCCAACCTAAGGCTTGCAAGTCGGATAAAGAGTTGGATCTGATTTCATTTAACGCACTTTCTCTGAATTGAGATAATTTATGCTTGGCTGATGCGCCTGAGATGCCGAAATGACTGAGAAGCTTTGTTGCGTCTCGCGATCTGCAGTATTCTTGCAAGACGTAATCAATTTTATCCTTTAGATTAGAAGGAGAGGAATTTCCCTTGGAATTGGGATGCAGTTTGCTTCTAAGCAAAAGCCAGGTTGAGTGCATCCACTTGGGCTGATTTGGTGGTTATGGGATAAGGAGAGGCTAGAGTGGGAATATAAATATTTCATAGCTCATTATAGCTCATAGACATACCTTCCTCTCCCTCTCCCAACAACCAAAACAAATGAAAAGAAGTGTAAATCACTACGATAACACCCTACCAAGCATCATGACACTCCCAAATGAGCTTTTAATGATGATTGCCGAGTTTTCTCCGAAACTCTCCTTAACTTGCCGACGCTGCTACAATCTCGGCTCAAGGTACCAACCGGTTATTACAGCAATCTATGGACCTAATCCACCCAAGCTGGATAAGCATAATGCTGATAAGTCTCATCATATGACTCTCAGACGTTTTAACGGCTATCTTAATGATCTCATAAACGATGACGAAAAAGCCAAATTGATAACGCAAGTAATGTACAAGCACAATGGATCAACTTACGATATAGAATGTGATACACTGGAAAAGTTTAGCAGACTTGAAAATCTATCAAGTATGGCTTATCAGACAGATTTCATTGATTGCAGAAGTGTTGCAAAGTTTGACAATTTCATCAAATTACAACAACTTAACCTAAAATTGAATTACATTCCAAGATCTTTGAACCACTTTATTACGAGACTGATGCAGATTTCCAATTTGCAGTTACTCGCAATAGACATTCCCTGCAATAATTACAGCGAAGGTGGGGTTTATGAACAATTAGCTGAGTTGGAAGATATTTCAACTTATATTCCAGTTAGAGATAACTTTAAGCTCGTTATTAGATTTTGTCATTGCATCACTTGCAAACACCTTGACGACTCTTACGATATGAACTCATTCACTATCGTCTTTGCAAAGTGTCCGCTTTGTAGGAATCACTTCATTTTCGCTTCAAGCAGACATACTATTTACTCTACTCTATCGAAAGCATACGGCTGGCTTGATAATAGATACTTTATCAAGCGTAAACTTAGAGAAACTCAACGGTTCTGATCCCCTCAATCCTCAATCTTTTATACCAACATTAATCTGCCTTATATCTACTTAACTCTATCTTTTTGTATTGTACCATGAATTCATAGCTTGTTTGACGACTCGGGCATTGTCTGTTGATCTTTGTTTGTAAGAAATTTTTACTGATCAACAGTAATGCTCGGATCAAGATGGAGAGTTGATAAAATGTAACAGTGACCCTGACGGCTTCAAGATAACATGGAATAAAAAGTAGGACATGAACAGATACTCCGCAAAAATTAAGGGTTCGACAGGGATTTGAACCCTGGACCTCTCGCAAATTGGTGTCCCAAAGCGAGAATCATACCCCTAGACCATCGAACCGATGTCTATTGCGAGCATTTTTATTTATATATTTCTGTTTTGTACAAAGTGGACGTTAATGCCTATTAGCTAGAAATAAGCACAATTATCGTTGCGCAGTCGCATGAATCTATAAAACGCTGTCTCTCATACTAAAAAAGAAGGCCAATTAAGTAAATATTTGATATACATTTAATCAGGTCAGTAATATTCTCGTTTAACTTTCATAATGTATACAAAGTAAAATAAAGCACAAAGGACATGTGAAATTCGTAGATCGTTCGTCTATGACAGGAATTTAGCCCATAATGATAATAATCTGCTTGGAATATCAGTCAGTATGTTTCTCTCAGATATAGCTGAGAATAGCTGAGGTGCATAGAGTTCAGTCAAAAAGGCATAGTTTGTCGTCAATTTTGATTCAGACGCAACTTACTTAAGAGTACCATCATGATACTCTGTGCAAGTCCCAGCTACTCCAACTGAAACTCACCTTAATGCTCGAACCACTCTCCTGTGTTGTGGAGTGGTATGGCTATCAATTTATAATTCTCATCTTTTCAAATTTGATTGATGATGGAAGTTCAAGTAGAAAAGAAGTAGAGGTAGAATATGGGTCATTAAAATGCAATGTATTGATTAGAATAAATGCGATGCGAGTTTTTTATCGAGAACGAGGGCAATCAAGAGAGCAATTCAAATCATTTACAGCACTTTATCGATAATCTTCACTTAGTTAGTATGGTAAGACTCAAATCTATATGAACCCAGCTCACATGAATCACACCATTAGACAGTAAGATGTCAGTTCTGAGTATATTGGCAGTAGTATACCCGTCATTCCCGACGACTTTCTTCCTACCGTCGAGACCATTAACGATAGCGACGCAGGTACCATAGAGGGTCTCCAGGGACATACCATCGACGAGATCAGACGAATAGATGAGAGTTCTATTAGTAGAGAAGTGTCTCAGCGCGATATCGCGCTTATTGTCTTGGTGATTTTGTTTATTGTGATGATGGTGCTCATAAAATGCCTGAGATGTAGGCACGAAAGCTGTAACACCGGTCATGCCCCTAATTACATGCGCGAGAAAAGCGCTAGAAACAAAATCGGCAACTTGGTCCATCTTCATGGCTGAGAGAGTATTGAAAAAATCTTCAGGGATCTGGATCAATTGCGGTATTGTCCATATGTGAAGGTGCATGTAGGATGACTTGGCTTGAACACACAGACGAGAGAGAGGAGTAACGATTGTTGTGAAACTCCCATTTACGTCAACGATGAGTGATTGTGTGGGGTGCGAGTGGGGCAGGTCAGTGTATCTCGTGAGAAGGCTAGGTGAAACGTATCTGCCATTACGATTGGGTATCCAAACATCGAGTATATGGTAATTTAGTAGATCCTGGAGGTCGCTCGTGCTTAGTTGTGATATTCCGCTGCCGTGAAAAGCTTCATTGAGGGGTGCGAGTAGTGTTATTTGTTTTGAAGAAATGTGTTTATCGCTGCCGCTGCCACTACTAGTACTTGCCAATTTCAGTTCAAATATCTCAGGTACCTGGCCAACGAGAGTGGCCATCGTGCTCGCATTTAGATAGTTCAGAGCGTGAACAAGACCATTTGCGAAAGTGGATAGTGGCATTAATGGGATTTTGATGGTGAGAGTGTAAGCCTTGTTTTTGCTTTGTGTGTATCGTGTAAATCATGTGTGGCTAGAAGTGACTATTTGTTGGGTAAATCAGGTGGACACGTGATAACAAATATAATCTGGACACTCCAATAGACATTTGTATTTTCAGCCAATTATTATCCCTGTATTGTCCATTTCTTGGTTGAATTCGTACAAAAATCCCGGCGAGACCAATGGCAGCGCACTATTCACAGCCAGAGACGAGTTATGCGTTGGAGGGACTAATAAACACTCCAATGGAGAGAATTGATGGAAGAAACTACGACGATTATCGCAGCCTCAAATTCGAAACTGGGAATTCACCGAGTAGCTCTGGTTCGGCATACATTTGTGGTGCAGGCTGTGAATGGCAGGTGTGTATCAAGCTTGATGTCGTTGAGGGATTCAGCGCTGGTGGACTAGATGCTCAAGTGGAGTACACGAGTGCTGCTGCGAATTCACAAAAGATACCACCACTTATTACACCAGGCTTACTCTCAAATCTCGTAAATGTCACTCTATCCCCTATTATTCCACCACGCGTATTTCAAATATTAGATGCTGGCGATAAATCAAAGTGGTTCAGACTGCAGATGTCTGCGGCGTTGATGTCAGCTGAGAATTGCAGCAGTAGCAGCATTATCGACACACTCTTCTTAGCCGTAAAGATGGCCCTTTCTGAGACGAGGCTGCCTAGAACTCGTCCGCTAGTGTTCGAGGCACAGGGCGAGACAGCGGGGGAGAATATCAATGAGGATCTCGAGAAATTTGGTTTGAAGACTGGTGGCTCTGGGAATAAGAACAGAAGCGCTGCTGATTTTGAACTGGTAGATCAGTGGCATGAAGGTGATCCAATTCCTGGCATAGATAACCTGCCATTGTCGATAACACTCAATGTTGTACGTATAGGGAGGCTGGGTGATACTGTACACTCGCTCACTCACTTACAGGTTCAATCGATCTACTTCGTTGACGCTACCTCGCTTGAGGGCGCTGTCCCTGGTCTCATCTCGTACACGCTACTCTTCGATAAGGATGGAGCTATCAGAGGTACGCAAATGCTCGGAAGCGGTGAGCTGGAGTACAAGCAGCTACCAAAGCTGATTCATGTGGGTGTTGCTCGACGCAGGATATTACAATCAAGGCTAACGCACGCCGCAGGAAGCATCAAAACTGATAACGGACCTTTTTACGCTTTTTAACAAGGATGGGGGGCAATTGCAAGACGAGCAGGCAATGAAAGAGTAAGACAAATAAGAATCGTTTAAAACCCCTGTAATTTATTTATATTCATTACCTATAATCACTGCTTTCAGTCATCGCATAAAAATCTCGCGTATGGAATTGATCCCGGCCGTCCTCAGTTACGTGCACGCCCTTCTTATCACCCAAACGACCACGAAGGCTTACGAGGACTGGACGCTGGACGTCGAAATGCCGACAAAGATTATGTTTGGAATATGGGCGCTGTTTGATATTTGTTTACTCGTCGCTGGCTCTGTGTGTATATCAGTGTCTACTGCTTGGAAATCTCCAGATTTATTGAGAGATTTGGTAATCAACGATGAAGAGAAGAGAGGTTGGTTGGTGTTACATGGGTAAATAATCACTCAATTCTCACTCCTCCTCAGCTGGTTTCGTACTCGGGATTCTAATCGTTATCACCGTCGCTTACTCGACTTTTGCAATTCTGCGACGGCGCGCGATACACTTGAAAGTACTTAACTTTACTTTCATTCTCTTAGCTGTCTTTGTAATTGTCATCGGCTCTTCTCTCTGGCTACTATCACTCAATCAACGTAGCTGTGAGCTTGACAAGTGGTTTGTTAAAACATACGCTCATTTGCCTTAGTAATGGCGGATCTTTGGAAGGAACATTCACCAGACGAGCAGATCAAGATACAGAATCATGTGAGCATTCTTGCTTGTGCTATTGTCTATTTGACACTCGATAGTTCGAATGCTGTGGTATGCATAAGTTCCTGTATAAAAGCACACCCCACTCACATCGCAAACTTCACACTTCACAGGATATCAGAATACCACCGATGCAGGCCTTTTCTCAGAAGACGCCCAGCAGGACTTCTGCTTAGACCTTGATAATAAACGCGGGTGTATGACGCCAATCGTCAACTTTGCGAGTAATTATATTAGCTCGGTATACGCGTATGTCCGCTTTGGCTTAGTGTGTTGCGTTGCTCGCCTGCTGACGAAATTACAGTACAATCTACGGGTTTATCATCATTCTCATCTGTCTCTTCCTGACTACGGTGTGTGTTTTGAATGAGCGCGCTAAGGAAGATAGGTTTAGACGCATCGATTCAAAGCGCTCAGTGGGTAAGTTTGCTCAATAAAGCATATTAGAGTAGAGCAAAACATCATACCATTACTTGAATCAATACTCCTAGACAATTAAATGAATTGAAATGCATACCGATACCAATACACTTTTACTTTTCCCTTGGCTGGGACCATTGTACAGACAAAATAAGATTATCATAACCCATGCCATTAACCTTCTCAAGGGCCTTCTCAGCATCTGAACGCATCTCGAAGCTGACGAAAGCGAAACCTTTAGACGCTCTCGTTTCTCTATCTCTACCAATAAATACTCTTTGAACGCGACCGAATCTCTTGAACAATTCTTTGAGATCGTCTTCGTGTGTGTCTTCGGAGACGTTTGTGACACGCAATGTAGGATATTCATCTCTGGAAGGAGCACCAGGACCAGCACCGGAAGCTCTAGCACCAGCTCTTTGAGAAGGAGGAATGTATTTGCCGGTTGTGCTTGCAGCAGTGGCAGTACCTTGGTTCGCATTACTTTCATCTGGAGTTTGAGTGGAATCTTGAGCAGAATCGAGATCGCCGAGTGTAGATTTATATGGACATTTAGTTGTAAAGTGATCACCTTTACACAATCTACAGACAATCTTCTTCGATTTGAGACGCTCCTTCATCAACTGCTCTTCAGAAGGCTCATCAACGGCAGCCTTGTTTCCTGCAGATAATTTCAAAACAACATTCTCACCGACGGTGGTTGTTGCCCTGTCTGGACCAGGTGGTTTTCCCTTCTCGAGACCAAATTTTGGCCAATTTTTACGCTCAGCGACTGAGTGATTGACGTTTGACTTTTTCAAGACTTTTTTAAACTTTCTAGTGACTTGTACTCTCTTCCCATCTGGCAGCGTGCGTACTTCGATGGATGTAATAACATCGCTGTCTGGAGACGTTATAGTCTTTATTTCAGGTTCAGGCGCTGCGATAGTCTCGTCTACGTCGTCTGCCCAGCTTGTGGATTGCAGTTTATCAGACATGAGGATGATGATGGAAGGAAGAAGGCAAGCAAATCAGTTTAATCTGGGTATTTGAGAGTTTATTCATTTAAATAGCTTTACTTGAAATGTACCTGTAATTCTATATAAGCTGTTTAACTCTATTTTATCAAAAACTCACATCCAGGCAGTGAATTGATATCGTAGGTGACTTGTGAATCGAGTTGAAATGCACTAAGGCATCCTTGTATGATACCAACTTGAGTGGAAAGATACTATGTTCGTTAGAGTATAGCCCTAAATACGCCTATGTCACCCACAATATCCAACCTCCTCGCTGCATTTGCCTCTGAGCTGCTGACATTGAGTAGTGGCTTGTAGAGGTTATCATAGAGAACATAGGTACCCTATTGTTGTCATTATACTCCAATTCAATCACTCAAATTCACTCAAATTCACCTTATGATTCGTTCTTAGGTTATCAAGCTGTTTCCCGTAAAGATGCGTCCAAATTTCTTTACAGAGAAGTTTGATGACTTCTAAATCATTTCCAAGTGATCCACGGCCTTGTGAAATCCTTTGTTCGATCATTAATCGCGTTATCACAGCGTATTGGTGATTAACCCACCTCTCAGCGACTCTAACGCCAATTGAACCACCGAGCTTCTTCAATTTACTAATAAGCTCATCATCTAAGCTATCTTGGGTAATTTCACGCTCCTCGCGTCTCATTTGCACCTCTGTGGACCATCTCAACGCGTTGATCAATTCAATATTGAGAAGCTCATTAACAATACCATCCACCTCTGCAGACGACTCCAAATTAAAGCTATTTCTATTTAAATTTAACGATGATTTGGACATTTCTAGGTGGGCTAGGTGGGTTGATCACTCACTGTCATTTCCCAGTCATTGCCATCTAATTCGTGAGAATTTGCTTGGATTTTAATAGCTTTCACTAAGACATTCAATCTATAGCATGATTTTACTCCCTGGCCCTGCAGCCTTGCCAACTGCTAAGCAGCACTCTCTCTCTCTTGCTGCGAATAAGTCTTTAAATAATGTTAAATCTGTTATAGCCAGATTCGTTCATTTCGTTAATCTACAAAGTCCTTTAAATGCCCAACAACACTCCATTCTCAATGATCTTCTCGTTTACGGAGAATCCAGCACTCTCGACATCACAAACGCATTCTACGTTATTCCACGCCCAGGTTCAATTACCCCTTGGTCCACAAAGGCCTCTGATATCGCTAAAATGTGTACTTTGGATGGCTTCGTTGATCGTATCGAGAGAGGTGTGGCTTTCGTCATTGAAACCACTGACAATTCCATTCTCTCTATCAATGATATTGCTCCTATTTCTCATTTGTTATTCGATAGAATGACTCAATTACTGATTGACCACCCACCTCTGGACAAAGACATGTTCGAAAAATTTTCACCCGCCCAACTCAACACCGTCCCCCTACCAAAAAATGAAAATGATGCTAGAATGACCCTCATTACTGCAAACTCATCTCTCGGCTTGGCCCTCTCTCCCGATGAAATTGAGTACCTCGTCGGCGCCTTCGTCAGTCACCCTCAAAATGCCCTCATGAGAGATCCAACTGATGTCGAATTGTTTATGTTTGCTCAAGTCAACTCTGAGCACTGTCGCCACAAGATATTCAACGCTCAATGGACTATCGACGGTCACCAACGCGATCTCAGCTTATTCCAAATGATTAGAAACACTGAAAACGTCATTAACGGCAACAACACTGTAAGCGCTTATTCTGACAACGCTGCCATTTTGAAGGGCTCCAAAGCTGCTAGATTCGCTGCTGTCAACGATGCTACCAACGGTCCACCTGTCTACACCGCCAGCCCCGAGGATATGCCCATCTTGGCCAAGGTCGAAACCCACAACCACCCAACGGCTGTATCTCCTTATCCTGGCGCTGCTACAGGATCAGGCGGTGAGATTCGCGATGAAGGCGCCGTCGGCAGAGGTTCGAAACCTAAAGCTGGCATGAGTGGTTTCACCACCTCCAATTTAATCATCCCAGACAACCGTCAACCTTGGGAAACTGACTTTGGCAAACCATCCCACATCGCTTCCTCTTTGGATATCATGATTGATGGTCCACTTGGTGCTTCTGCATTCAACAACGAATTTGGTCGGCCTGCCATTTCTGGCTATTTCCGTACTTTCTCCGAGGAGGTACCTGTTGATAACAAAGGCAAGACTGAAATTAGAGGTTACCATAAACCAATCATGTTGGCAGGTGGTCTTGGTAATGTCCGCCCTCAATTCACCCACAAAGGTCAGATTAGCGTCGGTGCACATGTCATTGTCCTCGGTGGTCCATCCATGCTCATTGGTTTGGGTGGCGGTGCTGCCTCTTCCATGACCTCTGGTTCTAGTTCTGCAGAGCTCGATTTCGCAAGTGTGCAGCGCGAGAATCCGGAGATGCAACGTCGCTGTCAGCAGGTTATTGACAGCTGCATTTCTTTAGACGACACCAACCCTATTCAGTCCATCCATGATGTTGGCGCTGGTGGTTTGTCCAATGCTTTACCTGAACTTGTTCACGATGCTGGTCTAGGCGCTCACTTCGAAATCCGCAACGTCTTGCTAGCTGATGAGAGCATGTCGCCAATGGAGATATGGTGCAACGAGTCGCAGGAGCGCTATGTAATGGCTGTCGACCAGACCAACATTGGTGTCTTCGAAGCTATTGCTAGACGTGAACGCTGTCCTTACGCTATCGTTGGACGTGCTACAGAGAGGGAGCAGCTGGTCCTGACTGACAAGTTACTTGGCAACACCCCAATCGATCTTCCTATGTCCATCCTCTTTGGCAAGACACCTAGAATGTCTCGTCAAGTTGTAACCGCCCATCCACATAGGGAGGAATTCGACACCAGTCTTGGTAAATACCTGCATCGGAATATGGAGATAAATGAGATCATGCAGCATTCAGTTGAACGTGTTTTGAAGTTACCGACAGTAGCCTCGAAATCCTTCTTGATCACCATCGGTGACAGGTCAGTTACCGGTCTTGTCTCGCGCGAGCAGATGGTAGGTCCATGGCAGGTTCCAGTTGCAGATGTAGCTGTCACGCGTACATCGTATGGATTTGACAATGCTGCGGGTGAGGCTATGGCATGTGGAGAAAGAACACCGCTCGCTCTTCTTAATGCTGCAGCTAGTGGAAGGATGGCTGTTGCTGAAGCGTTGACTAACGCAGCAGCTTCCAACATAGAGGATCTCACAACAGTCAAGCTCTCAGCCAACTGGATGAGCGCAGCTGGGTACGAAGGTGAGGGTGCACGTCTTTACGAGACTGTCCAGGCTGTCGGCATGGATCTTTGTCCTAAACTCGGCGTGGGTATTCCTGTCGGTAAGGACTCCATGTCCATGTCTATGAAGTGGAATGAGAACGGAGACGACAGACAGGTTACCGCTCCTCTCTCCGTTATCGTCACGGCTTTCGCTCCTGTTGCCGACGTCGGTTTGTCTTGGACACCACAATTGAGGAGGGATATCGGCGAAACTTCCCTTGTTTTTGTTGATCTCGCAAACAAGAAGCAGCGTATGGGTGGATCAGCGCTCGCGCAAGTGTTCAAGCAAATCGGTAAGGAGTGTCCGGATGTAGACGACGCGAACCTCATGAAAACATTCTTCGCTGCCTGTCAACTCGCTCGCCAAGTTGATCCTGAGTTAGTGCTGGCGTACCACGACAGAAGTGATGGTGGTCTTTTCACCACCATCGCTGAGATGGCTTTTGCTGGTCGATGCGGTGAGTGGGAAGCTTCGTGCATGCAAACCATACCAACTGACAACGCGCAGGTGTTGAGGTGATGACAGACTCGCTTGGATCTGATCCAATATCGTCGCTCTTCAACGAAGAGCTCGGTGTAGTTCTCCAAGTGCAGTCGAACAAGCTGCCTCTGCTTGCTCAAACATTCCACAAGGCCGGTTTCCCCCCAACCGCGATCCACGCAATCGGCAGAGTCACGCCTGATAATGAAAACATCACCGTCGTGCAGCACAGCAATATCATCTACGAAAGCACCAGAGCTCAGTTACAGGAATACTGGGCAGAGACATCGTACAAGATGCAAACGATCCGTGACGACCCGGCATGCGCAGATGAGGAATACGCAACAATCAGAAAATCTGCCGTCGAGAACCCAGGTCTGCGCTACAACCTTACTTTTGACCCAGCGCTGTCGAGATTGCCGACATCACTCACTGAGCGTCCGAGTGTAGCTATTTTGCGCGAGCAGGGAGTAAATGGACATATGGAGATGGCTTGGGCTTTTGACATGGCTGGATTTAAGGCGGTTGATGTGCACATGTCCGATATTCTCTCGGGAAGTGTCTCACTGCAAGATTTCACCGGTCTGGCTGCATGTGGTGGTTTCTCGTATGGTGATGTCCTTGGTGCTGGTTCTGGCTGGGCGAAGTCGATCCTCCTCAACCCGATAGCGAGAAAGGAGTTCAAGGAGTTCTTCCATAATGAGCGCAAATTCGCCTTGGGGGTGTGTAACGGCAATCAACTCTTCGGGTGCCTCAAGCCGATTGTACCCGGCGCAGAACACTGGCCAGAGTGGAAACCAAACCGTTCGAACCGCTTCGAGGCGCGTACGACTATGGTCGAGATCGAGAAGAACACGCAGAGCATCTTCCTCAAACCACTCGCGGGCTCGAAACTCCCTATAGCCGTCGCTCATGGTGAAGGTAGGGCTGAGTTCAGCGATAACGCTAAGGACGCACTCACCGCTGATGGGGGTGTCGCTATCAGGTATATCGACAGCGATGATAAGTGGGCTTCTACTTACCCCGCTAATCCTAACGGTTCGCCTGATGCTATCGGGGGTGTAGTCGCTGCTAATGGTCGCGTTCTCGGTCTGATGCCTCAGTGAGTAGACGCTTCTCGGCATAGCTCGCTTTTGCTAACATAATACTCAAGCCCCGAACGTAACACTATGGCTCAGTCTAACTCGTACATTGATCCTACTCAGTCGGCCGCTTGGAAAGGCACTGGACCATGGTTCTCAATGTTCGTCGCTGCGAGACAGTGGGTCGGATGAGCCATATGCGTTGACTAGCTGTTATTTGTTCTTGCAAGTATACTGTCTGTTTCTATATCTCTTTCTATTTCTAGGATATGTGAATACATCTATCTGTTTCTTTATCTCTTTCTATTACCAGGATATGCAAATACATCTGTGTTACATGATAAAGAATCTCCTATAATATGCAAAAATGCCAAATAAATCAAGTGGTGAAGATATCCATTTGCCCCAATTATGTTCATGTCGCGGTTGATGCTGTGGGTGCTGGTGCAGGGTGGTGTACTTTGTAATTTCCTTTTCCATTGCTATTTCCATTTCCACTTCCATTTCCTTTCCTTTTGTTCTTTTTGTGCTTGTGGTCATCAGGACCAGGCAGAGCGTGAGCAGTGTCCCTGACTAGATAGCTGGGTTAGTTGAGCACAGTTTGCATAGAGCAAAATGCTCACTATGGTTGAATAACTTTGTTCGTGAACCGAAGGGTTCGTGACAGACATTACAGTACTAGGGGAGAAGAACGTGCAAGTCAGATACACTAAACCCCTAACAGTATATCATAAACTCACTAGCGTAATCGGTACAGCATTCTCTAGTGCTCGTTTGGCAGCTTCGCGTGCTCTACGTTTTTCCTTTTTGGTGCGCTGAGGCTTTGCGTCGGGTATGTAAAGAGGTTTCTTCACTACAACCGGAGAGTCTCTACCATCCGAGTCGTCGTCTTGAGTGGGCTGTTGGGATTGTGTGGGTTGATTGGCTTGTGTTGCTTGCCCATTTTGGTTGTGATCCACTTGCAAGTCATTAACTTGAGAGACAATTTGCTCGTCAATCTCTTCGTTTATTTTTTTCTCTTCGTAGTCTACGCTTCCAAGGTCGGAGGTGTGTGTAGTGTCAGTCTCAGTGTGAGATTCACTTTCAAGATGATGGAGTTGATGCGCTTGGTGTGATTGATCTACTTGATCGTCCAATTCACGCTCAATATCATGCTCTTTCTCAGTCTGGTTAATCAAATTATCCACTTTTGTTTCCACATTGTTACTGAGTGTTGGGGTAGACTCTCCAGGTGTACCCATAGTACTACTGGCAGCGTCCTGCACATGATCGTGTTCTTGCAGACTGCTCTCATTGAGACTATGTCCACTGCCATTCTTTGCCAGTTGACGTTCTTCGCGTTCGAGATGTTTGCGCAAGCTATAATTATTGTTAGTTTTTTAAGTAATATCAAAACCCCAAAACTACCTACATTTTTACAGTCTGTAAGTGTTTTTTACTCTTTTCATGATTTTGGAATGATTTCTCCGAATTAAAGTTCTTGTCACATGCAAAGCAATGTAGTCTTTCCATCTCTTGTAACTCCTCAGCTTCCTCAAGAGCGATATTTTGTGGTGAGACCTGTTGCCAAGACTGTTCGACAAAATTCTGAGCAACCTGATTACGTTCCTTTTTGCGCCACTCATTAGCTTCGCTTCTTCTGGTTTGTGCGGCGTGAGGGGAGTTATATTGAGCTTGCTTCTTAGCGTAATTGCGATATCTCGGATCTCTCTTTCTGATGAAAAAGGTTAGTTGACGGATGGTATCGTTGTACTCCTTCCTCGCTTCTTCGCGTGCTGCTTTATTCTCTTTCTCCATTATACGTCTCACTCGTCTATCCTGAGCATCGCGCAGATGCCATAAATCACGCCAAGCGAAAGATTTGCGTGAGGAGAATGCACCAAAAAGGGCGTAGAAATCTCTAGGCGTGCTCTCGAAAGGTGTGTTTTCATTCCCGAAAGCTGGATAATCTGGACACGGTCCGCTATCTTCACCCAAGTCATAAGGTGCTGCTGTAGACTCTTCCTCAGAAAGACGAGCGTAGAGTGCACCAACGATGGTGTAGAAGCCCTGCGAATGATGTCAGCAGATGTGTGTAGCGGAAATGAGCTAAGTTGTAGGTGTACCTTGGATGAACTATCATAACCATGCCAAAGCTTTGGATTGAAGAAGCGGATGAGCTGTCTGGTGGTAATGCCAGGATCTTTTGTGAGACGAGACTTGGTATTGCGTCCATTGAGCATATCTTCAAACGCAGCTGCATCATCCTCTTCACCTGGGCAAGGATAAGCGGGTGTATAGGCGTTATAAACAAACGCACCGGCTTCATCTGTAGTGTGGATATTCTGATCATACCAAGCGCGTTCTTGATCGTCGCTGGGATAACGGTTTAGGTAGGTGGAAGGGGGAGTTGGTCGACATACGATAGAGTCTCATAAGCTTCTTGTAAGCGTGAGAATTTCTGGTTGGCCGATTCAACATTCAAAGGATTCTTGTCAGGGTGATCTGTCAATCAATACCAAATCAGTAAGTGACGATAACGAGGTTTATCGCAGACGAACGAATCAGGGCGAGTTTTCTGAAGGATTTCTTTGGGAGATTAGACAGCCAATCAAGTGGTTTTGATTACTCACTTTGATATCTTCAGCTGTTGCATCTTGTGATATACCAAGCAGCTGATAGAACTGAGTTGGTGTAAGGAATAGAATATCATCAATTGAATAAACCAACTAACATCCTTATTATCATCATCATCGTTATTGCTATTGTTCACCGTTGCACTCTGTCTATTTCCCATTTAATTCAACTTTGTTTAGTTACCGTGGTGATGGCTGCAGTTGAAGAAAATTATAAAACTACAATTGGTAGAGTTGGTCATCCCAAAGGCAGTGGTCAATTCACTGTACAAGTTCCTTGTTCCGTCGTTGCTCACGGTGGCACCGGCATCACTGATATTCTCGTCCAACTCGGCAAAAGTATGAGCAGTTCAAGGAAGACAAAGACTTGGGTTAAGAGGGGCTCTTACTGCTACTTGAGTCTCTTCAACGATCCTAAAACAAAGGTTATGGCTGAGATGACTCAGGTCATTTCTTCCGCTGAAGAGAAATCTCTAAGAAAGTCTGATATTTGGTGTGTATTTGGTGAATATGTCTTTACCCCTCTTATCGAATATACAGGCCAAAAGAGTTCGCTATAGGACATACTGATGTTACGAGCGACAACCAAAGCAAACAAGACAACCAAGATAGCCAAGATAACCAAGACAGCGACCTCTTCGTCAACCCAAATAGAAGAGTTGTCGTCGAGGAATCAGATAGCGATGAAGAAAGCGATTAATCAATGTATAAATAAAGTCATTTTCTTACTTTGTATTACTATCACCTTCAAATACCAAAGCTGTACCATCATCCGAGCCTGATATTATTCTACTGCCATCACTTGAAACTGCAATACTCAATACGGGTTCTGAATGACCCTCCAATTCTTTGCAAAGTGTACCTGTACGTGCATCGAATATGCGTACTTTATGATCAACTGAACCAACAGTAAAGAAAGGAGACTGTTTTTGGAATTCTAAAACTGTGACAGGTTCCTCTATAGTTATTGTATTACGAACACGCATAGTTGTTAAATCAATCACGTTGATAACACCATCTGTACCACCAGTGACAACAACTCCAGCAGGACCTTGACCAGCAGCACCTTCAGGTAAAAATGAGATAGCTTCAATAGATTCACCTTCCTTGTGGCATTCGAAACTACCTACAACTTGACCATTTGCTAGGTTAACAGCTCTCACACCACCTGCAGCACCACCTGCGACTGCAATTGTACCTGCAGGGTTCACTGACATGGCAGTTATACCACCATCGAGGTTAAAACGAGCATCATTTCCAGTAATCTTTGTTATTGGTGTTGCTTCTGTTGGTGACCACATGATGAGTGAGCCATCTGAAGAAGCAGAAACGATAGATTTCCCATCTGGGGTGAATCTACCACAGGTGACCATCTCGGTGTGCCCAGAGAATACGTTCATATTGTCACCTTTTGGTAATTTCCACATCCAAATGGTCGAATCTGCACAACCAGTGAGTAAAACGTTACCTCTTGGATGCCAATCAATCCACTATAGATAATTTAGTTGGGTAAATGACTAAATAGGTTAAAACTAACCGTGCATTCATCACCAAGTTGTAAATCAACCTTCAAAGACCAATCTGAGGAATCCCAGATCTTAACAAATCCATCCATACCACCTGTAGCTAACAACTGACCATCACTTGAGAATGCAGTTGAAGTTACTGAATCGGTGTGTCCTTCCAAGACGGCAATAGCGTGTTCTCCGTCGGTTATAGACCAAATATGAGCCTTATCGTCACCACCACCACTAGCAACGATATCAGGGTTGATTGGGTGTATGGATAGAGCGTAAACAGGTTCCTTGTGATTAAAGAATCCTTGAATGGAATCATCTTTTGCGTTAATCATGTCCAATTTCTGTTTCTTCTTTAGAAAAGCGTGGAGGGAACAACGATGATAAACTCACAGCCTGTTGATCTTCCATGTCACCTTGAACATCCCCATCTCCATCAACATCCCCTTCAACATCCCCTTCATCATCGTCCATTGGTTCACCCGTATCCTCAACATCTTCTTCAAGCATTTCATCTTTATTCAGGTAGATATCTTGAGATTCTTGAATATCTGGTGTATCCCCACTCATACTGTAATAATATTCCAATGATGATCGTTCTGGTTCAACCCAGCACTATTCTCCTTGGTCTCGTTCCACCAAGATGCCACCACCAAAATCATCGCAGCTCGGAAACAAAGAAATTTCTTTGTTCAGGCAGTTACTTGTGGGTATATGGCGATTAAAGGAGTATTGGGATATTTTTAACAGCTCAATCAAAGCAACTCCACGATGAAAGGCAATACAAGAAAGGCGTTAAAACCGCTGATTCCATCCTGAAGAAGAATCCTGAACACGGCGGTTAGTTTCTCTCTGTCTTTTTTATCTCCTTCCTCACCGATACACGACAGAAACGCTTGCAATGAAAGGGTTGATTCTTTACAATATGGGCGAGAAAGATAATGGTTTGGAATACGTGAGAAGAGGCGTTAGATTAAGCCTCACCTCACACATCGTTTGGCATGTTTTTGGTATCATTCAGCGCCAGGAACACAAATACGAAGATGCGCTTAAATCTTACACTCAAGCTTTGCGTCATGATTCTGAGAATGTTGCTTTGATTAGGGATGTTTGCACCCTATCCACTCACCTTCGTCAATTCCAACCTTTGGTGGAACAACGCCTCTTCTTGCTTAAAACTCGTCCTTCTATGCGTACTCAATGGGTTAGCGCTGCTGTGGCTTTAGATTTGGCTGGTCATCACGATAAAGCGCTTAGAATCCTCTCTGACTTTGAATCTACTCTCACTGACCTTGAAAATGCTGATAGCTCTCTCAAATATGAAATGAGCGAGGTTTTCCTCTATCACATCTCTATTCTTGAGAAATCTGGCTTGTTTCAACAGGCTATTGATCTACTTGTCGAGCGTCAACCTAATATATGTGATATCGTCGCTTGGAGAGAGTCTCACGCACGCTTCTTGACTCTCCTCAACAAACCCGATGAAGCTGCAGATGCTTGGAGACTGCTCATTCAGAGCAACCCCGAAAACAGAGCTTACTATATCGGTTTCTTCAAAACAAAAGGTATCGATTTCACTCAAAACCTCAGCGAGCAAGACAAATCTTCAGCACTCAAAACACTCACCCTCTTCCTCGAACAATTCCCAAAGGCTGGTGTTATCCAGAGACTCAGATTAGACCTCGCAACCCACAATGCTTTCAGGGATATTGCTCACGAATACCTCACCACAAGAATCACAAAGGGTGTTCCTTCTCTTTTTGTAGACATCAAAGCGCTCTATGGCGACATTGAAAAGCAGCAAATCCTCGGTGATTTGGCTGAGGGATACCGCACCGAGCTTGAGAAGTCGTGCAAGTTCACCTCTACAGATGGTGAGTTATAGCGTTTGTTCTAGCGCACAATCTAATACCAACAGACAAAATCCAGCCAACGACTTCATACATCTGGACTCTCTACTACCTCTCCCAACACTACTCGCAAATTCGCCAATATGAAAAATCACTGCAAGTAGTCAAAGTGGCTATAGAGCATACACCAACACTGCCGGAACTTTACCTCGCACAGGGCCGTACGCTGAAAAGATTGGGATGTCAATCCGAAGCCACTGAAGCAGTAGAGATAGCCAGGGAGCTCGATGGACAAGACAGATTCCTCAACTGCAAATCGGCCAAGTACATGATACGCAATGGGGAGATAGAGCAAGCGGAGCAAATCCTCAGTCTCTTTACTCGTAAAGCAGCTCCGACATCTGCGGCGGATTTGTGCGACATGGAAGCTATATGGTTCATGCGCGAAGAAGCCAAGGCGTACAGCAAAAAGGGCGAGTATGGTATGGCTCTTAAGCGCCTCCATCAGCTTTTCGACACTTTCAATACCTGGGAAGAAGACCAGTACGATTTCCACATATACTGCTTGAGGAAATACACTATCAGATCTTATCTCACTGCTCTCGAGCTGGAGGATGAGTTGAGGGAGGATAGAAATTACGTCGATTCTGCAATCGAGGCTGCTTCAATGTATATGAAGTTACACGATGACCCACGTATAGTTGAGCAAATCACCAACCCGCAGGGTGTGTACGGGTAGCCTATGCGTGCTAGTACTGACTCAGCACAGCAGATGACCAGCAAGATAAAAAGGCGCAGAAGAAGGCCAAGAAAGATAAGGAAAAGGCAGCAGCGCAGCAAAAAGCCAAGGGGAAGGACGGTAAAGATGCAGATGGTCTGCCAGCACCCGCCGAAGACAAGGATCCACACGGCCATGGGATCATCAAGACGGAAGAGCCACTGGAAGCTGCGGCTAGAATTCTCGCTCCACTTTCCGCCACGAAACGCAAACGTATCGATCTCCATCACGTCCAATTCGAAGTGGCTCTGAGGAGAGCGAAGTACGCTCAGGCGATGCGCGCGCTCAACAGTACCAGAGCGCTCGACCCTCACTGTGGAATGCTTCATGTGCAGTCGTTGAAATTGAAGCTAGCTAGTGAGCGGATACACACACATATATAAATACGCTGACACATTCGCTAGTGGATGCAGAGAAGCAGAAGGAGGAAGAGGGTGATGAGATCATGCAAGCCCTGCACGAGGCTATGCACACCCTCATCCCAGCTGACGCCAACCTTGAAAGCTGGAATGCTGACTACTTGCAGCATCACTCCCTCCACCCTACCAGGGTACTGGGCGCTGCTGAGGCTATAATCCTCATTCGTGGTCAAGGTAGTGCAAGAGATGCAGTCAACATTGTCATGAACGTCGGGAAAGGGAGTGTCGATGCTCAATCTCAATCTCACCCTCTCGACGTCCCCTCGGCTACTCGTATGATGCTGTTCGTCGCTCATCACCAACCCGACCGCGTCGAAGAATTGCGCTGCCTCCTCAATACTCGCTTTCCACATCAAGACTCCTTCAAGAGTGAACAACAGCTAGCGGAGCAGAAAAAAGCTATAGAGGCATCCCGCTTGGAGAGATCCATGGCTGAAGTGGACCTGAGTGCTAAGTAACCGGTTTGTAACAGGTTCTTTTACAGGTGTGGTGCATTGCATTTTCATTTTAATTATTTTTTATGTTTGACTGTGTTGTGAGGGCAGTGTGCGAGTATTTTGCATATCGAATGTCATATGTTGCTGTGTTTGTCCTTCATTCTCAATCTCAATCTCAACCCAACCCAACCCTCGCAGCACTTTCTGTCTAATCGTCACCTTGTCTTGCCTTCCTCCCTAATTCGCCCAGCAGGTAGTATTCGCAGTTGCGTCTAAGGACAGCTAAAGGAGTGTTTATAGGTTTTGACACATCTTCTAATCCTCATTGTTACGACTTTTCCTTAAACTAGCTGATAGTTCAATTTGGATGATGGCGTCAAGATGCATTTATGGGATGACAGGGCGCTTTAAATACATTTTTTTTTGTACTATCAAGGGCTTATAACAGTACTAAGCATTCGATTTTATCAAATCTGCTCAAGATATCCTGCAAATGACCAAGAAAGGGTGACTTGAGAGTCCTACTGAATATGTTGCGCTACTCTCGATCTTATTCATCTCCCAATCAAATTGATTCTGCTCAACTCAAACCGCAATTGGTTGAGCATTCACGGAATTTGTATAATACCAACATCCAAATCTTCAAAGATGCTAAATCACTCCGATACACCTTTAAAGCCACCATAGAAAGAGTATCGAGCTACTTGATTTTCACAGATTTCATCAGTCAAAGCTATATAATAACTTTATGTACGCCGTTATCTGCCTGACTAGGAACGAGGGTAACCAGGTTCATGAAACATAACAAACAGAAAGCGCGAGCCACATATTCCTCTTTTACTTGTAGAAGGTAGCAAAAAAAAGAAGTCTTACGAGTCAGGCGCTCTAACCCCTGAGCTAAAAGCGCTTTATGCGCCTTCGCGGATTTGAACCGCGGACCTCCTGATATCGGCTGCTGAACGTTACCGTTGCGACAGGACTTCTTGACGGAGTATTACACGTAGATTAAATAATATGCACCGATGTGTTTTAGTAACGTCATTCCCGCATCAAGCTTCATTGGTTAATGGGCACAAACGAGTAAAGTGTGAAACATGATAGAATGCAAATGTCAGCGTGCTTCTGATAATGATGGCTTAGTTGAAATAGCGAGCTGTCGATATTTCGTAAGTGGGCTGATCCTAGCAAAAGTCGAAATCAGGCGACGATCGCACCTGTACTTAAACCGCGAAGAGAGAATAAATCAGAATGGAATATGACTTTCAGAGCGCATTTCAACCAGTCACGCCGCCGTATACGGATTCAAGCAGTGCTGAATTCGATGAAGCGATCTCATCTCTACTCGATCAATCGCCGAATGGCACGAGTGAATTGGGCGAGACGGCTGAGCTACAGGGCTGGCTAGAAACACAGCCTATCTTCAACGCATACGACGATCCTCTTCAATCCCTTCAGTCCCTCCAAGCTAACCTCATCGGCAACAGTGTCGGCGTAGATCCTCGCCGGGAATTGATGCTCTCTGGTGAACAGGATTTGCAGGGTGTGCAATTTGCCTACCCTGAGCAACCTTATCCAGAAAATCATCTTGCAGAAGATATTAAACCGAAAGCCAAGCGTAAGGCCAAGGATAAGGCTAGCGAGAATGGCACAGTCACAAAAAAGCAGAAATCAGAAGCGCAGAAGCGTGAGTGATATATGATACAAGTCCTGGACTCTGCTAACGATGATGTCAACCAAGAACGGTTCCCAAAACCACCGCAACCTGTACCGCCACCACCGCGACAAGGTGGTCCGAAGAATCCATCACACAACGCCGTAGAAAGACGCTACAGAAATAACATAAACACGCGCATGCTCGCGCTGCGATGCGCTGTACCAGCTCTGGTCGCCCAGCCCCCTCAGACGAGCTCGCGGCGTAAAGCACCCCCGCTCTACGTTGAAGGAGTAGCTGTACCTGGCAAGATCAACAAACAGACTGTGCTCATTGGCGCCACGGAATACATACGCCGCCTTAGAGGGAGAGAACAGAGGTTGATGCGCGAGGTTGAACTGCTCAGATCCCAACTGCCAATGGCAGAGCAGACAGCATGGGCATATAACTGGGGAGCTGTGGATGATAGAGATCTTTACGATGAGGTGGATGACTTTGATCCGCCTGATAATGCTTTCGTGGATCTGGTCGATGAGCCAGACACCAAGACTAGCACGGAAGACCTGCAGTCGCAAGAATCGCAGGAGTCACAGGATTCACAGTCTAGCGAGGGCGGAAACGCTCCTCGCTACCTTCTCGGCATGTTCTTGTCCTTTAGTTTGCTGCAGAAACCATACACAAAGCAACAACAGTGGCAGCATCAGAATATGTTTCGTAGAAGCTTTGAAGAGGGACATGTTGTTTCGAGCAGTCTTCCATCTAGCGCAGTTGCAGGGGGAGCGGCAGATGAGATAGATTGGAAGGATCATCTAATTCCTGATCTTCTGCATCCACATTTTCATGACATTATCCAGACAGTCCTCATCTGCTTGACGCTCTTTGTGTTGCTGTACCCTCTCTTACCTAGCTTAAAAAGAAATCCTGTCACTCAAGCAGCTCAGATTGGCTGGATGACCATTCAGCGACTATTGAAGAGCAGTCTTGGTGTGAGCTGTGGAAAGTTCACAGAGGAAACAATTCAACGCGCTCAGAAGCAGATTTACAAGCCGAAGGGTGCGTATTGCTTTAAATACCAATCACTTCTAACCCCCGAAGACAGAACACTCAAAGATGGACAGACTACACACACATATGCTGCTTTCGACTTCGCCCGGGATGAGGGAATCTCCAGTCGCCCTTGCTACAGCAGCCCTGCACACTAAGTCGAGCAAGCTGTGGAAAGAAGCGCAGGATATGTATTTGGAGAGTGAACCGAGATATGTCCAGTTAGCATTGGAAAGGGATATCGAAGATGCCCACCAGCTATGCACGATGGGTGCGAGTAATAAGAAAGCCGACTTGAACGTTTTGCAGAAGATCTCCAGCAGCGTCTCTGTATTAGCACTAGAAGAGCTTTGGAGTTTAATATTCACCCAAATGGTACAAGAGAAGGCATCAGTAGGGGATGTACAACTCATCAACAAAGCTGTTGGACAGTTGGTGAGCTCTACAAGAAATCTACCAACGGTTGACACTATGTCTATGTTATCTGCTGCCATGTGGGCTTTATTACAGGGCAAGAAGGAGAGTGCGTTGCGTTTGGCAGCGCAATTAAGTGGTAGAACGGCGTCTTTGAAGTGCCTGAAGGTGTTCAGAATGCTCACCAAGACTTCTGAGAATCTGGACGATGTTGATGGGAAGGATGATATGTTTGATAGTCAAATTGATGAGGAGATTGAAAGATGCGACGATTTGGCTACTATAGCCATGCTTTACTTGTCACTCAAAATGTCTTTGCCAGGCAATAAAGGGAAAGGGCAGGGTAAGGCGCTGTATAGGCTCACACTGCGATTGCGCTCTTTGCTTGGCTCACTCGATGAAAGGAAAGGGAAGCTGATTGATGACGAAACTTATGATGCTGCTGTTGATTCTTTGCAAGTAATTGGCTACCAAGTTATAGGAATGAGAATGTCGGCAATTGGTGAGACATGTCATGGAATCGGCATTCGTAATTGGGGACATGTCACTCGCATGGATAGCCAGGATAGCTAGGATATCCAGGACAGACATTAATAAAAAGCTAAATCGTTTAAATGTTTGTATAAAATGAGGATGTGAATGGCTTTATAAAGCTGTCGAGAATTACGAACCATGCATGTAAAGTAATAAACCAAAAATGTAAGTGTATTTGAAAATGTATTCGCGAACAGATAAAGTAATTCAATTTTTATGGATGGATATTTTGGATACGAGTAAAATCCACTTGTGAATAGAAACAATCGAAACAATCAATATGTCAGACGTGAGTGGGAGTTGTAGTGTTAATATATGTGCTTAAAATCATTAGGCACCAACAATTACCATCGGCAGCAAAGCTCATAGACCAACGACCGCCAAAACTCAAGGAGAAATCAATGGTGAGTTTGATTCGGGCTAGCCACAGTAATCTAATCAGCGACCAGCAAACCTGAGATCAGGTGGTAGTGCAGGTGATCGTAAGATGGGCCAAGCCAACAAAGGTCATCAAGGTTAGCACAGTGGCAAAGACGTATCCACACCAACTAAAAGCTGAAAATAGGCACTGATCATCAGAAAATTGTAAAGTTGGACAGAGAGAATGAAGTAGCACCACCACCAAAGATATCTCTTGGTGTTGGTAAAGTGGGTTGTGTCATCAAATCTGTCAAAACCCACTTACGCATGATATAGGCCATTATGCAAGGTAGACAGGCGACAGGCCTCACGCAAAAGGATCTTGCAACGCGTATTTCCGAGAAGCCTTCTGTTGTACAGGATTACGAAGTAAGCTGATCTTTATCAATTGCTCCCTCGCTAAAACGTTTTCCAGCAATCGAAGGCAACGCCTAACCCACAAATATTGGGTAAGCTGGAGAGAATCCTCAAGATAAAGCTCCGTGGAAAGGATATTGGCGCGCCTTTGGGAGGGTAAGTGTGGAGAATACCGCGTGGAGCAAAAGGCTGACGGGCAGCGCACAGACCAAAGAAGAGCGAAAAGTAAACAGATAACGAATTGTGTAAAGGAGATGAAAATTAAATTAAATATAATCTAGATCTGACACATTGGATCTGACACAGTAATTATAGATTACAGAACTAGGAACCAACAAGGGCCAGAGCGCAGTTGAAATGAAATAAAAAGAGTGAATTGAGCTGTAGTGAAGCTATTGAGCTATTTAACGACAGAATTAGAATTCATTTCGATTGTCGGATATTCTTCACTTATCCACCAGTATACTTCTATATTACCAACTATCAACCAAGGATTGCTTCTTCTAGGCTAAGGGAAACCTCCAATGGCTTTAGCTAGTTTACCAGACTTAACGGCGTATCCAAGGTCAACTACTGGCTCAATTCCGCCGCCTTTAGTTGTAAGTGGGGTGTTGTGTCACCATCATACGTGCTAATACGCCATCCAGGGACCTTCAATGACTATTGTTAACGACCAGCTATACTTGATTGGTGGTAGAAAGGTCACTGAGCGTGTTATGACGAACAACGTCTATAAACTCGATCTACACACTTTACGCTGGAATCTCATCCAATTCGATGATAGCTCTCAAATTCCTTCTGAAAGATACTTCCACTCTGTAGACCTTTGGAACGATAACTTGGTTCTCTTTGGTGGTCCGTTCCTTTTTTTTTTTACTCCGATAATCTAAGACTTAATTTATCCTTTAGGTATGGCATACAAGGATAATGACGAATTGGCTGTCCTTGATGACGTTTTCTTCCTTAACCTCAAATCTCTTTCTTGGATTAAAATTGACACCTCTCTCTCCCCTTCTTACACTAAATCAAATGGCCCTATGCCGAGATACGCACACCTCAGCTCCATCTCAGGCGATTGCTTGATTATAGCTGGTGGTCAAGGTAAAGACAACCAGTACATTCAAGAAATTGCCATTTTAGACTTACGCTCCACTCAATGGCTTCACACTAGAGCTTACGATCACCAATGCGGCTCTTATCGCTCTGTGGCTGTCTCTTCTCCGCAACGCGTCGTCTCCCCTGATCCTTCTACTATTAGGGTTGGCGGTGAAATTCTCCATCTCCTCCCTTACACTGATAATTGCTCTGAATTCGATCCTTCAGATGTTTACATATACTCCAACTACAACTTTCAAGATTTAAAGAGACAGTTAGAAGTTCTTGAAGCTCCATCAAATACTGAATTCTCGGTAGCTGATCATTCTGGCCTTATGAGAGGTGCCTCCCTCCCTCCTGGTTTGAGATTTCCAACTGGTAGTATATTAGGCAATCATTTGGTTATTTCTGGTACTTACCTCGCAAATACCTCACAAACCTTCTCCATCTGGGCTCTCGATTTGTCCTCTTTTGTTTGGCAGCGTATCGACCCAGGTGCTCATTTATCCAGTGGTTCTTGGAACAAAGGTACTCTATGGCGCGATACCAATAGATATGTCGTCATGGGTAATCGTGATAGAAGTCTTGTGAATGATTATAACCACCGTCAGCAAAATTTCGATCACGTTTCCTTCGTTGAGTTGGAAGCCTTCGGTATATATCAACCTCCACCAGTTACTTTAAGTTTGGACGCCCAACTACTCGGATTACAGTCACTAGTGGATGAAAGCTTAGCTGACTTTGATTTAATTCCTGAAGGTACCAATGAGGCTGACAGGGAAAAGTATAGATTCCCATGCAGCTCAAGAATACTTGAAGCTCGTTGGCCATGGTTTAGAGCGAGAAAGTTGGCATACAATCAGCAACTTCATGCACAGAATCCATCCTCAGTTGCAGAGCAAAGATTATTGTCAAAAACTTTGACTATTCCTGAATCACCTACTGTCGTTAAAGCTCTACTAGAATGGTTTTACACATCTGCTTTGGTTACACCACTTCAACTAGCACAGCCCGTCTTAGCTTCTTTGTTGGGATTCTCTAGAACATACGGCTTAGAGCCACTTGAAAGGAATGTGAAGCATGCGATGCATGTGGAATTAGAACCAGCAACAGCTGTGCAAATACATGAAGCTGCCACACTATGTGGAGCTAGAATGTTGCAAATACGTGCACTTAAAATGGTCATGTCGAGCAATAAGAGAACTGCACAACAGCCTTTCAATACGACAGGTGGACCAGGTAGCGGAGATGACAGTGAGACTCGCTTTGCTCAATTTGGAACAAATACCGGACCTGGATTGGGTAGTGCATCTCAACTTCACACTTCAAATTCAACGTCTCAATTTACTAGCAATGCTAATCAGTACGGTCGTCAAAGAAGCTATGATGTTGAAGATGGTCAGGAGGACCCATCAATTCATCTTGCCAATATGCTATCCAAGTTTGCTACAGTGGATGAAGCTAATTACACTGCTGAAGGTGTGGCTAAACAGCCGCACGCAGTGGAAAGACCAACGTCACCAAACGCAGATCCAAAGCGAGTTTCGAGAATAATCAATCTACCAAGCGTGATGAATTTGCACGATGTAGCCAACGGTGGAATGGAACACAATGTAGTGGAGAATCCACCAGAAGTGCCAGCACGGCCATCCCTATCACCACCGACAGTGACCACTAACCAGACAATAAGAAACAGGAGACAAGGTGCGATGTTGACGCCGAATGATTACTCATTGCGTAACAACCAAAAACCGATCCCACAGTCAGCAATTCCTTCACCTCAAGCATCAATTCCGTCGCCACATTCAATGTCACCTCCACTCACATCGCCTATGGTATCGAGAGTTGGATCTGTGGGATCTGTGGGATCCGTTAACAAAGCAAGGACATCACCATTATTTAGATCGCCTAATCTGTCAGTAATGCAGGATGATAGTGTGTACTCACCATCAGCATCGCCACGACCATTTGCGAATAATTACAACTACTCCCCACACGCTACTGAGTCAGCCATATCAACGGATAATAGTAGAGCACCATCACGACAAGGTGGTAGTGTGGGACTGGGATTGGGTATACATGATATATCGCACTCGCAGGGAATGCCGGGAATTCAAAACACACAGGTCACACAGGCCACGCAAGGAATGCATAATACACAAGTCACACAAAGCCCACCAGGATCACAAGGCTCACCAGGACTGTCAGTATCTACATACCCTCAAACGGATAGTCCATCTACACCGCAAGATTTCGAGCTGCTGTCTGCGTCATCTTGGCATCAAAACGATGAGAAGGTGTCAGAGCAAGCGACCTCCTCTACGACTTCTTTCGATAGAACTAGGTCATATTCGCAATTCAGTAGTACGTCGCCGTCGATAGCTGCGACGTCGGTGACTACCTCAGCTGCGTCTTCTAATGGCAGTGCTAACGTTAACAACTCCAAGCGTGGGAAGTTGTTCAGTAAATTCAAGTCGTCGGGTAAAGAGGCGAAGGATAGCAAAGGAATTAGAGAAGGTAGGGAGAGTAGCGAGACAAGGACTAAATCTAAGACGTCGAGAGAAGAGCTCTATAAAACTAACTCCAAAGACACACCCTCTTTACACTCCTCGCAATCTTCTAGCCAGAATTCTGCCAACTCAAGCTATTACAGTCAGGAGGGTAAGGATGCGCGTAAGGTTAGAAAGGAAAAGGAAAAGACGATGCAGAGACAGAGAGTCGAGGCTCAGAGATTAAAGGCGATGAAGAGGGACGGCAAGGTGAGTTTGTGTCTGGAGGTAGAATTTAACTCATCCCTCTTCAGTTACGTCCTGTATTGGGAGAACCAGCGCCAGCTAAAAAGAAAGCTTCAGAATTTGACGCTTGGGGATCATTCTGTTATTAGAAAGTCTATATAAATCACATAGGAAACATAAGACCATCTACATTATACCAAAAAGAAGACAAATATATTTGATATTCGATATAATAGAATTCACATTAATAATGAAGACTTCAAGTTTAAAACTGTTCAAATAATTATTCTTATACACGCTATTCTTCGAATATATAATAATCTATTACAAGGATTAAATAAGAATTAGAATATGTTATGTCAAGTGCACAGCTCTGCTACTTGGCCGTAGGTATATTAATCCATTGATCGAGCGACTCTTGACAAATAGCTTTTACGTTACGCAAATGACCGAGTAACTGTGGTAGAGCATCAGGTGTTAACTGCAATTTACAGTCGTCGCTTTGATCAGATTGATCATTCTCAATGTGGTTATGTGTCGGTGTTGATATCATCTTCGCATTCTCTTTCTCTCTTTCTATTTCTTTTTCTCTATACGAGCTAATTCTCGCTTTTGGTGTAGACAAGTTTTCTGAATATGAGCGTGATTCGTGAGTGAGTCGTTTGGGTTTTGTCGGCGTCTGTAATGGAGTGACTTGCTCTTTCGGCAAGTTCTTTTTGTCTCTTGTGTTTGCTGCGTCTGCCTCTCCTGTCTCTCCTTCTCGCTGTGGTATAGTGTTCTCTCTCAGAGTGACAGAAGGTCTCGTCGAATCAAACGACGGCTTGCGTTGTAAAGAGACAGAAGAAGCTTTGCGTGTGAATAGTTGAGCGATAGACGGTCTTTTTCTATGCATCTTCTGTGGTATCTGAATTGGTGTGTCCGTTTCTTCAGGCGGTGTGGATGGAAATGCCAAATTTTCTTGGGATACTCTGATATTCTGCTCCCGCTGCTCCCGTCTCGTATCTTTCGTCGATTTCTGTGCTGTTGTCGGTGTCGGTGTAGGCGACGGCGTCGGCGTCTCCATTGAATCCGAACCTGAACCGACAAACTGTTTGAAGAAATCTTTGAAGCTGTTCAGTCCGGCTCGGGAGGCTCTACGAAGTTTGGAAGGATGTGTTTTGCGTGTGAGGGGAGTGGATGGAGGGGAGTCTGAGTTTGTTTTGGTTTTGGTGTTTGTGTCTAAGTTTTTGGATGGAGAAGACTGAAGCATAGTTTTGAGTATATCGAGTTGTCTATCATTGAGGCTGTCACCTGCTTTATGTGAGTGTGTCCGGTTGTTGTGATGATCAGAGAAAGAGTTGAGATGAGCAGGTGAAGTGGATAGTGAACGTGGAAGGTCTGAGTTGTTGTTATCGTTATTATCGATAGGCACAACGCCAGAACCAGAAGCGAGTTGAATGAGAACATTAGCAGAATCCCAGGAATTTGAGTAAATTGAATCAAGAGAAGTGCATTCATCTTTTAATTGAGCGGGTATTTCAATTGATGGCCAAGGTATTTTATTCTTAATAGATTCCAGTGTGTTGCTCAATTGTCTCAATTCATCCACACCTTTAGCGAATTCACGTACAGAGCCCAATTGAACTCTCAAGCCTTGTTGAGCTGCTTTGACGCGTTGTGGAATGCGTAGGTCACTTAGACTATTTCTTCTTAAACGTGTGTGTTTGTGTGTATAAGTGGGAGGTGGAGTGAGTGAGCTATGCTTCGTAGGTGGTTGATTGTTTTCAATTAAAGATTTCAATGAATTCGATTTAGTTGAATTGCTATCGAATAGAGTTGATTGAGTGTAATCAGACTTCTGTATATCCTCATCCCATTCGGAGTTTTTAGTATTCTCATTTATTCTAATCGATTTCTTATCAAATTCAAAGTCATCATCCCATTCTTCCTTGGTTTCATCTACCGAGTTTTGATCAGCAAAGACCCCAACAGAAATACCATTTAAACTCACTCTTTAATCCTAAATTTTCATTTAATTCTATATATTTCAACTGCAGTGTCATTCTCCTGATTTTTTTGATTTTTTATTTTACATGAAGGTCTCAATTCAAAGGAGTCTAAATCTATGAAGTTTTTGCTTTTTTATTCGATGAATTATCCTTTTTATTGTTAGTCTTAATCTTCTTGAAATACTCTATAAACTCACATCACTCTCACTCTCACTCTCTTCTTCCTCCTCACTTGGCTCATCAAAGTCCAAATTTTCAAGATCTTCTTCTGGGTCACCCATTTCTCCAAATTCATCATCCACTTCCTCCTCATCTACTTCATCCTCCTCTTCTACTTGCTCCCCTTTAGCTTTTCTATCCTCCTTATCTTTACGCTTCCTCTCCACGTTCGCCTCCTGTTCCTTTCTTCGTCTTGCAACTTCAGCCTTTCTTTCTGTATGTTTTTTAGCCAAATCTTTAACTTCTCTCTTTGATTTGTTGATGTATTCATGGAATAATACTTCACCTTCATTGTTGCCGCCCAATCCATGTTTCTTTGGTTGAGATCCTGCTAATCCTGTCGTTATTTTAACCAAACTCAATTCCATTCTTGGTCCAATCTCCTTCAACTTGATAGCACGCTTTTCATCCTTTTTGTTCCCTCTACCAACGAAGTCCTCTGCCAATTGAACTACTCTAACTGGTTGACCTGTTTCATCTACTTCTGACTCTACTTCTGAGTCACTAGTAGCTGCTGATTCATATCCAGAGTTATCCTGATTGAGAATGTATTGTGATATATCTTGAACGTTTGAGAGATTTGGTAGTTTATTTGCAGTGCTAGCACCTGGAACGACTCTCCTAACGCGCTTAGAAACACCATAAGGTTTTACAGTGATCTCATAATGACGCATATCAATTGTACGGGTAGACGCATTATAAGATAGCAATAACAACCTTCTAGCTTGCGATAATGGCAAGTTTGAAACGTCTAAAGGCGGGAAAAGAGATTGAAACAGCTGAGTCATGAGCTTATGTGGCTTGCTATCACTCTCAAAGCCATTCAACACCAATAAAGGAGGAACATTATGAGTATTGGATAGATTTCCGATACGTTTTGATGAATTTTTTAAGTCACTCATCAAAGAATATCTTTCGACTCTAAAGTGCAAAGTAGGACCTTTAGGAGTGCGTGCTAAGCGCATATTGACATGATTGGCGGATCTAGTGAAAATAACGATATGAGTCAAACCAAGGGTACTCGTCAAGGCTAAGAAGTCAGGAAGTTTATTCTTCTTCCTCTCTTTCAATCTACTAGCGGTATTTGGTTCAAGTACACCACGTATTTCCTTTACCAATTGATTTATAGATTTGCCTACATCGCCAGATTTGATAACGAATGATTTTGGAATTTTAAAAGAGCTATTCTCTTCACTACCAGGTGCGTGTGATAGTAATCCACCTTTCTTATGTGTTCTGTTCTTCTTCTCGCGTGATCTGCGTGCCATGGCGGTCGTGGGTGTTGTGGTGGGAGATGAGTGTGCAAATAATTACTAGTAAATTATAAAATATTCCCTATTAATTTACTAGTTATTGCGTTATTCCAAATTTTATTTGTTATCTTCTTCAACTCACACAACCAACAAGATGCTTACAAGAACTCTTAGAAGCGTGAGCGTGGTGGCTAATAAGAACAAGGTGGGATACTTGAATATTTCTAGTGTTCCTTTATTAATTTATATCTCAGCCAATCACCCACTCACTTCGCCACGTCTCCTCTTCCGCTATGGGCGCTGAAAAACCATCAGACTTACCTTCAAAAGGTAGTGAGCCTTTCAAAGTTCAACTTCATGAAGACGCTTTCAATGGCTACCTCCTCGATCAGCTCCCTTCTCTCGAAGTTGAAACTACAAAGGATCAGCTCATTGAGTTATACCGCCAAATGACCACTATGAGACGTATGGAACAAGCCGCTGATCAACTTTACAAGGCCAAGTTGATTCGTGGTTTCTGTCACTTGGCTATCGGTCAGGAAGCTGTTGCCGTCGGTATGGAAGCTGCTATGACAGACAAGGATCGTTTGATTACTGCTTATAGATGCCACCCTTACGCTGTTCTTCGCGGTGGCTCGATTAAAGGCGTCATCGCTGAGTTACTCGGTAGACAAGATGGTATGTCAAACGGTAAAGGTGGCTCCATGCACATCTTCACTCCTACCTTCTTCGGTGGTAACGGTATCGTCGGTGCTCAAGTCCCTGTCGGCGCTGGTATCGCTTTTGCTCAACAATACCTCAACAACCCTTCCGTAACCTTCTCCATGTACGGTGATGGTGCTGCAAACCAAGGTCAAGTCTTTGAAGCTTTCAACATTGCGAAACTCTGGAATCTCCCTTGTGTATTTGTTTGTGAGAACAACAAATACGGTATGGGTACAAGCGCAGCTAGATCTTCAATGAACGTTGAATACTATAAGCGTGGTGACGTTATACCTGGTTTACAAGTAAACGCTATGGACATTCTCAGCGTTTACCAAGCTTCTCAATTCGCTAAACAGTGGGCAATCGATCACAAGGGTCCTCTTGTTATGGAAATGGTTACTTACAGATACGGTGGACACTCCATGTCTGACCCTGGTACCACTTACAGATCAAGAGAGGAGGTTCAACAAATGAGATCCACCAGAGATCCTATCAACGGTCTCAAAGCTAGACTTCTTGAGTGGGATGTCATGTCTGAGGAGGAATTGAAGAAGATTGACAAAAACGCTAAGCAAGAAGTTGACCAAGCTGTCAATGAGGCTAAGGAATCACCTGAGCCTTCAATGGATGACTTCTGGTCTGATGTCTACTACAAGGGCACTGAGCCTGCTTATCTCCGTGGTCGTGAGCCTGAGGAGGGCAAATACTACAACACTGCACCAAATCTCGTTGGTGCTTAGAGTATAAAAAGTTCTTAAACCACTTTCTCGACTTATTTCTAGATAAAGATGAAATTATATAATTTTACAATGATTAAGAAGTGTTTTGTGTGATGTGTATTATTGTGTGCAATAGTATCGGCAATACCACTGTGCAATGATTTCTGCAATAATATGTGCGTTTGTTTATATAGGGGTTTTCACGCCGAGTGCGTGCACCTGACACACACCCCTATGCATAGAACAATAAGCGGGTCATATTCAATAAATATGATTAAGATGAACCATCACATGCGCAGTAAGAATAGTCATCATTCCAACACCACGGCAATCTAGAACGAGGTATGTGACACATTTCTCAGATTCACTCCACAATGCACAGCACAAATGAAGCCAGAAGTAGCTATGATTAAGCGTAGTGGCTGTCTCGGCGAGCGAAAAAACTTTGCAATATGAACATTTGACCAAATTAGGTAGATTTACTAATGATCACCTTCCAAACGCGTCAAAATTTTCCATTCCTGACCACTATTAGAGGGACATGAATTAAACATGAGAATAGGTTCCATGAATTAAATCAGCCGATTCATTTCAATTATTTAAGGTAAACTTCTTCCTTATCTACAACAAACACAGTGATACAGAGACGCACAAAGACACGAAGACACAAACATACAAGAATGAAATATATATCAACAAGTACAATTTTAGCAGCTCTTATGGCTTTAGGTACTTCACTACCACATCAGAAACGATCAGTGGGAGATTTAGTCCGCGGAGTGAATCTCGGAGGTTTGTGAAAATATTCCGCGCCCGCACCAACTCACACTCCATACTCTATAGGTTTGTTTGTATTAGAGCCATGGATCACGCCGCAAGTATTTGACAGCACTGGTGACAGCCGAGTGATAGACGAATTTACATTCGGACAGTATGTAGATTCTGGGACAGCCGAGCAACTGATAACAAACCACCTCGACACTTTCATAACGCAAGATGATCTCACGCAGATCGCCGCAGCTGGTCTCAACGCCGTCCGCATTCCATTCCCACACTTCGCCATCAACCCTACTGCCGATGAACCTTTCTACGATTTCGGCCGTTTAAGCAAACTGAAGGAGGTAGTTGGATGGGCGCGCGATGCTGGTCTGCGCGTGTGGATTGATCTACACACCGCTCGCCAGTCCCAAAACGGTTTCGATAACTCAGGTCATAAAGGAGACGTGCTCTGGCATACTGATCAGCAGAACGTTAATCTCGCTCTAGAAGCTATTACCACGCTCTCGACTGAGTTCTCCAAGCCTGAGTATGCTGGTGCTGTGGAAGTCGTTGAGCTGCTCAACGAGCCTGCCTCTTTCGCAAGCACCGCCGTCGATCCGGTCGTCCGCCAGTACTACTACGATGGCTATGGCCGCATAAATGAACAGAGTTCGGCTATGGGTGTTGGCCTTCACGACGCTTTCGAAGAAATTTACGAATGGGATGGTTTCATGACTTCCCCACAGTTCGAGAATGTCTGGATGGATGTTCATAGGTATCAGGTCTTTTCTCCTTCAGAGCTGGCTAGGGGCGACGATGAACGTATCAGCCATGCTTGTGGCTACGGTCCAGATATGTATGGACACTCACTCGCTCAGCATTGGACAGTTTGCGGTGAATTCACTTTGGCTAGAACTGATTGCGCTACTTACCTTAATGGCCGCGATGGTGATCTCAACAGATGGGAAGGTTCTTACCCAGGTAGTTACTACCAGGGCGGATGCGACTACTTCCATGCTAATAACGGCGCTGATTGGCCAGAGCAATACAGAACCTTCTTGAGAAAATTCTATGAAGGTGGGTTTCGTCTCAGTCGCGGTTGTTTCACTTTCTCACACCACACCTTCAGCTCAGATTAACTCGTTCGAGAGAGGTTCTGGATACTTCTTCTGGACTTGGAAAACTACCAACAGCAATGCCGCCGATTGGAACTACAGTAGACTGCTCGAACTCGGTATTATTCCTCAGAACCCTGACAACAGAATGTATCCAAACATCTGTGGCTAAAGGGTTGGCTGATGGAGTCATACGAATACTGATAGGAATATAAATATAATCATCTCGGATTTGCATTACAATATCTTTCTTTTTTTCTTCCTTTCGCTTTTTTTTTTTCTCGTTGATACATGCTACTTATATTACAAATATATGACACAATCTATGCAATAATAAAAATGCTAAAAGTATAAAACACAGTGGACTACCTGAGATACTCAGGCCACTCACTGCGCATCCTTGCTCTGCCCCACTGGTCAAACCTTGGGTTATACTCAACATTAAGAAGGTCGTGGTGTGGTTTAGCGAATGGCACAAACCATACGAGAGGATTGGCGCCCATCCTGAAACACCAGTTGCGATAAGGTGACTCAAGCCACCATAAATTCCCCTCTGTGCGCGGATTGCCCCAGACATAGTACCAGTGATCTTTACACGCTTTCTTCGCTTGCAACTGCCACGGATCGTAGTGTTTGCTGAGAATGGATGCATCTCTTGCGCGAATTGTGCGCACCTCGAACATATCCTCGAAAGTTGTCAGCTGAAGCGTGTGAGTGTGAGTGTGAACAATTAAAGTTCCAACTTACACTATCGCACGCTAGCCAGATATGATTGAAGAGGAGCCCACCTACAAAGAAGGCGAAGAAGGAGGACACTGCTATAGCTCCGATGATGGGTCCGCGGCCACGACCACTCCACAATCCATCACCGTGCTCATCTGATATCAGAGAAGGATAGCTCACGCCCAAAGCTATCGCTGTGAATGAGAGGACCACAACACACCAAAAAAGGAAAGTAACGAAATGCTTGTGGTTGTGCCCACCTACACTTTGACCAATCCACGGACAGTAATGGTCAAATTCCCACACGCAGCGGTTCGCATGACGGTCGTGGTGTGCGCGCGGCGGTCGCCATAGCTGACACTGAGAACAATAAGTAGCGTCAAATTGAGTTGCTTGGACGCGGAAAGTGGGAGGGTATGTAGTGCAGTCTGATTGATTGGAGTGGTTACTGGTACCAGTTCTATCGGTATCTTTGTCTTTATTTTGCGCTGCTCGTCCTGGGTGGTACGCTGGTATGAATGAATTTGTTATGTAGCCTGGGTGAATGAATAAAATAGCAGCGTAACTAGCGCAGAATATCAAAAATAGCACGTTGAAAACCACAAGTATCGTAACGCCTAATCCGAAACCACCAGCGCGGTTCTTGGTCACTAGCCCCACGCCCACAGCCACAGTGACGGAGAAGTAGTCAAATATAATAATAAGAACGACGAAGCCAACTATCCACTTTGTCTTTATAAATCTCAACACGCTGTTTGTTTGCGCTACTTCGTTAGCGTCGCGCACGCATTGCATGGAAGGTACAAACGAAGGTACAAACTAAACAAGAAATTTGAATTTATTTGAAATGAAGACATACTTATTAGTAATCAAAGGGAATATTGCAATTTGTTTAGGGGGAATATTAAAAGTAGAACGGCCATACGCGTTGATCCTGTGATTACAGTCAGTATTCACTACAAGTAGCCCGTAAAATACTCCACACGTACGCGGAATCCATCCACGATAGCTTGTATGTCGCTGGTAGTGAGTTTACTATGCTTGCACTTGAAATTGAGCGTCTTCTTGATCTTTGATGGATCAAGAGCGATTGGATTCTTTTTAAAAAAGTGCTCATCGAGCTATCATCTGTGTTAGACGTGTGCTGAACAAGTCAATAACAACCCACATATGGCGTCAACGGGCTGTCTCGTATGTTACTCCGATGCAACATCTCAGACCACGCTTGGATATGTTTTTCATTGACATCATCAATCATTTCCTCAATATCCATTCGTGCAAACGTAGAGACGAGTCCACCCAGGAAACCAGTCTTAACTCTAAATACATTGGCGATTACTTCAGCGACTGATGATTGTGTAGCGTTTGAATCATCTACGAGGTTGAATAGAGGAGCTTTACCGACTGCTTTTCTGCTTGGGAGTTTGAATTGCTCGAGTTTTTCGTCATTTGCGTAGGATATTATGTCGTTGAGGGTGGATTGCGGTGGATTGCAGTTAGACCTCCACTTTCCAAGCTCAACTAACGCTCTGGCAACATCTCGAGTGTGTACGGTGTTCAATTTGAGATCACCATCCCATAAAAATTTCATCTCTTCGCCCAAGTAACGATATATGTCACCACACATGACCCTAGGTGTAATCTTACCGTGTATTTGGTTAGGACCATACCAAACACCTATCCTAAGTATGGACAGGGGTAGATTTGGAATTGTGGACAGACAGCGCAACGATTCATGCCACCAAACACCTCTACCACCTTGAGGTTGGAGATGGGAGTGTTCAGAGACTGGATTGCTGGGGAATTCGTAGAAAGGGAAAGTTAGTTTGTTGTACGATTGGATAGAATGTGAAGCAGCGATCAAACCGAGCTGATAAGAAGCGATTGTGGATTGAATATGCTGTAACTCATTAACGTCGAATCTAATGTCACCAGATAAATCAAAGACATGAGTTGGATTGAATGTCTCAAATATTGAATTGAGAGTGGATTTGTTGAGTAAGTTTACTTGGGTATAAGTGAGATTAGGAGTGTTTAATAAAGTTTCCTTGAATTCATTAGACAGATGTGTCGTTGAATATCCCTCGTTTATTGCGAATTTATCGATTACCCGTATTGTTGGCGTGTCATTGGGATTTCTGAGCTCGTCTATTAAATTACTAGTAAAGGTTTGAATTCCACCTATTCGAAATTTATTAGACCGACACTATTAATTTATTAACGACACACCGACTATAAGGACCTTGGCTACCATGACTGTCAATCTCAAACCAAACGACCATCATCAACTTATAAAATAATATGTCATCAACCGAGTCAAATCTCATGGACTTGGTGCATAATCAGGTGGGTTTACTGATGTATAGTGCATCTCCCACCACTCACTTGCGTCCACAGATTTCAATTCTCATCTCTACGATGAAGTTGAATAGCAATTGGTCTAATTTTACTCCAAATTCACTCCCACTATCCAATTTGGCTGTTGATTTGGGCTTAAAGGGCTATTCTCCCGTGAATCCCCAGCCAAATATCATCCAACACCTCTATTCTCTCAGATTTACTGGTAATATTCAAAATCCAAAAGAAATCCTTAGCCCCTTCCTCTTTATTATAACAAATCAATCAACTTCTGGTCCAATCACTCTCGCTGCGTTGCAATCAATTGAGAAGTTTATATCCTCTGATTTGTTATCAATACACTCCCCCCACTCTCCCGCAGCGGTTGATTCTATCGCCGAAGCTATTTCCAAATGCTCTTTTGATCCCACTGACTCCCTCACTGACGATGCAATCCTCAATCGCATTCTTGACATCATCAAACTCATTCTCTCCTCAAATCTTGCCAAAATTACTTCCGATAAGTCCGCTTCCTCTCTTATCGAAACCGGCCTTGAAATGGCGTGTCAGATGAGGTTGTCTCCCTCCATACGCAATTCTGCTGAAAGAACTATCCAATCCGCCGTCAGATGCCTTTTACTTGACTTCAAATCAAGATACCAGCCTGGTAACAGCGAAGACAGCTCTATTTCCCCTTCGAAGCCTTCTAAATCTCCCTTACAAGACTTCTCCGCTTCTCAAAAGCCTTTCGGCGATGCTACCATGTCTGAGGTCATCAGAGTCCTTGTCAACCTCCTCGACCCACACGACACCAAATACACTGACACCATTAGATTGGCTGCCCTCAGAATCCTAGATGTCGCTCTCACCACCGCCGGGATCACTCTCTCCAACATACCTCAAATACGCTCTACCCTCTCTGACCAAGGTTGCAAATTCCTCTTTCAATTGGCTAGAGTTGAGTCTTCTAGCTTGTTAATTATGACTATCAGAGTTATTACTGTCCTCTTTGACACTTGCAAACCACATCTAAAGTTACAGCAAGAGCTCTTCTTCTCTTTCCTAGTCGAGCGTTTATCTCCATCTACTCAAGATAACGCCCAGTCATTCGATCCTTTCCACACCTGGGAAGCCTCTGTCATGCCACCAGAGCACCCTGACGACCACGATAAGCTTAATACTTCCACCTCTGGCTCTGCAACTCCCTCACTAGCTCCCGCCAAAGCTGCAAAACCCGCATATGGTCAAACTAGACAGCTTCTCCTCGAAACTCTCGTACACTTCATCCACACACCCAACTTTCTCTCTGAGTTGTGGCTCAACTACGACTCAGACATCGATTGTGACGATTTGTTCGAACGTGTTCTGTCGTTTACTATTGATGGTATTTTCCCATATGACAACTCCTCACTTGAATCGCAGTTATTGTGTCTCGAGGGTGTCCTCACCTTCATCTCCCAGGTACACGGTACTCTCGTCAACACCCCCTCCGACGCTCACCTCCAATACCCCACCAATATCGCCCTCACAAAGTCTCGCAAGCGTATTATCCTCAATGGCGCACAAAAGTTCAATTCCAAACCGAAACTAGGATTGGAGTACTTGACGCGTCACGGTGTGATTGACGTGGAGATGGCTGATGAATCTTGGACCAAAGCGACTTGTGACAGTGTAGCCAAGTTTCTCAAGCAGTGCGCTCGTCTCGACAAGCGCCTTCTCGGAGACTACATCTCTCGCCCGGAGAACAGCGAGGTGTTGAAGTCATTCATGTCTCTTTTTGACTTTAGGGATGTGAGTGCATGATGAGGAGTTTGAACATTCTAAAACATCTGCAGCTATCTATTGCCGACAGTATGCGCCAAGTGCTCGAGACGTTTCGATTACCCGGAGAAGCTCAGCAGATTGCGCGTATCACTGAGGTATTTGCCGAGCACTATTTCTCATTTGCTCCTGAGGGTATCCGATCGCAAGATTCTGTTTACGTTCTCGCATACTCAGTCATCATGCTCAACACGGATCTTCACAATCCGCAAAATCGCGCGCGACGGATGAGCGACGAAGCCTACAAGCGTAATTTGCGGGGAGTTAACGACGGCGCAGACTTCGACGCAGCGATGCTCGATGACGTTTACCATAGTATCCGTAAACGCGAGATAGTAATGCCGGAAGAGCATCACGACCAAGTCGGCTTTGATTATGCGTGGAAGGAGATGCTCGTGCGCAGTCGCACGGCGGGGCTAGTAAGAGATGCGCATTCTCCCAACCTCGTCAAACCTATCCTGGAGGCAAGTGTTCGCAGGGTGCTTGCCGGTCTCGCATACGCCTTCGCTAGCTTCGACGATAGCTCCGCTATCAAGCGCGTCATGGAGGCATATGCGCATATCGTCTATCTCGCGCATAGATTGCAACTACACCTCATCCCTGATATAGCCTTTGTCAGCCTACGCAGAGCGGCTGCGGTGTTGATTGGGCGTTTTGACGAGACGGAGAATGAATTCGCTCAGGCGAAGGTGCCTCTGAGCGGGAGCAAAGATACACTCACCCAAATCAGCGTCTCGAGCCACACTGTCCAATTAGGGTACGATCTGCGCGCTCAGTTGGCCGCATGGACTATTTTTAATGTGATACTGCGCGACGTTCGCAATGTGTCAGACAGCTGGTTCGACCTATTTGACATGTTTCTTGTGCTTTTCGCCAACGAAATGCTTCCAGAGAGCATCCAGACGCTCGAGGACTTTTTGGGTGGGAGCACGCCGATACCGCGCGAAGCGAGTGGGGATACACATGCGCAGGAAAATGGACAAGGACAAGGCAAGGATGTAGCACGGACAGGTAACTCGACCAGCCTCCTCTCCACTCTCAGCTCCTACTTGCTAGCGCCATACTCTAGCGAGCCTCACATGACTCAGGCGAGTGACGAGGACGTCGACGCGACGTTGCACGCTCTCGACTGTATTCGCATTTGTAATTTGGAAGTCGTGTACAGCGGTCTGTGGCACCTACCTGGTAGCGCACACTCGCGTGCGCTCTCGGCACTCACGGATATGCTCGATGCGCGCACGACGGCTAAACTAGCTGGGGTGCAGTACAACAGAAAAGGGATCCCGCCAGTGTTTGTTCCGTACGACCGCAGGACTGTCTTTCTGCTTGAGCTGCTGGTGAGCATTAGTGTGCGCAATCGCGATGCAACAGAGACGACGTGGTGAGTGTATAGTCTTTGTGAAGGTACAGACATACTAATAACGTATTGTTAAGGCACACGGTGTTCCCGCTACTGGAAAAGTTGTTGGCACACGCTAACGTGTTCTCTACTCTCCTCACCGAACGCGCCGCTGTCGGACTGGCTAAGCTGACTGAGGGTATTAGTGCACATGCGCAACTACACGAGGAGCTTTTCATAGCTATCGATCTTTTGCGCTCTCTTCCGCCACACGCGCTGCTGAGTGCGACAGACCATCTTGTCTCGCTGGTAGAATCTGTGCTCGCAAAGGCAGATGTGCAGAACAGTACCGAGTGGCATCTCCTTATTGCGCTGCTCCACTGCTGCAGTGGCAGAGTGAGTGAGCGTGTATTAGGCTTGCTCACTACCATAATCGATCAGCATCTCTCTCGAGACTCTCTTCCTGCCGTGCTCGACCTTCTCACTGCGCTCGCGCTGCATGAAAATAACGCTGCATTGGACATGCTTCTCACTTTGCGTCGCGAACCCAGTTGGGATTGGGAATGGGAGCAGGTCAGCGCTCTCGCTAGCAAACTTGGCACACTCTGCCTCCAACCAGCTAAGCACATTCGTCAACGAGCAATTGAAGGCCTTGCAGCTATTTTGTTGGAGAAACCTCGCAATGATCTTATCGTATTCACCCATATCGCTTTTCCTCTCTTAGAGAATCTGTTGCGACCAGATGTATTCAATCGTGATCCTACCAGTGCGGGTATGGGAAACACTCGCTCAGCCGTTACTAATCTCGTTTGCAAAGTGTGGCTGCTCCTCGATCTACACTCGCTCGATGACGAACATGTGGAGCGGGTGTGGCTGGAATTGTTGGATTTCTTAGATAGATTTATGTCTAGTTCGACCAATAGCAAGAAGATGAATATGGTCCATGAGAGCATTCTCGAAAACATAAAAAACCTCCTACTCGTTATGCACGCGAATGGTATCATAGACCCTGGCACGAAGACAGATAGTCACAGCCATCAACTATACATCAAGACGGCTGAGCGCATTGATCTATTTTTGCAAGGATTTGTCGGTGAAGTGTTGAAAGACACGCATCAGAAAGAGCAGACAAAGCAGACGGAGCATACAGCAGAGACGCAAGACAATGACGAAACAAACCAAGCACAGCAAACACACCAATCACACGACACAGGTACAGACACGCCCTCGTAAACATACTTTATAGATATGCATCGTAATAGTCGATTTTCGATATTAATTTAAATTGGAAATGTAGTTGTAATGTGCAGATAACCTTTGGTCGTGCGTGGGAAGAAGGTAATTTAACGGAATAATCCTAAAATTAGCGTCTATTCCGACGCAATGGCTTCACAGGCCGCGATGAGTTGGGTGTGCCTGGAGCTGGCGATCCCGTGCCTATGTTGAAGAGGGAAGGTGATCCAGGAGCTTGTTGCGGGGTGGATGGGTTGGGCGCGGGAGCGGGTGCAGATGAACCGAATGCAAATGGAGAGCTAGGGGCGGTATTGTTGGTGCTAGAGGCGCTTGGAGCTGGAGCTGGAGCGGGTGCTGCTCCAAAGCCGAAAGCTCCTGTGCTTGCGCCGCTCGAGGGTGCACTGCCGCCGCCGAACGAGAATGCAGGCGATGCTCCCGCTCCTGCTGCAGGTGCAGGTGGTTGTGACTGGCCGAATCCGAAGCCTCCACTGGAAGCACCACCTCCAAATGGCGTGGGTGTGGATGTGGGTGCAGTCGCTGGTGCACCGAAAAGTGGTGCTGAACCGGCTGGACGTGTTGGGGATTCTTCCATAGAATCACCACCGCCATTGCTCTGCTGCTGCTGCTGTGGTTGCGGTTTTGCCGCGCCAAATGCCCCACCAGCACTTCCAGTACCGCCAGCACCACCAAATTGGAAAGAAGGTATGCTACCACCACCACCACCAAATCCAAATGAGGGCGTCGACGAGACAGTTTCACTCGTGCTCGTCGGCTTCGCTTCGCCACCGCCAAAAGCAAACGACGACTTGTTCTCACCCGCCGATGCAGACGCAGTGGCTCCACCAAATGAAAATGTGGGCTTATCGGTACTGGCTGGCTGCGAATTTCCAAACAAAGTCGTCTGCGAGCCGCCGAATGCGAATGGAGGTTTGGACGTGTTGGAAGAGGCGTCGGTGGGGTTCGTGGACGAAGCACCAAAGCTGAATGGACTTGATGGCTGTACGAGGAGATACGTTAGTCTGTCGGTGTAGTTTAATCGACATAAGCCCAACTATATACTCACCTTTATTGGTTCAGTGGATTGAGATGCAGGTGCTGGCGCAGATGCAGGTGCTCCGAACACTGGTGGCTTTGCAGTGTCGTTACCACCAGCGCCAAAAGAGAATGGAGAGCTTGACTTAGGTTTGTTATCGTCTGTTGCTGGGGCACTACCTCCAAAAGAAAATGCTGCTCCAGGTGACTTTTCGTCAGCTTTTGCAGGCTGCCCGAAAGAGAATGTCGGCTGTTTCTTCTCCTCATTTTCAGCGGGTTTAGGCTGTCCGAAAGCAAAAGAACCGCTGCCACCATTGACCTCATTCTTGCTCTCTTTGCTCTCCTTAATCTCACTAGGGGCACCAAAGGAGAATGCTGCTCCTGAACCTGAACTACCGCCTCCGAAAACGCCGTTGGAGCTGTTAGGTTTCGACTCATCCGATTGCGGTTTGGTGAATGAGAATGCACCACCCGTGCCTTTTTCGACATCTTTCTTCTCTTCTTCCGCTGGCTTTGTAGCTCCAAACGAACCACCAGAGCTACCACCTCCACCGAAGGAGAAAGGCGAGCTTGATGCAGGTTTGGTAGAAGGCGCAACACCGAAACTAAATGCACTGCTTTTGCTTGCGCTACTCTCACCCTTTTCTTCAGCTGGCTTGCCGAATAATGGAGCTGGAGACGCTGGTTTATCTCCACCAGTTGCATCGGTGGTATCTGCCTTGCCTTCAGGCTTGTTGCTGAAGCGGCTGAGAAGAGAAGGCGTCTTCTCGTCCGTCTGTGCTCCCCCGAAAGAGAAGGGTGATGCAGGTTTGGAGTCTTGGCTTGGTGGCTTGCCGAATGAGAATCCACCTAATGAAGCGGGTGCAGCAGCTGGCTTTTCATTCTTCTGGTTATTTTCGTCCTTCTTTTCTAACGGAGCGCCAGGAGAGAATGGATTGGACTTGGTCTCCTCCTTGTCATCCTTGTCATCCTTATTATGCTCTGCAGTACCACCAAAGCTGAAAGTAGGTACTGACTTTGGCTTGTCATCCTCCTTCTTGTTGGCTTCAAACAGGGCGAATGGATTTGGTTTTTCCGCTGCTGCTTTCTTTGAGTTCTCTTCTTCTTCTTTCTCCTTCTGGGTTTTTTCAGACTTGGGTGCGCCAAAAGAGAAACCGAGTGGTGGTTGTGATTGTGGCTTGCTGTCATCCTTCTTCTCCTTCTCCTTCTCATCCTTATTGTCAAAGATGGCTGCTGGTGGAGGTCCTTTGGGTGTTGTCGACTCACCGCCGAAAGAGAAAGGTGTTGCTGGTTTGGGTGTGGCAGGTTTAGTCTGCTCATTCTGCTCCTTAACATCAGTTTCTTCCGGTAAATTGAAGTTAAGCTTGGGATTAGGAGCAGGAGCAGGAGTAGGAGCACTTTGTTGACTGGCGATACCATCAAAGTTGAAATTAACCACTGGAACACTCTTCAAAGCATCCCTTTCCGCCTGACGCTTACGTTCCTCCTCTTCTTCATCGATTTCAGCAGTATCTTCACGTGGTTTGCGAGCGGCTGATGAGTGTTGTCTGCTGCTGGTCATGGTGCGCGCCCTGAGCGACGACCTAGCTCTATCGGTAGCACTAGGGCCTTTATCTGCGCCATTTGCGTCCTTTTCACCAACTTTGCCCGGTTTGAATTGATCCTGTCCAGACATTGGAGCGAACAATTTAGCCGCGCTCGTAGTAGCGATTGGGGCGGTATGTGGGGAAGAGTGGTTTGGCTTGTCTACGCCCTTACTTGAATTGTCTTGTTTATCCCCCTGCTCTCGCTCACCTACATACCCGTCTTCATGCTCATCCTCGTCATCGCTGGGTACAGCTATCTTGCTACGTGGTCGTTGTTGTGTTTTGGGCAGTCTCTCCTGTAATTTGCTACTTTTCAGGTCATGCTCGCGGTGGCGTCTCTCTTGTTCCCTGCGATGCTTGCTGCGTGCGTAGGGACTAATCATAGCTTCTGCCTTTTTGTTGACTGGAGGAGCTAGTTTGCTCTTTGCAGGGTTTGGCTTGGGAATAGGAATTGAGATGGTAGGCAAGTTGTATGACTGCTGTGATTGCTGTGATTGTGATGGAAGAGGTCCTCTAGCAGAAAGAGGATTTGATTTGCGTGCATCAGTGAGCGGAGTTCGCATCTTCTCCAAAGCCAGTAGAATTCTCTCAGCCTCGTTTTTTGGAGGTTGGGGTTGAGGTTCTGTGGAGTGTCTTAGTTAGAAAACACACGAAACACGCCAAACTCACTTCTGGCTTGGGCTTCCTCTAAAGACATGAACTCGTCTGCTTGTTCGTTGTATACCATTCTTCTCTTGGACGGTCTTTCAGGGGATGGATCGATAACAGATGATCGTTTATGGGCAGTCGAGTGGTAAGGATCGTTGGTTGCCGCGGAGAGAATGGATTGCAGAGGGTTGTGATCCTTAGTGGGAACAGTTGGAGTTCTATACCTGGTGCGTGGGAGTAAGGGGGAAGCGTTCCTGCCATTAGAGAGGAGAGAGCGGCGTGGGTGTTTAACGGGAGTGAAAGGAGAGTTTTGTAAATTGTTGTTGTTGTTGTTGTAGGCAGAGCCATAACCACTACCACTGCCATTGAAAGAAGAAGACATTTTAGGTGAAAGAGTAGTTTGCCTATTACCAGGAATCTGTAAATGATTAGATTTAGCCATTGAAGGCGGCAGATCATTATAAAAGGTGTGCGGCCTTTGTTTAGCCTTTGGTGGAGCGTGTGGTGCGCGTGGTGCGTGTTCTGAGCGTGGTTCTTCACCTTTAGACCATGGAGATTGAACTTGTTGAGCGGACTCTTCGTCTGGATGATTACTCACGCCCCCAGAAAGCCAGGAAAAAGGCTTGGAGACGAGTGAGCGTACGCTGGATAAGAGACTGGCAGTGTTATTCTGTGTCGGAGTGGGAGTTGGACTCGGTCTTTGATACGGTTTTGAAGGCTTAGAGGGCGTGTACCTTGAATCACGCCTCTGTGGGCCAATTGAAGTGCCTAAATCTGACATGATGATTTTTGTGTTGGTGGTGGAGCGGAGGAAGAAGACGAGTAGAATGAATATACGAATGTACATCTTAAATATATTACATTATATTTCAAATTACAATCCAATTTCATCTTTTATTCCCCTTGAGCTTCTCGCTTACAAGCTCCTTGAAAGACGCGACTACCTCATTCTCCCGCTTCATCTTATCCTCTGCAGCCTCTTTAACCATCTTACGCTTCTCTTCTGCGGTATAAACTTCATTCTCCTTCCTCACTCGAACTTCATTCATACGCTTATGTCTATTACCAGACATTACGTAGCCTGCTTGCTCAAGCTTATCTATCTCACCGCTTTCAATTCCAATTTCTCCACGTCTTGGTATACGCTGTCCATCTTGGACAAACTGTGCCATTGCGGTACCCTCTCCTCTAAGCATCTCCCTGCCAAAATCCTTATCGCTCAACTTAACCATGTCTTGTGGCAAGGGCATTGGGCCAATGTCCTCTATGCTATTGACTTGCTCTGTTTTCTCCACGTTTCTCTGTAACTTTCGATGTTTACGTTTTTCATCTCTGTCTTCTCTTTCTCTGCTTTTCCCTTTGTCTTTCCATCTTTCTTTCCCTTTCTTTCTGTCCTTATCATTCCTCTCTGTAGCGCTTTCGCTGTGGCTCCTTCTCTTCGCCGGCGGTGAGGCTGGCCAGATACTCAATTTTGTGTTTTTTCGATATTCTGCACGGCTATAAGGGGCGTGTTAGTATCACCACACAATACACTCCCCACACACACCTCTCTATCCACCGAGTACTCCCTGGTTCACCAGCGAATCGAGCTGGCTGTCTAACTTTGTACATATTCTGTGTTTGTTCTCTGTATTCTTTCTCTTATTTCCCCTTTTAATCCAATTTTGTGAATTTTTTTCGACAGAATTGGTATAAATTGAACCAGCCATTATTCTTGCTTTCTTAATCCATCGCATCACATAGAGTTGTAATGTACTCGCTCCAAGCCGATTCATTGCGCTAAGTGACTGCGTAAATTGATGGTGGGATTTATCCCCGCTTTAAGGCTGCTCTTCCTGTCAATCTTGCTGGCTCTTGTGCCACTCAAGTAGGAATCTGCCTCTACATAAGTTTACTAATGTATTCTAATGTCTATCATATATACCTATACACCACAAATATCATCTAATTACTGCCTATTCTCCCAATGTGCTTTTCCCCATGTCGCTGCCACCAACATAGGGAAAACAAGCGTGGCATCTGCACTCACTTTTATTGACTCCGCTCCACTCCTTATCTTCCCCCATGATATGGCCTCATCAGGTCTAGCTCCTGCGTCTGATCCGTCGAATTCTTGGCCAGTATTGACATATACGGCGTAATCTGCCCCATTGCGCTGTAGTATTTTAGCAAGGGCTATCTAATCTAATCTCCAACCCACAAATAACATGGCATTGCACACTTGATGCTTGCATACACCACCACCCAATATAATGATACCCGCCTTTTTAGACCTTACTGAAAGGTCATTGAGCCTTCTAATATCACCAACGAGATCGATATTCAGTCCTGGATTTTTGTATGAGTGAAAGTATATCATGTCTCCCAGTGAGCCATCTGTGAGTGCTGGACAGAAGACAGGAATGTCGTTCTTGTAAGCCCAGTAATACACACTCCGCTCATCGTTGATCTCCTTCCCCAGTCGGTGTATAACCTTGCTAGGTGTCCAACGTGTTTGTTCTGTATCTTGTTCCTCCCTCATCGCATCTAAAATGGGTACAACCCAATCCTCGAACCGACAATAAGCCTCATTTGGTACGAGGAGATTACCTATCCTGTTCATTCCCTTCTTGCGTAGATGAGCGCCATCAAGATTCCAGCCATCGCCGGTGGGTAAATAAGTACCAGGACCGAGGCATTTGATAAAGTCTTCTTCCACGCCGCCAGCAGTGGTGCACAGTACATTTACGTACTTATTCTTCACCAGGAACAGCATTATTTCTCTCAAACCACTTGAGATTAGATTAGATGTGTATCCGAGAAAGATATTCGCCGTGGTGTTCCTGCGCTCCTCTTCGGGTGTATCATCGTCCTCAGCTCTATCTTCATCAGACAGCCTCCACGATCTCTGAGCTGTTTGTGAGAATGGTGGTGGGTAATGTAACAAGACATGCCATCTGGTTAATCACTTCCACCGCCCTAGCCAGTCCCGTTGCTTGAAATCCTATAGTCTCGTACGCAGATAACAAACCCTGCAGAGACTGCGGCTGCTCAAAGTCAGGGCCTTGGACGAGCCTGGCTGAATCTGGGACTGGGTCTGATTTCACGAATACAGCTGCATTAGCTGTTGGTGTGTGTAAATATCTCTACCTTTATACATAGCCACCTACTAACCTGCGTCTGTCTGATTGCAAGTGGACATTGATGACAGAATTAGTTGAAGCAGTGCATCTTTATAATTTACTAATGATTCTGTTAATTTAATAGCATCACTATTATTTTATTAACAACACTATCATATAAATAGCCTTCTATTAAAAAATACTTGTTGACATTGTCCATTGACAGTCGCAGTACCTCGTTCAGTGTTTATCTCATACACGGTGACACACCCAAAGAAGCGATGAGTTGGAAGAAACGCAAAGCGAGCGGTGCAACGTCAGACGATGTAAGTTGAGTAATTTTGTTGAGTTTACCGCGTATCGCATATCCTTATCGCTGAGATGAATCGCAGGTATTTGAGAAACACAGCGATATACCTTACACTCCACCAATCACAAGCAAGCCTGTTAACTTGAATTTCAAGCAACACAAATTCACTGCCAGCACCGCCCACCCCAAGCCATCAAGTGGGAATAGCAATATGACGCGCTTTATTCGCCGTAGAGGGAGTTTTAAGGGTACAATACTCTTAGCGCTCACATTGCTTTTGCTATTTCTCTATAAAACACTTTCAAACACAACAATATCATCTGAGACACACCCACCTAGCACACCTATGCTCATAACTAGCGGCGTACTCACCAAGGAAGATCCACGCTCTCTTCTCCATCGCCTTAATATCCTAACTGACAGAACAACGGTGCATTTCAATCGCCGCAACGACACAGCAGCTGACGTAGACGCAATCGTACATCTACGCCACAGAGCGGATAACTTACCGCTGATAGTAGCAAATCTGTGCTCAAATACTCTATCAGATGTTATACGCACTGTGACCGTGTACAATAACAACCCACTATCGACGGTGACACATGACGATATGGCCACGTCTCAATGCCCGCTGAGTAAGTTGAAAGTGGTGAATGATTACGATGACGGGGGTTTCGGTCAGATGGCGAGGTATGAATTGTGTGCAAGTGCAGATCCAGACTCACGCTACTGCTTCATTCAAGACGACAAGCACATCCTGCCGCCTTCTGTCATAAGGTCTATGCGCTTCTTACGCGATTTGGATCCTCATGGTTCGCCAATTGTTCCCGCTTCCAGCGAGGGTTATATACAGGCACGTTGGGAACACTGCCTGAACGCTCCTGATCTCAATATACACACATGCGCATATAGCATGGATCCTGGTGCACTTCTCTCGACGCGCGTGGCAGAGTCTTTCCTGCGCTATATGCAACAAGTTGGGGTAGATAATACGGTGGACACTGTGAGCATCGTTGACCGGGTAAACGGGGTAAATATGGTAGATGTGACGAATTCGGCATCGACAGACAGCTACTATAGCATCCTCTCTAACTCACACCCCTCATCCGTCATGGTCGTAGTCGTGCCCTCCTTGTGCGACTTGATGAGGAGCAGCGGTGAGGATGCGGCGGCAGTAATGACGAATGCAAAGGTTTACGGTGAATACGATGTGCTGCTAGACTCCTTAACGCAGCTTCCTTCACACTCATCATTCACTCAGGTGAAGGAAGATGGTGTGCACAAGCTAATGCATTCTGTAAAGGCTATTGGAGATAACGGACTAGTGCTTTTGAGCAATTTGCAGCTTCTGCCTTTTGTAGGTGCGCGCGATAGCTGGAATGGTACCACCCCTTTTGCGGAGTGGATTGAGTATCGTAGAAAGGAACTAGGCGAAGAGCGAAAAAAGCAAACGATCGAGAGCGGCTATGGAGCGATGCTTGATGGTAACTCAACCACTTACTTTAAATCTTTCGGCGCTGCTATGATGGCAGACTTTGTTGGTTTTAAAGTGCCGAGTGGTGCACATTCACTCCATTTGGCTGTAGATTCTACCGCACTACTCGCACTACTCACAACACAGTACTCTCAAGATGGCTTGTCGTACTTTTCTCTTGATCACTCTTTACATTGCCAGCCGGCTAAAATGCACACGATGCATGGCAACAGACTGTTTGAATGCTCAGTTCCACTCGTTCAAGGGTTTGAATTTGTCAGGTTTATCGTGACAGATGACGTTGACTTGTCAGTTGAATGGTCTATCAATGAAGCTTGGCTGGGGTGGAATGGATAGATGAAGATTTTCAGTTTTACTAATTCGGTGTACAACAACAATTTAATGTTTATATGATCTTTAATCCCAGAGTAACTGCACGCTATAATTCTTTGCATCGACATCCCAGAAATCCCACCCAACGGCATCATCACCTAGTTGGTCCTGTTGGTTAATATTAACGGTACCAGAGGGGACTCTAAAGGCGATAGTTTCATAAGGTTCAGCAGCGATAAGAAGATATTGATATGCAGCGTTAGGCATTTCCCTGCGCTGTTCGAAAGCGCTCATTAAGCGTCTACGTGGTTTTTCATTGTCTTTGATTTGAGGAAGGTGGACGTGAAAAAGGAGTCCGACCTTGGTGGTTGCGGGTTCGTTACCATCAGCACCACCATCAGAACTACCAATAACCTGTTTAACCTTTGTCACTTTATAACCGGGTCTTCCAATTTTAACGAAATGTTTCTTAGGGGTGATAGTGTCAGGGCCAGGGACGCCGTTTGAATTTGTAGTGGACATGCTAAGCTCGTTCTCTTTGCTCTCCTTTGCAGCGCGTCTGGCTAGATTAGTTTGGTGCTTCTTTCCTTGGGTGTGAGCGAGATAAGAGCCTTCATTTGGGTGTAGTGTGAGGCACAGCTTGCATTCTATTGTACCTAAGTGGGTGCGCAGGATGTAAGGGTCCTTTGAGGTGTGATGAGTATATCAACCAATAATTCCAATCAACCACCCACTTTACTCAAATCTATAGTCTCTAAGGCTAGCTTCCTCAGTCTCTCTCTTCTGTCGGCGTTGCTCTCAGCTTCTCCGTATATTCCACCACCACCGAATTTTGAACCAACGCGATTTTGGTGGTCTAAGCTGAACGTTAGTGGGGTCCTGCTATTTAAATCAACATTGTCTAACCCATTTTATAGAAATATTTCTACAATTCACAGTCACGGTGGTTATTCAACAACAGCCATCATGTAAGCAACGATAAGAAATTACATTAAAATTAAAATAACGTCATAAGGTCATTTTCTTACTCAGATAAGGAGAATGTCTTGTGCTTTCATGGTCCGTTGCTTTATGAGGCTAAGGTGGGTGTATTGTGTGGTACAATTACGTATATTAATACATCCAGATACTTGAAAGTGGCTTCAAGGATCTTCTATTCACAGGTGAACAAATCCCTTCTTACTTTGTACATTACAAAGGCTGGAAACAATCGTAAGACACGATGAGTTTGATTGGTTTACACACTCACAACCCACACGCAGTTGGGATGAATGGGTTCCTGAATCTCGTATGCACAAACTAACCCCTGATAATCGTCAGAAGCAGAAATCTCTAAAGGAAGCCATCTTGAAGAAGAAACAACCACAATCAAACACTCATTCCCATTCAATCCCCTCTAATAAGAGTAAAGGTAGACAATCTCAACACACTGATAACCCAAGGAAGCGTGGTAGAGATACTGAGGTTTGTTTGACGTTGCTGATTGACTTTTCACATCTGAGACATTCATCATCCACAGGATTCTTCCCTTGAATCTCAAAAACGTCCTGAAATTAAACTTGTTATACCAGATGAACTTAAGGTTACATTGGTCGATGACTGGGAGTTCATTACAAAGAATAATCAACTTATTCCTCTCCCCCGTACTCCTAGCATTCAATCTATACTATCATCCTACAAATCGCACGCATCAAAGAATATTAAAGTTGCCGCTGGTCATCATAAATCAAAGAAGATCGCCCTTATTGAGGAAGTTTTGAATGGTTTGGAGGTTTATTTCAATAGAGCAATCGCTTCGAACCTTCTCTATCGCTTTGAGAGACCTCAGTTTGTTAAAGTGAAAAAAGAGGCTGATGAAAGGCCACAAAACCATCAACTTAAACATATGACTTCTATTTATGGCGTTGAGCATCTACTAAGGCTGATTGGTGGGTTTTAGTTAACTAAATTAAATAAACTAATCAAACACTTTCAGTAAACCTCCCCTCAATGCTCGCATACACATCAATTGATGCAGAAAGTGCGACCATCCTTCATGAGACAGTACAGAATTTACTCGAGTAAGTTGTAGTGCTATTTCCACCACCAAAACTAACTCTAATCTCTCACAATTAAGCTGGATTATCGACAATAAGAAACAATTGTTCCTCCCCGAGTACGAGAACTCAAGCCCAAACTACCAAAATCGTGTCAACGCCGGTAGCTAATCGTGGTAATTTAAAGTGCAAATATTTAAACCCTATGTAATATACACATAAATGTACTCAAATTAATTTTTTTATGTAACCTCGCTTCTGATTGGCGAGATCCACATCCCTCACGACTTGGACTCGGACAACTCTTCCAAAAATGTCATTATTTCGTTTAGCCAATAGAGGTCAATTCACCGCTGCAGCGACTTCTACTACTAAAGCTAATGGCGTCCCTGCCGCTGTTCAGGGCTTGAACTTTGCCCAGACTTACGGAAACGCTGAGCACCACCACCACAGCGGCAGAGCGGATAGTCCAGCTAAGTTTGCCATGGTGAACGGTTACGCGTCTACTAAGACTGTTTTTAATTGTGGGTTGTACCTGCTTGTTGCCATCGTATCCAACACTCACATCCAACAGCACCAACACCTACCCGTAACTTCTCCACTTCCTCAAAAGCCTTAGAAACTACCCAAGTCCCTGATTTCTCCCCTTACAAAAGCAAAAGCTCAGGCAACAACAAAGCTTTCTCATATTTGATGGTCGGCTCAATGGGTCTTTTAGCCTCAGCTGGCGCAAAGGCAACCGTCACTGACATCCTCTCCAACCTCTCTGCCTCGGCTGACGTCCTTGCCCTCGCAAAAGCTGAAGTCGATATATCGTCCATCCCAGAAGGCAAGAACGCCACCATCAAGTGGCGTGGTAAGCCTGTCTTCATCAGACACAGAACACAAAGCGAGATCCAAGAAGCTGACTCTGTCGCCATGAGCGAGTTGAGAGACCCACAGAACGATGCTGATAGATTCGAGACTCGCGAGTGGCTGGTCATGTTGGGTGTCTGCACTCACTTGGGTTGTGTCCCTATTGGCGAAGCTGGTGACTTTGGCGGTTGGTACTGCCCTTGTCACGGTAGCCATTACGATATCTCGGGTCGCGCTAGAAAAGGTCCCGCTCCTACTAACCTTGAGGTGAGCATTGGTGATTTATTATTTCATTCTCTGACGTACTTCCTCAGGTCCCTGTCTACTCCCTTGATGACGGCAAGTTGACCATCGGTTAAGAATTCTAGGTATACACACTGATACTGACAAAATGTAAACTCATCTAAACATCTTATATAATTATCTTTCTTTATCTTTTTTTATCTTTTTATTACAATACCTCGCGCAAACATTGCTGCCCAAAAGCTTTGTGATGTAGCTGAGTTCGTGAGGTGTAAGGGTGGCTTTAGTGTCCTACTGATTACCTTACGCTGCTCTCGATCTTATACATTTCCAATCAAAACAATTCTGCTCAACTCATCCCGCAAATGGTCGAGCAATGCAGGGATTTGTATAATATCAACATTCAAATATCCAAAGCTGCTGAATCACTCCGATGTACCTTTAAAGCCACCATAGACACAGTATCGAATTACTTGATTTTCAAAGATACCACCAGTCACAGCCATCTGATAAATGTGTGTACGCCGTCAGCCATGTGACTAGGAACGAGGGTAGCTGGTGTGTTTATAGGATGACAGTGTGATTTAAATAGGCTGCTCAATTTTAACAGATTCCTGCAGTACTATAAGTCATTTTATTGAATCAAATCTGCTGAAGGCACCCGGCAATTGACCAGGTTAGTGAATAGACAAACGTAGAATCAACGTATACTGACAATTTGAACAATTTAGCAAGGACATCATTTATATGACATTTTCAGCATTACAAAAACTTCTTATTCAACCCCGCTCAATATACACAATCTTTGTATCCTCGACTACCGCCTATCTTATCTCGGATGGCTGTGTTCCGAATTTTCATGATCTCCGAATAGAAAAGCTTCATGTACAGCCCAAAAAATTATAATACTTCGCCAGATTCATATCCCTGAGTTTTAATTCGCGCCCTGCAGGGTATTCGAAATCTACCATCCGTCATCGCTCTGAAGCGTTTTAGGACAGATATGGATGATTAAACGCTCTTTATCAATAAGTACACACATTTACATCTGATGGATAATACAATAATCCAGGAATGTTAAGTGTCATCCTTTTAGACACGATTTACAGTTTCTGAAAAGAAGCGTCCACAGGACTTAGTGCTGGCTCCAGGCAAAAACTATTGTCACACTGGAATGTCACAAGCCTAACAAATTCATCTCATGCAACAAAAGGTCGGGCTCAGTCCAACTCTGAAATCAGGGATTTGGTTTCTGACCAGTGCATTTCGAAATTTGAAACAACGGGAGTGAGGTTGTGTTTAAGACTGCAATAGAATGTTAGAAGTTAAAATTGTAGGAATTATAATTTAATACACCAAATCACACTCCCTGCATTGTGGCACATTTAGCTGGACGAGTTTAGAGCACCTTGATACATGGTTCATGAAAAGCACATCCAATTTATTGTCACACATTTAATCGCTACATAATTATTTCAGAGTCAGCCCAGTTGGTAATAGCAATGTTTCTATGAATTAATAGGTCATTAAACATGCTATTCTCTCCCGGGAAAAGGAAAGTACGATAAAAGAACCCCTAAGTGTATTGAAACTTTATTCACGCTACCCAACACGATTATAGATGTAAAAATTTCAGAAATCAACGATGTCAACGCATACAACAATATCAAGAAGACAAATACGCTATATAGCTTACTCTCGTCATTTATTTTAAGGTCCCGTATTTCTGCTGGCTTTCTTCATCGTTGCTCCGGTTTTGTGGTCGGTTAGTCACTGATCGCAGGCCATTCATGCTACATCCATCGGGGACCATCGTTGTATAACGTCGTGTACATTTACCTTACTAGCCAAAAAGCTTCTAGAAACCATTTTACTCCTGTATAATTGCTTTATCATTTGCGGCGTGGAGATGGTCGAATTTGTTATCTAGTCTGGGTTATCTAAGTAGCCTATTGTATAATAGAAGCCATATTTGATGGAGTTGTACGATTCGTGTGATCTTAGTCAATTTGATCCGCTCTTCCTGGTTGCACAATCAATGAGTGAAAGGGGGGTTTCTAATCCCGCAATAGAATATCTCCAGTCCGTGAGCCAAGAAATAGACGCAATATGCCAATGGCACAATCATTTCGCCTGTAACTGCTACGTATCCATACTCTAAAAAATGATGGGAAGGAAGTATTTATTAGTTCTAACACATACTAAATATTTGTTTAAACATATGTTATGCAAATTAAAGGCAAGATTTCAGATGTATCATTAGTTACATTAACAATAGTGAGGAAAGGCATAGTTTAAATTACTTGCGAAGACGCGTGACACGCCAGCTACGCCTTTCCTCATGACCAGTCATACACTAACTTCACTATTATCATTCGCGTTATCTGATTTTACGCTGTATTGTACAATTCAATCCTCAACCCTACTACAGTCTAAAACTTGTACGAATTGCTAAATTGTAAAGTGTGATAGGTGGAGGTTCTACTTCAGTTACACGGTAATAGGACCTTCTATTTTCGATGTTGACTCATTTATTTCCTATCTTAGTCTCCGGTCCCATCCAGACCTTCCCTTGTTTTAACTTCCGAGACACTTAGACATTTCAGACTATAAAAGCCATGCTATTGATACAATGTATCTTAAATAATTACTCATGATTCTATCTGCTAGATTTGCTGCGAAAACCTTTGCTCAAGTACAAGTCTGAACCTTTACGGGTGCTTATCAAATTATGCAATGAAAGTAAATATTTATATGTTTATCATTAACATTCAAAAACGTATAAAAAAGATATATATGGTTGCAATGGCTGAAGAAATCAAGGTCGATAAAGCTGTAACATTATTAGAGAAATCCTCATTATATCTTTTTGTATTTGTAATTATTAAATTGAGATACATGAACTTGATTTGCAGCCGTCATTAAGATGATTCAAAACATTCTTACTCACAGGCTTAAAGGTGATTAAATCCTGGAAATTGAGTGGTAAATATTTTCACGCGTTACCATTTCTAATTCTCATTTCTTGGCAAAGAATTAGAAGCCATTATCAATTTTTATGATGCTGTTGATACTTTGATATGGCATTGGTTTTCTGTTTTTCAATCCAACTTTGTTTCATGCGTGGATCCGTAAGTCAATTTGTGGATGCGTAGTGACGTTGTCTTCACGTTGAGAATTTGATACGTACTTATTTGTTATGATTTGGACCCCAAGCACAGTTTTAGAAGCAAAAGAAGATTGCTCTTATTTATTATGCTCGCTGTGAGCAAACGGCTTGTTATGCTAACTTTTAGGTTTAGCAGAGCTAAACGGTATTATTAGATATTTTCCACGCTGAACCACTGTCTGTCAAAAAGTGTTTCGTATTGTTCAATGTTAAATTGATGTGATTGCTAAGTTATTTTCGAAACAAAACAGCTGCTATAATTTTTTGGTTTTTATAAGTTTGAATACTGTTTTCTATTGTGTTAAATATTTTCAAAACTTTAAAAATTCACGTTCTCTCCTTAAAACATGATTCAATGTGAATAATATCAACCAACTGCAATCATGTGCGCGATAAAAAACTAATTTTGACTTAGATGTGTAGATTCTTTTGTAGAGCTACAAAAAGGATCTCACTGTTTTTCGCACTTGTAGTGTCTCAATATTTAGATTTTCAAATGTTTTCGCAGCAAGCAAGTCATATTCCAGTTAAACCTCAAAGGTCATAGTATTTATCTCTAATTGAAAACTTTTACTGTCCTGCCTCGTTGAATTGCTTAAGGTCATATCACAGAATCCTGATCCATCAAGACCTGAGAGGCGCATACGTCAACGACGGCCGATTTTTGTTAAGATTAGGTTTCTGCTTTCTATGTCATCTTTTAATAATAATATTCTAATAATTCTATGCTGGGTATTGATTATACGTTCTAGTTTGATACTGCTTTTGTTTCTACTAAGCTATGCATCAGTGTGAATAAATTATTGATAAAACTCTGCTGATTAGCCTCAAAAACTACAATTTGAATACGACTTCTAATATCGTAAGCTGGTCCTATCATTTATCTTTGCGACACTCATAGGTTTTGTTCATATGAAATATTTAGCTTAAGGCCCTATTTACACATGATTTTCACTATTAGTTTAAATCGTGACACCACATGTATTGCTTAAATCTAATGTGTGGAAGTTTTCTTATTTCATCGAGAAATTTCTGCCCCAATATTACTTTCACTATGCCGCAACATTATAGAAAAACTTTCAACATTTTATTGTTTGTTTTGAAGTCCCTTTTTGATGACAGAAAATTGATGGCTGATTTATAAGCCTCGATTTTTTGTGCTACAGTGGTCATCTCTTGTCCCCTTGATATGTTGATGTAATTATAGAAGAAATATTAATCGGAGAGGTTGGCATCTATTTAGCTCTGAGTGGTTTGTGGCTCTTTTTTTACTTGTTGCCCTTTACGGTACGTATGAGGTCTTTAGAGAGTCACCGCTTTTACCCTACGATATTACCTAACCCTTGTACACACTGAGCATGGTGTGATGTAGGTTCCAAGTAGCTAGAATGTTCACTGCAGACATTTTTACAAATAGAAGCACTAAATACAGTGTCTGCCAATTCCCCACTACCATCCTCAGCTTGCCCAATTTGAGATTTATTTTGGAGGTGCTATCAAATTTCGATGGAGTGTTGCTTTTCAAGCTTACTAAACTTATGCCCTTTAAATTAACTTGTGTGCCGCTCTTAAAATTTCTCAGTGGATCATACTGGGATTTTCCACTGAGACACCCTGAAAAATTACTAGTGAGCAAGCTATGATTCTCTTGGTAACCTTGCCTTGTGATTTTATCGGTATTTACACCTTATGTCTACTTTGGAATCATTCCGAAAATCTCAAGAGTCAGAGGCGGGTTAGAAGGGTCTGTGTCAGCACCAAGAGTTTCCATTGGCAAGATGGAGAATCATTTCCCATCCCTCATGGCCTCAAATTCAATGGTTAGATTGCATATTGCTGCTGCTATGGTGTCGACCGATATCATATGAATGTTTTTCCTGGTTTTTATAGGTATGGGGCTCTTGAATCCTACGTGATCAATTGAGATCTAATTAGCAATTCTTCGTACTTTTGAAGCTATCTGTAGTAAGAGTTTCTTTGGTCTTGCATTGATCCTATAGCTATTCCACTGATCGCAATAAGGAGGCTATTCGCGCAGGAAAGGTGACTCCATTTTGTGTCTCAAACACAGTGAAACTATGTTGATATACTAACTAATATGCTTTGGCTACGATAGCATCACTTTTACAAGTGTTTCACCGCAATTTTTAATATCAAACACCCTTCTGCCTATCAATTGGTGATGAGCATATACCAGCAACACGCAAAGAATAATTCGGTCAAAGAGCGTTACATTCAGACACATTAGTTCTATTTAATCATGACTGTTGTTCTACAGTTTGGACCCTTTACCTCCTTATCAAAACTAATCACAAGCCAGACAAATACTCACAAATCAAAACGGCATATTACACAACTTTTTCATCAGTTACACATGTTCTTTTAAATGATTATGCATACATTTTCATTGAATCGATCGGTGTGCATGAATTTTGCCATGATGTATAGTAAATTAATTATAATTCTAATTACCTCATAGCTATCGGCGTGTAATTAAAATATGAAGAGGCTATTGAAGTTTATCCGTATCTAATTTCAGTTTTCACTAATTAGAATCTAACCTAGTGCTTGACAACTGTTGATTCCTGGACTTTTAAAAGTCCAATGGGCGAAAAAATGGTTTATTCTGTCACCTTTCAGCTTTACCTAAAAGCCAAGCAAATGCATGCCAATTGGCTGAATAGTGTGGGTCTACCGTGATCCTACTTGGTCTGTCTTTATTTTTGGACATTTTGAATCCGATTGGTCCGATCCGATGTATATTCAGCTCATATTTTAGTTTTGCCTAACTGCAACCTAAACTAGTTCATGTCAATTGGCGGTAAAGAGAGGGAATTGCAATCCTGATTAAACCATGATCATGCCCAAAATTTTAGAATAAGAAAGTATCAATTAGATTCCCTTTCGGATCGTTTCAACATTTATCACTAGTTGTGGCCTAAGTTATTGCACGTATTTTGTCATATTTTAATAGTCGGTCTTTTGAGCTTATGAATAAGGGCATAATTATCTAACAGTTTTTGGAAAACAAACAGTCCGTACAAATATCTATTCGGTTCACTTATCTCGTTTATCTATCCTAATGCACACATTTAGACTAGTGGGTGTATTAACATTCCAATTTTTGCATGATGATCTTTGACCTTTTTGATACGAATGACCTCCTAGCGCTTTTCTCCTCTTCCTTTCTATTTCCTGTGTTTCGTAGCCTACAGTGTTTGAGGATTTCTCTAATAATGTTACAGCTTTATCGACCTTGATTTCTTCAGCCATTGCAACCATATATATCTTTTTTATACGTTTTTGAATGTTAATGATAAACATATAAATATTTACTTTCATTGCATAATTTGATAAGCACCCGTAAAGGTTCAGACTTGTACTTGAGCAAAGGTTTTCGCAGCAAATCTAGCAGATAGAATCATGAGTAATTATTTAAGATACATTGTATCAATAGCATGGCTTTTATAGTCTGAAATGTCTAAGTGTCTCGGAAGTTAAAACAAGGGAAGGTCTGGATGGGACCGGAGACTAAGATAGGAAATAAATGAGTCAACATCGAAAATAGAAGGTCCTATTACCGTGTAACTGAAGTAGAACCTCCACCTATCACACTTTACAATTTAGCAATTCGTACAAGTTTTAGACTGTAGTAGGGTTGAGGATTGAATTGTACAATACAGCGTAAAATCAGATAACGCGAATGATAATAGTGAAGTTAGTGTATGACTGGTCATGAGGAAAGGCGTAGCTGGCGTGTCACGCGTCTTCGCAAGTAATTTAAACTATGCCTTTCCTCACTATTGTTAATGTAACTAATGATACATCTGAAATCTTGCCTTTAATTTGCATAACATATGTTTAAACAAATATTTAGTATGTGTTAGAACTAATAAATACTTCCTTCCCATCATTTTTTAGAGTATGGATACGTAGCAGTTACAGGCGAAATGATTGTGCCATTGGCATATTGCGTCTATTTCTTGGCTCACGGACTGGAGATATTCTATTGCGGGATTAGAAACCCCCCTTTCACTCATTGATTGTGCAACCAGGAAGAGCGGATCAAATTGACTAAGATCACACGAATCGTACAACTCCATCAAATATGGCTTCTATTATACAATAGGCTACTTAGATAACCCAGACTAGATAACAAATTCGACCATCTCCACGCCGCAAATGAGTGTACAGCGCAAATTATAAAGCAATCATACTAGAGACCATTGACACACCAGTCCCATCGCAGTTTACGCATTCCAGCAATGCTGTATTCGACGAGGCGATATCATCTTCACTCGAAAGCCAAGCGATAGGCTAGGGAGAATGTCCTTGTCACAAAGAATCAAAAGTTAGAAGCACAGATGCATAGATGATGATTAACATAACTGTTTGACTCTACTGACGAGACACAAGAACGGTTTCCAAAGCTACCGCAATCAGCACTGCGCCAAGGCGGACCGCAGATTTCATCGTACAACGTCGTAGAGAAACGTTACAGAAATAACATTAAGATTCGCGTACCCTTGTTGCTGCTGTATCATATATTAGGCAGCCTGAAGAAAGATCCTGTCCCTTAAGCACCTCAGGCTGGCTGGATGGCCATTTATAGACTGTTGAAAAGCAGCTTTGTTGTGAGTGGTGGTGACCCCATAGAGGAGACAGTTTCACGCACTCGGAAGCAGATACTTAAGCCGATGGGTCCGTGTTGCTCTACGTAACAAACAATTTTTACCCCAAAGATAGAACACTCAAGGATAGACAGACTGCACACATCTATGCTCCTATCCACGTCGCCTAACGAGATACCTTAGGTTAGCATTGGAAGGCAATATCAAAGATGCCCACCAGCTATGCACGATGGGTGCGAGTAATAAGAAAGCCGATTTGAACGTTTTGCAGAAGATCTCCAGCAGCGTCTCTGTATTAGCACTAGAAGAGCTTTGGAGTTTAATATTCACCCAAATGGTACAAGAGAAGGCATCAGTAGGGGATGTACAACTCATCAACAAAGCTGTTGGACAGTTGGTGAGCTCTACAAGAAATCTACCAACGGTTGACACTATGTCTATGTTATCTGCTGCCATGTGGGCTTTATTACAGGGCAAGAAGGAGAGTGCGTTGCGTTTGGCAGCGCAATTAAGTGGTAGAACGGCGTCTTTGTAGTGCCTGAAGGTGTTTAGAATGCTCACCAAGACTTCTGAGAATCTGGACGATGCTGATGGGGAGGATGAGATGTTTGATAGTCAAATTGATAGGGAGATTGAAGATGCGACGATTTGGCTACTATAACCATGCTTTACTTGTTACTCGAAATGTCTTTGCCAGGCAATAAAGGGAAAGAGCAGGGTAAGCGATTTATAGGCTCACACTGCGATTGCGCTCTTTGCTTGGCTCACTCTATGAAAGGAAAGGAAAGCTGATTGTTGACGAAGCATATGATGCTGCTGTCGATTCTTTGCAAGTAATTGGCTACTAACTCATAGTAATCGAGATATGATGATTGTGTACTATTGGAGTGTATTGGAAAATTGATTATTTATAACTCCTTCACATGGGCTTTGAAACCTCATCGACCAAGAACTCGCAGTCCGCAGATGATACAAAAGAAAGCAGCAGAAGTGAGTTTCAGTGGTTACTTGCAAGCAACTTTCTAATAATCAACAGCGCTTTTGTCAATACGTGAATTCGTCTACTGATCCATTTCACGCAACGCACAGCGCAGTACAGCAGCTGGAGAGAGCAGGTTTCAAGAAGCTCAGTGAGCACGCTTCTTGGAATGGGCAACTTCAGGCCGGCTCCAAATACTATTTCACCCGCAACCAAAGCTCCGTCATCGCATTCACCCTCGGTGCCAAGTACAACGGCAGCGGCGGTCTCAGTGTTATTGGTGCACACACAGACTCACCAAATCTGAGAGTTAAACCGGTGTCCAATAGAGTCGCCCAAGCTTATCTCCAAGTCAAATGCGAGACGTACGGAGGCGGTATTTGGCACACGTGGTTCGACAGAGATTTGGGTATTAGTGGACGCGTAATAGTACAGGAAAGCGAATCATCACCTAAATTTATAAGTAGGCTCGTTAAGATTGATAAACCAATACTGAGGATACCATCATTGGCTATTCATTTGGACCGAGAGGTTAACCCATTCAAATTCAATGCAGAAACTCATCTTACGCCTATTCTCGGTCTCGTGAATGAACAGTTGAACTCAGCTGAGGCCGTCGATGCAATGAAGTCCCAGCATCTCTACGACTCGCACCCAGTCGAGAAACACCACCCAATAATGTTAAAAGCTATAGCTAAGGAGCTCAATGTCGAAGTTTCTCAAATCCAAGACTTTGAACTGAATTTATTCGACACCCAAAAAGCGACTTTGGGAGGTATTAATGACGACTTCATTTACTCATCTCGCCAAGACAACTTGCTGTCTTGTTTTGCTGGTGTAGAAGCGCTGGTCGAATCTTCCAAGAATCTGGAGAACGACGATAGGGTTAGCTGTCTGTGCCTATTTGATCACGAGGAAGTAGGGAGTGCATCCACATCCGGTGCTGACGGCTCACTCTTGCCTGACTTGATACATAGACTAAGTTCGGAGCTGAGCAAGTCCAACCACGCCAAAGCATCTTTCGAAGAAATCACTGCTAGATCATACATCATCTCTGCGGATATGGCTCATGCTGTACATCCAAACTACGCAGAAAAGCACGACGACCTGCTCAGGCCCAAGATGGGAGGTGGTGTTGTAGTGAAAACCAACGTCAAACAGCGCTACGCAACCAACTCAATCACTTCATTCTTGTTGAGCAGATTAGCTGAAATAGCTAAAGTCCCTTTGCAGCATTTCAGCGTCAGAAACGATATACCCTGTGGATCAACCATCGCACCTATGCTAGCTAGCAAGACTGGTATTCAAACTGTAGACATTGGCTTGCCACAGCTGGCTATGCACTCGATACGCGAAGTAAGTGGAAGTGAGGATACCCAGCACCTCATCAACCTCTTCACGTCATTTTACGAGAACTACGGGCAGGTACAGACCTCAATTGTTGTAGACTGAAAATTTATTTTAAAATAAGTTAAATCTTTTCATAAAAGTACACATAGCCTTTACCAATAAGCGAGTTGAGGTTAGTATCAGACTCCTTGACTACCTTCTCGTCATTGAAGAGGATCCACTCATCGTCATGTTTGACGTGTGCGACATAGTGTCCTGAATGAACAGACGGACCTTTGTGAGAGATAAATGCCTTGAGTGCGTACTGTGCAGGAGTAGCTTTCGAGCCAGGCTTAACATCGTCTTCTTCCATCGGCGTATTTAGCACCTCCTCTTCGCCTGGGTCCGAAGGATTGTCGAATAACCAACCGACAGCAACTTCGACGTTATTAGACTAGTTTGTATGAGCATTATGTAGGAGTATAAATTAGAAACTTACTGATACTCGCAAAGCCTTTCTTGCCTGATTTGGAGTGAAGCCCATCCCAGTAACGACACCATTAAGATCATCACCACCGTTGGTATCGGCAGTTGGCGCCTCTTCACCCTCGTCATTTGGATTCTCGAATAACCAACCGACTGCCATCTCGACGCTGTTTTGACTATTCTTGAGTGCCTTCCTGGCCTGGTTCTGTGTGAAACCCATATCTGTAACCATATTGAGCAGCTCGGCAGGAACGTCTTCTGTAGTCTTTTTTGGCTTTTTCGTCTCGACTGGATCATCTAAACCTTCATCCTCCATATGTGCAAATAACCATGCAGTCGCAGCTTCCACGCCAGTGTGGTCAGTATTAATAAGGGACCGCTTAGCTCTGTTCTCGCTAAATCCCATACCTTTCAAGTTAGACAGCGCTTCGTCATCGAATTGAATCTCATCTCCATCTTCATCTTCGGGGAGATCGACTTCGCCTTCTTGGCGACCTTCAGTCTGCAGCTGCGTCAGATCCACTTTATCGACACCCTGCACTGCAATATCAAGCTTCGTTGGGACCCAATTGACGAGGTGGAATTTGCGTGTGTGGAGAATTAGGGCATCAGGGAAAGTTTCTAAATTCCATGTCCTGCGTGATGTGTGAGGGACAAGATTGGCGTGATAATCGTACTTACTTAGTCGCTTTCACTTGGGTTTTACAGGATGGACAGTTGTAATCAAGTTCATCTGGGCGCTTGAGCGTGTCTAAGCACTCTTCAGCGCTCACATCCTCATACGTAACTTTGCCGTTATCTGACTGTGCATGCTCGCGCACTGGTATGTCTACACTTATGCTGTCGTGATTATCGTACCTGTAGCGAACTTTATGACATGCGGTGCAAGTAAGCTTTTGCTCAGCGACGAATGAGAAAAGACGCTTTATTGAAGATGGTGTGTCGCTTTTCTTAAGCACGTCGAGAAAATGACATAAAAATTCCTCACTATCCTGTTGTCTCATAGTAGAAAATTCAGGGTGACCCTTGCCGATAAGATCTTTGAACATGGCGGGTTTAACGCCGTCTTGGAACTGACCCTTGAGAGATTTGGTGGAGTAGCGACCTGAACCAAGACCGTCTGCAATCTTAGCTAATTGTACGAGGAGATTTTGGGCAGCGTTTTCGACATCACCGCCATTGAGCTCATTGAAACGATCAAGGTAGTGGTTTCTGATAGCAGGGTAGCTGAAAAAGCTCTGTAAGGTACTGTTCATGTAGCAGCTATTACCAAGATTCTTAAAACCAGTTAACCATTTCCCGAAGACGGGCTGGAGCTCTGCGCCATCGTCACCTGTCATACTAAAATCAAACTTTGAATTTTGTTCAAGCTGGAGCTCAGTGAGAGACTTAGTTGTTTTAACTTGAGATGTGATTTCGATACCGAAAGTGCTAAGGTCATCGGCGAGATTAGGGTTTAATCTTTCTTCATTGCAAGCATAACAATAGATATCTGCAGTACCTTCAGCAGTGATAGTGCCAAGTTTTACAGCGACAGCGTGACCAGAATTCTCGTAATGTGACAACGCATGTGAGTTGCCTTGTAGACCGCCGAATTGAGCGCGACCACAACCCAATTCACCGCAAGTCAAGCAAAGCCATAAATTATCATTCAGAGAACATGCATGGCAATGCGCATCAGTCATTTTGACCAATTTCTTATCGGGTTGAGTGGAGCGAACGCTGCGGCTGTGGGAGCATTCACTCAGCTCCTCTTCCCATGCTTTAACTTCAGAACGGTGTGCTTGAGAATCTGAGGCTAAAACGGCTAATATTTGAGATTCGATGGTGGATGAGGATGTGGTTGGGTATGTGACGTCGCAGAGAAGACAGCGTAGGTTGTAAGCATAGCTGAATTGCTCCTCCTCACGCTGCTCTTCTATGGCTAGTTTCTTGAGTGGTGGCTCTGCCTTGTCGGAATCCTTGGGGCTTCTTTTGATGTTGAGTGCTAGTGGATGGTGACGACTGCGAGCGTGAGCGTAAGCGTGCTGGTGAATTGATTCACAGGCACCGTTGAAGCAATGGAGGCAGACGTCTACGCCCTTCTCAGAGTCCTGTTTTCTCCATGAGTGCGTGGCTCTACTAGCTACAGTGATAAACAAACCTGAGAATCAAAGCAGCGTGTACACTCATCCTTATACACGGTATCATATATTCCAGGCTTATTTAATTCTGGTGGCGATTTTATATGCTCACACATCATTGTCGTAGTGCAAGCGTATAGATGGACAAACAAAATCATAATTTCTGTCTAAATTTTATTTTTTACCTTAAAAGATATCATTCGCTGTACATTTATCTAGCGTGTGGCCATATCCACCCTAACTCAAAATCAGTTTTGTCAATATCAAAGACATATAACTCACGCAATCATCGCAGTACTCCCCTCTATTCCCTTTCATTGATGTATCTGATAGGCCTGATGCAGCAGCTAGCGCTGATTCTGCTCTATGCGGTGTACTTGGTACCTTAGATGTGTTACTGCTTGGTCGTCTAGCATCCCTCATAAACTCTGCTATCAATGGATCTTCATAATCTTCATTTTTTGAGTTGTTCTCTTTATTTGAATTGTCAGATGGTTTTGAGGTGTTAGTGCCATTCCATTGCTCCTTGTCATTGGCTTCAGTGCCGCGTTCAGGTATATTTAGCTGTGCCCTTAATTTGACTAGTTCACGCTCCATGTCATCCTTCAAAGCGTTAACATAGTTAAAATGCACCACATATACACCCACCTCCTTGAATATCTTTGCTTCCAGGAGTGATTCGAGTTCATTGATGTCGTGATGAGACTGCCGATGCGTCAAAAACCAAAATCGTTCTTGAAATATTACCAACCTTGCTTTCTACCTCTTTTCGCCGGCGTTCACTTTGCTTAAGTTGCTCTTGCAGACTTGACATGTCTTCCTTGGGAGAAACAATACCAGCATCACCAGTCAAGTGACTGTGTGTACGTGTGCGCTCCTGTTCAATTTCTAGTTGATCTTCCAACTGTCTCACTTTGTTTTTAAGAATAGATATTTCGTTCAATGACGCTTCCTCCTTAACCTTCTCCCTGTCAATCCCACCCCTCCGACTATTCTCCTGACGCAAAAAGTCACATTCACGTTTAGATACGTTAATGACATTTTCTGAGTCCTTGAGTCGCTCATTCAATGCATTTAATTCACTCTCTATCTCGTCAATCTGCTCGGCATGCTGGGATTGCTCCGTTTCAAGGCGTCTGTAAAGCTCATTAACCCGCTCGTTACCATCTTCATCCACTTTGAGGTTTTCAAAGTTGTCAATATCCGATTGGAGTGATTCAGCATGTGCGCGAGCGGCCTCAAGCAGTTCTTTAGTCGACGTCAGAGCATCCTCCAACTCTTGTATCCTAATAGTTCCAGAAGTACAATCCGCCTGACTAGCTTCTAACTCTCTACTACCTTCTGTCAACTGTGCATGGAGATGCCTTATATCTTGATGTAACTTGTCTATCTGTTTTTGCGTATCTAACAACATATTCTCTCGTTCTCGGTCGAGTTCATTAAAAGCCTCCTCGCTGCTACTTAATTTGGTGTTTAAGTGGGCAAGTTGTTCCTTAAGAGATTCATTATCAATCTCCGCGGCCGTAATCTGACGTCGTGCAGTGGTTCCTGGGGAGGCAGGATGAGATTGAGCGGTAAGAGATGCACAGTGTGACTCCAAAACTCTGATACGCTCATCAGATTCGAATTTGCGTGCTTCAGTCCCATTAAGGCGCTCCTCGTAGAGAGCTATAGTCTCCTGGCCAGCGTGGCGGAGATCTTCGGCGAGTGACTCTAAATCTTCTTTTTCAGTAGTAAGCTGTACACATCGCGCGTCGAGAGAAGCGAGTGAGGTTTCTAATGAATGAATTTCAGCAATTTTGGAGCGAATTTCAGCCTGGAACTCTGCCTGAGTTCGGGCGAGTGTGGCATTTAGTTGTGCAATCTCGCTTTCCAGTTGTGCAATCCTGGACTGGTGTGTGTGGATATCTTGGGTATGTGTGTATTTCAGATCGCTTAACAATTTTGCATGTTCCGATTCACTCAATTTAATCTGAGACTCTTTAAATTTGATTGCAGCCAAAGCATCTTGAAGATGAGAAGAAGTGTCATTGAGTTGGGTGGAAGCGTTGTGTAGCTGCGTAGAAGTGTCTTGGAGTTGCGAGTATGTATTTTCAAGTTGAGTGGAGGTATTAGAGTGTGAAGACTGAAGATCACTCAATTGAGATAATTGCGCCGCGTGCTTCTCTTTAAGTGAAGATAACTCATCACTAATTAGATCATCTGGGTTCAGACCGCGTGAAAAAGAAGGGCGGTGAGAAATGGATTGCCTGGAAGGAGTGCGCTGACTAATACGACTAGAAGGGCGATCAATGGATTGCTGTGAAGGAGTTCTCATACTGGTAACAGAAGACGAGCGTCTATGAGGAGTGGAGGTGTTCGACATGGAATTTAGACGTGTACGAGTGAGAGTAGGCGGGGAAGAAGGAGGAGGCATATTATCAACGCTCTTTAACCTGTTTATAGATTGCCTTGGTTTAGGTGTGGATAATGAAGTACGCGGTTTCGTAGGAGTTCTCAAAGAAGGCTGAACAACTTGAGTAACTTTATTAAGCTGTATAAATATTCCATTGCCTTGCTTGCAATTGAAGTAACGTGTACCTTCAATGCTGCCGTCATTCTTCCCCTTGCCGTGATGCACAGGTAGCAATTCCAAACCAAGCCAATGACCTTGCTTGAAGTGAGTCTCTCCTTGGAATTTCAAATAACCTTGTAAATTTAAATGATCAATTTTAACGAGGCTATTAAGTTTATAATGTCGTTGAGTTGGTTCACTCATCATGGTTTTTAGGGATGAAGACATTTTAAACGACGTTGAAGGCAATACTAGTATTTTAAATAGAAATATCATTTCAGTTCAAGGTAATAGCATCATCATTAGAAATTTCAAATGTGAACCTCTATCTCGAATAAACCTCAACATAAAACCAAATTGCTATGATATTTACAAGGATAAACTACTGGTCGGTTACTTGGATGGCTTGCTTGAAATTTATTCAATCGAAAAAGGTACTTTGATTACATCTGTCAAGCAATCATCCATCAAATCAATCATCCAAGGCACCGATGAAGGTCATCTAGCTGATAATCCTATCATGAAAGTTTTCATGTTAAACTCACACTCCCTTATATCACTAGATACATCTAACAAGCTATTCTATACCTCCTTCAAAGGTATTCAACGGCTCAAATGGCTTGATGGTTTAGACAAACACAGGTTATACGGCAACTACAAGCAATATCCACCATCACACCAATCAATTATCTTAGATGTCTTACCTTTTAATCACTTGGTTGCTATCTTAACCCCTTCAAAGTTACTAATTATTACTCTTTTACCAAAACCTTCAATCATTTATAAAGCTATAAACACATCTTATACCCCTTCTACATATGGTAACCTATCTTTCAACAACGATCACCTCATCTTCAACTGGTCAAACACCCTCTACAAACTTTCTGTTTCAGATAACTTCTCTTCTACAAACTCAAACCTCCCTTTACACGTCTCATCTTGTCATTGGCTAAGTCATCTCATTCTCATCCGTTCTCCCTCCAACTTGATCCTCATTCACCCTTCTTCTTTCGATGTCTTAGAATCTCATCCTCTAAAAACTCCCACTCAGTCTCAATTCCATGTCTCTGATAGATCCTGTTATTACCTGGTTAGTTAGTCCACAATCCATTTATTTTCACTAACCTAACAAAGTATAACAACACTCTCCACAAATCTACCCTCCTAAATTACAAATCTAGACTAAATGACCTTATCATCAGCAATCAGCCCATAGAAGCTTTGCAACTTGCTTTAAATTTTTTCATGGGCAAAGTTGGCGACCCCCTCACCACACAGCTCCCCGACAATCCCACACAACGTCATTCCGCGCTACAACCTTACATTTCTACTCTACTAGGTTCTTCAACGCGTTATTTACAACTAACCATCAAATCTCAAAGTTTGGATGCTTTAAAGTATATCGCAAAATTACTCATAGACGCTTCCATCTTAGTTGACTCTTTCGATATTCTTTACAACGATGTGTTTGATATATACCAGACCGCAAAACGCGACAAAGAGTTTTTGGAGCAACTGGAGCCTATCGTGAGGAGTGGCCAAGTGGGGAGTATACCACCAAATGTCTCACAATTACTTCTCCGACTATACGATCCTGAGCATCATCAAACGCGTTATCAAGACTTGGTAATTCAACTCAATCCCGCCGAGCTAGATATAAATGGGGTTATCAAAACTACACGCCATTACAAACTTTGGAAGGCTTTTATTTTTGTGCATCTTACAGCACTTCAAGATTTTACCACACCATTACTCCATCTCATCAGTATAATAAGATTTAGTGAGAGCGCGGATGTGGAAATTGGCACACTATTCGCATACCTCGGACACACACTCAGTGATTTAGTATACCCTACCCAACAGTCGCTCGATTCTATCGGTGGAGACGTCGTGTCAAACAAGGCAAAGTCAGATATTTACAGTTTAATATTTCGTGCACGCCTGCATCCTGATGACGATATGTCACCATCACGCACACCTGACACAACCCCTTCCCATTCTCTTTCCTACCCTTACATGCGGGTGCTATTGCAGCTGAATGCTCGCGTAACCTTTGCCATCCTCAACACGGGCTTTGAAGATGGCTACTTCAACGAGCATGCACCCATCTCACGCCAGACGATCATCAACACGCTGTTAGAGATGGTTTACACGCACGATCTAAACGCGGACACTATCGCTCATGTTGAGGTGTTTGTAGCAAGTAACATTAGCAAGTACCCACAATTCATCCTTCTCCCATCAAGCACTGTCTTGCGGCTACTGCGCGGCTTGTCGGTTGAGGATGGAGAAGAATCTGGAGTGTCTCACCTAGAGCGTGAACTGGCTGTACAGAGCTTGTTATCAACTTTCACTCTTCCCTCACTTTCTAAAATCCACTCAGATTTGCTTGGCACATTTGAGCGCGCGCGGTTCTACAAGATACTCAAGTCGATCTATAGAGCTAGGCGGGTGTGGGCGGAGTATACCAGGGTGGTACTGAGTGATGGAGACATTACTCTATTTAGTGATCTCGACGTTGCGTTTAGGAATGGTGGCGATGGGCTCTTTGATGTGTTTAAGGGGTATGTTGATGACGCTCTCAAGCTTAATACTGAGCAGGTCGTCGCTCTCGTTGAGAAGCACAGCATCAAGCCTGACGAGACGCACAAAATGCTTGTGCGGTGGTGCAAAGATAGCGCAAACACTGTGCTGTATCTCAAAGCGGTGCTCGAGCAACGTGGTGATGGAACTGCGATGGATTTGAAGCATGAATATATTTCACTCCTGGCACAGAGGCAATCGCAAGAGCATGAAAGTCAAGACCAATACGGAGTTGAAAGCAATGATATTTGTGCAGTGATAGACGAATATACATTCGATGCAAGCTTTTTACACAATCTTTTCACGCAGCACAAGAACATTGCTGCGCAGATGCACCTCCTATATCAGGAAATGCGACTTGTTGAGGCGTTTGAATGCCTTAAGGAGAAGGTGTTCACTGAGTCAGGTGTAGGAACACAGACGCGTGCATTGGAAAAAGGAGCTGAGCTGGCTGTCAAGTATACCAACACACATTATGGGGATGAAGATGCTGAGCGATGTACCCAAATTTGGCATACTATTATGGTATCAGCAATTGAGACCATACAGCACCACAGTCTTACTGATGTTCTACTGGAAAAGGTGTTGAATGGGCTACTGATGCACACTTACAATCACAATGTTAAGTACTCGACACTTTTCAGCCATCTCTGCAATCACTTCAACACATCGAACTCAGTTTCAGGTTCGCATTTGCAAACTCCTAGCCAATTTCGCACTATTCTCTTAATGTTCTTGGAGAGCATCAGAGCGCGCCTCGAGATCTACACGGTGGGTGCGCGGATAATGGACGCCGAGTGCGCACAGAAGCTGAAAATGTATGGAGAGAAGAGTGCGCAAGGATGGCGAGTGAGTGAGGATTACAGGCGAGAGTTGGAAGAGCTGAGGGGGTATATTGAACAAAGCGAGGAGTTGCACGATTTGGCTGGGCAGTTGGAACATCAGGGCGTTGATTGGAGAAGTATGTTTGAGGTACCGCACGTAACTAGAACAAGTGTGGAGGTGTATCAGACGTGATTAAAGTGCTGGATGAAAATTTGTCTAACAAATGTCCAAGATGATTAAGGAGAAAGAATATACAAATTACGACATACCAAAAAGATATTGCGCTTGTTTTGTAGAACAAATTGAATATCGAAATCCTTATCAAATCACCGTCATCGCTAGCTCATGGACAATCGCAGAGTACGGCGTTTGGAGGAGGCGGTAGTAAACAGAATAGCGGCTGGAGAGGTGTGGTATGTGCTTGCGTGTATTTTTCCATCTCACAGGCCTAGATTATCCACCGACCGGCAAACGCAATCAAAGAGATGTTGGAGAACTCTCTCGATGCAGAATCTACGAATATAAAGGTTACGGTGAAGGATGGTGGCCTGAAGCTCCTTCAAATACAAGATAACGGTCGTGGGATTGATGTGAGCTGCAAGCTGCGTTACAGATACACGCTCACATGCTGCCAGAAAGAAGACCTGCCAATTCTTTGTGAGCGCTTCACAACCTCCAAAATACGCAACTACGACGACTTGCAATCAGTCTCGACATTTGGCTTTCGCGGAGAAGCCTTGGCTTCGATATCACACGTCGCTCATGTCGCAATACTCACTAAACGCGACGGGGACAGCGCTGGATGGAAGTGGGTTTCGATTTTCTCGAATCTAACTGCGCTCATTACGTCCACTGTAGAACCGCGTACTCGGATGGTAAGCAAACCCAGGAATGCTCACCGGCAGCGGGTAACAAAGGCACAACTATCACCGCTCACGACCTCTTCTTCAATGTTCCCCTGCGCAGACGTGCACTGAAGAATGCCAACGAGGAGTACACCAAGATTGTCGATGTCGTCACCAGATACGCCGTTCACTATCCCTCAGTTTCATTTGTATGCAAGAAGGTGGGTTTTTTTTTTTTATCTACAAGCACTATTTCTAACAAATCCAGGTTAATGCGAATGTCCCCGATATATCAACGCTCTCCAAATCATCCACACCGATGAACATAAAAGCATTATTTGGTCCACAAGTCGCGAAAGAGCTGCTACGCTTTGAGACTGAAGATACACTTTTAAACTACAAATGCAATGGCTACGCAACATCCACCAATTACGCCAGTAAGCGAACAATAATGCTCATCTTTATCAATCATCGTCTAGTAGACTGTCCTAGTCTCAAAAAGAGCATCGAAAACGCTTACAGTGCGCTCTTACCTAAAGGATCTCATCCATTTGTCTATTTGAGTCTAGAAATCCCTCCTAGCAACCTAGATGTGAATGTTCACCCTACGAAATCGCAAGTACATTTCATCGATGAGGATGACATCATAGAGCATATCACTGACGCACTCAGCAACAAACTGTCGACGTGCAATACATCCAAGAGCTACGACGTGCAGACATATCTCCCAAAATCTAAGCCAGTGGCTCAGCTATCTAACGCTAGCTTTCTCACAAGCTTCGTTAAGCCACCGCCAAAATCTCAGATACGCACTGACGGAATGACAAGAACGCTTGATTCCTTTATACCAATTGCACAAACTCAATCGCCAGCACCGACGCAATCATCCACACCCGTCCATACATCTACTTCCAAGCAGACACCCTCTTCAACTCCTGTCAAGCGAACGGTAGAAGACTCTGAATCGCCTCGCTCATCAATAAAACACTCCCAATCAATTCGCACTCCAGTGGAGAAAATCAAAAGCAATAAAGTTAATCTTAGCTCTATACAGAAGTTACGTAAAAGTGTGCTAGACGATAAAAACCAGGATGCTATTAATATGGTCAAAAACCACACTTTTGTCGGATTCGTAGACGTTTCTAGACAATTGGTCTTGATTCAACATAACACTGAGCTCATTATGCTCAATTATGATAAATTTGCGTAAGTTCTCAAGCTCTGGTTGACCTCCCCTTATTAAAGACGCGATAGGCTCGAACTCTTCTATCAAATTGCCCTCAACCAGTTCGGGAATATGGCGAAATTTGAACTCAATCCACCTCCCAAAGTACGCACACTCATAGAAATAGCATTGAAGGTTGAAGAAAGCGCTATTGTGGAGTGTGGTGGTAGTTATAAGGAGGTTTTGGACAAGATCGTTAATATTCTTATTAGCAGAGCTACTATGTTGGAGGAGTATTTTGGCATAAGGATTAGTCAGGAAGGTAATCTGGAACGCTTACCGCTGTTACTAAAGAACTATACGCCAAACATTGATGCATTGCCGACTTTGCTAATGAATCTAGGTCCTTTGGTGAGTTAATACTCTTCGTACAAATACCAACTAACTCAATGTGCTCAGGTTAATTGGGAGGAGGAAGAGGAGTGCTTTGATAATATACTCCAGCAAATCGCTGCATTCTATGTACCTTCTAAGCAAGACAATGACGCTGTTAGATGGCAGATCCAACACGTTTTGTTTCAATCAATAGCAAAGAATCTCGTACCGTCACACGATCTAGCTCAGAACGCCATCACTCAAGTAACAAGCTTACCTGCCCTCTATAGAATATTCGAACGTTGTTGAAGTTCACCGTGTATTTTTACTTATATATTCATTATTTATAACAACATACTTTCTATCCTGGTAATTTTGCCATATTTGCTATTGAAAGAAATGAAAACTTTTACCATCCACGTTGGGCAAATTGACCACCCTTAAGGTTCCTGTCAACGTTGAGACCCACCATAGCCTCACCAAGACCTTCACTGACTTGAGCGAGCACCTTTGGATTCTGGTAGTGGGTTGTTGCCTGCACAATAGCCTTTGCACGCATAAGTGGGTTGCCTGATTTAAAGATACCGGAGCCAACAAAGACACCATCGCAGCCCAATTGCATCAGCATAGCAGCATCAGCTGGGGTGGCCAAACCACCAGCAGCAAAGTTAACGACAGGCAATTTTTTCAGCCTTGCAGTTTCCTTGAGGAGGTGGTAAGGAGCCTGGAGTTCTTTAGCAAATGCATATAACTCCTCTTCTTCCATTGAGGAAGCTTTCCTTATGTCAGACATAAGTTGGCGCTCGTGTCTAACAGCTTCGACGACATTTCCAGTGCCAGCTTCGCCTTTAGTTCTTATCATCGCTGCACCTTCGCTGATTCTTCTTAATGCCTCACCGAGGTTTTTACAACCGCAAACGAATGGTACCTTGAATTGGTGCTTGTTGACTGTGTAAGGTTTGAATTGGCTGGGTTAATTCAGAGCTTTCCACTTACTGTGATGTTGCTCGTCTGCAGGTGTGAGTACTTCAGACTCATCAATGTAGTCAACGCCACATTCTTGGAGGATTTGTGATTCAACGAAGTGTCCGATACGAGACTTTGCCATGACAGGAACTGAATATAATTGTTAATTGTACCAGCCTTGCTAAATATACGACGTACTGGTTACAGCATCAATAATCTCCTTGATCAAAGCAGGGTCAGACATTCTCGCCACACCGCCCTCTTGACGAATGTCAGCTGGTACACGTTCAAGTGCCTTTTATTGAATCAAATCAGATTAATCCCTTTAGCTTCTGAGTGGCACACACCATAACAGCACATGCACCGGCTTCTTCAGCGATACGAGCTTGTTCAGCGTTAACGACGTCCATAATAACACCACCCTTAAGCATTTGTGCAAGTCCTTGTAAAACGTGAGTCATTGATGATGCCACACTTGCACATCACTCACCACTCTTCACTGAAAATGTACCAATGCTGGTATCACCACCCTTTCCATTCTTTTGCGTTGATTGACCACCAGTTGGTCCTACGATTGTTGGATTTTCTGCAGACATTGTGATTGTTGTCGATAGAAGCCTTCTGAGTCACCGCTGATTAATTCGAGGGTCTTGAAGGGAAAAATTGTTGCCAAGTTTCAGCGAGATCAATTTAACTAATATCCAAACCAACATCTTATCTTCTTTGCTACTCATCGTGATACCGACGGCAAATATTACATATGGCGCATGATGCCGCGGTTTAGCGATAAAACATTTCGCGCATATTTTGTTCTACATACTTTTCTCTACAGTCTACCTTCTTACTATCTAATCACTTTCATGGTATTATATCACCGCAATATCTTGTCACATCAATTATCTAGCATACAGAGCGTAATTCTTGTGACTTTCACGTTGTATTTATATACAACACAATATCTTTAAAAAGCAATGAGGATTCAAGAACAAAAACGTCATTTACAACAAAGGGGCCGTTCTCCGCTAATTACATGTTCACTCACGAGTTTGTCAAAGCACCTCGATGAATTGAAAGTTGAGCAATATTGGTACCATTCTGTAGCGATTGTGTTCTTGACATATTCGAGAGTGGATTCATCTTGAACAGTGTAGTGATGTCCTCTTTACTAGTACAGATAGATCTTACTTGTTACAGGGAGTATAGCTTGGAAACTAATACGAAAATCCTAATACATTGCCTTCTACGATTTCAACGCAGTCTAAACCTCTTTCACTTCCGTATTGAATGAAATTTCGAAATGCACCAAGTGAAGCCAAAGTCGCGATTTCAGAGTGGGGCTAACCCCTTTTTGTTTGCATAAACCGAATGTGCCAGTATGCAATGAGCTGGGATGATAATACTTTTCCTGGAGCCAATTATCCCGTGGATTTTAATCGTTGTAAAACGTAAATCGCGTTTATAAAGCCGACTATTTGAGCAACGTAATTGCTCGTAGTCTCAATCAGCTGAAAATGTTTGTTATTTTACGGAATAAGCGCGTAAGAGTCTCCATAATAGCGTGCTCTAGAGCGACTTTGATTCCAACTTCCGAATAGCCTACTACAGGGCGGTAATCGAGGCACAAGGATAGAATTTTGATAAGACCTTATAAAGCTTATTCGGGAATATTTAGAAAGCTTTTTATTTGGAGATCATCACAACTCGTTAATCAGCCATCTGAGATGATATAAATGTTAGTCGAGTAATTCAACTCGGTGCATATTGAAGTACATTTGATATGGCAATGTAGCTGAAGCGATGAGGGTGCCGCGAGAATTATCGTGTGGCTAAATTATAAAAATTTTCAGCACATCGAATGTCTGCGTTCGTCTCATCACTTACTCAGTCATTTGGAGGAAGTCTTGTGCAAATAAATTCAATAATAAGTAAGTGATAGCACAAAAATAACTTTATAACCTGCCTTTACATCCCTTAAACACAACTTAATGTCATCAGATTGAACATTTGTGAGGTGCGAGGGGAAAAATGTATTGGGAATTAAATCCATTCGCTAATAAATGTCTTTACACCATAGCTAGCTACTCAAATACGTTGTGATATCATGTATCATTATACATTAGCAAAGAAAATATAAATCCTATTAAAGATCGTTTGATAAAATGAAAACAGAAGAGACATGTGGTTTAGCTGACAAGTCAACTTGAGTTGTCTCGTCTGCTATGGACAGATAGACTGTCAGGTATATGATGACGTAATTATGCGTCCTTCGAATAACGATTTACTCATGACAGCATCACCGTAGAGCTCAACCTGATGGATAATATCGCCATTATTCACCATTACTTTCTTCTCCTCATCGCTGTTTTGTGGCGTGCGCAGAAGCAGCTCAATTGACTTGTGCAAAGGACTTTCAAGCTGAAAGATGGCGTGCTTCTCACTCTGTACTTGTGGTAATTGACGCAGAATAGAACTATAGAGGAAAACGGATGCCTGGAGAGCGGTGTCATTACATAGTAACGTTAAAGCTTTAACGCCTTGAACGCCATTGGTGTGCTCTAAGCTATCTGGGACGCGTAGCTTCCGAGGAGTTTTGTCGCCACAATAGAAAGGAATGGAACCACGTGGATAATGCTTGTGGGGGAAAGAGACAGACCATTGAATGCGCGTACCATCAGCCAATAACCTGCCGCCATCGATGGGTTCGTCGTAGAACTCTTCAATACCGGTTTCACCGCGCTTTACGCCAAGACAAGCCCAGTCAATCCAACCTGGAAGCTTATCGGCCCAGAAGTGGGAATGTTTTTTGGATGAATCAACAAAAGCAATGAGCTCGATATAGACGCCGTCGCGAAGCTGCATGGAAGTTTGAGAGAGTAATTGGAATGCTGAAGGACACCTACGACAAGAAGCATATTCTCCGTTCGGCCGTCTGCGTGTGTCCCACCATTCTGGACAGTGAAACCAGCAGCGGTGAAGTTGGCAGCAACAGCATTTAGATCAGCACAAAGAAATACCAGATGATCGAGTACATTTGGTTTTACTGGAAGAGACATATCGTGGCAGTTTGGGTGCAACAGAGTGACGTCGCTTGATCAGTTACAATCACGAGATGCGGATGAAAGGCGGGAATATTCGTCGGTATTCCACAGCGCACTCCTACAAGCACACTGTCACTCTCCCAAAAACTAATTTCCCTTTACGGGCGGATCACGCTTCGTTATCAAGATACACGGATATTACAACAACAAATCTCTACAACTGGCAGAGTAGAGAAGTTGACAAAGATCCTTTCATTCTCCACGATGGCCCTCCTTACGCTAATGGCAATCTCCATATGGGCCACGCACTCAACAAAATACTTAAAGATATCATTCTCAGGTACAAGCTCATCACTGGTAGCTCTGTACACTACCACCCTGGCTGGGACTGCCATGGCTTGCCTATTGAATTAAAAGCCCTCGAATCGCTATCGAAAGGCGGTCAGAATGGTCCACTGGGTGATGCTGTCGCGGTCAGACGCGCTGCTCGTGACACCGCATTAGACAGTATCCAAGTACAGAAGACCGAGTTTGCTCAATTTGGTTTACTCGCAGATATGCGCAATCAAGACACGACTTACCGCACTCTCGACCACCAATATGAGATGCGCCAGCTGAATCTATTCAAAGATCTTGTTAAAAATGGTAAGCATGCTAAATTTTATCTGGTTTGCTCACTCTAACATTCTCGAGGCCTCGTTTATCGCGCTTTCAGACCTGTTTACTGGTCACCGTCCTCTCAGTCGGCATTGGCGGAGGCTGAGTTAGAATACAGCGACACACACACTTCCTTATCACTCTATGTAGCTTTTCCTGTAGTATCCAAGTCACAGGCTCTCAGTGATGCTCTCCACAACCATAACCATCCCATCAAGCTGCTCTGCTGGACTACTACACCTTGGTCGCTCGTTGGTAATATGGCTGTATGCGTACATCCTGATCTCAATTATGGAATTGTCGAAACAGACAGTAGCGAGAGATATATCGTAGCAATTGACAGATTGGAAGCAATGAGGCATATATTGGGTGACTTCAAAGTCATAGCTACAATATCAGGCGAGCAGCTGGTCGGATGCACATACACGCCACCCTTCCATGCACAAAATGCTATTCCGCCCGCTTTCCCACTTCTCGCCGCGCCTCATGTCAGCGCGGATACCGGAACTGGGTTGGTGCACACAGCCGCTGCACATGGGCACGATGACTACATAGCGATCCAAAATGAGCTCAAAAAGCATAGCCAAGGTGGACCTGCAGAGCACAATGATAACCTGCACGTAGCAGCAGCGCACTCGCACTCGCAACCGATTCTCAACCCTGTTGATGACAAGGGTAGATTCGATAGTGTGGCGGTAAGGCATATCTGTGGTCAGCACGATGGGTCTGTCCTGGATGGGTTGGAGTGTTTGGGCAACGGCAGCACTCAAGTCGCTCGCTTACTCGAAGAGCGCGGGGGATGGATAGTGCAGAAGGAACGCATCAAGCATCGTTACCCACACGACTGGCGCACTAAACAGCCGATCTTGATCCGGTGAGTTGTTTGTATCAGCCGAGACGACCTGCTAACTCAGGTGCAGATCCACCTCTCAATGGTTCGCTAATGTCGACAGACTCAAAAGCAAGGCGGTCGCTGCGCTCGATAATGTCACTTTCATCCCACATACCGGCCGACAGCGCCTGGAGGCGTTCGTGATGGGGCGGTCCGAGTGGTGCATATCGCGACAACGAGCTTGGGGTGTACCTATACCGATTCTGTTTGACGAGGGAGGCGAACCACTGCTAGATGAGGGAGTGCTCATGCACACACTGCACATACTCAACGAAAGAGGTGTCGATGCTTGGTGGACAGACCCAGCATCAGACTTTGTCCCTGCCAACATAACGCAGAGTGTATTTAAAGGCGCAGATACTATGGATGTATGGTTCGATTCTGGGACGTCTTGGATGGGGATGAACGAAGGAACTGCGCAGAGAGCAGATGTATATCTCGAAGGCTCTGATCAGCACAGGGGCTGGTTCCAGAGCAGTTTGCTGACGGCAGTTGCCGCGGGCAAGGGTGCACCCTACAAGACACTCATCACACATGGCATGGTCGTCGATGAGCTCGGACGTAAAATGAGCAAGAGTCTGGGCAATGGGTTGAGTCCACTTGATATCATTAACGGGACTAAGGTGTGTATAAGACTTACAGGTTGGTTTTTATTTAATTCCATCCAGTCTCTTCCTAAATACGGACCAGACGTGCTCAGATTCTGGGCGGCGTCGGTCGAGTATACCAAGGATGTGCCTATCGGGCCTACAATCGTTGCGCAAGCGTCAGACTCGCTCAAGAAGATAAGGAACGCTGCGAGATTCATACTAGGCAATCTCAACTCAAGAGACGCTTCGGTGGTTGAAATAAGCGAGAATGATGTCAACTTGGGCCTCGTGGGTTGATGCGTCACAATATACACTAAGACTCATAAGACATTAAACAGATGGACAAATGGATGCTCCACCAGCTGGCTAAGCTCGATCAAACGTGTAGATCAGCTTACGAAGAGCACATATTCAGCAAGGTTGTACAGGCTTTGCTTAACTTTACGAGCGGGCCGCTAGCTACATACTTTGAAATAGTCAAGGATACGCTGTACAATGACGAGGCTGGGTGTTTCGATCGACGCAGTGCAATACATGTGCTCAATAGAGTGGGTTGATGTGCATCCCATACGTTCTCCTAACAACAGCTAAACAATTCAGACGCTCGACACACTCTCGAAAGCTGTATCACCTATTGCGCCATACTTATCTGAAGAGATACACGGTCACAACAAGCAAAGCAGCGATAGTATTTTTACGAAAGAGTGGAAACCATTAGTAAGTATTTGTGGTATTTTACATCCTTAATTCACATGTCGCTCAGGGTGGTATTACATACGAAGAGGCTGCTCAGCCTGCAGCTGTAGTTCTGAAATGGCGAGCCGAGGTACTGGCGCAGCTTGAAGTACTGCGTTCAGAAAAGTATGTAATGAAACCAAGTAAACCAAATGAAACACAATCTAACAAACCATTCAGAATAATCAAAACCTCAGCCGAAGCCACAGTCGATGTATTTATTGGCGAGGAGTGCGATAATACGGTTAAATTGGTGGCAGATACCATGCGTACGTGTTTTTCTTTGGATAAAAGCCTCATCTGAAACTTTTCAGACTCACAACTGGCAAAATCGTTCGTCGTTTCGTCGGTCCAAGTGCACAGCGTGGAGAATATGAGTGGTGGGTGCGTTTTACTAGAAGGTTTTGCGCTGACAAAGATTTAAGACGTGCGTATAAGCGTGCGCAAAAGTGAAAAAGAAAAATGCCCGCGCTGCTGGTCATTTAACAGAGCTTCAACACAGGAATTATGCGATAGATGTGCTAGTGTGATTAAACAATAAGGTGGTTATTTATAAAATGCATTGATTACTAATTTATTGAAGATGCTAAGTTGGGAAACCAAGGCTGTAATGCATTAGACCATTGGAGAGTGTGCTGCTGTGTGGATGAAGTATTTTTCACTTTATCGATGTTTGTCTCGCAGATCAATTTCAGTGCTTGTAATGTCTGCAGAAGAGTTAGTAAATATGGGACAAATTGCAATAAGCACTCACACTATCACGCTTCTCTTCAGATAGCTTTAAGTGGGCTTGTGAGGTATTAATGCTAAGTGAAAGATTAATCTTTTCGAGTGCAGACTCATAGTATCGTGTAGCAGCTTCAGTCGTTGCATTCTACCGATGTTGATAAGCGTGAGACATTATGCTTGATTGCACTTACACCATTCAAGACAAAGAGATCTTTGTCATACAACTCAAAGCTTGGATCAGTCTCAATATCCCTGACCGAATGGGTGTCGCGAGGAATATTTCCTCTCATCGTCCACTTGAGACGTCTCTGGAATCGTGCTTGACGTTCGCCTGTTGATAAAGATGGTGTATTGAGTTTGATGATATGCAGTGCCTATACGAAGTATTAGTGAGATATTCAAAGCAAATACACACTTGCGTTGAGAGTAGCTTGCGAGAGGTGGTCCATTATACTGGCAAACAGTGTGCGCTCTTTCATCCATTCGAGTGCGTTATGCTTAACAGCCTCAGTGAATCCGACACGATTATCCACTGGGAGGGACGATAAAGATGACGAAGCCTGATTTAGCTCATACTGCCAAGACCTAGCAACCCTACTGAGCTGCCAGTATATGATGAACCAATCATGCTCCTTATCGAGCAAATCTAGCTCTGTGGTGACGAGTAGGGATTCTATGTTTAAGCTTAAGATGAAAGATCGCATTGCGAATGGGATCAATGCGAAAAGTGTTGCAAGTGTCTTTAAATCGAGTTAGATTGGATAAAGAAATCTCAAAGCAACTCACGGGTGATAGCGGCTGTAGTGATTTGGTTGATGGTTGATGGACTGTCTCTATCTAATATAGGTGAATTTTATGATGAATAATTACCACATAATACACACCTCATTGTCAAGCTCTTCGAATTGTTTGATACTTTTGGGGAGGTTGCGCTTCTGACGAGGCCTATTGTGGCAGTATGTAGAGACTAGATTGACGTAAAACTAAGTCGAATTTAGTGTTATTGAGATATAACCACATAAACTTACACCAGCTACTCTCTGTGACCACACACTAAGAGCTTGACCGATGGACATGGGATTACGACCAACGACAGTCATCTCAGCTTGTTTGAGCCTAATGACAAGGTCTAGCACTCCGTGTGGGAGGCCAATCATGCCTTGAAGTAGTGAGTCTGTGATCCATTCAATGGAGTGTTGGTTAAAAATGAGGTTATCATCGGATATGAAGCGGGACTATGATAGGTGAGGTGAGAGGGTTGGATGATTAGAATGAACCTACAAGAGTTAAGTTGCGTAGGTATGATGGAAGAGCTCTTTCTGAAGGTTTTGAAATGGATCTACTTGATAGCCAATTCTGGAGTGAAAGTTAGATGGTATTTTGAATAGAGAAGGAAGGAAGCGTACAATCCATTCAAGAGGATCTTGCACGCGAATAGCTTTGTTTATATCCCTGAAACATTCGAGGGAAGGTTTGAAACCCTCCCAAACGTTTTTGCCTTGAATGTCCAAGAGAGCGTCATCGAGTGGGGGTAAAGGTGCCATATTGGGGAGATACTTGGATATACCTGAGTAAAAAGAGTTGGAAACTTTGGTGGATGGGGATGGAGAGGGAGAAATAATCTTGATAAGTTCGATAGCATGGTTGATTGAAGATAGAGATTCGTCAAGTTGACGAGGATTATCTGAAGGGCAGTTGGTTAGATATGGGTTGTAGATGGAGAACAGGTTGAGTCTGAGTTGAATCCTATCTCTTAAACCGATGATGATGTCATTATTTGAATCAGACTCTAATTTGTGATTAATCCAGTTTAAAGATTCGATTAAGAGGATCTCAACGTCCTGATCGTTGTACATTTCACCAAGAGAAAGACCAGCTTTGTCGGAGTTAAAGTCTTCAATATCGTACATGACACCTTTAATGAGTTCAAACCAAGCAAAGTTGGCGCATTTGAGGGTGGCTAGTAGGGAAGATCTGAGGACTAAACCAATCCATTGCCATTCATAACGATTCTTGTCATCATCAAGGTTAAGTGATTGGAATTCAAGTAAATGAAATTGAATAGAAGATAGTTTATGTAAATATAAACTTGAGTATAACGATTGAATCAAATGAGAGCCTTTATAGAATTCTAATTCTAATAAGGATGTCTTATCGATAATGTAAGTAATTTCAAGTAAATTGAGTTTTGTAATTGGATTAAATGAATCAATTGATTTGTTTAAATAAGAATCCATACGATTATCACCAATATGTATTGCACTCATCGCATCCAATAAAGTAAATCCAGGCGTATATATCAGCTCACCCAGACTTAGATTCTCAGTTGGATTGTATATTTCATCCGTGATATCAACGAAGTTATTCATCAATGTTCAAAATCAACAAAGACGCCTTCGATGTCTTCAATCAAGAAATGTTTCATTTAAATTTTCAAAATTTATGTTTATTTTTTTATAAAACTATCTAAATCCGTTTCATTTGACCCGCGCTACGTTTCATCATAACCATCACATAATGAGTGATTTACTTGTGAGTTTCTACTAATTAAATTAATATCATCTAAAATGACCTTAGAAACTCGCTTTGACCCATCCACTAGAATTTAGAACCCTATGTAGATACAAAATCTGGTATGAACCAAAGAGAGATATTACTCACCCAGAAGAGCACGATACAACTGGTTTTGATAGGCAATCAATGAGAACTTGCTGGGATTTCTTAGATGCAACTTCAAGATCATTCGCACCAGTTATTAAAGAGTTAGATAGCGTTTTAGCCAGAGTTATTTGCATCTTTTACTTGGTTTTAAGAGCTTTAGATACTATAGAAGATGATATGACTATACCACTCTCCATTAAGGAACCTCTCCTTAGATCCTTCCACCAAAAGATACGCGAACCTGGTTGGAATTTCGCCGGTTCCGGCCCGGAAGAGAAAGACAGAAATTTATTAGTCAAATTCCACTCAGTCATTGATGAGTTCATGCTACTCGATAATGACTGCAAATCCGTTATCTCTGATATCACTATGAAAATGGGTAACGGCATGGCTGATTATTGCGCTGCCGCTGAAAACCCACAACACCCTGGTGTTGAGACTATTCAAGATTTCGACCTTTACTGTCACTTCGTTGCTGGTTTAGTCGGTGAAGGTTTATCTGGCTTATTTGCTGCAACTAAATTAGAAAAACCTTTCATCGCTGATCAACTCGAGCTATCCAATAGCATGGGCTTGTTCTTACAAAAAACAAACATTCTCAGAGACTACCGCGAAGATGTTGATCTCGGTAGAGAATTCTGGCCAATGTCTTTGGTTAAGCAACATGGTTTCAACTCCCGCGCTGAATTAAAAGAACCTGCAAATCAACAAAGAGCTCTCTGGGTCATCTCTTCAATGGTTCTTGACGCCCTAAGACACGCTCCAGACGTACTTGATTACCTCACTCTCATCAAGAACCAATCCATCTTCAACTTTGCTGCTATACCTCAAGTACACGCAATTGCAACCCTCGAAACTTGCTTCATGAACCCTGATCTTTTACATAAAAACGTTAAAATACGCAAGGCTGCTGCTGTTGAAATTCTTATGACCGTTCGTAACCCAAGAGATGTTGCTGAACAATTCGTTGCTTTCTCAAGAAAAATGCACGCTAAATTATCCCCAGCTGATCCAAACTTTATTAAACTCTCCATAGCCATGTCTAGAGTTGAACAATGGGCTGAACGTCGCTTCCCAAGTTTACTTGATTTTGAACAAGGTCAAGTTCACTTTAAGAAATGGGACAAGAGATATATTACTTTTGCTGAATTTGATAAGCGCGTCACTGATCGTGAGACTGAGGAGAAGAGGGCCCATCTCATTCCAGGAAGGACTTCATTTGATGATGATCCTAACGAAAAGATACCATGGAGGTGAGTATTTATCTATAAACACACTTCAACCCAACTAACATTCTCAAAGGTTCGTTTTTCTCATTATGGGCTGCTGTCTCACCCTTTTCCTCGTTGTCGCCGTATTTGTTTGGTTCTTTGTTCTCTGGCTCTCAAACATCGGAAAACGCTTCGAATAATCTCAATATTAGCAGAAAACAAATGTCTCGATGCAAAATGGAATCTCTAGAATTACTTAATAAATATTTTACATGTAATTATCCGTTTTCTTTTTAAAATTTGGATTCGTTTGACTATAAGAGTATAGTATAGCTCCAGGCTTAAAAACACACTAGTTAATTAACAATTCTAGGTTGATATGCTCCAGTTGGTATATCATTTGAAACATCGATTGTCGACGTACTATCATTCTTGTAGTGCCATGCTTGGTTTTCTAAGTGATCATCGTATTCATGAGAAGCCCGTGTCATTTCATACCCTCTCGACGAAGGTAGGAATGCTTCATCAAATTCATCTGCCATTGTCGCATTCTTTTTGCTATGTGCGTAAGGCTTATTACGAGCGTAATCGAAAAAGAAGCGGAAGGATAAGCTAATATCGAATTAGGCGTTGTAGGTATCCAAAATTAAACTCACAATACATCCTTGATCAAGTCCGTCAAGTTGATGGCATATAAGAATGCCATCAACGGATTCATGATACGTTGAACACCTTCAACCTTGGTCCTGTTCCTATATTCCTTGAAACTAAACGCGTAAATCATAAATGCTGAAAAGAAGACCATCTCAACGCATATACAAAGACTGTCTAGTCCATTACTGATGTTATTCCTTGTCCAGTACTCTGTTGACTTTAAAATATTATGCTCCGCAAGCTGGTCGAATATGAAGCCTTGGTAGAATGTAAAAGCGACAAGTAGCTTGATTGATAAGAATTTTGCGAGTGGTTTCTTACCCATTAAATCAGCTTTGGTAATAGTGTAGAAGATGACAAGAGCGTAGAGCGCGACCGATATAGAAACAAAGTCGATAGCTGTTATGTATACTTCAGCAAAGTGAACACTGTACGTTGTAGAGCAAAGTACATTCTCTGCTTCGCAAATGATAGATATGATACTGAGTAGTGGACGCAGAATTGCATACTGTAAAACACCCCACTTGAGCGTATACATGAAATAGGGCTTTGATGCTCTAAAACGCACCCATTTGAACTATTATGTAAGTAAGTGATGTGCTGCGCATTTGACATGTTCTTACCATGGGTAAAGCTGATTTCCCCTTCTGCTCTAAGAAATCACGCTGGTCTTGGGGAGTGTTTCCAATGTATTGAATGAGTAAGTATAAGAATGAGACCATTGAAATACTTTCCCAGATATTGAGACAAACTGTAAAGTAAATTGAGCTTCTAAAATAGCGATAAGAACAGAATGAAATGATTGCATAGAAAGCGGGAAGAAGGAGAATTCTAATGATATTCCTTTGCTCGTTCTTGACGTTGAAATGCTTACAATGCATTGAGACTGAGAAAGCAGTGATGATAACAGTCGCTACAGCGCAGCAACCAGCGACGGTCCAACCAATTCTGTGAGCATCCCAATGAATACCATTATCATCCCAAAATCTTGATTGATCAATTTCTGTGGTATTTTCTTCCTCTATGCAGTGCCGAACCATGGCTGCGTTGAACAACGACGAGAGTATATAACAAATGTCCTCATCGGATACTACTTTAGATGTAAAAATCAAAAATCTACAAAAGTCAGCGATTAATTTAACTAAAATATCAAAAAATTTACTCAAAGCTGACGATCTCGCATTTCAAAAGAGTATCGATGGAGATTTCAGCGCAAAATGCAATCAAGCGGAGGAAGGCGTAGTGGATAACATAAACCAATTACTTGGATTTGTTAATGGGAATAGCAGGGAGTTAGACGCTGATGATTTGGTTGGTGATACAAAGCCAGTAGGTGAAGTCGTTGATCAGCTTTTGGAGGATAGCTCTATCAACATCGATAAGCACACAAATAGCTATAACAAGCCGTCCTTATCGAAAGACTTGGATCCTTCAATCTACAATGACAAAGCTATTCAAACAAAACCACAATCAAAGTGGTTTTCGAAGGTTGATAACTCAAATACTCATTGGAAGCCACTCATTACTCACAAGCCAAACGCTAAAACTCCCCTCACTTGGTCTAGCGTTGACGACGGTGTTCTTAATCACCCTTACAAACATGAAATAGATACAATACAACACCCCTCGAATCAACTTTCACTCCACGATCCAATCGAGCAGGGCACTTTTGAACAAACTCCTTTTACTTGGGTGGATAATGAAGATACTTTAAATTTACTACTGGAGAAATTGAATAAGGTTTCAGAAATTGCCATCGATTTGGAACATCATGATTTCAGATCGTACCATGGATTCGTTTGTTTGATGCAAATATCAATCAGAGGCGAAGATTTCATAATAGACACCCTAGAATTAAGGGATCAACTCATTAAATTGAATGATCCTTTCACTAATCCAAACATCGTAAAGGTTTTTCACGGTGCTGACTCTGATATCATATGGTTACAGCGTGATTTTGGCGTATACATTGTCAACATGTTTGATACGTACCACGCAACCAGAGTATTAGGATTTAATCAGCATTCACTAGCCTCTCTCCTCGTCAAATACTGTAATTATACACCAGACAAACGCTATCAAAGGGCTGATTGGCGTAAAAGACCACTCACTAAACCAATGTTAGATTACGCAAGATCAGATACGCATTATTTATTATATATTTATGATATATTACGCAATACGCTTATTAAAAAATCAACCAAAAAGTACAATATGCTCAAGGATGTACTTGATAGAAGTGCGCAATTATCAGCCAAAACTCATTATAGGGATCTTTATGATTATGAAACCGGTAAGGGTTTCAATGGTTGGTACAATCTCGCACTCAAATGGAACAAGAGAATGGAACCAGCGCTTATCGAGGTATTTAGAAGATTACATCAATGGAGAGATGAATTGGCTAGGAAGGAAGATGAAAGTGTTCACCTTGTTCTCTCTAACCATCAACTTTATGATTTGGCACTTAAACAACCAACTACACCGCAAAAAGTTAGCGATATTTTCCAAAAGAAAATTCCACACTATGTGAGAAGTCAGATGCGGGAGGTTTGTCATGTTATCAACTCAGCTATCGAATTCGCAAACACACATAGTGACAAATTACATGAAATGATAATTCCAAAACCGATGCAAAAACCAAATAATGTCCACTTACCATTCAAGACAGGACTTGATTATGATTTGTGGAACATTAATCAGTCACAGCCAATATCATCGAATACTCTTTCTGATGTCACACGTAATAAGCTATTTGGTCAAGATAATTCCAAGCAAGTACCGCAAGCTAGCACTTCGAAACTCTTTAGTGGTGCTACAGATGCTGTGAATACAAAGAAAAGTAAAGCAGTTGAAAAAATTACTTCGTCGTTCGACTTGGTATCACTTATTCCTCATGTGAGTTTACTTTATGAAATGTCAAAATTTCAATCATAATAACTCACTTTAGGCTACACCCTCGACTGGGTTTGACTTTGATGCATTCGACGAGCACAAGCGACCAATAGAATTCAAACCACCACCAATGCCTGCTCGCGTAGATGAGGTGCTCAAGGAAGACAAGCAAAGGATGGAAGAAGAAAACAAGTCAAGTGGAGATGTCAGTATGGCTGAAGCTTCTCAAAAGACTAAGGAAGAGAAGATAGCAGATAGTATACCGATCGATGCTGGTATCACCGCAGATGACATCGCTACCGTCGGCAAGCAGGCGGATAAGAAGCGTAAGCGTAAGGAGAAGGGAGGAACCAAGGACAAGGATAAGGAAGGTAGTAAAGGAGAGAGTAGTAAAAAGGAAAAGACAGCCAAATCTAGTAGGAAGGACAAGGTGGATATTCCAGACTTCGATTACGACAAGGAGGAGAGTGTACTGGATAAGCCACTCGATGACCTGTCGCAATCAACAAAGAAGCCTAAGAAGCAGCGTTATAAAGCCAACTTTGAAGGACAATTCAAGCGACCAGGATCTTCAAAGATGCAACAATCATCGGGTAACCGCTCGCATACATTCAAGTGAGCTGATAAATTTAATTATTTGTACAAAGAAAGGGCTTTAAAGAATTTAAGCAGTCCATAATCTAGCAACGAGCTCAGTCACGCCAATATCATTAGTCTGGAAGCTGTATAAACCCACGGCGGTGCCGATAGTGAGTGCTCTAACGGACCATCTCGCGACAGGGCCAATCTTTGGGAACTTTCTGTCGTGGAGATAATCAGTCAAAGAGGCGTCGAATCCGATATGAGAGTGGACCAATAAGGAAGAGCAGATGAGACCATCCAAGACTGGGTGAGAGGAAGTGACGAATGAAGCGCCAATAATTGGAACCAAAGCTGCGGATACGGCTCTCTCGAATGCCCAGTGAGAGCTACCGTGAGCTGAGTTTGGTGGTGGGAATTTCGTTGGGTCGTTGACGGTGCCCTCAACGTAGCCTGCAATAAGATCAGAATCAGTCAAGCGGTTAGAAGGATTTACTAACTGCTGCTGGCTTGTGCAACTTGTGCAGCTTGCTGTGTGGCTGATTTCGATGCAGAGAATGAAGTTTGAGTTGCTGTATTAGATTAAGATTAGTAGGTGTGTGGCTTGCATCGCAAGCAAAACACACAAGAATGAATTCCTCTTCTCGTCAGAGCTTGTACTCCTCTAGAAAATGACATGATGATGGCTGTGTCTAAACAACTTTACTCTCATTGGTCAACATCGAAAACCGATATTTGCCGTATTTAGACGATGAGCGTGGAGGACACCGATGTATTATTACAATTAGTACTCGATTTAGAGCGTAAATTCAATCTAGAGCCATCAAGCCATCACGACTTATCGACGCGTCTAAAGGAAGAATTGGATAGATTTGCGTTAGAAGATGTTAAAGACTCACCTATATCATTAAATGATATCCTCGTTTACTTATATCATCAACGTAAACAGATCCATAGTGAAATTTACAATCTCAAATCTAAAACTTATTCAAAGCCCAAGTACTTTTACACTCAATCTGGTAAAGATGAATTGAGAAGCTTGGATATGACAAAGGAGAACATGCGCTTAGATGCAGTTGAAGATGGTAGATTCGATCAGACACTCAAAGGTTTCACTGTTGATAGTATCATATCTTTGTTCGTCATCGGCATCTCATCCGATATTGTCTAATTGGTCAACTACAGAACTACTCAAAGCAATATCATCACCAAAGCTTATTGGAGTCCACGTGATCTGTCTAATTCTGAGTATGCTCATATCCCCTAGAAACACCTTTATCACTCACATCACCCCCACCAGTCAAATTAAGCAGCTCGCAGAAGATAATACCGATCTCTCAATTCAAGCACTCTACAAGCAGAAAGAGTTACGCGAGATACGCGACAAGATACGTAAGAGAAGAATCGACGTTAATGCATCTACAAAAGATCTTCAAACTATCACAAGAGGTCTCGTTAGTCTCGACAAAGTCAGGGAGAGTAAGGTTAAGGGTAAATTCACTCCTAAACAGTGGCAAGAATATGACACGTGTGTTGCATTCTATTTAATACTAAAACTTTCACTCACACACCCACAGTATCATTAAAGAACTTAAACTTAATATACAAAAAAACATGAGGAAGAAATTCATCATTCAAGTGAGTTCCCTATCTTCTACCACACTTAATCTAATCAAAATCAAAATCAAAATCAGCATGCTATACTTTATTGGCAACCGTATTGGTCAGAATCTCCAAAATATGTCAAAAGAATGTTAAAGATGTGCGATGAAGGAAGACTGGTTCAATAGCCCTCTCAGACCACACAAATACCCCAAATTTTCTTGTACTATATTATAAGTAACATTAATAAAATTACATACAACAAATTCAACCCAGGCTGAGTAGACTTAAAAATGTTACACTGGTTGTCTGGCTTGGTGAGCATTACCGAAAGCTTCACTCGCCTTTATGCAATGCTGTTGGTTGGTAGATACGTCAAAGCAGTAGCAAACGTAGACTGAGTCAACAGTGCTCGTTAAAAGATCACACCACATTCTGATAGCGCTGTAGGTGAGCCATCCGGCAACTATTGCTATTATCGGTGAATGTAGTGATTGGTTCAAGTAATGAGCACAGTATATAAATCCAGCTACTGCGCTAAGTAGAGATACTGTAATTGCAAATAATCTAATAGTAGTCTTTACTAGTAGATCATCCATCAAGCCCTTCACTTCACGCCTATTGACTAACTGTTTGACACGTTTGGCAGATGGCGTAAACGCTTCACCCGTTATTCCAACATGAATTAGTGCGTAATTCGATATATGATCTATAAACCCAAGCGTCATAGCTGCAACCATGCTGATCGCTGTGAACACGATTGATACTGGATGAAAACGCGTAATTCCACTGTTGTTAAGATTGCGCAACCGCACTAATACTCTCACGAGCAAGCTAGCAGTGGTGAGAATTATTGATGCCAAGCAAATACTTCCAAATGAAGCATGAGTTGATCTGTAAAAAGAATTGCTGACGATTATGTGCGGTGATGGTTGATGCGGATCGTGTCTATTGAAATACCAAGCACCCAGAACACCACTCGTAGTGACGGCAGCTATACCCCGTAACAATCCCCATGTCCAGAAACCAACGAGAATAACATAAGCTACCAACAAGTCTGATGACGTATTTACGTGCCAAATCAAACCGCTGTCATTACTATCCCAATGCCCTATTCTCAGCAGCTTATAAACTAGCCATGCATAAGGTATTGAGAGCAGTGTTGAAAAGAGTGTGAGTCCCAGGTGGTATATGATTAGTGTTGGGTGCTCAAGTATCACTTGCGATGACAACTCGACGATTTTTATTGAGCGCTTAAGTTTATGCCTTCTTATATAGAGAGTACGGCTGAACCATACTATTATTATCATGGGTATAAGTGAAAAGACACGTAGGCTTTAGTGAAGTTAGCGTGCACGAACAATTGAAAGCCCACGTACCCAGTGCTCTGCCACCACGATGACCAACTAGAGTCAGACTCATCGTCATCAATGAAAGAGCCTGCAAATGCCCAGGTAGAGCTTCCTAGCAAACCGAACAGGATGACAGCGATTGCAGTATACAGTATCGGTGTGATTGCGTTTTTGAGGATTATTAGATGCATAGCACCCAGAAGTAATGCTATGGTTGTCAACGCGACGAGCAGAGGTGTCGAATGTAAGAGGGTTGTCGTGATGAATGGTGTTGCGTTCGGTGGCGGTATCGCGGTATCCTTAGCGTGTAGTTAGATTCGTAAGCTCTTAGAAGAAAGACACTAACATTATTCCGAAATAATGTAAAGATACCTATACTTATAACGGATATTATAGAAAATCCATATGTGACTATAAAGGGAGCGTCGCGATATTTTCTAATTGGCGTACGAGTAATTGAAGGGACTGTAGGTGTGGGTGCTGGGCTTTGTATAAATAACTGATGCGGCTGCTGCTCGTCTTCCTCTATGTCGTCATTGTGATCGCCTTGTGGCCGATTTAGTAAAGGCTGAGATAACTGAAGCTCAATCTCTTCTTGTGGTTCTGGTTCTGGCTCTGGCGTAGGTGGCTTATGGAAGCTTAATTTTGACTGGTTAGTGAATAGAGATTGTGCTTGGTTGATGTGATTTGGGTCAGGGGTAGATACTCCAGATCGCTGTGAACCTGTTGAACGATTGAGGTGTTCGTTAGGAGACGGGGATCGCGATTCTGAGGCTGGCGTAGAGTTTCTGTTCAGTGTCGACTGCTGGAGGTGCGCCATTTCCTGTTCAATCTCGTCATCGTTCATCCACGGCCCTTGATTTGAGCATCTATCGTCGTAATTGGCGTGAAATATCGGTGAATGACCTGAGCTTGCACCTAATATCCGTGAACTCAGGAATTTTGAAGCATACGCCGTGAAATTGTTTGAATTGTCCATGACCGTATCAATCAACGAGGCTTTGACGGTGTCATATATCACCTCAATGATATCACCAAATGAATTATAGGTCTCTGTAGCTATCACTTCGCTTGCACAGCAATTGTGTGATTTAATCTCTTATCACCACAAGTTGCTTCATTGATACGATTACACGAATTCATTCAAAATGATTTAGTACAATTATTTGATGATTCTATTACTTGGAATATACTCTAATTCCAGCACCCGCATCGATTTCACCCAATCACATGTGTATTACTCTTATCGTACTTTGAACCAGCGCAATGAAAAAGATCGACATTAGCAAATCATTTTGACAGATTCTTGATCTGTTAGCAAAAGACAGGCAAAATGTAAAAGGAAACCGTACGAGTCAGGCGCTCTAACCCCTGAGCTAAAAGCGCTGGGTTGCGCCTTCGCGGATTTGAACCGCGGACCTCCTGATAGATCGTCGGCAAGTGCTTAACCACTAGACCACGTTTCCATAAAAACAATCTTTATCATAACAATATATTATCAGGACTTTTTCCTGTATCATAATTGCTGCTAAATTGAGCAAGATGGCTGTTTTATTACCCTTTACGAGTTCTTAAAACCGCAATTGACTACGTACCAAAGATACTCCGATGGTTCAGCGTAACTGAGAACCACCAACAATTCATAAATTGCGACGCTAGTCAAGAAACACTTCCAGTAAATTCAGTACCCCCTTTGACTTCCTTCATGGTTTAATATTTATTGATGGACGCAGTTTTTAACATTTATCGTCTTAACAATATATTCAGATTTCATCATCAGCAAGATTGGTATGGTTCTGCAACTGTTAATTCTGCAGTAAATTTGAGAGTAGTTTTAACGTGAACAGTGTAGTGAAGTGCTCTGTACTGGTCCAGGTAGATGTGACATGCTTCAATGAGTAAATCTTGGTATATAATATGGTTTCACTTCAAATCACTTCGACAAGACCTTACTGTAAGATGGATCAAGAACGATTTCACAGTACAAGTCTACGAAATTCACGCAAGACTAGCTTTAGAGAATGGCGACTTAGGTGAATACAATCAATGCGCTGCTAATTTACAACCTCTTTATCAATTAAATCTTATGGGTAACAAATTAGAGTTTATAAGCTACCAAATTCTATACCTATGTTATAGCAGTAACTGGTCAGCGGCGAATGTACTTGTTGGACTGTTGTCAAACGAAAAGAAAGAAGCTTATGAGATAAAGCACGCTTTAAAGATACGTTCATCACTACTTACTAACAAATATCATCTCTTCTTCAGATTAAATTAAGATTAGTTAAATATGTCTGCTTACAGTATTGATATTTTCGTTGAAAGAGAAATGTTGAAGGCATTGATAATAATAACTAAGGCTTACATAAAGATACCATTATCCTTTATAAATAATGAGCTCAAATTCGAAAATACTACGGCAGTAGAAATCTTTTAAAGCAACTCGGCGCTGTTAGCTGTTTCAAAAGGAGCGCCGTTGGTGTCACAAACAATGGCGTGCCATCAGACCATGAAAAGATGCTTCTTTGTATAAATTTCCATCTAATACTGGATTGCTGCTAAGTGCCTTTTACGTCTAGCGTTGTCTCAACCTTCTTCACACCCCAATTAATTGAAATGTCGAAATGCGACAGGTGAAGCCAAATTCGCGATTTCATAGTCGGGCTGAACCCTAATTTCTTGAAATAAACTGTATTCAATAGTCGTACGAGCATTGATCCTGAATGAAATTAGTTTCCCCGGATCCAATTTTAATTCCCATGGACGCTAAGTGTCCGAAAAAGTAAATCACGTTTATAGAGCAAATTAGCTGATATGTTTAGCAGCTTGCGGTCTATAAAAGTCAAAATGGATTTTATCATCGATCAAGCTCGTGGTATCTCTTGTATCTATCCTTTAGCATGCTACAGAGCGATGTCGGATAACAACTTCCGAACAGCCTGCAAGACTCAATTGAAAGCTCCCAGGGCTTGCCCTCTAATCGATACACACACGTAGATGGTAAATCTACAAATCCAACTCGGTAAATATTGAGCGGAGGCTAACAAGGAGATAAATTTGGAATGCTGAAGATACCATAAAAATGATGGTGTCGCTATATTGTTCAAATTGACAGTATATCATATCTCTGAGTTCGTCCTCTCACTTATTTTGCCGTTTGCGAGATGCCTCGAGTAGCTTGTATACTATATAGTGTGTCTTGCTGATTTCAGACATCTGTAGCACTATTTCAAACACCCAAACACCATGCCAAGTTAAGATCTTATCGGTGCTGTGCTTCGAAGGCACAAATTGTAAGCGACCAAAGGAAGCAAATAAATATTCAAATCTGTGTTACATGATTAATTTCAAAATACAAGCATAGAACTTGGTTGGTTTCAAATAGCGAAGCTTATTTGCTACCCTTACCGCGTGACGCGCTAGCCTTGCCGCGTTTTGATGCAGCTGGCTTTTTTGGTTGTTTGACAAGCTTATCAGCAGTAACATCGTCATTTTCATCGTCTTCCTCTTCCTTAACATCTACAACGTTATCATCCTCATCATCCAATACGTCTTCGTGGTCCGGTACCTCAGCCTTAATTTGGGCGGCTGATGGTTTAATGACTTGACCGCGAGAAAATGCAATAGGGTGGTCTCTGTTATTGTAGCTGTTGCGAGATGGTTAACTACCAATCATCCCTTAGTGATTGACTTACTTTCTCGTGAATGCAGTTTTGTTCTTCGTGGGTATACATTTCACTGTCTTTTCAAGAGCCAAATCACCAACACCTAGCTCAGACATAACATCAAAGTCGTCCTTAGAAAGCATATAATTGTCCAGCAAGTTGATAACACTATCAATATCAGGCTAAAATGGTTAAGCGTTAGTGACTTGGAGTGTAATTATTTGGATACGTACGACACTCTCTGTCAATGGGTTAAACATCCTTGGCCACAATGTTGGATAGTAGTACTGTCTAATTTCGTCACGATCACCACTAACCTTGACTCTCATTTTTGCTTGAATTTCACCCAAAGCTCTGATATTCTTGTTTGTTTTCGAATATTGACCAAGCCACATTGGGAAACTGATCGTATCTCTACCAAAGCTTTTAAATCCACCGTACATAAAGGAAGCAGGTCGGACAGTAGAGTTCATGGCATGTAAAGGCATTAAACCCCATTGTTGTTGTGAGCTATAAGCAATTTGAGCTTTGAATGAGGCTTTTAAAAAGAAAGACACACCCATGGATCATGGAATCGACCAAATCACCATCAGAAATAGCATCTGCAGCTTTACTGGCATACTTCATGCGCTTAAACTCAGCTTTCTCATTATTTGAATCTCTTGCTTTGGCAGGATTGCATTTGACGTAGTTTTCCTAATCGATTGAGTTTTGCTTACTAGATATTGCAAGCTACTTACCTGAACGAAAAGTGGTATTAAGCTATGATCATGGAAATAATAATCAGCCTTCGATCCAAGGGTGCTAGTGCTAGTTGCACCAAACATGTGTGGACTGAAGAGATTGGACATGACAGTCCAAGGTGTTTGGATGGTAAACTTTTGATTCTGTTGAACCCTTGAAGAAAATTGTCAGCCAAAAGATAGACAGTGGAACTTCTAAACTAACAGTTCTTTGCCTTGATCAAAATTCATTGAACTAGACAGTAATTTCCATGTTGAAATCATGTTGATGACTTGTCTGATATCTGACTGAGAACCACTCACAAGCTGATCAACAACAACAGGGTCCAATTTCATTTTTTCTCTAAAGCAAGTCAATAAAGTGGAGTGTTGAGGTATATAGAGTCGCACCTGTGAAGGATAGACATGATGCGAGATCTCACTTGAGTGGCTTCTGGTCTTCTAAAAACAATGTCACCACATGTCGATTGAAACGGTCTCATTTTTGGATTCGCCTTGTCATTACATATGCAAATGATAGGAATCTTAATAGAGTGAGACGGATTGTTGGAAAGTAAACCAACGTACCCTAGTCTTTCTAATAAGAGTGTTCATAGCACCAACACCTCCTCTGTCTCCTGAAGACATACCGTCGCACTCATCAAAAATCAAGCAAGTGGAGTGATTGAGAGGATGAGTCTCAGACTAATTAGAGTGTTAGGAATTGTACGAAGAGACCTAGCGTAGACGAACGTTGCTACCAAAAAAGCTATCAATAGAAGTATTGTCGATGTTGGTGGTGTTTTCAATCAGCTTCTTACTTCTGACGTCACTGGCGTTTAGTTCAAGAGGTGAGAAGCCAGCGATCTTGGCTGCTAAATGAGCTGCAGTAGTCTTTCCTATTCCAGGAGCGCCATGAACAAGAAGCGCTCTCTTGGATTTGATATCATTCTTTGAATTGTCAGAGGGAAAACCCGCCTGTAATTGATGTTGCCTGGATGATTTTAAAGGAGTGATGAAATTAACGGGAGACATACCAATTTTGCAACCAATTCAAAATCTTTTCTACTTGACCTTTGTTACCGCAGATATCTTTGAGCTGAGTGGGGGCGTATTTGACAGTCCAAAGTTGAGAGTTTGGTGAGGTAGATTCAAAGGATGAGCTGGGAGATTGGATAAGAAAGATGATGGAAAGAAAAGACTATAACGCACGCTTTTGAAGAGCGTTTATCTTTAGCTTTCTGTTCTTTCTCGATGGCTTCCATCTCTTCAGCGTCTTTCTTAACCTTAGCTTCATCTTTCTTTACTTTGTTGAGATAAGAAGGGTCTTGCGAAGGAGAAGTAGTCGCAATCAAGTTACAGAAGCCGTCTTCATCGAGAGTTTTAAGGCCTTTATCTTGTATAGTCTGTAGCTTCTTTGGGCCAGGCTCTCTGCCCAAAATGACATACGAAGTTTTACCGGAAGGTGCGGCAGTGACCTTAGCGCCATAACGCTTAGCCGCCTCAACAGCAGAATCACGGCCGACGTTATCTAGTTCACCGGTGAAGACGAGAGTAAGGCCACTCAAGCAACCAGGAGCGCCCTCTGGGATAGATTTAGAGCCAAGACTTTCAGGCCCAGGGCGTTGGAGGTAATCTTTGTAAGAGAAGGAGGAGGCAGGCGCGGAAGACGAAGCAGAAGACTTGGATTTCTTTTGAGGAGAATTCTTCTGCTTAGGAGGAGGAACGTCTTCATCGCTATCAGAGATAACGACCGTCTTGCGTTTCGGGGCCATTATCGTGGAGGTGAGAGATAAAAGTAAATAAATTACATGATTACAACTTTCTAATTTGATTTTTGTTCAAATTAAAGCCAGCCAGTAAGCCGCCTAAATTGCCTTGATTGAACAAACCCTTAGCGCCAGCGACGTGTTGAATGAATCTGTAGATGTGTTAATGGATGCGTGCGACTGATTACATACCAACCTGTCGTTACCAGAGATGATAAAGTTGAAATCCTTCAAATCAAACTTATTGTTATTATCAAAGTAGCTCCACCAACTGCCACCCAAGCCTAGAGATTGTTTCAATTTATACATATCTAAATGTCCTTCTTTTGAAGAATTGATAAAATTCAAATGCAAGTTACCAAACTTCCTACTCATATCCAGCAAATCAGATTTAAAATACGTAGATTCTTCATTCGTTGAGCTGTAGATAAGGTGGATTTGTTTGTTTGAGTTTGTCGACAGCAATGAATTTATAGATTGCATTGCAGGTGTGATAGCTGTACCACCAACTATGAATACTAAGTTATTCCTATCAAACATATTCAAATCGAATGATAAATTTGGGCCTCTAAGCTCAATTTCATCATTTGGTTTTAAGTTGTTTATATAGTTTCCAATCTCTGAGTTCTTGTAAAGCTTCACTAGTAACTCAATCTCTCTTGTGTCTTTTGTAATAGGTTTAAGGGGCGTGTATGGTCTCTCTGTTTGGATAAACGGCTGCTTGACCCAGATGTGGTGTATAATTGATAAAAAGTCATTCGGAAATTTATCACTTGGGATGGCAACTTTCAGCAATTTTGCATCCTCAGTGATTTTATCGACTTTATTCAATTTAAACTTTGAATATTGATAAGGATCTAAGTTTTCCTTCAAACTTGTATCATATTTTGGCATTGGTATTGTTAAATAGAGCGTTAGACTGACAGTTGATAGCCCTAGTACTCCCATCGATATTCCTCCTACGCGTCTCATAGTACTCCTGCTCATCGTATCAAACAGAGAATAATTTTCATTCATTGAACCGGTTTACGTAGCCAAATTATATAATTACACCAGTTGGTCGCTGGTATTGACGGATCCATTAGATTCCAACGGTTTGAAATTGGATTATACGTCATTCCGTTTATTTCACCTTTTAGTCTATTTAATATTGGCGTTGAATCTACTAAAGATATCAATGATTGGTCGTCTATTGTAACATCGTTCGGTTTCAACCAGCCAACTTGATCTCTGAAAAACTCAACCATCTCTATTGGTTTGATATACTTGTTATAATTATGTGTACCTTTGGATACCAAGCCTAAAACATCCTCAGCCATTGTAATCGTTAAAAGCTTTGATAAAGGTGTACGCGATATCGTTGATATGAACATATGTCCACCGGGCTAAGCTTTATCGTTAAATAAGGGTTTATATAACACCATATCACCCACTTTAACCAAATCTGTGCACGTCTTTAAGAAATCCGCTGCTTTGTCCACATGCTCAATGACTTCCATCGCACAAACTAAGTCAAATGACTCTTTTCGCGTCTTCAACAGCTCTTCCGCTGCTGAATATTTGTACTCCAAATTGCTCTGATTGAAGTATGGGTCCTGCTTCGAATGCAACTCAGCCATTTTGATATTAGCTTCGGTGACATCAATTCCAGTAGTGGTAGCACCCAATCTAGCCAATGTCTGATAACGGTGTTAGAAAATAAAGCAAGCTAAGCGTTAATATTCAACCTCTGATAGTAAACCGCCGCCGCAACCAATATCTAACGCTGTCAACCCACTTAGAGTATTTACATCTTTAAACTGCCTATTACTTCGTATTGCGTCTTCCCTTCTAGCGTTGTTGATATTCTTCAGTATAAATTCAGCTCTAACTGGGTTCATCTTATGAAGCAATCCAAACTCTCCAGATTCATCCCACCAATGCTTGGAAAGCTTTGAGAAGAAATCAACTTCATGCTTATTTACTGTTGAGTACAGCCTGGAGTTATTTGTGATCCTCCTGATTGATCCACTCAACATGATCCTCAACGTCGTCTCACAACCGTATAAATAGCGTAATTTACATTTATTATACAAACAAATTAATATCTGATTATACTTCATCTTGGTCTGCATGGTACTCTGTATAATCAGGTCTCTCCGATGCCTGATACTCATCAATCATATCCTGAACCACCTCCCTCGAATCATGGAACTCATCCATGTTATTTGAGAACATCTTTTCACGCTTATATGGCTCCAAGAATGCGTTCCTCTTCATTAGTCTATCATACTGATCTCTTACACGCTTAAAGAGTGATGCAATCGATGTATGATTAGCCAGCATCAACCCATTAACCCTATGTGAAGAAGGCACGTAAGGCGATTTACGCGTTAAAGCTACTTGGATTGATGCAGGACCCCAAGGAATAAAGTTTGCTAATTGTCTCTCCCTTATTCTTAACAAAGACTTGTGAACATCAGTTGGATCAACATCACCTTGGATTATATTCAACAATGAAATATAACAGCTATTTTTTGATGTTGGTGCACTAACCATTCTGTTTTTTGGTTGTAAAAGTCTTCTCATGACGTCCAAAACTGTTGTCTTCCTGATTGACTTGGCTTTTTCAATTTGATCTGAAGTGAAAGGTGTATAAGATGTCATTAAGAAATGACACCGTGGAGTTGGTATAAGAGATGCAATAATTGATGATAAGTCGTTGTTCATGTAACCCGGATATCTCAGTGGTGTTGTTGCCGCTGACATGACAGTTGATACCTTTTTCTTTGTTAGAGTGTCTTAATACATGAAACAGCAACCTCACCAATTGATTGGTTTGCGAGAATGACGGATGTGGCACGTGTAATCTATCCGCTGCAATTCTAGACAGAGCAGCGTTATCCAGAACAACAACACTATCCGCGTGATTGACCAATCTTTTCAAAGCGAGCATGCTATTGTAAGGTTGAACAACAACATCCGAGGTTTCCTGATTATTTGGAAAAACAGAGTACGTCTGAATAAGCTTTTTCGGGAACCTATCATTCAATCTTTCAAGCAGAAAGGAACCTAAACCAGAACCGGTACCACCTGCAATAGAATGCAAAAGCATGAAGCCCTATTTAGCATAAAGTGAGCTAATTTCAATCATCATCACCTTAACTAACCTCCAACGAATCTGAACCGTCAGCCTCTCTATCAATCATATCAAAAACTTCATCATAAATACGCTCAGCTGCGTGATAACCCATAGCCCAGTTATTTGCAGCACCACCACCATCTTGTGAGACGTAGATGTTTTCTGGGTTGTATAAGTTTGCAAATGGGGACGATAGTATGTTGTTGACGACCTAATAGCGTGACAAAGTGAGAAGTTTGTAGAAAATATAGAAAGAAACGCACCCTAGGCTCTAAATCGACTAGAATAGATCTTGGAATGTAATGATCATCGTCTGCTTGATAGAAGAAGACGTCTTTTCTATCAAAACCCGCATCCTGAGCGTGGTCTTCTAGTGTACCATCCTGGGATATACCATGCTCGTGACAAAGCTGTTGCCAGAATGAGTGACCAACTGATAGCGATCCGTGTTAGAGTCTATAAACGCGTGTCTAGCACTGACTAACTCGCGTTTCCCGCTTGACCAGCTTGTAGGGTACTATAGAAGCGTGTCAAAAAGCATAATAGACGCTATTTAGACGGAAATTCACATTAATTCTCTTCCCATAGAGTGATTGAGTGATTGTACTGAACAAGATGAAAATGGAAATGTCAAGTTCAAATCTGTGTATGTGCTTTGGATATGTGTATATTTTAAGTATTCAATATACACAGCTATATCCACTCACAAATCCCCCAACTCCGCGTTGCCAGCGTCGAATCCACGTAAAAAGTTGCAAAAATTAAAATTTAATTATACAACAATATAAGCAAATAAAAATAGACAACTGATGAATTCAACTTTATTTAAATTTTTCATAAAACATTTCACCATGTGACAGATTTTCCCGCCTTCTCTCTTCTGAGTGCACATTGAAGGCAAAGTCTTTTATCAGTCGCATAACCCAGATCTCTCCCTTTAAACTCATTCATATCTCTTAATCATGGCTTTCGGTGGTGGTTAGTCTCCAGTCTTCTCTATCACCCTTCTAAATTTTATCTCAGATCGTGGTGGTCGCGGTGGCGCAAGAGGCGGTCGTGGCGGTGCAAGAGGTGGATTCGGTGGTCGCGGTGGTGGCAGAGGTGAGCTGAATCGCATTTCAATTCCTCCTCTCTAATTTTATCCAGGTGGTGCTACCCGCGGTGGTGGTGTTCAAGGCAGAGGCGGTAGAGGCGGTGCTCCACGTGGTCGTTAGTCTAGTTCTACGCTTGAAATACTCACTCTAACTCGTTTCCAGGCGGTGCTCCAAGAGGCGCTCCAAGAGGTGGCAGAGGTGGTAAACCTGGCCCAGGTGGAAAGAAGGGCGGTAACGTCATCCTTGAACCACACAGACATAAGGGTATCTTTATCGCTAAAGGAAAGGAACACTTGCTTGTCACAAAGAACTTGGTCCCTGGTGAAGCCGTTTACGGTGAGAAGAGAATCGCCGTTGAAGGCGACGACGGCACAAAGGTTGAATACAGAGTCTGGAATCCTTTCCGCTCCAAGTTGGCTGCTGGTGTTTTGGGTGGTTTGGACAACATCCACATTCAGCCTGGCTCAAAGGTCCTCTACCTCGGTGCTGCTTCAGGTACTTCTGTTTCTCACGTTGCAGACGTCGTCGGTCCAGAGGGCTGTGTCTACGCTGTCGAGTTCTCCCACAGATCCGGAAGAGATTTGGTCAACATGTGTAAGAAGCGTACAAACGTCATCCCAATCGTCGAAGATGCTCGTCACCCAATGAAGTACCGTATGTTGTTAGGAACTGTTGATGCCATCTTTGCCGATGTTGCTCAACCTGATCAATCTAGAATTGTTGCCCTCAACGCTCATCACTTCCTCAAAAACGAAGGCCACGCTGTCATCTCCATCAAGGCTTCATGTATTGATTCTACCGCTCCTGCTGAGGCCGTTTTCGCCCAAGAAGTACGCAAATTGCAACAGGAATCTTTCAAGCCAAGAGAACAACTTTCATTGGAACCTTACGAGCGTGATCACGCTGTGGTCGTTGCCCGCTACGAGCGTCACAAGTAAACGTGAAAGCGTGAAAACGTGATTCAAAGTTTAGACTCAAGATTACTAGCAGAATAAATTTATTATCTTCTCTCTCCTTTTGTACTTTATCACATACTACGAAAAAAAAAACTATCTATTTGTGGCGTGAAAGATAAGTTAAAGTCAGCGAAGATCCTATTACCATTCCCATTAAGACTGGTGCGAAAGACTTGAATACAGAGGCTGCTTTGCTTAATGTCAATGAATGTGCCTTGGGTATCTGATCCTTGTCGTATCCCTCCAATATGTGCTCAAGGTCTTTGTCAGACATTTCTGCGAGCTCATCAAAGCTGTAATTGTCGCAGACTTTGATCATCCATTTCATCCGCTTAACGCCAGGCTTACCGCCAACTGTTGGCTCAATTGCTCGAAGTTTTTTTCTCAAACTACCTACGTTGGTTATCGCAGGTCCAATAGTCTTTGGCAGTGCATTCTCAACGATACCCTTTAGTTTGGCTGATATTCTAGGTCCCTGACCACCGGTAGATATCAATATCTGCAGTGGACCTCTTCTGACTATAGAACCGAAGTAGAAGTCGCAATTTGGTGGTATGTCAGCCACATTTGTAGCGATATTGAGCGACTTTGATATATTATATATGTGCTTCGAAGTTTCTACATCGTCGATAGCTGTCAACACCATATTTGCATCCTTGAAATCATTCGCGTCTTCAAACTGTCTATCGACGTAATCAAATATTTGACCAGAATCAACTCGATAAGCGACTTCTTGGTTTAATCCATTCCTTGGGCAAATTAATCTGATTTCTAGATTGTAATTTCAATAAAAATATATGCATTCCCGCTATTCACTCACTCGCGTCTGCATTTAAGAGATTGACGATACGACCAGCAGCAACTTCACCACCACCGATCAAAACGACAATCTTTTCCTTCAGCTGCCATGCAATCAACAAGCCACCGCCTGGTTGAATTTCTGGATACGTTGACATGAGTGATTACGTCTGAGAGCAGCTTTCAATCAAGTAAAATGAATCAAATGCTGAAAATATAATATATATTTGCTATTTACATTGTACGCCAGCCACCCTGATCACTAACAAGATCCAACTTGCGTCCAATCCACGATGGAATCTGGTGATTAACCCATATTCTGTATATCTCATTTAATCTTCGCTTATGCAGGTATTGTGGTTTTCCACGACTACTTATATGAGCTTTATAGTGCGAGGAAATCAACTCAACTCACCGAATACCAATATCTACTTCACCGTGCGCATCCAGATATGGTGGTTGCGCAAACGATCCCTTATTATCGTATAGGTAGAACGTTGCTGACTTCTTTGGCATGAAATATGCTCCGACTACACCGCCACATCTGATATATGTCCGTTTAGTCAACGCAATCAAATCAAATCAACTTACTTCTTCATGTGTGTGTTGCATTCACCAACCTTGGTCGACTGGTCATGACAACAGAACGACTGATGACAAAGTGATGCCCCACAAAGCAAACATAGCGCAGGATCTGATGGTACTTGGTTGCAGTTTGGACATACTCTCGTGAGAACATCATCAATCAAAGCTGATAATTGATAAGGCAATGCTGTCAGTCTGTATATTTGTGGATAATCCAGCTTCAAAGTATAGTCTCTCGGTCTCAGCTCTTGTACATGATGTCCGAAATGTGAACACCATCCTTCAACCATTCTCTGTATTGTCGTTTGTCTCGATGAAGATGTATTCAATGCTTCGTTTGGCGGTAATATCTCTAGCTCTTTCATTAGTCGCATAAACTCGCAGTCGCTCTCTTCTTCATTCATTCCGTGCATCTTAACATCACTTTCATTACTCTTCTTGGTGAAAAGGACTGGAGCCTTCCTTACTACCCTATTCAAAATTGAAACCCTCCTTAAGAATGGTAGCATGTAGCTATACATGAGCTTGGATATATACTCATCTGGGAGTAACTTTAACATTCTCTCCCCATCGTTGTATAAAGCAGTGAATGATTGCAACATATAATGAATCACCGATGAAATGTTCCCGAATATATGCTCTGCATTGGCAGGTAACCTTTCTATCTCTGCTGGTGGTCTTAATAACGGCGAGTCTGCAACACCATCTGTTCTAGATGCTTGGATGAGTGCAATAACTGTTCTGACTAATTGAGCATAGAAAGTAAGCGTTATCATAGGTGGTAATGACTCTGGTGCTGTTGCTGCTGTCTCTACTAGCAAGCTGAATGGATCGCGCAGCAACAAAGGCTGACGAACATTATCTTCTCTACCAAACTCTGGTAAAATACGCTGGAAAATACCCTTGGCTATTATTTGCGGACCATTTGATTGATGTACCGGATGACGAGTTGCTAAATTTTCCAAACAACCTAACATACTTTCAATCATCAACAAATGTAATTCATTCACTTGATCGGAAACAGATCTTTCATTGCCTCCTGTACCACGGAGTGCCACTTCAATTGATGATATCGTGTATGCGACAAGTTCACCTGGTAGATACATTCCTTCACTCGATAACTCCTGTGCTGCTGGAATACTGCTTTGTCTCATATCCTCTGCATTCATTGAAATAGGTTTAATTAAACCCATTAATCTATCTGTAAGTGCAGATTGTGGATTCTTTTCGATGTTATCCAGCTTTGAAGGAGCAGATCTAGCATACCAAGGCCAAAATTCACCAGAACCAGTCTCTTGTTCTTGGAAGTCATTCAAAAGCGATACTTTTGGATCTTTGAGTAGATCAATCGATACAGATCTAACCCATTCTGTAATCTTAGGGCTGCTTGAGACTGCTTTTGGGCGTTTAAAGATTGGCATGATAGCATTACCTAATCCTTTGCATAACGGACATATAAACTCCTTCCACTTAGGCTCGTCCGGCTGTGTTCTAGCGATTTGAGACTGATGGCGTGACACACTCGACGCGAAGTAAGTCTCGAAACACGATAAGTGCATTCTGTGTCCGCATGTTGACATGTGTAAGCCCAATCTGGTGTGCTCTGATGAGAATCCTGGAGTTGTTGTGTTTGGTTGAGTTGAACGGCTGTTTAGTTTGCTCTGAATAAAGCTTTGCTTGTACTGATTGTCAACACTTGCAGGTGATGACTCAGGACGTTTATCGAGATCGTGCGACATCCAAAGTGGTTCATAAACAAAATTAGGATCGAGTGATGGAGTGTTTCTAAGTAGCTTTGATGGTTGAACGAAAGCAAGTGATCCGAACGACGTCCCACCCAAAACTTCCTGACAGACTATGCAGTCGCCAAAGTCTCTGTGATCTGCATGCGGATCATCACTACCCAAATTATCCTCTACTGCATCGTCTTCATCTTCCATATCTTCATCCTCATCACCCAACTGATCCAGCAAGTTTTTCTGCTGATTAGCGAACTTCTCCATAATGGCTGTTTGTCTTGCTTTGGCAGCAGTCTTGCGAGCTTCAGCAGGATCTTCAATTGGCTCGTTACTAGCTGGTTGGATGATTTCTCTGCTCGCACTAACAGCATCTCCACAAACATCACTCAATTGATCCAAAATCCAACTAATCCTTCCTTTGACATTTACCAGTCTTTGGTCATTCTCGTGCTTACACAGCAACTCTACGAGCGTTGAATGCATAAGATATCTTCTTGAACCAGCGAGCTTTGCAAAGATGGTCTTGGCTTCGACCAAAGCACACATAATAAGATGCAGTGCTGCTTCAATTAGTATATCACGAGTGAATGATGCAGCTGGTCTGCCCTGCTCATCTCTCTCGTTGAAGGCGTTAAACAATGACGCGTATACAATTTGTTGGAATACCTCTGTCTTGTATACACCAATGAAGGAATTATACGGTCCATTCGTAGGCACATCGAGCTTCTTGGGAATGTGTATTGCATTCTCTTTTCCGATGCGCTTATAAAACTTCTGCAATGACGTCGCAGCTGCTTCGCGCATGTTCCTCGTAAAGTTCATATAGTATGGGTCAACATGTTCAAAGTATTCGTCTCGCAGCTCGTATGTTCCATAATCAGAAGTACCATCGGGTGATCTAAACTTGGCAACTTTGTTGAGTATCCTATCGAACGCAGGATCGTCTACCAAAGTATCTGATATTAATCTAGTAAATTCAGAATATGTTGATGGACCAAAACAGAGTGCGTGTATCAGTGATCTTTCGATGCGCTTCTCCTTTGACCATCCACCAATGTTCGTTGGCTCTGTCAGACAGGCGATCAGCAATAGAATAAACTCTTCAGCCATTGCTGGTGTTTGCTTTTCGTCATACACTGAGTGATAAACATAACCTTCAAACCAAGTGAGCATGTCGAATTTCGTCAGCAGTGACACCAATGCTTGCTCGGCATCGACGATAGTGAACATAATTTGAACGTTGAAGAGATCCAAGTCGTAGGTGTTGTCTCTGAACGTGATTTCTCGGTAGTGGTGTACTTGACCACGTACAGAAAAGCCATTGCGAACCCACAATCCACAACGAGCTTGAGCAACAAATGCACAAACTAAAAAAACCGTCAGCAGATTCTAAGGTGATTTTCATCAACTTACCTCTCATTGGCTGCTCAAAGAAGGCAACTGCAGGTAAGAGATTGTTCCTGGCACGTTCGCCGAATATGAGAGGCAGCTCGCGTGTATTGACACCTTCGGGATAAAAGTGACCTAGAATTTGAACATGCTTCAGAAGATTTCCGAGCCACCAGTGTAGTGGATGATGGAAACTAACTGATTCATAGGCGACACTATAGTCAATTACGTCATACGCATGTCCACCAAATTGTATACCAGCTTCTTTGGTTGAGAATGTTGGTCTGTGCATAGTTTTAGCAATACCATCCAAAATGTGCTTGATCAGTGTTACCAGTTGAATAGGAGTGAAGTTGGACGACAGGTCACCGAGCGCGTTAGTCACTTTGGTCAATTGTATAGTGCAATTAAAGGCATTAATCCAAGCGTCAGATTCGTATTCAACATGCTCATGAACGGCTCTTTGGAACTGGTTCATATCTGTGAAGGGAATGAAGAATTGAATAAAGTCGTCCAACAAGTCCATCCTTTTTGGCAGCTCATCAACAACGGCTTCATTAGTTAAAAGCGTCTTGAGGTCATGGATAATATTCAGGTATCGCTTGTGTCTGATTGAAGTAGATTCGCAGTCGATGATATCATTGCTTATTTTGTCAACTAGTTTAATCTGTTTAGGTGAAGTTCTCTGCTCTGTCAAGAAGGCATAAATAAGATGCAGGATTGTCGTTAGTAGTGAGTTGGCGTGAAATTCTGAATTGAAACATATCAACGATGCAACAGATGGTGTTGTAAAAACTTGAATGGAGAACAATAAAGCGGAGAGCTCTGGTTCGTGATCTTGTAATAAGTAGCTTTCAACCAGGTTCTTGTAGACCAAAGCAAACTGCAAGCCTGAGTCTCGTTAGTAAACAGCTCCTGCAAAGGTGATGAACGCACCAACACGACAACGAACGTCTTGGTTTACACCCAACAAAGCGACAAGCATATCCCTGAACAATTTACGTGCTCTCTTCCACATTCTGGACTCCAATAAGAATAAGCACTGTAAATTAGTCATCTGACGCTTGTCTTTGGTGATTTTATCAATGTGGGTTGATGTAGAAACCTTGAGCAGCTCTTCTGCTACAATCAATCTCAACTCTTGAGGTCTTGAGTGGCAGAGATCGAATAGAAATTCGAGAAGAAGATGACAAATATCTTCAAGATAAGTGTCGTGAGATGGCCTGATCGTGACAGCGAGATCGATGGAGTTGATAATAACAGCAACTTTCAATAGAGCGTTGATATCGCTGGATGACTTAAGTACTTCTCTACCCTAAAAAAAAGTTAGTTAAGAAAAAGGTGAGAAAATGCAACGTGCGTGTTGATCGACGTGCTCTGCAGCTGTTCTAGATGTAGAGTGAGAGCAGTCAATAGCCAGGGAAACTTGCTCAATAACTTCATCGAAAGAGTGGCGTTCATCGTTCCACAAGACGACAGACCAAGGGCCAGGCTCAGATTGAGATTCAGGTTTAAGTGTAGGGAGTGACTTGACCTGAGGAATGTTGGTAGGGGGGGTGAATTCGGTCGGGGAATGAGCAATAGTGTCAATAATGAATTTAATGATTGTAGAAACGTAGAGACGTGCTCTTTGGAGGGATTCTTCGGGAAGGTGAACATTCACATTGTCTGGTTCATCCAAGTGCGCGGGTCTTCCTGGATCGATTCTCCAAGCTTCAGGATCGCCACAATCGCAACAACCACCAGCTGTCATAAGGCTGAAGCTGATCTGGTGATTACTGAAAGGGTGATCGGGGGAATCTTGAGGGTGAGTAGCGTGAAAGCAGCGTGAACAAAACACAGTTGTTGGATCTATAGCGCAGTCTTTGCACCTGTAAACGACGTCACCCTTCTTAAAAACATAACCACATGGTTCAAATTGAGATCTGCCTCTTCTCCCCCCGAGGAACTTATTCTGCAGCTCATTGAATCTTTCATTAGCGCCAATATCGAGATGATCGCCGGTAACGCCAAAGAAATCAGGCGCAAAAGGGCCAATGAAGGATTTGTAGAGGGAGTCCTTTGTATTTGATTGGTTAAAATTAAAAATAGAATCTCTTTGAGGGTTTTCCAGTAAGCATCCAAGGACTTGTTCAAAGCTCATCAACGTTAACCAACAACGGTGATGGCAGATGTAAAACTCTATGATGTGGATCGATATCAATTTAATTCGATAGATTTCCACGCATCTATAACACAGCATTTAGCATTAACTGATAAGCAGCACTTGCTGGATATCAGAGATGCCGGTACGGAGGATGGCTATATGAGGGAATTCGATGGGGACCATATGTACATATTTAACCTATTAATCAAGGTTATGAGATTCGTCAAGGATTCCTTCAATAGACCAATTTTTGAACAATTCGAATTCATCCCAGATCAAGCCCAGGATCCCTATTTCCACTCTATAGTCACAGATCCTTTCTCCTTATCTCAATTAGAGAAGAATGTTAACTCCGGCTTCTACATTACCACCAGAGCCTTTGAATCAGATTTATTCCGCGCTTTCGACGCTTTCAGATTAGGTAGCCCTATCGGTAGTCTCCGGTACGGCAACGTAAACATTCTCCAGCGTTTTTATGTCGGCCTTTTTGCCCCTTCTCATTTAACACTTCCTCAAGAATTCAATTTCGCCTCTGCAAAAGCTGGTCCTGGTAACCCTTTCGCTGAAGAACTAGCTGAAGGTCAACCTGGAATGGAAGGTGTTGGTCCAGCTACTTCTAGAATCCTAACAAGGCATAGGTATTTTAAAGACGATGCTCAATTCAGAGATTTACACTTGAATATGGGTGATTGGGTGCATATCATCAACCCAGACGACGCAACAAAGCCTATACCAGCTCAGCTGTTCAAGGTCTTCACTCCTGATTACTCCTCCCATATACACATAACTGTTTGCAGATATTACAGGCCTGAGCAGACTGTTCATGCTCCTTATAGGACTTTCTACGAAGACGAGGTATTCAAGTCGGGTAATTACGTTGATTTACCAATTGAAGATCTTCTCGAGAAGACTTTTGTTATGTTTGCTACTAAGTATTCCAGGGGCAGACCAAAGGAGCACTTATGGGACAAGCGCAGACCACTTTACGTCGTCGAGCACAGGTATTCACCAAAGTCAAAAACAGAAACAGGTGGTTTCTCAAAGATTAAATCGTGGAACGCATGCATACCTGAAGAAGTACGAAAAACAGAGTATGAAATGGACTCATACGATGACCAACAAAAACCAGCGTCTTTGATGTCACCCTTTATGCGAGGTATTGAAGGACCAGGTAGAATTGACGAAAATGCACCACCTCCTCAAGAAGTTGGCCCTGTTGCTGTTAGTAATGCGGCCATTGTTGCTGAGCAAGTTAAATTGATGCCTGAAGGTGCAATGGTCTCGGCAAGTCAAGCAGGGCAAGGCTCAATGTTACTGAAGAAGCAACAAAAGGACTATATGCTTCAGCAAACGACTCAAGCTAGTAAAAAAATACAAGGTGAACTCAAGAAGACCACCCCAATATACGATAAGCCATCAGTAAAGCGCGACAGAAAGGGTAAAGAGTTGAAAGAGCTCGACAGATCGATACAGAGTATGTGCAAGAAGAGAAACTTGGGTGATCATGGTGAAGTCACTACTATCCCCGAAGAGACTGGTAGGTAGTTTACTCTGTTGATGGTGTGCTCTAACCAAACGAAGCTGCATTCTTTGAAAGAGACGCTGAAACTAACAAGCTCAAGTGGTTTTCTGGTATGCCTATGATATTACCAAAGAGAGGACAAACTGCATACTCGGCGGAGTACCTTCTCCATAGACTCGAAGGCGAGCCGCAAACGAAGAAAAGCAAGACATTGCCTTCTATCTCTGAAGAGTCTCTGCATGCTTTCGATGACTTTTGTCGGAATACGTTTGAGACGCAAAAAGAAAGTCGAGCTGAAACCAATACAACAGCACTAAACGCAAGTGAACCACTTCTGTATTTGTCTGAGAGCATATCAAAGACGACTAACTTATTGTAAAGTATCATATAAATTGTCTTTCTTAAAAACTGTCAAATGATTGATAAGATTCTTATATGCAGACACGGAGTAAGGAGTTGAGCACACAGGGATTCATCTAACAAGCAATAAACAAGTTTAGAGCCAATTGGGTTGACAGTAGCTGGTTGGTTGGGGTTGAAGGAGAAGATATATGCTGACGCAACAAAGGCCAGCGGAAGACAGAGATACTCCACTGGCTGCGTATGGCGTGGTGAGAATGAGAAAACTAGCGCTACTAGACGTAAAAAGCTCACCGGCGCAACCAGGATCAAGCAAATCAGCTTGCGGAGCATCTGCGATCGTCATACAACGCGTCATCGATTTACAGTTCGCCGTTCCACAGGTGCCTGCAAACCTCTCAACCGACTTCGCAGGCGTTTAGCCTCCCAATTCGAGTAGAGCCGGGTGTAAGTGGACAAATAGAAATTGATTGAGCAATGTTCTTATGGCGTGATCAGATACAGGAATGGTTTCACGAGAATCCACCAAACAAAGCACCTACATTGCATCCTCAGCCGGTGTACACGGATCTCAAGGCTAAATTTGGCGAGATTGACACCCAATACAAGCCCACTTTCTATCCAAATCGTCATGGAGAATCTCTAGAACAACTCCACGAGCGATGCAAGATTGCACTAGCAAATCTCATCAGGAGGGAGGAAAGAAGGGGAGTTTCTGGTACTATTCTTCTCTTTACACACGCCGCTAGCGCTATTGCACTTGGCAGAGGTCTGCTCAATGACCCAGATAGAAATATTAGAGCAGGTTGTGCTTCCTACTCTGAGGTAAGCGTACTGCACACGCTCATCCAATGTTAATTTTTGTTTCAGTATGTCCGCCGAGGGGACGCTTGGGAGATTACAAAGAATGGCAATAGTGACCATCTCATTCAAGGAGAAGAGCGCCATTGGGACTTTTCACTCTCTACTCGTGAATATGAGGATGGTTTGCAAGGTACTGAAAATCTTGATCAGGGAGAGTGGGGACTTGTTCCAGAAGCTCGTCTGTAAGGAACGAAGGGATATTGATCGATATTGTCGTGGTCCTCAATAATCATACATAGAGTCTTAGACATTACATGGTGTAGAACTAGTCAGATTATGCCTTGCTGTAGCCCACTTTGAACTGAGTCAAGGCAGCTACAGAACCAAATAAGCCAACCCAAGCCTTGAGTCTGTTAGAATGGCTGATTTATCGCAATTTTTCGCTCACATCGTTTGAGAAGATACCAGTTGGTAAAGACCAGTGCAGTGTCAGGGGAAGATAAGCAAGGTTAATGATGGTATCGTCGACAATTGCTTTGTACTGAGTATCTAAAGCAAGCTTATTGACGCCTTTCTCTTCTTGGACATCTCTCTGCTTGTCCTTCAGCAGAAGAGCGTGATTATCGTAGTTGTGGACGAGCTACAACGACCGCAGTCAGATGATCGTCCTGAAGAGTGTATAAATCGCGTACCTGAAGTACCGTGTAAATCATCCAGAATCGGCAAGACCATGTTGCGATTTTACCCGAAGTTGCAGGCTTGAGAGGTAAAACACCATGATGTGCCAAATACCAGAGGTGCTCTAAAGGGAAGTATATAATCATTGAAAGTGCTTGCAGTCTTTCTACGTTGAGCGATAGCTTTGACACTTTACGCTCAGATTCAATGGATTCTGCCCACTGAAGCATAGGGAGAAGTCCTGTAACGAGTAAGAAGTGAGCCAAAGTGTAATGCTTTTGGTATACCCAAACCCACCCCATAAACGGAGCAAAACGCGATGATCACCGACGAGACTACCTAAAGAACGCGCCGATGCGGACAGTCCGCGTGCACTGTTTGATTTGCTGGAAGACCATACGACAAGCTTAGAAACGTATTGAATGAGCATAAAGAACTGGGAATTGTTTGTAAATTACCGTGAATACCTCGATAAACTCACTTTGTCTGTTCCCGACCAGGTTGACAAGTAGCGGATGAGCTTATCGAAGTTATCTGGGCGTATACGCTTGATAAGCTTGCCCAAGAGACCTAGAGTTGCTAAGTTGCGACAATCGAGCACCATGACCGTTTTGAGCGTTTAGTGTAAGAATCGTTTAGATTACGCTACCTCACTTGACACCAACGATCATTTGAATGACAGTGGCAGAACTCGTTAACCCCGATCCGCGATACTGCTTTCCTGCGAGAGTTTCAATCAAGCACCCGTGCGTGTAGTAGGCTTGGATAGATATCCACGATCGACTGAATTCCATTATAGGCAACTTAGGGATCTCATACAGACAGCGGATAACAGCTCTGTTTACTATCCACACAATCGATCCATTATCAAGCACTATCTTGATGCCCCCGGTGTAATTCCCTCTATTGTCACATATCACCGCTGTCTGACTTCAAGTCGCAGAAACCCAAAGTAAAGTCACAGCTCGGCTACTCTCCTGTCACGCTGTCCACTGGTTCTGGCCTCTTGGCTAGCGCTGGAAGCTCTGGAGAGATCACGTTGCAATCACTCGATCAGGACAACAGGTGTGTTTTAAGCGTTAAGCGTTTACGCGTAAACACGTAAGCATAAATATTTTCTAACACAGTTAAGTGGCTTTTTTGAAACCCGCTTTGGTAGTGCGATCAACAATCACATCGCTTTTGCGCCCGAATCTACAAGTTCTGTGGAACCGCGACTGCTAGTCTGTAACAATGACAATCTAGTAAGGATATTTAGGGTTGGCATAAGGACGGAGCAGCCAGAATTGGATCTGGTAACCACGTTGAAATTTAACACTGCCGTTAATCAGGGTTTGTTATAGATGAAACGCGGTCATGTATCTTCTGACAATACTCTCAGCTTCTATTTCCCCTAATGCACGTATATGCGTAGCTGTAGGCGATACCAACGAAGTCCATCTCTTTGATTGTGGCAATTCGGGGACGTTTCGCAGAGTCAAAACATTAACGAGCGCTACGGATGGTGGATTTTCAACAGCTTGGTCAGCTGATGGACTAAAATTTGCTGTGTCATCTCAAGATGGGTTGTGCACAGTCTGGGATATTAGAAGTAGTAAGCCGCTCGAGAAATTTTTCACTCGAAATCAAACACCGTCAAGGGCAGTTAAGTTTACGTCAAACGCTGCCAGTAAGGAGTTAATGGTATTTACGGAGAGTACAAACAGTATTCACGTGGTAGATGCAATGACCTTCTCACCTGTGTCACAACAGACATTGGATTTACCCTCTGCAGCTTCGTTATCAACACCACCATTTTTATCACCTCGCTCTGAGTCTCCTTTGAACGATGAGGAGAGTATAAACTCGCCCGAATTCTTCTCAACTTTCTTCCCCTCCTCGAATACAAATAGCAGATCACTTCGACAGATATTCAATAACTCATATGGCGCCACGCTGAATAGGTTGTCGCCAAATCATTTACCTGGAGAGCAGCGGTATTGCAGTGAAGTGCAAGTAGCAGGCATTGCCTTCTCAATGGATGGCAGCCGGTTATATGCAGCTAGCGAGAACGGGGTGATGGACTATGAAATCAACGGCGCAAATACTAAGTTATTTGAAGGAGGGGAATTCATGTGAGTATAAATGTAATAATTGTGAATATCAAAATAATTTTATAAAATTTGATTTTGGTAGAAGTTTTGAGCGGGCTTCTTCATTTCTTGCCTTGCTCACGCACGATTCTGTTGGAAGCAGTGAAATCCATTGCAAGTTTACAAAGTCAATTACAAACTTGTAGATCGTTCTCCACAACACTCGTATTCCACTCAGCAAAGAAGAGAACAAAGATGCCACCAAAGAAGAACCAGCAACCAGAGCAAAAGATTAGACTTGGAAGACCGGGCAACAACCTCAAAATGGGTATTGTTGGTCTCCCAAACGTCGGAAAGTCATCTCTTTTTAACATCATGACTTCTTGCGATCTTGGCAAAGCTGCCAACTTTCCTTACGCTACCATTGAACCAGAAGAGTCAAAGGTTATCGTTCCTGATGAGCGTTTCGATTGGTTAGCTGACCACTACAAGCCTGCATCAAGAGTCCCAGCTTTCTTGTCTGTCATTGATATTGCCGGTCTCACTGCTGGTGCTTCCACTGGTGCCGGTCTTGGTAACGCCTTCTTGTCTCACGTCAGAGCAGTTGACGGTATTTTCCAAGTCGTTAGATGTTTCGACGACGCAGATGTCATCCACGTTGAAGGTGATGTCGATCCTATCCGTGATATGGAGATTATCCAATATGAATTGCGTTTGAAGGATCAAGAATGGTTGGAGAAGGCCGTCGACTACCAAAAGCGTACCGCAAGATCCGCCAACCACACCACGCTCTCTGGTAAAGCTGAGCACGACAAGCTCCAAACTATCATTAAAGCTCTTGAAACTGTCGCAGGTAACGAAGAAAGTGGTGTTGAAGGTATGGACATCCGTAAGCAAATTTGGTCTGCTAAGGAGGTGAGTTTTACTCTTGCGTCGCCAGCTTTTGCAGCCTATTATGATGATAAAGAGCATTGCTCGAAACCCAGCTCGTCGAAAAGACAGGAGTAACGCCCATGTCTATGAGATAACGTTTATTCTGATTCTTTTTGCTCAACCTGGCACGCCCTTATTTTAAAACAAACTAACACATATTCAGGTTGACGTTATTAACGGTTTGAACTTGCTCACTGCTAAGCCAATCATTCGTCTTGTCAACCTTTCAAAGCGTGACTATTGCCGCAAGAAGAACAAGTGGCTCGGAAAGGTCAAACAATGGGTCGATGAGAAAAACCCTGGTGATTTAATTATCCCATTCTCAGTTGCACTTGAGGAAGAGCTCATGCAACTCTCAGATCAAGACAAAGAAAAGGAACTTAAGAGCTTGGAAGAAGAGTACAAGTTGCCTGTCACTCAATGTCTCGGAAAGATTACAACAGCAGGATACCAATCTTTGGAACTTATCAGATACTTTACTTGTGGTGAAAAGGAAGTTAGAGCATGGACAATCGCTTCTGGTACCAAAGCACCACAAGCTGCAGGTCTCATTCACTCTGATTTCGAAAAGAACTTTATCTGTGGTGATATCATGACCTACGATGACATAAAAGAGCACAAGACCGAGAACGCCGTGAAAGGTGCTGGTAAGATGAGGCAACAGGGTAAGCCTTATGTGATGAAGGATGGTGATATAGTCTACTGGAAGTCTAACGCTTAGATTTCTTTTATTCTACTGTAATATTATATAAACCGAAAATTGCATTGTACTGAAAAAGTGCTTCAATACCTCTGCACACGATTCATCTACACGAAATAATTGAGCTTCTGCATAGGAGTACATGGATATAATACTTAATGATATCTATAGGATTGAGTGTCCCTAAGGAATGTTTCTGCCTTTTTGATCAGTCTTTTTGATTCGTGATGCGATTTACTGAGCTGATATTCAGGCTTAGATTCAGATTTCTGCCACGTCTGACCAGGTTTGAGACGCGTTAGGTCTACAACTCTCTTACTGGCCAAATGATCAACCAATTGATAAGTAATTGATCTTCCTTGATTATTAAGCCCATTTGGTGTGGGAGTTGGTGGCGATAATGTTGATGACCTTTCTGATCCACTATCGCTATCACTTTCATCGTCAGTGACAAGAGATGGTGTTGCAGATCTCATCGTAGGTAAAGGTTCGAGGCTCTTCAAAGCAATTAAATTGTCTTTCGATTTCAGATAAGCATTCTCTGATCTGAGATACTTGACAACAGACATAAGACTATCAATTCTCTCGATCAATCCTGACTTTTCTAAGCTACCTTCATTTCCACCAAGTCCGTCTAGTGCAGCGCTACTTATTTGTGCATTGTGACCGGGTGCTTGATCTGTCTTTGCAGCTGACTGTTTCAATTTATCGTTCTCCTGTTCAACGTTGTTGAGATCCGTCTGCAAAACGTCAAGAGCGTCACTCAAGGTCTTTTCTTGCTTTTTAAGACGCGAAACTTCATCTTCCATACTTTCGAGAACTTCAGTTTGCTTTTTGACAGTGTCAAGCTTCTTGGACATAACTTCAATCTTTACAGAGGATTCTTGTAATGTTTGATCTTTATTCCTAATCTCTCTGACCAGTTCCTTAACATCATTGGCGAGTTTGTTGACGGCCCGCTCAGCCTCAACGTTGTGCGCGGTGATCGACTTGAACTCTTCAATCCTAACGAGCCATGGTTCTTCGCTGATGAGCTTAACAACTGAATCAGGTTCGAGTGATGCCTGTAGCACATCATTGATGGTCTCAGCAAATGCGTCGACAAAGTCATTCACTTTAGTCCATCCACCTCCACAGTGAGATTCTTTTCGACCAAGTGCTTGTGATGCATCATTCACAAAGGCCAACATTTTAGAAAACTCGAATGGCTCATTTGTTTCTTTGGCGTTGTTCATGTAAATACTTAAATCTTGAGCAAACGACACAGCAAAGTTGTTCAACTTGACTGTTTGATCTGATAAGACTGACAGTTGATTACTGACCTTTGGCTCTATTGCTGATGATTCTCTGATACAGTTTTCTACTCGAGAGGCGAATTTTCTGGAGCGTGTTTAGAAACGTTATATCTCCCAAGCTGTAAACTCACCTTGAGGTGTATTTTATCGACTTGATAGTGTTAAGCACGTTTTGCACAGGTTCGAAGAAATCTCTACCAAATTCGTAATGGCCGATTTCCTTATCGACACTTTGATCGTTGTTGATACCAATCATCATCTGCTTAGACAAACCTATGGCAGCAGCAGTACTGTCCAAGTCGCAGTCAATAGCTAGTACAAAGTCTAGCTCCTTCTCGTCAAGGTCAAGCTTTGTTTCGCCTAAGTAGAGCTCGACCAGGTGCTCGAATTGACCGAGCAGCATAATAATATCCTTCGTACACTCAAACTCCCTGAACTCTTCTCGACGCAGTAACTCTATCCAATGATCAATCTTTTTCTCAGATCCCTTGATTTCATTTGCAATCTTCCCCATGCGCAAGTACATATCGACAGAACATCTCCTAACCATTGCCGCAAATCTTCTATTAATAGCAGCAAAGTGCGTCAGCTTAGACCTCAGTTCACAGACTCCAACTAGAATCTCTGGGACAGAGTCGTATAGACTATTAGGTAAGCCGTGCATTTGAGCAATGACTTGATTGATGATATCGCTTTTGAATGCGCATCTCTGGAAAAATAATAAGCAGTTGGCTGAATCCGCATCACCAGATTCAAAGAAGGTTGTCGGGAGGTAGTTTTGTACGATTTTCAAGTGTTCACTTGCTTGCGCTGCGTCTAATTTCTTTAGATCAAGATCTATAGCTTTGGCTTGGGATTTGTGCGCTGTTGTCTGTAATTTCTGATTGAGAGACAGCATCGCTTGAGATTGAGACGTCAATGCTTCCGACTCTGTGGCTTGTTGAAGTTGTGTTTGACGCATTTCGTCCAGGTCACTTGAGAAGCTGTTAGACAATCCACGCCGATCATATAATTCTTACCTTTGAAGTAGCTGCATGTGTTCGCGGAATTGCAATATAGTGTTTTCGTAATCTGCTGTGGTTTCAAGTAGTCCACTGATACGTTTCAAGCTGGCAAGTAATTGTAAGTCTTTGTAGTCCAAAAGCTCTTGCATTTGCTTTTCAGTGTCGTTGTGACTCTCTTCCAATTCATCACTTAGTTCTTTCAATGCCTCAAGTTCTTCGATTGTGGTTCTCATCGACTCGACTTGTTCATTCAAAGAAAGGTTGCTATCGGTCAAATGCTCAACCACGTCTGCTGATGCCAAGCTATCATCTAGCTGTTGTTTCAAATCATCGATATAAAGTTCAGAATCCTGCAACTTGCTTCGTATATCTTGATAATTATCTGAGCAAATATAAGCTTCATAAGTTAAGACAGTGTGACGCGTACCTTGCATTTCTTTCAAGTCTCTAATTTCAAACTGCAACTCGTTTATTTTCTGCTTTTGAAGGGTTTCATTTTCGTTTGTAACGTCTCTTAGCCGTATCAAAGCCATCTTCAATCTATCGTTTTGTTTCTCGAGTTGCTTATTTACTAATGGTGAAATTTCTCCGTTCTGCGTTTTGGAAGCAGGGAATTGATTTTCCTGTTCTTCTTCAAGCTTAAACTTGAGATTTTCCACTTCAGTTTCCAAATCTACTTCCCTCTCTTGTACATTCTCAAGCTCAGTCACGGCATGCTCCGTCTTTTCCTCGGCAAGCTCCTTATCGAGAGTCGCAATTTCTAACAAGTCACTGACCTCTTGATGCTGTTGTTCGAGCTTTTCATTCTGTGACTGTAAATCCTTACCATTGACTCTAAGATCTTTAATTTCAGTTTGCATTTCAGCTATCTTTGCCTGTAGCTTTGGCTTCATCATGTTGAATTGCTCGACCTGGTCCATCTGTGACTCTAATTCTCTAAGCTTAATAAGCTCTTTTTCCCTGTATTGCTCAGTCACTCTGAGTTTGGCTTTACACTCCTCATAATCCCTCTTAGATACTGTCTTCTCGAGCGTGCGAGTAGTAGGTGAGGGAGACACAGGATTATTTTGGTTAAGATGAATTGTATGATTCAGTGGAACTGAAACGGGTGTGGAAGGTGATCTAGTAAGCGGTAATCGTGATGCTGGTTTGGAGTCGAGTGATTCACTTTCTTCGGACAAATCCTGAGGTAAGGGGACACTCGAATGTGAAGGGGATTCCTCCTCTTCAAAGTCGAATGAAGATTGCGATTGTGATCGTGAAGATTCTGCGCGTTGTGGACGTTCAGCGAGTTGTGGCTTGGTGGATACAGAAGGAGTACGTTGTGAACCAATACGCTGATTAACGATTGACGATCTACGTGAATTGGTAGAGACATTGCCGTTGGAGGTTGGTCTGGGAGTTTGAATTATTGAAGATCGCCGTGGTGCTGATCTAGGTGGCTTAATTGAAGGCGTTCTAGTGGTAACAGGCGTTGAAGCTATAGAAGAAGCGTTAGATGAAGGTCTGCTACTAAGGCTGGGACGAGTGGTTGAGCTTGACTGCCTACTTGAAGGTGTTGATGATGGTACAGAGCGTTTCTGATTGAATTGTGAGTTGTGAACGGTTTACGCCCAATAAACTCACTATTGGCGCGTCTTTAAGCTGTGCGGGTCTCACGAAAAGCCCAAATCCAGGTTTACATTGAAAATAGTACTTTCCAGCCACGCTACCATCGTTCTTACCCGTTTGAGTGTCTAACTCGACGCCAACCCAAACTCCAGGCGCAAATTCTGTATTACCAGAGAATCTAATTATTCCGATTCCCGCAGACGTACTTACGCGAGCACCTGGCTCTTGTAGCATCATGGTGGTTTTGATTTGAGTTATACATCATTTTACAAACGAATACGTTTGAGTCATTTTAATATTCTCTTCACATATATAAATATCCTCTTGTTGGACATTCCATTTTATCGTTCTTGCGTAATCGTGATATATCGTCGCGTCTTCACCATCATCATTCTCTGGCTTGGACATATCCCCAACCCATTCTCCTTGTTCATTTATAAATGGCCGTTTACATTTTCTTTGTACAGACGTTGATTCCTTCTTTGTTGCTGGTTCTGTCCACCTTCCTTCTTCTTCTTCCTCTTTGTTTGGTTGATTTTGGCTTCGCCGTCTTTTCAAGTTTTTCTTGGACAACGACTCATTGAATGCTTTGTACTTGAGTAATGTTTCTGCTCGTAGTCTAAAAGCTTGTAAGCGTGCATTTAGTTGAAATTATCTACTTACTTTAACCAAGCAGCTAACTCGAATGGTTTATCCTCTATATCATCATGTGGAAACCTTTCGCTATATGTTTTTGCTATCTTGACTGCTTTTTCATCTGTCACTCCATTTTCATTCATCGGACTGTCCATTCGAAAAGCAAGACCGCCCAAAAATTCACCCAATACAACTAGATTCCTTATCACCCTCTCAGGTAGCTTTTTCCCTTCTTTTAAGACCTTCGTGTAATGATTTGCAACGTACCTGTTGACTATAAGTTAATTAACCCAATCAATGGTGTCTTCACGCACCAACAAAGCGTCTGATACCCAGGAAATCTGAACTTCAAAGGTACTTTTGTATCAATTTCTATTTGGACAATCTTTTGTTGTCCTTCTATACCGTAGCTGTGAACAAAATTACCTCCAATGACCAAAGAATCTTCAGGTGTATATACAGCATGCATCCAACCAGTTGGAATTATTAGCGTATTTCCTTGCTTCAGAGTTACTGTATATGTAGCATCTGCCAAATCTCCAAACCATTGCGAGCCTTGATCTGCAGACTCTGACCACATTTTGTACTGTTGAAGGTTATAACTATTTGGGCGAGCAAGATAGAAAGTTTTTTGACCTCTAAGGACGTGATAAAATACTGAAGATCCCGCAAAATCTATATGCCAATCGGTGAATGAGCCTGTCAAACTCATCAAGACATATAAAAGCACACGAGGAGCATCTTTGGCCTTATCTTTTGGCCAAAAGTTACCGACCCAATCCAAGTCTCTTACGAACTTAGGAGGTATAATATGGCTAGCAAAATCAGTATCGGAAACCTCTAAACTGATAACATTTAGTGTTTTCTCAACTTCAGGTGCTTCTCTGCGCTTGTAATAGTGAGCAGCCCATTGACCAAGAGTCCAAGGGAATTTAGAGAGATGTTGAGTGCTATTGAGTTGTTATTAAGATGAGTATAAACAAGGAGACAGACGTACGCGCAATCGATTACTTCAACAGGCTTGTCCTTACCGACAATATCAGCGATTTGATCGATAGTAATATGCGAAGGGGGCATTTTCATCTGTGACGAGATCAGCGTGAGTTAACAACACCCAAAAAGACCATCAACACACATCTAGTCCGGTTGGATTAGGAACGATGATAGGTTCTGACATACTTGAAGGATCGTTATCTAGCCAATCAAGAGTGAGTTCATCACCTTTTAAATGCTTGAATTGATAATCTTGAATTTGTAGAGAAGGAAGACGTTCGACGTGCAAGTAAGAAGATGCAATTCCATCGTTTATGGCAGCGTAGTCGTGCTTAACTTTAGATCTCTTAGATTTTCTAGGCTCGGGTTTATTTTTAATGATTAGATTAGGATCGCTGGGATCTGTGTTAGTGTTTCGATAAGCAATCTCAAATGAATCGACTAACGCTGAAATGCAAGTAGAGCAGTACCAGATTTCAATATCCTCAGCATCCTCAACATGAACGCAAGCGCAATGAAACCAATTCTAAGGAATATTAAACGTGATTTCAAGTACACAAACCGAGTTACTCACATCGCAGGCGTCACAGCCGATCCATACATCATCGACGTCTGGTATTTCTTGATCGCTATCTGCAGGCGGGCATTGAGGACAACGAGGATGGCTATCTGACTCGTCCTCCATTTTAAGTTTGGTGGTGGTGGTACAAGTCCAAGGGCTAGAGCACTAGAGCAGTATAACAGCCACCATGTCCCAATATAACGTATTTGGTGGTGATGACAGTGAAGATGACGACAAAGTCAGCGATCAAGCCGTAACTGGTTTTGACGGCGGTGTTCTGAAGAGGTATGTCATTGCTTGGGCCCGGGACGCATTTTTAACATTAGAGCGACAGCAACGACAACAAAGAGAAGCAGCAGCCTTTGGTTATCCCCTCGCAAGCCAACATTGATTGGAGGGATAAGAAGAAGGCACAGAGATACAGGCCTAACCAAGAACAGCCAGTCGTTGTCAATGAGAGCACAGCAACTCGTGAAAAGCTCAACGATGGCCCTGAGCGCGTTGGATTACAGACTGCTACAAGTACACTCAAGACGGAGGATCCTCTTGCTGAAACATCTGTTGATCCAGCCCAAGAGCCAAATGAAAGCGTAGAAGAACAGGCACTCAAATATTTATTATCAGATGAAAAGCCTGAAAGCAAGCAAGATGAAATAGAAGCAATTCCAATGACGACAGCTCCTGGTATATCAGACGCAGACGCCTTCAAAGAAGATGTTGCAGCTAGAGCTGAGGAGAGTACTATGGAAGAGTACAGCAGAGTGCCTGTCGAACAATTTGGCGCTGCTTTGTTGCGCGGCATGGGCTGGAAAGAGGGTACGGCTGCTTCGAGAACGAGATCGGGTCCGACTGAGCCTTACCTCCCTGATAGCAGACCTTCTCTGCTTGGTATTGGCGCGAGTACACGTCCTAACAATGATAAGGATAAGAAAGAAAGCAGTAAGGACTCCAGAATGAAAAGGCAGGCTATGAACACATACAGACCCTTAACGAAGCATTCAAAGAGATCAACCTCACCGATTGGACCTCCTTCTAACAACAGGAGCAGAGACTATGATAGCCATAATAGGATTCGTGATAGACACGACGATGGCAGAGATAGTCGACGTTATGATGATCGCAGAGAAAGTAGACGGGATGATAAGCGGTATGACGATAGACGCTACGATGATAGACGCTATGAAGATCGGAGGTATGCAGAGCGGAATTATGACAGGAAAAGAGATAGCTATCGTGACGACCGACGCTATGATCGTAGACGTTATGAAAGCGACTCAATTGACCGAAGCTACCGTAACAAAGATTGAATAGATTGTAACGTTAATGTATTACAATAAACCTGATGATGCATAATTAAGTAAATAACAAATCGAGCTGTGGACATTAAAGACATTTCATTTCACATTATAATGCATTCTTTTTGCGAAGAATGTTTAGAGAGCTTACCCGAGCTATCAGACTGAGGAAGATGATCAATCTTGATGCCATTTTGTTTCAACCTCGTGATAGCTCTTTCATCGCCATTTTCAGCAGCTGATTTGTACCAGTTGGTTGAAGCTTTCTGATCTGAGGTAGTACCAATACCAACCTCACTAAAGTATCCAACAGCATACATAGCTTTAGCAAGACCTTGCTCGGCTGCTTTGACTGCCCATAGATAAGCTTCAGTGTCAGATTGTGGTAATATCCCCGGACTGCCGACTAGATACCAAGCAGTCAAAGCAAAGCAACTTTCACGATGATCTTGTTGAGCTGCGATGTTATAATAGTGTATTGACAGTGCTGCATCTTGAGGGCAATTGAGCTTTGCATATTCATAGCATTCTCCTAATGTATGTGCGCTTGGCGCATACCCCAGCTCTGCTGCTTGCGCAAGCAGTTCTACGCTGTAATCTAAATCGATGAAAAGGACGTTATCAACTCCTTTTTCGTAAAGCTTTGCCATTTCATGGAGTGCATGCGGGAACTCTTCTGTAGCCAATTCGCAACTTCTGGTAAGATGCTTGACACCAACTTTGGGTCTCTTGGGTAAGCCCAATTCACCTTTGAGCTCGCCAATACCCAGTCTGTATAGAGCACCTGGATGGAGTGAAGTTGCAGCCTTCTTATAAAATGAAGTGGCTTTGCTATTATCCTTTCTACATCCCCACCCATTCTCCAAGCAGACACCAGCTCTGTAGCAAGCGTCAGGATGACCATGTTTAGAAGCTTGAACGAATAAAGGAAACGCTTTATCGAAGTCTTGTCTACCACGTAAAGTGCCAATTCCAGAGGAGAAACAATCAGCTAATAAATACTGAGACTCCGTATGACCCCTAGAGCTTAGCCTGCTTAAAATACCAGTTGCCTCCTTTATAAGCTCTTCCCGATCCTTGTCGTTGTTGGGGTCAGCATGGTTTGTTGGCGTTGGATCCAATTCTTTAGCGGCTTCCAATTGGAACATAGCCAGCTCAAAGGGAACCGATGGATCGTTAGACTTGCGCGCGTTTTGTCGGTATAATTCGAGTGTTTTGTTATGTGATAATAGAGAGGCATGGGCACCGCTGTCAGGTGAGGGTTAATGGGGTGCAATAGTGAATAAAGCAACACTCACGGCTTTAAATGACCCTGATTCATTAATTTGGCTGGTGCGTTTGTCTCCGAAAGCGGACTGCCAGTTAGCCAAGATTGATCCCAAGCGGCAGATTGCGGCCTTGAAGGGATATTACCCAGAGAATCATTTTGAATATTCCCAGGGCTAGCAGACTGTGCTCTCTGTTTACCTTTATCCTTTGGTGTAGTGTCTGTAGGCTGAGGAGTCGGTGGAGAATGGAAAGCGTCAGTGTAGAAAGATTCACCACTGAGTGCAGATGGCGCCCTTTGCTGTTCTATGCTCATTGGCTTATCACCACGAATACGCTGGTCGTCGACGTTGAAATTGATGATGAAAACGACCCAAAGTGGAAAGTGGATAGATTAAAATATGTAACACATGAATGAATATCATGAAATTCGCCGTTATATTTCTGAATTTTTTGCCGTGATTTTGTCACGATTTGTGTAAGTTGCGTACTTCGGGAGTAGTTGTATGTGGAGGTGACGTACGAGTATCTTCAATCGTAATGAATATCGTTTAATCGGATGTAATCACGGATATTTGGCTGAGTATTACAAAACATATGATCACCGCTTATTACCGCTTACTTGGTTCTATCACAGCAACGACGAAAACGCAATGAACAGATTCCACCTCCCAGAAAGCCCAGAGACAAAGCAGACATTCCCTGCAGATCTTCTTACAGGTTGAGTACTTGATATTCGCATTTTTCCCCCTCACACTTTCTCTAGGAAAGGTTGCTTTCGTTACCGGTGAGATTTCCCTGCGTGAGAAGCCTCCTCCCTAAACGAGTTTATAGGTGGCAGCTCGGGCATTTGTATGAATCAGACACTCTCCTTAATGCAACACGGCGCCAACGCATTTATTATCGGCAGAAACCTCGATAAAGCCCAGAGAGCAGCTGGGGAGTTATCGAACCAGACCGGGAAAAAGTGTATTGGACATAGCTGCGATGTTCGTAACCCACATTCTGTTCAAGAAGCAGTAAACGCCGCAATTAACCACTTCGGTCGTATCGATATCGTTATTTGCGGTGAGCTTGGTTTAATTTTCATCTAAGACACTCTCACAAGGTCTCTCAAAGGCGCCGCTGGTAACTTCCTCGCACCAATCTCTGCCATGTCCTCTAATGCTTTCAAGGCCGTGATTGATATTGACTTGGTGAGTGTGTCAGTGCTCGTGTCTCAGCTAACCATCAATAGTTTGGCACCTACAATACTATGTAAGTGGTATATATATCAAACACAAACCACACTAACATTTTACAGTAAAGCTACAATTGATCATCTTAGGAAATCAAGAGGTGCTTACATACACATTACAGCCACACTACACGAGAAGGGTACACCACTTCAAGTACATGTCTCAGCCGCTAAGGCTGGCATTGAAGCATTGAGCAACGTCCTTGCAGTCGAGGAAGGTATCAATGGTATCAGATCTAACTGCATAGCACCAGGTCCTGTAAGAGGAACAGAAGGAATGCAAAAGCTTTCATTCAAGGGTACAACAACTGAAGATAGCTCACCTTTAGGCAGATGGTGTACTTTTTCAGACATCAATAACCTCACCCTCTTTCTGGTTAGCGATGCCGCCAATATTCTCAATGGTCAAGTCTTCAGAGTTGACGGTGGTGAAAGACACGTACAGCCAACCAATGATTACCCCAATAACATTATCAACTTTCAGAAAATGATTGATGATGGCTTGATTGAGAACAGAGATGCATCCAAACAGAGACAAGCTAAGCTTTAATAAGCTTTCATGTAATAATGAGTGTCATGCATGTAATAATACCAACGTAGTTGATTTAGTTGAGTTATAATTAGTTGGTTGTTCTTGTATTGTTCTTGATAAATAATTACTAATAGCAGAAATAATAAATGAGTGTCCTCTAACGCCTTGATGAACGCTGAATATAAATTAAAGAAGATTGCTTTACTTATTACTTTGCATCAGAGAAGAAAGTAGACCTAGGTCTTGATGAACTGTGATTGTTATTCATGTAAGGACCTGTGCTCATTCTACCTGAAGTTTGATTAAAACCGACTCCTAATCCAGCACCATCAGATGGGTAAGCATGTGGTGAAGGTGACATATAGCCTCCTGGATTCGATTGTTGATATTGATATAGTGTTGCATTGTATGCTTGCTGAGCTTGATACATGCCTTGCATCATTAGTTGTTGCTGTTGTTGTTGCTGTTGCATAGCGTTCATTGCCATCATTGACATTGCTGGGTCGTAGTACTGAGGTGACTGAGGTGGCATCATCATATTATTCATCATCATAGGTGTGTTCATCATCATTGACATGCGTGGATCCATCTGCATTGGCATTTGTGGTGGTCCTTGTTGTGGAGGCATATTGTAAGGTGTTGAAGAGGGTGATTGCTGATTTACTGCTTCATTATACTTCCTTTGACTTGATTCTACACCTCTCTTTTCCCTATCTCTTTCAGTCAAAAGTGCACCAAGTCCACCAACTCTTTTCCTATCTTTCTCATGAGCAGCAATTTGACCGAGCAGTCCGAACTGTGGCTCGGGAACTTTAGCTGGTGGTAGTACCATACCGACACCATAATCTCTTGCATATTGCTCTTGAGCTTTAGCTGTTTTGGACTGTTTATTCATCATACCAGCTTGTAACAAACCGAATGGGGCAAATTTGTTATTAGGGTTCTTTTGCTCCATCTCTGGCTCAATGTTGATAAACTTTTCATAGTTATTTGAGTGATCCATGTTGTTTGGATGTTCCAAGTGGTTGGTCCACATTGATTGCCTTTGATTTTGAAGCTGCTGTTGTTGTTGATGCTTTATTTGCGGTGCCATCATCATCGATTGCTGTCTCTGTTGGTTAGCTAAAAGATGCATCTCAGCTGATTGTCTTCTACGCTCGCGTTCGCCGAGGGTAACTGTAGTGGCTGTCGATTGACGGTTGTGAATTGATGGTCGTCCGCTGGCTGGAGTTAATGATTGCCTTGCGAATGCTCTATCGAGATCGTCACTGCTCATATTAGCATCATATAACCGAAATAAATAAATCAATGCTCACGCTTGTAATTGATCCTGTAATCTATGTTCTTCTTCAGTGGACGTGTGCTGATTAGGGGATGAATCGAATTCTTGGGAAGCTTTCTCATTGAGAAGGTCGTTCGGAATACCAAAGCTGTTAACTCTAGCAGCTTCCTCTTCTTCTTGCTTCTGCTTCTGATGAGCAAGCTGTTCAGCCTCTTTTGCGCGTTGAATGCGTGTCTTCAAAGGTACGATTGCACTTTGCTCATCGTCATCGTCGTCTTCCTCCTCCTCTGAAGTGATCTCAGCATCATCGTCTGAAGAAGGTGCCCAAGCGTCATGTAAGTTTGACGTTCTTCCACCAAAGTTCTTCCTCTTCTTGGATGGTTTACGGGGTTTGCCCGGGTTCCTCAAAGCCTTCTCTCTACGTTCTCTGGCCAGCTTGGCTCTCTCCACGGCAGCCTTGGAGGAGGTAAAAGAGGAAGGGAAGAAAGCTTGCTGAGTTTTTGGTGGAGGGGCTGTAGTAGTGACAGGTACCGAAGGCACGGCCGAGGGTGAGTCAGGAGAACTTGGAGGGTCTTGCGCGTATTCGAGTGCAGCAAGCATATCGTCATGGTCGTTGTAATCAGTTTTAACAAGTTGTGGGCGTGTGCGTGCCGGTGGAAGCGGAGGTTCTACAGACTGGATGGACCTGATTGATTGGGAATTTGCAAGTTGCATTGCGATGAGATAGTCATCATTATCAATATCAGTAGTATTGAGTGATTCTCGAGGTTGATGCTGTGCGGGTATATCCTCGTAACCGTCGTGAATGCTATGATTTGAAGGTAAGTAGCTTGGTATTTTTTCTATAGGCGCTGCTGTTGCTGCTGTTGCTGTTGTTGCTGTTGCCTGTGCTGGCGGGGCTTGGTGACCCATCTGTACAGCTAGCGCTGCGAAATCATTCCAGCTAGACGAGTTCTCTACCTGGACTCCATATTAGCTATCGAATGTATTTACTCATCCCACTCACGCCTGCCATAGTGATTGTATATCTTAACGCGTACTTCCCTAAAGGGTAACCAAGGCTTTGCGAAACTTTTAGTGTGAAATGATTATAAAAATCTAGAGCTCAATTAGTATACAGCCTGTACTTGGCTGAAAGTGACAATCAGGGATCGAAAATTTTCACACTAGAATTACGTATTCTGACAGAAATGAAGGGACAATTAAGACGTGAATGGATGAATGGAACAGTAAGATTCGCAAAAATTTCAGCTACATATTGATATATTATTTTGTATATAAACTCAAACTTGCCAAATGCGGTGTTGAGCTTTTATTCGATCCACCTCCTCGACTCACAACCGCCATCACCAAATGTTTGATTTCAGCAACGCAGCAACGCTAACACCGCCAGAGCTCAGCCACTCGCCTTCGCCGTCGGTTGAATCCAGCCCGCTTCTCTCTGTGCCAGCGTATATGCCAGCACCACCACCAAAGACGTCAGCCTCACCAACCCAGCTGGCTCTGATTGAAGCAGATTCTTGGTTTACTTCGTTAGAATATCTCAATGATTCGCCTGTTTCTGGTTACTCGTTTACCCCTTACGACCTCGCTCCTTCCCCGCCTCAATTCTACTCTTTCCCTCCTCCCCAGCTTGCTCCTCCACCTTACGAGCATAGTCAACCTCTTATTGACGTGTACACGGGCAGCGCTCCTATCGCTCAAAAGTCCCCGAGCACCTCTTCCACCAACTCAGATTCTTCCTCGCTTAACTCGTCGGGTCCAGGTCCAATTCGTCGCTTTTCTTGCCCTAAGTGCCATAGAGCTTTCGCTAGACACTTCAATCTCAAGCAGCACTTGGAAACTCACAACCCAATGCGCATAAAGCCCTTTTTATGCCATCACCCTGAGTGTGGAAAGAGATTTTCTAGGAAACATGATCTCGTTAGACATCAAGTGTCCATCCATCACAAGAGTGCTAATAGTGACTGCTCCGGTCGTTGTACCGCCAAGCACTCTCACACTGATTGTTAGTTATCACTCTTTTGAGTCACAGCCCAGCTAATTTTAACCAGGAATCTCGGTACATTATTGAATAATTACCGACGCTTTAACTTTATCTCTACGCGCCGCAGTGTTCAAAGCACTGACGTAGAGTGACCCCCTTTTCGTTGAAAGGTTTCCCTTGGGATTGCTTTTTATTGCTTCTCCTCGAGTTATTGAAATCTACTTCAATAAAGGATCACTCATCCACTTTCACTCCCTTTTCTTTTCTTTTCTACATCCCTCCATCCCACCCGAGTCTTATTGACTGGCTATCATTAAGTACTCCATGCTGTGGGTCATTGGGTTATCAACCTTGCCAATTTTCATTCTTTATATACAATTTTTTATTTACGACTTTACTTGTATTGATATCATGAATCAGTCTGTCTAGCTATATTAGTCTTATGTGAAATGTTCTATGTATGGAAACTAATCAAGGACTTGCGTATCAACTTGATATACAGGTTCTGGGAGTGAAACTCTAGGAAATGAAGCTTGAAGAAGTATATCGAGGGGATTACTAATACCCAGCTTTTCTTCGGGTCTTCTGAGCAACTGTGCTGAGAGTTAGACAGCCTTTAAAGAAACACCATGACTTACCATGAGTCCAGCATAATCGAGTGAATTGAGTGACTTATTCCATCCTTCAAGACCATTAGCAGCTTCGATGCTCACACTCTCTTTCGATCTGGGTATAATGAAGAGATGATCGTGAGTCATCAGAACGTTGTAACTGAATGGAGGTGAAGGTGGTGCTTGGTCTAGTCTTCTATAAGTGTCCGCTTGTGCATCCAGCAATGTCATGAATCTGTTAGCTAATTCACATTCAACGTCCTCCTCCGTTGGCGCGTTTAGTAGTGTGCTTAATTTGACACCAAAGTTGGCGAATGGCAATTTTTCGAGCGAGAAAAAGTTGGATTCGTTTTCCATTTGTACTCCATTTGCTAGCTTCTCTATTGGTAATGGATCACTAAGTGGTACGAATTGAATGTGCTTGTGTGGTTGCGAAGCACCGCTCTTTTCGCCACAATTAAAGAACGAAAGCAGGCTTTGACCTGTTTTTTTGTACTCTAGTATGATATTTCTAGCTAAAACTAAATCGGATGGCATCAATGGTGACGTCTGCGGAACGAAATCTGTTTCATGTCGCAATGAGCTGGAGAATCCAAGTGTAGGTAAGTGACCGACCTTTTGTAGCCAATAAGAAGTGGTTGAGCTTAACCATGTACTTGTTCAACTAAAGAGTATAAGTATGGGCTTATCAAGGAGCGCGGAAACCAACAAGGAGAACGTGAGAGTCGCCAACTTGTTGAACAAATAAATTCTCATTGTAAGGAGGAGCGAATACGTCTTTCTGAGAGGTAGAATCTGAGCTCTGATTACGTTGTCTCTTTACGCGACTATCGATAGTTTCTTCACTAACGCCGGGTGGAGGATTCGTAGGCTTTTTAAGAAGAGCTGGGCATATAGTCAGCTGAAACTGAAGCTAGTTTAGGCTGGATTGATTCGATATAAAGACTACACCAACATCAACGCCTTCAAAATTAAATAATTCATTTTGAGATTCGAAGTAAAGAGCGTCTCCAGATTTCAAAGCAATTTTAGTCTTGTTCTCAACTCGATCCCTGAGATTGGACATGGACATGGACATGGTGGTGGTTGATTTCAACTATCAAGCTTCATGTCAAGCGCCGCACAGATTCATAAATTGAATCAGACTGACAACGTAAGCTGCGTTTGTAGCTATCTACTCGTTCACTCAAAATTCAAAGGACATCAGCAAATTGCTCAGACTAGCTTCCGATGCACTCAAAGCTCTTTTACCGCCTTCAAACCAGCAAGAGCGTGAACTGTTAGAAAAACAGCAGCAAAAATACAATCAGCTATCCACACAGCAGCAATCACAACCTCAAATAACTCTCTGGGGTGATGAAGACCCAAATGAAGATTACAACGATTTGGAGCAGGACGAAGCACAGGACGCGAGATTCGTAGACACCACTAAATCTTATTATAGTCTCCTCAACTCTATACAAATCGATATACGTACAGCTATCGCTCATTTACGTAATGAAAGGATATCTCCTCGAGTTTTGCATTCGAGTGGAAGTGGTAGTGTACATCAAGAATCTAACCTCAGTCTAGGCGCACAAAGGATCGAAATTGACATTATCCGCAATCTCACTCGAACTCTGCATCAGTTGTCAAATCAAGACGTCGAAATGCAATCATCTTAGCTTATTTTGCACGTCAACTTTGTATTTATAACGCTTTTCATTGTACAGTTACCCTGTCTGCGGACTGCCTCGAAGACAAAGCTTGCTGGGAGTAGCGCAGACTATTTACAGGGAAAGGGATATTATACCCGCCTTACTATGAGCCCCACGATGGCGAACCGCAAGGAAAAGATGAAGGAAGCGTAGGCTGATTAAATACCGCAGCGGCGGTTGAGAAGCATTTGACTCGCACCTTATGTTTGTTATGTTTCGCGAACCCGGCTACCCTCGTTCTAAGTCACGCGGCTAACGGTGTAAACAGCATGCGCTCAGGCGTAACAAATACGCGTTTATATATACTACTAGCGCTTGTGGTGCTTTCTATAATTAAGTCCCTGACCAATCACGCAAGCACACCAGCAAACATAATGAATCAACAATATTTATCTTCCACTGGGCACATCACACTTAATTCACAATGTCAATCAAAAATTATTTCGTCCAAGAAGCACTGTATTCATTGTAAACTGAGCAAAATTGATATCATTTTGTAGTTATTTGTTTTGCCATTATTTCGAGAGTGAATATATCGCGAAAAGCGCTGTCTGGCGCCCTGTACTAGTCCAGATAGATGTGACATGTTTTTTGTAGAGTATTTTGGAGTAAGAAGACATACATTCAAGTTATCCTGACTTCAAGAATTTCAACGTAGCCTTTTATCGCTTTCACACCTCCATTATCTGAAATATCGAAACGCGCCTGGTACAGTCAAATCAACGATTTCAGAGTTGGGCTGACCCCTAATTTTCTTTGTTTAAATCTCTTCTACAAAGCGTGAAATGAGGCGATGTAGCAACATCTTTTCCCAATGCTAAAATTGATTCCTGTAGACGCCATGCAAAGGAAAACGATTTTCGCCTTTATAGGGCTGAGTCCCTAGTAAATTTGAGCACTTGCAGTCCCTATATGTAAAAGCTTCTCATCCATTGATTCAGCGCGTGAAACCTTCCATAAATATTCTGCAGCGTGCTCCAGAGCGATGTCGGATTGCAACTCCCGAACAGCCTACAAGACGCAGTTGGAGGCTAAGGAATACAAGTCTGGTAATTTCTGGTAGATATCATTGATGGCTTTTTATGAAGCTTTTTTATTTGGAGATCATCAAAACTCGTAAATCTGCTGTTTGATGAGATAGGTGGTAGTAGAGCAGTGCAACTCGGTGTATTCAGAATGGAGGGTTGATATAATAATGGATTTGAAATGCTGGGAATGGCACGAAGATTATGGTATTGCTAAATTGTTCAAAGTGTCCGTATATGGTATCTCTGCTTTCGTCTTCTTATTAGGTCATTTGCTGAGAGCGTTGAGCATATTCAGCTCAATTAAACACCTCGTACTGCTGCAAGCATTTGACGGTATTGAACGAACCATTGAACCATTCAAAGCACCATTATGGAGAGTTTGTGGGTTGTAGCAGGAGAGTCGGATTTATTCATGTATCCAAGCATTCATTGATCCAATAAATATGAGGAAAATTCATTTTTGAATATGCTAGTCATAGCCTAAGCACAAACACAAGCACAAACACTCTAGGTAAAACGAAAAAAATATATTTAAATAGTCGAACTAGAGTTTAGAGTTTTAAAACAGGGTTTATAGTAGTAAGTACAACTTGGTCATCGATCATAAGTCGTTGAGATCATGTTCATCTGCATCTACGTAAGAAAGTGAGGGACATCTACTCGTTATTTGAATGCATTATCTCGTTTGTGCGTTCCGTTAAAGTATGAGGAGAGGATGTGGAGGAGGAGGTATTAAGGGGGAGAGAGTGAGTGAAGGGGTGAGTGTGATTAAAGTTGCTCGTATGAGGGTGTTTCAAGTGGGATGCTATTGGTAGCTGTTGGTTCAACCTAGGACTCGGATGAGGTGAGAGGGCAGGCGAGCTGATTCCACGCGAGGGGGGCTGGCTGAAGCCCTGCGATGCCGTAGTTGACGGTGGTCCGCGTGGTTGTCGCACGGGTGGAGATGTCAACTGCGCAGCGCTCATCTGCGCAGGCGACGTCGTAAGGGACTGTTCCGAGGGAGTTGCAGATCCATGGTGGGTGGCGAGGTCGAGTGGGAAAGGGAGTGGGGGTGGATGGAAGGTGCCTGCCTCCGAGTAAGTGCGTGCGGCATTTGTACCCGCACCTGCACCCGCTGCGTCAGAGTGAGAGTGGGGTGGAGCGAATAGAGAAGCGAAACCGCCATTACCCGGTGGACCAGGACCGAGAGTCGCAGAGCGTCTACCAGAGAGCATAGGTGGAGCGAATGAGACACCTTGAAGATCTGGGGCTGTCCGAATCGACGAATACGCTTCTTTGAGGTTGCTGTTAGACGCTCTGCTGGTGAGACCAGGTGCAGTGTTGAAAGTGGCACTTCCATTCAATCTCTTCATGTCAGGCATGGACTTTTTGGTGCGCAATCCAGGCGGGATTTGCATGCCGATACCAGTGGAGGCGGGACTGAGGAAAGAGGTGTTGCTGACAAGATCAGGTCTACCGCCTCTTGTGATGGTTGAGGAGGAGTGCTTGAGTGAGCGGGCAGGGTCATTGCGCGGCGTCGGAGGTTCAGGAGGATTTCTCGAGACGATGACGAAACGGTCGTCACCTTGGCCAATGGAGTAGTGGTAGACAGAGAGACGCTGTGCAACGAGATGAACAATGCGCCTCTGAGACATGGTCAAATTTTTTGAAAAAGCGAGGTCATCCCTCATTCTGTCCTCCTTGAAGACGAGGATGCGTGAGTAGATCTCAAGGGTGGATGGATCGTTGAGGTCAAGTTCAGCGTGACACATGGTGGGAGGGCTGGCCTGAGAGTCTCTATCGGAGAGGACAGAGTCGAAGACGTTGGTGGGGGAGTCGTCGAAGGAGTCAGGAGGGTTGAAAGGGAGAGGGTTGTTGATTCCCAAACTGGCCATTCTACGAAGAGCCTTGTCACGTTCAATACGCTCCTTGTCTTGAGGGTGGAGCACCTTCTTGTACTCGACGCGTAGTTTCCTACCCAAAACGTCAAAGCCGTTCAGAGCAGCGACGATAGCCGACGCATCATGGGAAGTTCTGAAGTTAGCGAAAGCGAGACCTCTAAACGCGGGATCGTTGGAGGGGTTCGAGGTGTCGTAGTGGTAGTTGAAGGCGTATGGAGTGGGGATGTTGAGGTCGTGGATAATGCTAAGTAGCTGGTCTTTAGGGAGTGAGAAAGGGATATTCTTGATGACAACAGCGTTTGGAATAATTTCATCGAGTGTGTTGGAATTTGGAGGATTCATCCACTGTGGTGTAGATTAATAGGCTGCTACACTAGTAATTTAATAACCTTACACTTGTATTCCCATTTCCACTTAAATTTAAATTATCCAGCTGATTTATAGTGCTCATCATCGTCACCGTCGTGAAGCTAGTGAAGCTTAATCCATAATATAAAAATAATTAAAATTTATTCAAGTATTTTGTCGATATAAATCACGTGCAGATCCTTAAAGATCCCGTGTCTCGTGTCTCGTGTCATTCCGGGATTTCTGTCGGTATTAATTCGGTGTGATTGCCTATAACCTTTATTAGCAACAATGAGTCATCTAACAGATAACGCTGTTGATCTGCCACGCCTCCCAATCCCCTCACTAGACGCCACCTGCCAGCGCTACTTGAACAGTCTACAAGGCTTACAATCTGCCCAAGAGCACAACCAGACCAAGAATGCTGTTGACTTTTTCAAAAACAATGAAGGTCCAATCCTCGACAAGAAACTACGCCAGTACGCCAACGATAAATACAGCTACATTGAAGAATTCTGGGATGAATCGTATTTAAACTACTCTGATTCCGTTGTTCTCGCTCTCAACCCTTTCTTTATCTTGGAAGATGACCCCACGCCTTCTCGTGGGTCTCAGCTGATGCGCGCATCAAGTCTTATCATATCCTCACTTGGCTTTGTCCATGACTTGCGCTGTAATCTTCTCGAGCCAGATAACGTAAGAGGTGTTCCACTCGATATGTCTCAGTACAAAAGGCTATTCGGCACTTCACGCATCCCCACACAGAATGGCTGCGTGATGAGAACAAAGGGTGATTCTAAACACATTATCATTGCACGCAAAGGTCAATTTTACTGGTTCGACGTCATCGACCATGAAAATAGACCACTTTTCACCGAACAAGACTTGCATCACAACCTCAAATCCATCGTCGATGATGCTGACTCTAATAACTCCCTCGACGCGTCTGGCAGGTCGATTGGTGTGCTTACCACCGAAAATCGCAAGATTTGGTCGTCCAATAGGGATTTCCTGGGCAAGAACACGGATAATGGCAAGAATATCGATATGATTGATCAGGTGAGTACGATGTGTGGATTACTATCAACAATTAACCACCAACACCCACTACACAGGCCCTCTTTGTCGTATGTCTCGACGACATTACACCCGAGACCACTTCCCAGCTATGCGACAACATGCTATGCGGCACGAGTCACGTCAAAGATGGCATCCAGCTTGGCTCCTGTACGAACAGATGGTATGACAAGGTGTGTTGGGGATGAATTGGAGTGTCTTAAGTCTCAATACTAACCTCACCGCACAGCTCCAAATAATAGTCTGCCAGGACGGTTCAGCGGGGATAAATTTCGAGCATTCCGGTGTAGATGGCCATACCGTATTGCGCTACGCCGCGGACATTTACACGGAACTGGTGTTGCTATTCGCAAAGAGTATCAACCCAGTAGCGCCAACGCTATTCCAAAGCAAGTTATCGCCCTACTCGAAGAGTGCGAAAGGGGGCGCGCAACCATACCCTGACCATCTTGCACCACCCGCTACCGCCCCCCAACGTCTGGAATGGGCCTACACGAACGAAATCAAGCTGGCGATTCGCTTCGCCGAGACGAGGCTTAGCGACATGATATGCCAGAACGAAGCGCAAGTGATGGAGTTCCCTCGCTACGGTAAGCTTTTCATCACCAAGCATGGTTTCAGCCCAGACGCGTTCGTGCAGATGGCATTCCAAGCCGCTTACTACAATCTTTACGGTCGCACTGAGTGTACTTACGAGCCTGCTATGACAAAGGCGTTTGCACATGGGCGCACAGAGGCTATTCGCAGCGTCACACCCCAGGCTGTGCAGTTCGTCCAGTCGTTCAACTCTGATGCACCGCCAGGTGAGAAGATTGCCGCTCTGCGTAAGGCTTGCGCAACTCACTCGGCACTCTCCCGCGAATGCAGCAAGGGCGAGGGCCATGATCGACACCTCTATGCAATGTTGCGGATCGCCGAGAGCGAGAGGGAGAAAGAGCAGGTGGCGCAGAAGAAGAACAACGCTACCAACAACACCCCTCCCACACCGCCTAAACCATCTCTCTACGCTGACCCTGGATACTCACTCGGAACTACAGACGTGCTGTCAACGTCCAACTGCGGCAATCCGGCACTGAGGCTGTTCGGGTTCGCCAGTACATCAGCCAGTGGGTTCGGGATAGGGTATATAGTACGCGATAGCAGCATCTCGTTATGCGTAAGCAGCAAACACAGACAGACAAACCGCTTCGTAGAAACTATCCAGGCGTATCTAGTTGAGGTGGAGCAGATGCTCATCGGGTTGCACAAAGAGGCTAATCAGCGCAGCAGCTGGCATGAAGATGAGGGCGATGCGTACACGTCCGGCTTCAGCTTCTTTGACGTGCCCGTAGACGTACAGGCTGAGCGTAAGAAACAGGTGTCTAATCGCAATGTCGGGGTGACGTTGGAGATTGATGAGTATTAAAAGCATGCAGAGCATGTACCCTTAACGCTATGAATGCCAAAGTAATTTTGAATGCGATAACGTATATGTAAAGGAAAATGAACAAAACAACTACCTACGTCCTCATCTCATCAACTCCTTAGCCTCATCGACAGGATCATTAGCTTCGATAGCATCGCCTATCGCAGTATCCGACCGTTTCTCCTGTTTCTGGGTATCAGGGGAGGGTCTAGGTCTAGGACTCGCCGCGACACCAGCACTAGTCTGTTCATCTGGATCGTTAGAAGACTTGATGCGTCTTTCCGCGAGGAAGGAAGCTAGAGCGGTGTGGCCAGCGAGCTCAGCCTCATCCTGCGCGAGGCGATTCCTGGCGGTGCGCTTGTGTAGGAGGACGGACTCGGCCGTGTGTTGGCGACCCTCGATAGCATCCGCTGCTCGCGCCGCGGCTCTTGGCACCTCCTTGCGCGAGTAGGTGGCTGGGTCGAGAGCAGCTGGCCGCGTAGACGCGTACGCGAGGAGGGCCCTGGCTACATCCAGGTGGCCCTTGCGTGCGGCGTAATGCAGCGGAGAGCGCTGGTCGGGTGTGTGGGCGTCGAGGATGGCGTGGGTGAGGTGAGGCGTGGGCGAGAGCGAGGAGGAGAAGAGCGGGGCGTTGGCGGGCGACGGGCCCGGCGGAGAGGGGACGTGCGGCGGGAGGAGCCATTCGAGGAGCTCGTAGTGCCCTTTCTCGCAGATGGCGTGCAGCACGGAGTGGCCAACGTCGTCGCGGGCGGTGTAGAGGCTGTCCTGGCCGTGGAGCGTGGAGTACTCCTCGAGAGCGGGCCGGTCGTTGGCGGCGGCGGAAATGACTATGCGGGCTGCCTGTTCGGCGGTGGGTGCGTTGGGTGCGTTGGGTGCGTTGGATGCGGAGTCTGCGTCTGCCATGTGTGGATTGAAATGGATGATGAGCGTGAGAGAGAGAAAAGGAAAACGAAAGCAAGACAAGGAAAATGGTGTCACTCCCCAGGTATTTGGAATTCCTCAGCCTCAGCATCCCACCGCAGCTTATCGGGATCAATGGCCAGCGTGGCTAGGAAATCTGGGAAAATGAGGTCATCGTTGTAATTGACAAGGTCGAAGAGCTGCAGGGAGGTGGATTGCGATATTTGCAGCCACTTGTCGATAAGCGTGGATAGCGTGGACAGCTTTTGGTGCCTGTGGATGCTGGTGGCGTGGCTGAGTTGCTTGTACTTGAACAGCAATTGCGAATTCCTGGGCTTTGAGTTGGTTGGACGATTCGGATTAAGCAGCGGAGGCTTGAATGGCTTGCTGGTGTTGCTGCTGCTGGTGCTCGATTTAGATTTGTACATGGTGGATTACAGTTTACAAGTGCATCACCCACTCCCATGAACTTGGATTTCCTACACTTAGCCAGCCTGTACGAGTACAGCACCTACAAACTTGCAAAGGCGGGGCAATACACGTACAGGCCAGTGTCCATTGATTACCCGGAGTACTATCACTCGCTGTTGTCGTACTACACGCAATTCACCGAGCTTTTACAGGGTAAGGGGGAAGTATACATGGATAATAGGCAGGCGGATTCAAGCAGCGCGGGGTACTGCAACGACTACAGCAGCAAAACCCGCAACAGCACTCAGAACACCCGCAACACCCAAAACCCCACACAATCCAGCGACACGAAAACATCAATCACCCACCCTATCAACCTCTCTATCATCGTACCCTTGGACTGCATCGACTACATGTCTGCACACGCCACTCCGTCAGCCACCCCCGTCCTCAACAACGCCATCGATCTCCACTACCTCGCACACCTCTGCTCCAAGTTCCACAGCGATACTGCCAGCATCACCGCCGCTGACTACGCTTACTACCACGCCCTCTACGATTTCAATCTGCACAACGACAAGAAAATCCCTGGTGACGTCATTACGGTTGCTAATGACGTCACCCGCAATCCTCCCCTAGGCAACCTTCTCATGTGCTCAGCTCCGGGTAAGAAGGTGAGGCTGGGCGTGGAAGCGGGCGATGGGGAATTGGAAGCCAGCTTAGCCAGCTTAGCCAGCTTAGCAGCCCCTGCAACCCCCAGAGCTCCAGTAGACCGGTGTATTCTGCTAGACCTGTTGCGGATCCGAGACAGCGGATGCACCTTGCTAGCGTGTTGCCTCGACGACCACGAGCTGTCCCTTCTTGGCACATCGTGGGAGCAGTACAGCTACTCTGCCGCTCGTCTCGGCCTCTCCATCCTCCGCTTTCCCATGCCAGAGGGGCTGCACCCGCCCAACATACACGACTTCTACGACAGGATCGATCTCCTTCTCCACGAGTACACCTTTGCAGGCCGCAACGTCCTCGCTCACTGCAGAGGCGGCGTCGGCAGAGCCTCGCTTATTGCGTGTGCGTGGATTCTGCGCATGGGTTTGGTGAAGGGCCTTCTCACTCCGTCTTCTCAGCTGGTTACCTCCGAATATAACCATACCCTCCACATCACCTCTCTTACTATCGAGATCGTCCGCTATAGACGCTCTGTTAAGGCTGTAGAGACTTACGAGCAGGTCAGATTCCTCTTTGATTTCGTCTCCCTCCTCCGTCAGAAAGCGGGCGTGGTGAGTTGAGATTGGAGCCCAAATTCAAGCTCAAGATGAAGCTCAAGCACAATCTCCATCTCCATCTCAAGCTCTGTTTTGTTTTGTTTGTTTTGTTGTCTCCGGATACCTCCTAACACTCCGTTTTATGGCAAGTTGTATTAGTTATTTATTCACGATTCAACATGTTCAACATGTTCACGATACACAACACACTTCACCAACATCACTTGCCCTGCAAGTATCTGTTTAGCGCCGTGCGATCAACCGTGTGTATATAGTAATGATCTCCTTTGTCCGTCCAGCTCACCGAGCCGGGAAAGTAGTCTCCTTTCTGCATCTGGAGAATCGCGAGGGGCGAGTTGACCTGGAGTGTGATTGAGCATGACAAGGTGGTTCGCGCAGCAACCAAGACGCTTTCACCTACCGTAGCATCCGAGATTCTAAAGTTTGCAGGCAAGAATGGCTTGAGAGAGACAATCTTGGCACCGTCTTTCAAATCCAAAAAGAGCAGCGACAGCTGTTCGTTGAGTTGAGCAGAAAACGCGTCTGAGGAGGATATAAAGGAGTGATTGGAGTGGATAAAGTGGATGAATTGGTCTGGTCAGCTGGCTACAACTCACTACTTGAATCCACTCACAATTATTAATAAGCACCACATCCGCGTCTGGCAATTTGCGCGAGAGGGTGGAAGAATGGCAGAAATCTTCTTTCTCCAAGTACATCTCACCACAATCGAGAGAGTACATGGCCGACCTCGCCCTGCCTTCGCTCAGCTGCACCTGTGCGAGGTCAGCAGGCTTGTCCATCACCTCCACCCCGAAGCTCTTGCATCCGGCAGCGAGCGACAGCTGGAGCACTACATTACCAACACCAGCCCCTAAATCCACAACTAGTGTCTGGGGTCCAATGTGCATTCTGTGTGCGAGATGCGCGACGAACGGGGGCATAATCTCACCATAAATGTTAGATCTAGATGAATTTTTTTATGTCAATGGTGAATCTTAGCCGTTTTATACACACTTCACTCACGAAAATGGCTCGTAGTGGCGCAAGTCGGCTACTCTCGGTCCTACGATGCGCTGGTAGGACTGAGTGGTGATATGTGTCCATACTTGGGGGTGTATGCCTTGAAGCGATTCGAGGTGTTTGGTGATTTGGTCCGTCTGCACAAGCTGCTGGAATTCCCTGTTGAATTGGTCTATCGCATCTATAAATAACTTTCCCTGTCGTCTGTTGAATGAGCGTTGAAGGAGTCGTAAGATTGAGGTAGAGGTCTCGCTCGATGTGCTACTCTGTGTGGAACTGTGGTATGTCTCAGTATTTCCGAAAAGGCCGCGGGATTGCGGCGGAATAAACCAGGCGATCAGAATCTTTATGGTGTCGACTAAGTCGTGGATGGGCGAGTAATTGTCGCGGTTCTTCGGCACTGCTAGAGCGTACTCTTCAATACCTGCAGGGAGCTGAAGCTGGATAGTTGGGAAGGGGTCACTACCACTGCCATTCAAATCATCAAAGTAAGATGTATATTGCATCGCTTGCTCATTCACCAGCTGCCGGGAGGATTTTGTTGCTTTATCGAACGTATTAGACTCCTTACTGGCGGTGATTGGATTGCGAGTTATTGGAGTGTGGTTGTCGCGTAACCAGGTGCTTCTGGTGGTGCTGCTAGTAGAATTACTACTGCTGCCTTCAAGTGAATTACTAGAACCGCGCTCAAGTGAATCCCCAGCTGTCTTCTGCTTCTTGGTGGGAGGATTACTCGTTGCCGGCGCTTGAAATTTCCTAGTCTCCGTCTTAACAGAAACACTCGCAGGCTTTTTATTAAAAGAATTCTTTTTATTCCAGAATGAGTTCATCGTTGTCGATTCTTAACAGTGAACAGCCAACACTGCAGAAAGAGCATGTGGACCCCACTCGAGCAAATCGCATACGGGTTCTGTATCTGTAAGATTACTACAGCACTGTCCACCCACATCGCTCACCCGCCGCAGTTCCATTCACTCCCGTCGCCGTCGACGCTGATCACTCGGGCCACAAAAATAATCCGCATCAGATTCAGCTCGAAACTGGGTGAGTTAATTATATACTCTACTTCCCTCGCTTATTCCAAATCTCCAATTTTCACTTGAAAGCGATGAAATCTACGCCTTCGAGCAGATACGCTTGGCTGGACAGCCTATCTGGTACAGAGGCTACGTCGTCTCCACCTCCCGCTATCCTTCATCCGCCACTGCTGTTCACTCTCTCCCCACCACCGTAGAGGCTCCCCAGGTCGATATAGGCATTTTCCCCTCCACTCACGTCAGAATACGCCAAATGCTTCCAGATGCTGAGGGTCGAATGGCTTCAACCTTCCACGCCTTCCAATCCACTCTTAAACACCTTCCTCAACGCTCAAACTCAACCAATATCGCTAAATCCCCGTCATTTGGTAAAATGGAGACTTTAGCAGAGGAAGAGGAAGAGGATGACGGCGCCAAGGCTTCTTTGCCGCTGAGCGAGAGTGACTATACCCATATAGACGAGTCAGATCAGTTAGATGAAATGGATCACTTGGCAGATTTCAACCAGACTTTTCCCCAAAAATCAAAGAAATCGCCCGATAACAGACCTCCTCCGCCTCTCCCTTCTATGAAATGCGGTGACGAGACTAGCTTTGGTCATAATGAACCTCTCATTGATGAAATCGCGTGCGCTTTGAGGGAATACTTCACTGCATTGCATATATCCTTACTCAATACAGATTACGTCCTTTTTGACAAGATAAGAAGCAACATGAATGCCCTCAACTACGCCCGTATGCAGCTTCTCCAGCATTCTTCCTCAGACACTGACTCCAGCGACGATCTTATCGACCTCCGTGCAAGAGCGGTTGAGAGGCTTGTAAAGGCAAATGTCGACCTAGGTTTAGATGTCATTGTCAGGCACCCCACCACAGGCGCCCTTGCTAACATTTCCAATGACAACGATCATCTCGATAAAAGGGCTTGGATTTCCTCTATTCGAATGTACGCTCAACAAGTCGAATTGGCTTACATCAACTCTCCAGGCAAGCATTCAGGCGCTCCCATATCTCAACCCTCACTCAAACCTCTCCACACTTCTAAATCAGTTTCCAATTTGGCTGAGCCTCTTTCACTCACTCGCAGAACTCCCTCCCAAGCTCACTCTCCATCTAGCGCCAGTGATTCGAGTGAATTCTACCACGTATACCTCAATCTTAGATCTTTCAACGCTAGTCCGTGCTACGTTGGTGAGACTGTTGAGCTTTTCTTCTCTCTCTATTCCGCAACCCAAGCAAGGTTTCTCACTGAAGACCATGTCATTATTCTCGATCACAATGGATTGCCAACGAGCAGAAATCCTGACTTTGTCTGTACGCTCTTCAGAGACTTGTCTAACGTCGACGTCAGCGACAAACTCTATTTGGTATGCAAAATTGTCAGGAATGGCTTCCTCAAGTCCCCTCTGAATTTTGATGACACTGCTGGATCGCCTATACCGTCGCGAAAACTTCTCAGAAGACCTTTTGGCTGTGCGGTGCTGAATCTCGGTCAGCTCTCTGCCAAATCTAACCAAGAAATGAATGAAGCTGTGCAGTACTCAATGCCCATCTACGTACCATCGATGACTTCTGGCGTCGCTGCGGAGAACCTTTTCGCCAATCTCCATCAAGATATCATATCCAACAACGTCAAGGTATTCGATGCGTCTACAAGAGCAACTGATATCAGCGTGTCAGTCAAGTCTTTCCATGGCGCCTTCAATCAGATGTTGAGAGATCACTCAGGCGTGCTGCTCAACGTACCGACAACGGCTCGATTAGGGTTTAGTGATGCAGTCTTTCCAGCGGATATTAGAAATGATCTGTATTGCAAACTCTGGTCAGGTGATTTCACATCTATTCTCGCTAGCTCTACGTCGAGATTGAGTCTGCTTTCCAACACAAACTCAAGCGCGTCAAAAAATATTCAAGTTACAGTGGAAGCGAGGAGGAAAGATGGCAGCAGGATCGATAACTGCTTTACTGGTGGCACGGGCGACAAAGTGCAGTCGTTATGGGACTTCACTGTATTCACAAACAGCGCTCAGCCGACGTGGGGCGAGATGGTTAAGCTGACCAATGTATCAGCGCAGGAGTTTTTAGATATTCATTTGTTCTTCACTATCAGGAACAAGTCGAACAAAGATAAAGATGGGTCTAATTCGAGTAAAGAGCGCTTGAAGGATCACGAGAAGGGTGATGCCTTCACTGAACCTCCTTTTGCTTGGGGCTATCTGCCGATTTTTAACGAGGGCCGCGCCTTTCTACCTGATGCCTCTCACACTCTGCAACTCTTCAAGTGTCTCGGCGAGCCTCCGAGCGCTTCTATCTACCTCAACAATATCTTACCGACACAATCTGGTAAGAAGGATAGAGTGATGTCTGGTAATTCTTTGCATGGTGAGTCTGGGTCCACTGATTGTGCCAATAGTGTACTCATCGTCTCCAGGAAATGTCAACGGCACCCCATCTATCAGCAGTACAGATGCTTTGAGTAGTCCTGGGTCCCCTCCAGAAACACAGAGATTGCGTCCACTTCGAGATTCAATATCTATCCGCACTTTCCTTTGTTCAACGCTTTTTACCCAGAATGCTGTTCTGCTGAAGCTGCTGAGTTGGGAAAGAGAAAGATCATATCATACAAAGTCAGCTGTTGAGATTGAGAGTATCTTATCGCAGCTACCTTTCGTCGGCGAGCCGGAGATTGTCAAGTTCCTAGCAGAGACATTTGATGCCATTTTCGGTCTGATGGCCTCATCTGCCAATGAAGGCGACAGATTTGACCCACTGCTTTTCGACGCTTTGGTGAAGGTTTTGGGGATAATACAGGATAGGAGATTTAGCCAGTTTGAGACTGTTCTCGACGTCTACATAAATGAGAACTTCACATGCGGTCCTGCTTCTTCACACTTGATGAGCTCCCTTCAGAGGCTGTTAGCTAAACCTAGTGACCCATCAACTGCTCAACAGCTACATGCCGCTTTGAAGGTGCTGCCATTCCTGATTAGATTTATTGTCAGATCAAGGGAAATACAAAGGGAGAAAAGCGCTGGGTTGGATGTAACTTCGGGACATCTAGAAGACTCTTTCAAGAAGGAGTTGATCATGGTTTTGGATGGACTCGTCAAGTTGATGGAAATGACCAGTCCAAATTCCGTCATCGGAACTCAAACATTAGCATTGAGGCACTTTGCAGGTTGCTTGCCCGAGTTAGAGAAGATCTTTCCCTCAGAGGAGCTAGTTGAACACGTAATGGCTTTTGCAGAGGCTTGCAAGGCCACCAAAGGGAAGTTGGTGGTTTATATTATGCTCAACTACCTCCACGTTGTCAGAAGTGGACTTTTTGACAAACCAGGTACGCGCACTATACTTGTCCCAACACTCATCCGACTCGTCAAACCTCATCTGGGAGCGTACGACGAGTATCAGCATGTCAAATTGAAAGACCCTGATCACGTCAGAGAAGTTGCGAGAGTAGGCTGGATTGAGCGTCTCAGATTGTGCGTCACCATATTAGCTACTATGCTAGATAAGCTGCATGTAGCTATAGTGGACCCAGCTATCAGCGCCAGTCGAACATTGAGTAGACAGGAGCAAGATAATGTCGAGGATATCATGAGCTTATTGCCAAAGTTACTCGAATCATACCACGAGCTGAATTCGGACGGTTTGATCGACACAATCACGAAGCATAAGTCCCCATCTACCACGATTGCATCTATACCAACAGTCTTTCCCGCAACTTATCCATTCAGCTTGCTTGCAGAATTGCCGCAGTCACTGACACAGTCAGTAATAAGCAACAGCAAAAGCAAGAAAAAATCGCGCTCGTCAGCTCGCACTAGTCATTTCAACTGTGCTCTGGGTGAAATGGCTTCGGTTATTTTGGTCATTATTCAACTTTTACCTAAAAAGCGTATACTCGATTTCATTCAAGAATACGCTGAAATTGAGGGTGAAAGAAACTTGACCAAATTCTTGACGAACATATTTAGCTTCTCGATTGGTGTTCTCAATCATAAAAATAGCGGTATTGACGAGAAGCTCATTCCGTGTCCGTATCCCCAAAGCTGGCTCAATATCTCACTCTTTGCACATCGCATGGTGCTTAAGTTGGGTGAATCTGTCTCTGTTGTCATGGAGAGGCAATACGTTCCATCGTTAGAACTTGCAGGTGAATTCAACAGAAATTTATGGAGGGTCTGCTTCGAGATGTTTATTAGATTACTTGCATCTCATCAATTGGTTATAGAGGAGCACACTCCTCAAAAGAGACGCGCTGTGTGGAAATTGGCTGGCGATCTGAGAGGGGAAGGGGCGCAGACATTCTCCAGGCTTTGGAATGCTATCGGTTGGCCTAATAGCTCTGACGACAAATCACATAGATCAACTAGATATGGCGGGTTCCAAATCCAGTTTTCCGACTTGGTAGCTGATCTACTCGAGTTATGCTTGTCTCATCACGATGAACTGAGAAAGCACGCTGTAAATATACTCCACTCAATGATCGTCTCTGAACATCACCTCAATGGTCATTTCGAAGCTATCGAGGCAGAAGTGATTGACAAGCTAGACAAACTGTTCATGGATACCACAAAGGGTGATGAAATCTCGCGTGCTTTCTTCGTCAGTGAACTCAGATCGCTATTCGATTCACCGACAATCGACGAACCACTTCGTCGGGAAGTGTCTCGCTTCCTCGATTCTGTTGATTATTTCTTGGAGTTGCTCCTGTCAATAAGAAACCTGCCTGAAGGGGATGAGTTTGAGGATGACAGACTTGAAGCTACGCTTAAGTTAATGTCCTTTATTAGGAATCTCAGGGAAGAGATATACGTCAAGTATCTGCATGCGCTGGTACATATGCACTTGCGATCGCACGCCTACGCAGAGGCGGGTATGACACTCAAGCTGCATGCAGACATGTACAATTGGGACACGTCGGCAGTGTTGGAGCCACTAGTCGACCTCAACTTGCCTAAGCAGACGCAGTTCCAGAGGAGAGAAACCATCCTTGCCCACTGCATGGAGTATTTGGCCGCTGGGAAAGCATTTGAAGTTGCCATTGAAGTGTGCAAGGATCTCGCACACCAGTACGAGAGCAAGACTTACGATTATCAAAAGCTTGCTGATATTCTGACCTATCAAGTGAGTGGGGTGTTTGAGTTGTGCGTGAATTGACACAACAAACAGGCGTCTTTGGTCGACTCTATTATGAAAGGCGATCGTGAATTTCCTGATGTAGGTGCTTTTAGTGAACGTGTAGCGTTTGGTTCATCTAACTTTGGTGATAGTACTTCCTCGTTACGTACCATGGTGGCTTCCCGCCTGTTCTGACGAATAAGCAATTTGGTATGTGGATTAGATGCCGCTATTTGCTTCTAACGGTCCCCAGTCTACCGCGGAATGGAACATGAGCATATCGAGGGCGTAAGCTAGTTTTTTTTACGTCATGTTACTTTGCTTATTGGTTGCTATACAGTTCTGCAGCAGAATGCAAGCGAAACATCCTAACGCGCACATACTCAGCGGAATACAGAGTGTCGGGGGAGACAGTGACACCAAAAATACCACAGAGGCAGACAAACAGCATTGTGAGCATTGCGCACTTAGTCTTACTTTGTACTGGACTGACTAGCAGCAGTGTTAATTATGGCCGTTACACCCGAGGTGGATAGAACATCACCCATCATACAGAATCCTCGCATCGCCGAACCTATTCGCAAATATTGTAGGTTTACAGTACGCTACTTGAACCATGCACACCTAACACCGCCGCAGATGAGAATAACACCGATCTATTCAGCTACACGCGCCCGATGGATAAAGACTATGGAAGTAACACCGGGAACATTGAAGGGGAGTGGATGGAGAAGACTCTCCTGCAGTGCGAAAGCCAGTTCCCGTCTGTAATGAGACGATCTGAGGTAATTGAAACGAGGACAGTCCAAGTGTCTCCAATTGAGCTGGCATTTGAGGAGGTGGAGATGATGCGTCAAGAGATGGCAGTAGTCAACTCTAAATTTGAAACACAACTTCAAGGGCGAGATGGCAAAAAAAATCAGACGCAGCAGAACATCAGAGTGGAGGCGCTGTCGATGGTGCTGAACAATGCATGCGATATACCGGTCGACGCGGGTGTGTCTTACTACAGATCTACATACCTGGCTATGAATATGAAGGAGGTCAATCCATCAAGTCAGCGCTTGGAGAAGGGACTGATAAATCTGGCGTTGACGATTAGGAGGGGTATAGATATACACAAGTCCATGTGTACTTTTGAGATGGCGAGATTTCACATGACGTTGGAGAAACTGTTTGTCAAGAACTACGCACATGAAATAGCACAGTTTCCAAAGGTGATAGGTGATGAGAGTAGTGAATTGTCGCCGTCTAGTTCGTTGAAATCACTTGAAAAGGAGAGGAGGAATAGGAACGCATCTGTAGCGACTAACGGGACTAATGGGACTAATAACAGCTCAGTCAACACTACTAAATCGAACAAACCAACACTGTTGTTGCCGAAACTGACAAGTATGATGTCTATGTCGAGGCAACGCAGCTCGCCTACGCGGGAGCACAAAGCGAGCAGCCCAAAGAGTAAAGGTAGTAACAAAACAGATGGATCACCTCAATTTAGTCTGGGAAGGCTTGAAGAGAGGGTGTCTATGAGGAAGCAGCATTAATGTGTAGCATAATAAATGATACATAATACATAATACGTAATACATATAACATATAACATTAAGTTAAGGTATTTCAAAGTGTTTCAAGTTGTTTCAAGCCGGTTTACATCTCAACCACCAACAACGATCGCTGATGTCATTATCGACCAAGATTGGCAGTCTGTTCATACGAGTGAGAGGGATTGACCTGAAAGACGAGGCTTAAGGATCCACAGACACTGGCGAAACCGATATCGACGAGTCTCAAGCATCAAGCAGCAAGCCACGAGTCATTTAAGCGGGTATGCGTGAGTGTGGCACAAGGATTGCACTCATTTGAAGGGCGGATGCGTAGCAACTTGCTGGGACAGAAGCAACAGCATAATAGACCACTATCCGAAGCTCGTGCGATACAACAAGGAGCAAATACGCTATCGGAAGGATTTCTGTTCTTCGTAGCAGCGGGGCTGTAGGTGGTAGTATTTAGGGGAGCGTATTCACAGTCTAAAGGAATAATTAAGGATTCTAGGCGAAGCGTGGCGCTCTTCGAAGAAGGAAACATCACGACGGGAAGACGTCCAGGACAGGCTGGAGACGCTAGAAAGCGGGATAAAAGAGGTTATAGAGGATAACAAGTCGCTGGAGAGAGGGCTACACGAGGTTATTTCAAACAATAAAAGCCTGGTGGAAAACAACACAGACCTCCGAAGAGCGTTGAGTGCGTTTACAGCCCAGGAAACATTCCACCAATCACAGCACGAGCTTAAAAGATATTTAGATGGCTGTAATTTTTAGATTCTCTTGTACATCAACCGTCATTTGCTACAAATGGGCAATACTACATCATCAAATAATAATCGTGAAAAGTCAGCTGAGCACGTTGATGGCGGTACAGTGTACCCGCATCCTGATTCCGTCTACTTCAACACGCAGCAAGATTGGGATAAGGTTATCGTGCGTGACTTGATCTTGCAGCGTAAACTAGCCCCGTTCTACAAGGGATTGAACGACTACAACGACGATATGTCTGATATCGATATTCTTCAGCAAAAGTACAATGGTAGCCTACCGCCCAACTCTCCGCACGTTTCCCCTCAATCTCAGGTAAAAACGCCGAGGAGATCAGCTTCATCTTCATCCACGAATCTTAAGAAGCCGACAATTAATCCCGAGACTTTCATCTACAAGAATGCCCAGGAATGTCCCATTTGCTTCCTTTTCTACCCCTCAAACCAGAACCGTAGCAGATGCTGCGATCAGCCACTGTGTAGTGACTGCTTTGTCCAGATTAAGAGGTCTGAGCCTTCAACCACTCACCTCGAATCTGAGCCTGCCGCATGTCCTTACTGCGCGCAGGACAACTTCGGTATCACGTATTCCCCTCCACAGTGGCGTACCGGCAACGGTGCTAGTCCTTCTCTCGAGTCCAACCTCGATAATCTCGTTAATGAGAGCTCTGCGCAAACTCAAAGGCCTCGCAGAAAATCCATCAGCGCTGATAGCTCCGACGTGGTCACTAGTGACGCCATTCGCCCAGAATGGAAAGCTAAACTGGAGTCAGTGCGTGCGCAAGCCGCTCGTCGCGCTAACAGAAGAATCATCATGCGTCAAGTCGGCGATAGACTGGTGCCCATTGGGGTGACATCATCCAGACATCCCCTCGCAAACTCTCAACTTCCACCAGGTCTGTTCCTCTCCTCAGAAGGCGATGTCCAGTCGAGCCCCCACCAAGCTAATCCAGAACAAGGGACGCAGAGAGTGCGCAGTCGCTCCGGTAGGAGAGCGGTTGATAACTTGGTCAACAGTCTCGGAAACGGTGCTGACTTGGAGGATGTGAGTGGGGGGAGTGTAATTGATATGAATCTACTAATAAATCTCACCAGGCAATGATCTTGGAGGCTATGAGACTTAGTTTGCTAGAAGAGGAGGAGAGAGGTAGGCGTCGTGAGGAGGAGGAGATTCACGAGAGACAGGCACTCGAAAGAAGTTCCTCACAAGTGGACATTACATCGGCAGATAATCAACATACCCACGAACCGATCCAGACACCAACAGCAGCACACACTGTGCATGAAGCACCACCAATTGCACCACCAACTGACACCCTGCCTGAGAGAACAACATCGATCCACAACAACAACAACAATGGCGATCATTCCAGTCCTGAAGACAAGAATTCACAACAGAGCCGGCCTTGGAGTGATTCAGTTGATGGGGAGGGAGTGGTTTCGGAATTTGGGGTTGAAACAGCTGCAGATACAGCAGTACCGGCAGGCAGCCGCCCACAGGAATAAGTTTGGCCATCGATCGAGAAATTCATTCGTTACGCTTACGAAAGAGATGATGGATATAATGGTGAAGCTTGGTGTTACAAATTAGTGTTATTTACTTGTACAATGATTATATGATTGACTATCAACTAGAAAGGGCTATCAACTAGGAGAATCTGATCCGGCAAGCTTCCACAGGTAGTTTGAGTGAAAAAATGCACTAGCGTTTTTATCCAAGACAACGCTGTTGAGGTCGTTGGCTTCATCGTTCCTAACGAGTACCTTGTTAACCTTGCCAGTATAGTCATCCGTGATGATCTCAAAGCCCAAATCGCGTAAAATCTTTAATCTGAGGCTGTATGACGCGTATTTGACGCGTGTTAGAGGGGGACCTAATTGGGAATTGAAAACGCGACTTACACGACTTGATCCATTGAATGCTCTTCTGCGGGCCTAACAGTCTCTAACTCGGACCATTCGTCTTTGAGTTTGTTGAGTGTCGACTCGCACTTGGTGACTGACTGTTCGAGCTCAGTGATAGAATTAGCGAGCTGAAACTTTTTGTTGTCCTGTTGAAACATATTCTCTTGGTGCTCCTCAGGCGTAGGTACCGTATTCGGTCTATTAGCCGCCAACCTAGCGTTATCGAGTTGACGCGTGAGGTTTCTGAGGGACTGCCTAGCGCTGTCTCTAGAAGAGCGCCTTTCTTCAGCCCTGCGCTTCATGAGCTGATCAATCTGATCCAAACCCGTCGTGTCCGAAGCCGGGTTAAGCAAGTCCATCGTGAGGACCTCGCGCATAACCGATCTGCGTATTATTAGCGTGTTTGCATAGGCTAGAACATTTCACCCACATTTGGTCACTCAGATTTTGTGATATCGACATGGTGGTGCGTGGGCGAGATACGCGTTTCGGGAAAACGGTCATCAGGAATCCACATCCACGGGAATTGAACTAATTGCTTTTAAAATGGCGCATGCTCTCGCATCTGCATCTGGATTGGATGCCTCTAATTCCCATGTCAATATTTACGATACGCAGAAATCACTCGCGGAGATGTCGTTGGGTGCGCTAGAGCCGTCGTTCAAATCTGAAGACGAGCGCGAGATTCAGCAAAAGACGCAGCCCAAGCAGGACCACGAGATGTTGATTGAAAGGGAGAATCAGCACGACGTGGAGGTTGAGGAGGGGCACGAGCAGCAGCAGCTCTCAGACGACGAACTCAAATTCCCTCACGTTGAAGACGGCGGTGAAGACGATCTCACCAGCGTACAGGTACCCCTGGCGGACTCGTCTAATTCGCAGCTGTTCGACAAATCAACCGCTTCGCTCAAGTCTAAATCTAGGACCGGGTCTTCGCGCAGAGAGAGCGGAGGCAAGCCAATGACTCTGAAGGAGCAGGAGGAGGTAGGTCTCATTATCTCATCCGTCAGACTCATCGACTCATCTCACCGACTAAAAGACAATCGACCAAGCCAAGCGCGAAAATTGGTCTTTGAAACTCAAAATAGTCCTCTTGGAAAATAGGCTGAACGAGGTGGCCCCGGAACAGGTGAACGATGCGCTCAAAGAGAACATTCAGCTCAAAATAGACTCTCAAAACATGAGAATGGACTTAAAACGCAACAGAACACTCGCACTCAAGTTAGAGAAAGCGATCGAGGCACTCAAGGATGAGAACAAGAAACAGAAAATTGTGATCGATTCAAATCAACGATCGAAACCTAGTCCATCAGCTAGCAAGAACCTCGAAGATATGGTAAAGAATGCACAAGAAAACGAGCAGGAGGTTAGAACACTTCTTGAAATGTCTAATGAGAGAGAAAGAGAGCTAAAGGAGCATATTCATACACTCGAATCCCAGCTAGACAGAAACATCGGAGAGGGTGCTGAGAGCCACCACGGCTGGAGCGATGGAGAAGACGCTCGCGCTGAGATCAGTAGGCTCCGTGACGAGGTTTTAGTGGAGCGTGACACTAAGGAAGACATCATAGCCAGTCGGGTTGAGTTGGAGAATCAGCTAATGGAAACGACAGAAGAGATAGAAAGACTGAGGATGGAAGCAGAAGCTAATGAAGACAACTCAGTCGATCTAGACTCAGCTGTGTCAGTCAGACGTAATCGTCAAAAGCGAAAGCCTGAAGATCTTGAAAAGGAAAAGAACTCCCTCGAAACTCAAGTACAGGCTCAATTACAGTTGATCGAGAGTCGTGACAATGAAATCGAAGAACTCTATGCACATGTTGAGAGACTAGAAAGTCATATTGAGAACAACACCAGTCTTCGCAACTCGATGAAAATGTCAAGCAACAGTGATCCACGGGTACATTATGAATTGGAGAAGCTAGATATTGAATGCAATGAGCTGAGGGATCGTCTGTCTGAAGCGCACGTAGAATTGGACAGGAGAGAGACTGAAATTGAAGGCTACTTACGTGATCAAGAGGACAAATTTCATGACTACATCAACGAATACGATCGTGAACGCAAGTATGAGAAGGAAGAGCTGCATTCATCCAGGCTCAGATTGGAAGAATACGAAGCAAAGATAGCTACTTTTGAGGATTCGCAGGAGCATATTCAGCAAGAAATTGACCAGTATCTTGAGAAAATGCAAGGAGATCTTCATGAGCGCAATGAAGAGTTGCTTGCAGCTAATGATGAAGTTAGCAGAGTGAGTAATGAGTGGAAGTGTTTCAATGAAGATATTAACTAGTATCATAGATAAGCGAGCAAAACATACAGCTGGAAAATGAGCTGGATATTGTTTGCGCGAGATTCGAAGCACTTGAAAGCGATCTTCTTGAGATGCAACAACGACTAGATCAAGAGCAAGATATCCAAGATAGAGTGACATTCTCACTCAAAGAAAAGATTGAAATAACGCATGAGCAGAAACGAGAGCTTGAAAAAGCAATCGAGAAGCAGATGGCGGATATGCGCCAAACGCGTGAAGTAAGCGATGATCTAGCTTTAAGATTAGCAGAACGCGAGGAGCAATCGCGACAAGAATTAGAGCAACTTCGTCAGCTTGAGTATGAATTTGAATCACTAGCTACATCAATGAAGGAGGAGAAGGACGGTAGAGAGCGTGATAGAATATTCTATGGTCGCGAGAAACGTGATCTCGAGATGGAGCATAAGAGAGCCATTGAGCACAAGACTACGACTTTAGAAGATTACCAGACACAGGTGCAGCAATTAAGATCTCAATTGAGTGCACGTGAAGAAGATTACCAGAAGTTGCAAAGCAGGATGAAGAAAATGATGAGTGAGCATCAAGAGCTTGGTGATAGTCACACGAATGATCGCGCAACACTGGAAATGGAAATAGAGAGACTGGAGAGAGATGGAGCGAGATATGTTGCAGACATTGAGCAGCTGAGATCAGAGTTGGAACGCAAGGACAAGATGTTGGAGGAGCGCGAGAGAGGGTTGCACAGCACAAACAGCGAGAGCCGGGAATTGAGCTATCAATTGAAAGCAGAACTGCAGACGAACGCATACAATATCGAAAAGTTGCATACATCTCAACAACAGTATCAAGATGCATTGGAGGAGGTGACTAGGTTAAAGGATAGACTTAGAGAGGTAGATTCACGCCTGATGCGTGAAGAAAAGGGAGTAAATGTGTCAGAATCTCAATATAAGCAGCAAGTGACGGAGCGTAACACATTGCTTCTGACGATTTACCAATACATGGAGAAACTAGTCGGACCAAGTGATAGAAAACATAGTGATGCTAGACCGTACAACAATTTCAATGCTTTCCATGAGAATGTCATTTCCAAGATGAGAAAGGTCAGCTCGCTGCAACTCAAGTTCGACAGTCGAGCAAAAGAGATAGAGAGCAAGTGGATGGACAAATTTGCAGCACTGCGCAAGCAAATTGATGGCAGATGGAAGCAACTCGATGGATTGGAGGGTAGTGTGAAGAGTGCTGCTGAGATGCACAAGCAATGGAGATTGAAAGCAAATGAGAAATCGAGAGAACTTGATGAGATTAAGGTGGGTGTAATTGTGGTGGATAGAGTGGCTGCTGACTAAGACACGCAGAACTCGTACAATGAAACAATGATACAGCTGGCTAACGCGAAATCTAAACTGAACGTCTCTAATGGAGATACAGGTGAAGTACGAGCACTGACAGCGAGAGCTACAACTGCAGAACGCAGATTGAACATAACACAGAATCAAATGTCTCAGGTGGAGGAGAAGCTGATAGAGGCGCGCAACAAGATGGTAGAAAGCGACAACAAGTGGTCAGCTAGAGCCAAAGAGTTTGAAAATAAGATGAAGGCAGCGGAGGACAAGGTGAAGAGAGAGAGAGTTGGTGCTAAGGATAGAGTGAACGACTTGGAGAAGAACATTGAGGAGCTTAATAAGCAGATTGAGGGTGCATCAAAGAGGAATACAACAATACAGAGTTTAGTTGGAAAGTGAGAAAGTGAAAATATGAAAAAAGCAGTAAGCATACAAGACGTGTAAAAGTAAGATACGATACCAGATATTTATGTACATTGTTCAGCTTATGGATGAGCTCTATTTCTCTTACGTGATGAAGGCTGTTGAGGTTTAGTGGAGGAATGCGATTTGTGGTATTGAATAGCTTTAGAGAAGAGCTGTTGGTGTTGGGTGTTGACGTGGTTGATGTGGTTGATGTGGTTGGCATTACTAACTTCAATGTCGTTGAAGCTGCCGAGAAGCTGTTTGATATTTGCCGAGTATTGATCGAGGAAGTTTTTCAGAGAGTGTATGTCGATAGAGTGGATGTCTCTCTTTATATTTGAGTGTACAGTGAGCGTATTGCTGAGCTGATTGAGTTTTCCCTGTATTAGGTTGTTGTTGACTGCGCTAATGAAAAGTTCCTCGACTGATTCGTTCGATTCAAGGTCCAGCTCGAGTCTTAGTCTGGCATATTCGACGACTCTATCAGAGGAATATGAGGTCATTGAAAGCTGCTTAAGCTTTGAGAGCTGCTTATCGGACAAATCCAGATATATTGATTTGTTATCTGCGACGTGTGTGAGCACTTGGGAGGCACTAGCAGATAAATCTAACCAGAGAAATCTTTGAAAGTACCGTATGCAAAAAGCTTTAATGTATTTGAATAAATATCGTCTTGGTCCTTGTACTGAGATTGAGTGAGCAATTTAGCTGTGTAGCGCACAGGACACAGACAGAATCGAGGAATTGGGTGTAATTGAATAAGCCATCATCATCAATCAACTTGATTACCGCCTCTCTAACCCGTTCATCTTGTTGATCCAGCGTCATCATCGTCGAATTGAAGGATTGTTGAGAATGTCACAGAATCCGTTACTTGCACCAATCTACCCTTTGGATCAGCATCCTGAGTTTACGCGTATGGATCCTGTCGATCAATCCAATATGCACGCTGTAAGTCAAGTATTTAGCCAGGATAGCGTGTATTCAACCAAATCAGATGCTCAAGTATCAGAAATACATACAACAAGGTATGGAAAGCTGTGCATTCAAGACCGTGTTGTCTGCAGGCGCTGGGTTCGGTCTTGGTGCTTTCTTCAGCTTAGTGTCTTCTTCATTCGCATTCGACGACCCTTTCAGCAGAACTTCTGAGCTTTCGAGGCAACAGAAGGCCAAGGAGTTGTTTAAGGATATGGGTAAATCAATGTACAGGCAGGGTAAAGGATTCGGTGCTGTTGGTGGTCTATTTGCCGGTATAGAATGTTGTATTGAAGGCGTACGTGGTGTTTTATCGCTAATAACATATCATTAATCCCCAACGCTTACAGTATAGAGGTACTAATGACCTCTACAATTCAGCTTCGGCTGGTTTCTTGTCCGGTGCCATATTATCTAGAAATGCAGGCGTTAAGGCAGCGTTTGGTGGTGGATTTGCATTTGCTGCATTCAGCACAGCTATTGACACGTATATGAGAAGTGCAGTCAGTATACATTATAGCGTCTTACCGCAACTTCTGACACACAAACAGCCGGCGGATAATGACTACTAATCTTAATACCAAATCATCTATAGACAAATCATCTAGTGTATTTATACGTAAACTATCCAACCACGATAAGATTTTCACAACAAAATTTTCACGACACACTGATCTTACTTGATTGGAGTGATGAGAGTATGAGGATGTATTTGAGTACATCTTGAGTGTATAAAGCGTATAATTTGGATAATTTGGATAAATTTACGTAGATTTCCACGATGATCATTAATACGTCATTCCATCTAGTAACCAACCCCATTCACATCTCTAACCCAACGACCACAACGATCGACCATTTCGAAAATGACAAAATCTAATGAAAACACAAGGAAGATTGCCGTGCTGACTTCTGGCGGAGATGCAGCAGGTGCGCCAATTTAATGTATAGATATAACTGTACACGGCTCACACCTATATCGCAGGAATGAACGCTGCAGTTAGAGCTGTTGCCAAAATGGGTCTTTACAGAGGCTGTGAGGTGTTTATAGTTCGTGAAGGCTGGGCCGGTTTAGTCGCAGGTAACGTCAACGCTGCTCCTGCAGATGTACGCCCTCCACCTCAAAGAGCGGGCAAATACCACGGAAATCAAGACGTTGAAGGCGAAAAATTTGCTGCAACCTTCGGTGAAGGTGAGCTACTCCAAGAGGGCGCTGGTGAAGGCTTGAAGGGTCGCCATATCTTGAAAGTTGGTTGGGATGACGTTCGTGGTTGGATGGATATCGGTGGTACTCTCATTGGTACCGCTAGATGCGCGGAATTCCGTGAAAAGGAAGGTCGCGAAACTGCTGCTTTCAACTTGATTAGCCTCGGTATTGACGCTTTGGTTGTTATTGGCGGTGATGGTTCCCTTACCGGTGCTGACAGATTACGCGGTGAATGGCCTTCCCTTCTCGATGATTTGGAGAAATCGAAGAGAATCTCAGCTGAGCAGCGCAGTAAACACGCTCATCTTACTATTACTGGTATCGTTGGCTCTATCGATAACGACATGGCTATGACCGATATCACTATTGGTGCTCCAACCGCTTTACATAGAATTTCTGAAGCTGTTGACTCCATTGGTTCAACCGCTTCTTCTCACTCTAGAGCCTTCGTTGTTGAAGTTATGGGTCGTCATTGCGGTTGGTTGGCCGTCATGGCTGGTTTGGCCTGTGGTGCCGACTATATATTCATCCCTGAACGTCCTCCAAAATCTGAGGACTGGGAGAGCGAAATGTGCAACGGCCTCAAGTCTCACCGTGAACATGGCAAGAGAAAGACAATTGTTATCGTTGCTGAAGGTGCTTTGGATCGTCAATTGAAGCCAATTAAGCCTGCATATGTTGCAGACATTCTCACAAAGCGTTTGCAACTCGACACTAGAGTAACTACCCTCGGTCACGTTCAACGTGGTGGTAAGCCATGTGCTTATGATAGACTTTTGGCAACTTTGCAAGGTGTTGAAGCTGTTGAAGCGGTTTTAGATGCCACCCCACAAACACCAAGCTACATGATTGGGTTAAAGGAAAATAAAGTTAAGAGAGTTAGTTTGATGGATGCAGTTAAGGCTACTGCTGGTGTCGGTGATGCTATTGAGAAGAAGGACTTTGACCAAGCACTTCAACTCAGAGATCCAGAGTTCTTGGAGAATCTTGAAGCATTCGATTACTCGACCATTGTCGGCGATAACAAGCACTTGCCAGAGGGTCAGAGACTTAGAATTGGTATCATTCACGTCGGTGCACCAGCAGGTGGTATGAACGCTGCAACCAGAGAAGCAGCAAGATTCTGTTTAGCCAGAGGTCACACTCCATTAGCCATCTACAACGGTTTTGAAGGTCTTTGGGCTGAGGCTGGAAATGGCGTACAGCCATTATCTTGGTTACAAGTAGACAACTGGTCATCAAGAGGTGGTTCAGAGCTCGGTACCAACAGATCGCTGCCTGCAGATGACTTGGACAGCACATCGAAGGCATTGCAAAACCACAACATTGATGCACTCTTGATGATTGGTGGTTATGAAGCATACACAGCAATTCAAACACTCAAGAACGCAAGAACCAACTACCCAGCCTTCCAAATATCAATGGCAGTGATCCCAGCAACATTATCAAACAATGTACCATTGACAGAATTCAGTGTTGGCTCAGACACAGCATTGAATGCGCTGGTTGATGCATGTGACGCAATCAAGCAATCAGCAGCAGCGTCAAGAAACAGAGTTTTCGTCGTTGAGACACAAGGAGGAAAGTGTGGATACTTGGCAACAGTGGGTGCTTTAGCAACTGGAGCTAACATAGTGTACACGCCAGAACTCGGGATGGACTTGGGATTAGTTCAGAGTGATGTGGAGTTCTTGAAGCGTCGTTTCGCATTGGATGTCAAGGGCAAATCAGATGGTAGATTTATAATCAGAAACGAGAAAGCGTCGTCAGTTTATTCGACAGAGTTCCTCACAAACATGCTCAAGGAGGAGGGCAAGGAATTGTTTGACTCAAGAGCAGCGAACCTCGGACACACGTTGCAAGGTGGGACACCATCACCAATTGACAGAGCTAGAGCATGCAGATTAGCTGTCAGATGTATAAAGTTCTTGGAGGACAACAGCACATCGCGTCAAGCTGGTGCTAAGGATGAGAGTGCAGCTGTGATAGTTATAGAAAATGGACAAGTACGATTGGCGCCAGTTGAGGACGTTTCCAAGGTGGCAGACGATAAGAATAGACGTGGAATGGACCCTTGGTGGACACACCTCAAGCATTTGGTTGAAGTTTTGTCCGGAAGAAGGACGTTAGCGGGTGGTCGTCATCACGAGGAGAGAATGAACAAGTAAATGTACTTAAAATATAATCTTTAAATTTAAAATGTTTGTAGCCAAAATTACCTAATCCGATAACCCCATACGCAGTCAAACGCAGTTATCATAGTGACGACGACGATCAAATGCGTTTATTCAACAAATATTCCAGCTACGATATGTTGCCTGGGTATAATACACATAAGAATAGGAGAAGGCTTGCCATTTACACGGATAAGCTCAGGCCATCTGCATCTTTCATCACTGGAATTACCGTGGCTTCCGTTTTGTTTACTTTCCTGTCGATATTCCCAAGAGCTCCACCGTCTATCCCATACGCCTTTGAGGAATTTCAGCCCGAGAAGCCCGACTGCCTCAGTTGCGGTTTAGATCCCACCGTCGCGCTCATCGACAGCCAGTCGTACATCCAGCCGTATGAGGATCCAGGCATGAACAAGCACCTCACAGAATCTCAATGCCTGAACCAATACCCTGGTTTGTTCTATGAGGCGGAAAGAGCTTTGGCTTATTGGTCGGAGCGTGGTGGTATCACGCTGAAGCACTTGGATAAAGCTTCAGAGAAGGCACACGGGAGGGTTGTAATACACAACAACAGAGTGGGTTGGCTGTTTGGAAATAGCCTTTCTAACAAGACGTTTATAGATGTTTGTGAAGGAATTCAGTCATAACGATGTCAATACTAGAGCTTTGGCTACATTTGCGGCTATTCATGAAGCTCTGCTCACTTCAACAGAGGCTTTTCCAAATGTGGAATTCACGTTCCAAGTTCAAGACGCCGGTGATTCCGAAGATGAACCTATACCAACACTTGTCCTCGACAGGACAGCCGATCAGCCTGAATTGTGGCTCATGCCCGACTTCGGGTTCTGGTCGTGGCCTGAACCTAAGGTAGGAAGCTTTGGTGAGGTGAGGGATAAGGCAGGTAAATGGGAATCTAAACACAGCTGGTCGGAGAAGCTACCAAAACTTTTCTGGAGAGGTGCATCACTTGATCGTGAAATACGTAAGCAATTGATCAATGCAGCAAACGGGTATGCTTGGTCAGATGTCAAGATGATGGATTGGGGTAATATCCAGCCTGGTGATTTGTTGACAATGGAGGAGCATTGCGGGTATCAGTTCTTGGTGCATGTTGAAGGCGTAGCTTACTCAGGTAGACTCAAGTATCTTCTTCAATGCCACTCCGTCTCTGTGATGCATGAACTAAAGTTCATTCAACACTTCCATCACTTGTTGGACGGCAATTCTACATCAGCTGACCAAAACGTCGTTGTTGTTCCACTGCCAGAGAGGAGACCAGGTAGTGAGACGGATCCAAACCCATGGGAACGCCTACCTGAAGTGATGGAACAGCTCAAGAAGAATCCAGACAGGGTTAAGAGGATTGCAGATAACAGCTGGGAAGGACTGAGGAGTAGGTATTTGACACCATCTGCTACTGTTTGCTACTGGAGAAGGCTATTGAGTCTCTGGAGTCAGGCTCAGGCATTTACAGTAAAGGTCGATGACAGTTATATACCTTACGAATCATTCATGTTGATGAGGACGGTTGATTGGCAGGCACATTAGACAGAAAAAATTAGAGAAAACCTTTACAATAATTACCGACGTACATACCCATCCCAGACAAGTCATACTGATTCAAGATGCTGCGAATGCTTGAATACATGAAGAATTAATATGATATTTATTTTAACTTTCTTATACTTGTATGCGTGCTAATTTAGTAGTTTAATATGTCATTACTTTGCTTTTTAATACACGATGCTTTCCAGTCTGCTCTTAGCTAAAGCTGCTCGAGTTCATCCTCACTTGCTTATTCCTTGACGCGTAGAATGTGCCTTGATAGGTGTTATCACATCAAATCTGAATGATTTCCACGTCGAGACACATGCCTTTATAAAACTTTCTAAAGTATAACTAATTGATGGAATATACAAATTGGAGAACATTATAAAAATATATTTTCCTAAATATATTACTCGAAAACTTAGGTTTGAGGTGTTGTTGTGTTTGTCTAGTTATAAAATTTGAGAATTGTAAAAGAAAGAATTATACAGTTAGTATTAAAAAGTTGTTGTCGTGACTGATGCATCCTTAGCCACCCTTTGGAATAGCCTGACGGTCAGCTTCCTCGTTGACCAAGTATGCTGGCAAGTTGGCTGCTTCACCCTCTTGCTCAACGTCCTTGGCGTCACTAGTAAGACCGAGACGTGCAGCCTCTGCCTTGACCTCTTCTGAGGAGAGCTTTGGCATCGAGTTGGCGACCGAGACGTATGATCTGCCTTCAGTGTAACCAAGTGCAAAGATAACATCAATCTCCTCGAGAGATCTACCAGCAGTCTCTGGGTAGAAGAAGAGGACGATCGGGATGAAACACACGTTGATGATACCTGATACAGTTAGTTAGGGTGCTAAGGAAGTTTTTTTACCCACCGAAGAAAAGGAAAGTACCCCAGTTGATGGCTGCTAACATAGGAGGTGTCCACTGTACAACTGCAAAGTTCCACGACCAGCTGGAAAAATTTCAATGAGCCGTTATACCTTGCTATAAGCATTGTACTTACTTGCTCATGGTGGAGATAGCGTTTGCGTTGGTACGGATACGAAGTGGGTTGATCTCGGCTGGGTAGAGCCAAGGGAGTTCGAGCCAGGTGGCACCAAAGAAGGCCAAGAAGAGGAATTGTCCGAGGACAGATCCGTTCAAGACGTTCTGTGCGTGGTCGGTTGGACCTTCTAGACCGAATGGGATGGTGCAGCCCATGAGAATAAACATAGACATGGCCTGTCCGACAGAACCGACCAAGAACATCTTGCGGCGACCGACCTTCTCGATAATGAAGTACGAGATACATGCGCAGAGGGCATATACGGAAATGTTGACACCAGCAAGGATAAGCGCGAGCTTACGTTCCAAACCGAGGTACTCCTCGAAAATGAGTGGGGAGAAGTAGATGACTGCGTTACAACCGCCTATCTGCTGGAAAACTTGAGATGAGGCACCGAGGAGAGTTCTGCGCAAGTGTTGGGTCTTGCCACCGGTGAGAACATCACGTCTTCTGGCGGCACCTTGTGTCTCGGTCATCAATCTAATACCGTCAGCCATGATATTAGTGTGGTGGTGTGCTTCGGCGGAATCTACTGGAACTGAGTTGAGGGCGGCAACGACGCGTCTACCCTCGTCTTCACGGCCTTTGGAAAGTAACCAACGTGGGGACTCTGGGAGGAATAGAGCACCACCGACGAGACCGAAAGCAAATGCTATTTGGAAGGCGATCGGGAATCTCCAGGTGACGTCGGCAGGATCGTAATTGTACGACAAACCAACATCGATCCAGTATGAAATAACAGTTCCGATAGCAATCATTGACGCTTCAATACAGACCAAGACACCACGGTTGTGTGACTTGGATGTTTCTGCTTGCCATGATGGGATAGTGGAAGTATTGAGACCATTACCAACTCCGGTAATAACACGTCCAACACAGAATTGCTCTGGCGCGTGATGGCCTCTAAATGCGGTAACTTGAATGATAGTACCAATAACCATAACGCCTGCACCAGTAAACATCATACGACGTCTACCCATCCAGTCACCGAAGAGAAGAGCACCGAGAGCACCGAGAAGACAACCGACTTCGTAAATTGAAGTGTAAGTGGCTTGAATGAGCGCAGCGCGAGAGTGCGCAGGAGTATTTGTAGGAACAACCGAGTCAGTTGTATCTGAATATCCGAATTTATCATGTTGATATGATGGATTCACTGCAGGGAAAGTATCTCCGAACTGCTCTGAGGTGATCAATCCGGCCATGACACCTTGATCTGTGCGGGTTCACGTGTTAGCGGAGTATTTACGCGTCAAAACGCCACAACGCACCATAACCGAAAAGCAGGAAACCGGTAGTTGCAGTGGCAGAGATAAGCCACACAAGTTTATTCCCGTGGGCGCCCATGACTGAATAATTGGCATGAATACAAATTTGCAAAGCAGCAGGACAAACGACTCACACGTTGGGATGGATCCATCATCGTACTGAGGCTGCTCTACCTCCTCCTTGTTTTCTTTGCGAGCCATTGTGGTTGTTTGCGGAGAAGCGAGTAGCTGGAAAGAATTGGATGAAATAATTTAAAATGTCCAATTGCGGGGCTAGTTACATACTAATGTGGTTATTTCCCAAAAAGGAATTCGATTTAATTGGTGCGGCCGGATTTGTAACTCCGCGGAAACGCTATGATACTCAGTTTTCTCTGCGTGACTTTGTTGCTACTCTGCGTCCTGCCAATCCTTTGTGTTCCTTAGATATGACGTCTGCGTTTTTAATTGATGTCTCTCTGCAGTACGAATAAGCGAGGATATCTGCACACATGACTTGTGGAGCGTGTCTGATTACACATATATTCTTTGATCTGCATGTATTCTATTTTTACAGCCTATATTCCGCCTCACGTGCACAAGATGCTCGGAAACGGGGCCTGAGCTGCTCGACAGGGACACAAAAAATCTGCAAAACTGCGAATCAATCGGGTATAAGATTTTTATTTCAAATTTCAGCAGCCACAATATGCGGTTGTTATTTATAGCCGCAATACTAGTCTCACTATTCCCTCTTATCCCAGGAATGGTCCTTCGAAGATGAGCCTAAGCGAGCGCGAAGGCGGTGGACGCGAAGGGAAAAACGCGGGTGGTGGCGGGAATTGTCGGAGTTGAATAATGTGTTTCTAAGGAGTATATGTGTTCATTCTCAGCTGTTGCTTTACACCGCAGATCATTTGCGCTCACGTGTAATGCTTACTAAGCGTCTGAACCTGCCGGAGACAACTCCAAAACACCGCGTAATACTGTATTAAATGCTACGACCACTCCAAAAGAGTGACATACACTTTAGCAGACGTCAGCAGGTGTCAGTGCGGGTGCAGATCACCGGATTATTCGGAGCGACAGGGAGTGCTAGCGAGTGCTTGCTACGAAGCACAGCACTCCATTCACGCAAAATAAAACCTACGATGCACCCTTGAAACTCCGGCACACGTCAAATCACATCCAATGAACAGCCACTTGACAGATCTGCAGAGGTATAAAATGTGTCATTACGTTATTACGAAATACAAACAAATATCATTTTTATGACGCTGCTGCCTGCGTAGCCTGCTGCCTCATCTCCAGCATCCGTCTCTTAATAAAGTAATCAATCTGATGCAGCTGTGAGCGCGGTACTTTTACGCTTTACACTCTACACACCCAGCTAGCCGCACACGCTCCCTCATACGCCTTAAACTCCCTCGGACACATCCTCTTTATCTCCTCGTTGTCGCTCGTCGGCGTCGACCCAAGGCAGTCGAATAGCTTGTCTCGCGCACTCCAGCACGCCTGGCGCTCCTCTCTCGTAAGAGTTTTGGCTTTCGAAGACGGCACGTCCTTATCCTCTGACTTGAATGGCCACCACATCTTGATCGATTATATTCAAAAGCACAGAGCAATTATTTATCTTACTATTAATTTAGCGCGCGTAAAAGTATAACAAAGTTAAAAATAATATTTTTCTTCATGTATTCAAGCATTCACAATATGACTTGTCTGGGATGGGTATAGACGTCGATAATTATTTCAAGGCTTATCTCCAAGGACTTCTATCTAATGTGTTTGCAAATCTTTGAGTTACTGGCTTATTCCTGGACAATCCCCATTCTCGTACTCGCTCTGAATGGGTGCAAACAGCATCGTGCGAGATTCTTGAGGTAAACAAATGTGCCAACGCACAAGAGTATAGCAGAATAAGCAGAGCATACCTTATGCAATAATGTCTGCCAGATTTTAATTTGTCCGGTTTCCATTTACAAGGATAATTCTTAGCTAGTACAATCTAATTAAGACACTTTGCTTCTTTTCTAATACTGGCGCAATTACAACTTGGCAATCACATCAAGTCACCTTTGCTCCCACCTAGCCCAGAATCAACAACATTGCACCCAGCTCAAGCAGTCTTCTGAACATGTCGATCAGTGCGACTTGTCAGCAATCATATTTCACTATTGGTATGTTTCGTACAATGCTACATCAACCATCATATCCATCACAGCATTAATATCAAGCTTGGTCGTCTCCTCATCCTCTTTTAGAGTAGCCCTTGAGCGAGGCCGTTTGATCCCTTGGAGTCCCGATTTTATACATTGTCGACGAAAGACTCCCCAGCAACACTTCAATTTTGGTAAAGACATCTGCATAATGTCTCTCTTTCCCCTGCAACGTCTTTAGTGTGTTTAACAGATGTGGCGTTGGTAATATAAGTTGTCGTATGTCGGTGTTTGGAATATTGACTGAACCATTCTCCTTCATCTTCTCAATCTCGAGGTTAGACTCTCTAAGATGGCGAGAAATAGCGTCGAGACGGCGCGGTAGGGTCAGTAACAACATCGGAAGCTTTAGGCATTCACTTGTCGTTACTGCTGAAGAAGGTATTGTGCCGCATGTCTGAATTGGACGTGTGAGCGTCGTAGGCTGATTACGCTCTACTCACTTCTGTAGACAATCAGTCGTGTTAGTCCTGACGCTATTCTCGGGTGCGCGCAGAATTCCATTAAGTGACATTAGTTGCATGTCTTCGGAGGCTCCTTCAGGCCGTTCAAGGCTACTAACACAAGAACAAGACGAGTATGTCGATCTGACGAGCTCCCAGCCGAGCCACTATGTGATGTGCTACCAAACGAATATGCTTGTACAACAGCCTGCCAAGTGTTAGTGCAAATACCGCTGCGTTTATCCTCATTGTTGGTCTTAATGGTTCTAAATCATACCCATTTACGACGTCAATACAAAGATTAGATTTATGTTCTACTTTCAAATCAACTAGCCAGCGCTATCTCATCCAGACACTATACTTCCTCTTCCTGTAACCTTTCAATGACTTGTTTACGGCGATGTCTCTATGTTATCTGATTTGTATATTGCACAAATTATCCAAAAATTTATGAGATTTGCTAGAGACATGTATATAAGATATTGAAATAAAAGAAATAGGTATGCAGGGAATTCAGGGAAGAGGATCATTCTCATGACATATATAAAACCACACTCTAAGCTTGGAGTTGAATGTGTTCAAGCACACGCTCACGCACGCGTCCATCGGATGGAGACGTCTTGAGCAGCCACTCGGCATCGGTGACGAGCCAGCTCCACCACCACACGGCCAGAGGGGCAGTAGCAGCGTGCCAGAGGGCGTGAGCGTCGAGAGATCTGCCAATGGGGACGAACTCGAGCAGCTCGAGGCTAAGCGCGACCATAGTGAGAGCGACGAGGGCGACGGGGGTGTAAGGCGCGGGGTGAGATAGACATTGTGATTTAACGTGTTTCCTCCTCCGCATGTACTCCCTCAGACACCACCCGAGCCAGAGCAAATTATGCAGCATGCCGGCCGCGATGACGACAGTGAGATGCCACCCATAGTCGATGCGTTTGCTGGAGAGTGTGGAGAGGGAGTGCAATGCATACACGAGCCCCAAACAGACGGTAGACGCGAAGAATGACACGTGGCACACTCTCACCAACGCCACGTTCAGTCCTGCGAACACAGCCGCCCCTGCAGCGAGGTAGTCAAGCCGCTCCGTGAAGGCCACGTCGCGCGTATGGAAGACACTGCTAGCTACCCACGCCCCCATTTGCACGTACGCGAGAAGTGCATAAACGCGGCGGGACGGCTGCGCAACGCGCCGACGCACCAATGCCAGTCCCCGCCGATGGGCGAGTAGGTTGAGCAGCGAGAACAGCGTCGAGAGTGGCTCCTGTATCCCGAACACAGCGTAGAAGGGCCACTTCCCATAGTATTGCGCTACGAGGTGGCGCGGTTGCACGTCTACTTGTTCGTGCATGCATTTGTAGCGGCATAGGTCCGTTGTTGTCCATAGTAACGTGCGCGTGGGCGGTGCTGTTAAACACTTGCGCACGCATAAGCGGAACGCTGGCTGCCGGTCACCGTATGAGGCGAGAACGCTCGTTGCAAGTAGTATCACCAACACCACCAGCTGTGCACTTGGTCTGCCCATGGCTCCGTTGAAAGATTAAATTGAGCGGAATGTGCTGACACGAGCTGAAATGAGATAAAATCATATAGAATGACATGATGTGATCCGAAAACATCAAATAATCAAATACAAATCGAGATTCTAAGCCCGTTAGCTGAGCTATAGGGGAAAGAGAGGTAATGAGAAGCTCGAGTGCAACAAGTCAACCGCAACCAATACCACATCAGACGATATGCGGAGCAACATCTGCAAAAATCGAGTTAATGTGATTGACCAAGAAACAGCGACAACCCACCGAATCGCTTGGCCGCATGTCTGCTCTTCTTGTGTTCTCTCTTTTTAGTGGTAATGGGAGCGAAAGTGGTCTTAGTATCCGAAAGGACGTCCTCAGTGGGAGATTTGAAGATTTTACCGCGACAGAAAGCAGTGATAGTGGCAGCCATCAGCGCGCACCACACGAGAAGAATAGCGACGGTGAAGATAGCGTGCACGACGTGCAAGAAGCGACACTCAAAAATATCCCCGAGCACCTTAAACGTAGATATCATGCCGACGAGCGGGAAAGTGAGGGCCCACATGCCGAGCACCTCCGTGGAATGGTAGTGCACTTTGAAAGGCCACGGAATAGCTGCCATCAGAAAGAAGAACCACGCACAACCCAGCAGCATTGTGGCAGCGAGGATGCCGACGTTGTAGAATATTTCCCCGGCAAGCGGGGTGAATGTGGTTACTTGGGGGAATATCTCTCGCGCTTCCTCTCCCAGTTTGAGCAGGGCAAGGGCCGTAAAACCCGGCGGACCCGCTGCTACAAACGCCCCGTTCGCTTGATGTCCCTCCATGAAACCTGTCGTGATTATCCGCAGGCAGAAAATTGCGAGGTACATGAAGGTGATAAGTGTACCTAGACCTTGGAAGACGTACGAAACAAGCAATATTATCAGCGCATCGTTGCTTCCTTTGTCAATATCGCTGAGACACTGTGAGAGTGTGAGTGAGTGAAGATTTTAAGCATCCCCCTCACATTGAAACCGACGACGCCCGTCAACATCAAAGGAAAGACGAGGAACATATAAGCGGGAGTGAAGCTGGTAATTGTTCCGGAGTGCTCGCAGTTGAACCAGACGAGGAGCATGGGGATGCAGACTAAATTCGCCATGGCAAGGTAGATCCAGAAGAGGACGACGAGGGCTTCGGGAGTGACGACACCGAAGTCTTTAACGCCGTACTGTGAGATTCTGTGAAGTGGCTTTTGAGATTGTGTCTATGATTAATTGCCAACTCACCCAATCACTATTGTGGCAAAGGATAGCACGATTAGCGGGACAAAAACACCTTTTACAGGGTCCCTAACGAGTCTCAAAGACTGTGAGGGGAATACTGTAGATATTTAGTCTGGTAGATGGCTAAATGAAGCGGCAGACTCACGTATAGCTTGTGAGACAAGGAGAGTGACATTAAGGAGAAAAAGCGCGCAAACAAAGAAGAAGAAGAAGAGCTCTTTGGGGTGTTAATATGAGGACTTATTTATACCTTAAACTTAAAATACCTGGATACACGACCCACTCCGGTGGATTGTAAAGGTTAGACATGAGAACAAATACAGCGCCTGTGCCTGTGGAGAAAGAGTGTCAGGTGGATTTACTGAGAATATAATAACACCAACCCATTGCTATTGGCCACGCCTGCCATGACCAACCGTGTATCCTTCTAAAGAAACGACGTGGTTTGCGGGATGGAAGGGTTTTAGGTTCTTCAGAGAGCGTTTGATCGTCGAGGTCAGGGGAATGATTGAGACTAAAAGGGGTGGAAATTGAGGGAGAGGGTGATTGCTCATGGCCAATATTCTGCTCAATATTCTGCTCCTGCTTATGGCCATGAATGTCTTTGATTGTGGACATAGAATGACTATTAAAGGAGCTGGAACTGATTGGGCTACTACTAATACTCTCAATTGACTTCATAGACGTTAAAGATCTGATACCGCTTATGTATTGAATATAAGACAAGAATGGATTTAATAAACATTCCAGCGGCTGCGGATAACAACCGAAAGAAGTGACAAGATAAGAAATATTAAGGACATCAAGAATCTTGGCAGAATTCAAATCTCGGCATGGAGTGAGACTTCAATTCGGAGGCTGTTACAGGGCGTGTATTGTGTTCACTGGGTCCAGTGTATCGTATTTGAGAGGAATTGTAAAAAATAAAAAAATCGAGAAAGCATCCAACACGTCCAAGGAGCCACGAATAGAAATAGTTTTAATTTATTTTTTTGATAAATTATCGAGTTCCCATCTCACCACCACCAAACCAACGTGGGTTGTGCAGAGATGTCACGTAATAAACAAGTTCTAGAGGCATTTGAATCTTTCAGGCAGAAGCACAGTAAGCAGAATAGGGAGATAATAGTGTGGGTTTTGAGCGTGATGTGTGGTGATTATAGCTTAAACAGTGGAATAGGAACAATACCCTGCTAAATATTAGAAATCAGCAGCTACAACAGGATTTGGCTAGGCTTTGGGATGAAAATACCCAGCTGAGGCTACAGCTATCGCAGTCGAATCACCAGCTAAATACACGGCATAATAAGGTTATCGATAAAGTTGTCGATCAGCTCAATTCTTTGAAGGGCGACTACAAACAACCATCTTCAGCACCTAAAACTTCTTCTTATCCAATTCAAAGACGCGTTTTAGCTGCTCCTCCAGAGCTGGATAGCATTCAAGAGAACTTAGGTTCTTCTTCTTCATCCTCTTCTTCTGACAATGAAATAACCTCTCAAGACGCTAAAGAGGCTGCACACTCAAGACTCATCTCAAGAAGACGTCTCTCTCGCAACTCCCTCTCTCAACCCAGACAATCACCTAGAATCCCCAATTCACGCAAAAAAGACGATTCTGACTTCGAACTGGACGATAATAAGCCTGAACCAGCCACAAAAGCAAGGAGGAACAAACGGCGACACTCAGAAGATGGTACTAGTCCAAGCCCACAACCATACGGTGGGAAAAAGAGACCGAAACCACGCAAATCAAACACAAACAAATCCCCTGATAAGCCTGAAGCAAGTACTTCAGAAGCGGTGAAAGAACCAAAAGAGGTAGAACCCCCTGTGGCACTCCCTGTAGACCCCCCTGTAGAGCTTCTTGCACAACCCCCTGCACAACCTGCACGGCCAAAACGCGGAAGACCAAAAAAAAACACAATCACCACAAATGTCCAACCAGCCACCGAGACTTTGAGAATTAGAATACAGAGGACGCCTGAGGAGGGTTTGGAGGACCCACAAGAAGCGCAAAAGGTACAAAAAGCACAAGAGACGCAAAAGGCACAAAAAGCACAAGAGGCGCAAAAGGCACAAAAAGCACAAGAGGCGCAAAAAGCACAAGAGACACAAGACATACAAGACACACACTCAGATACAGACATGTCCGAGCCTGAGAATATCAATGTCAATACTTACGACGACAAATATACGTACCCAGCACACCGCCATCTAACGTCAACATCGAGATCACCCAGCGTAGACACAGACACAGAGGGCAGACCATCGCGTCGAGTACGCAAGTCTGTCAACTACGCTCTCCCGAATTTGCGCGATAAGATGCGTAAACCCGAATCAGAGGGAAGTGTGAGTGAGCTGGGGCGGTTGCTAGAAGAAGAAGAATTGTAAATAGCTCAAATAACAAACCAGATGAGGTTAATTCTAATTCAACAATAATAAGCAGCCAACAGCTCCGCGTATTTTGCTATTTTGCTGATAGCATCGATCACGTTATATGATGCGAAATACTACAATCAAACATTAATTTAAAGCGAGTACTACTGAACCTGATCAAATCCGTGTGGTTTACCTGACCAATAAAAGCTGCTCAAACGCGTAAATCATAGGTTACGTAACCACAGAATATTTTGGTAACAAAAGTAGGCCGATGGCTTTTTGTATACAATAATATGACGTTTACGTTCTTTTCAAAGCTTAGTCGCGCTTTTCTGCGTATTTGCAAATTTTCATTCCAAACTGGTGTGTGCTTTCGCATCAATATGTAGATTATTGGGGATGATCATGAGGTGAGGCCCTGAGCCATCTGTTATCATCTCTAACCTCAACCACCAACAGCTTAAAGCAGTCCACCAATGGCCCAAGCAACCAAACGCATTACGGCGGTGAGTGGAGGTTAAGTGGCTGTTAGAGCCTGACTAACTCGCACACGCCTAGGAATACACACTAATAAGCAAAGAGCGTATTAATGGAGTGAGTGAGGTGGAGCTGGTCGACGACAACATATTTGAGTGGGCTGGATACATACATGGTCCTCAAGGCACACCCTACGAAGATGGCAGATTCAGGTTCAGACTGGCATACCCAGACAATTTTCCGTTCAAAGCACCCGCTTTCCAACTCAAGACACCTATATACCACCCAAACTTTGACCCAGAGGGCAATATCTGCATTGGTCTCCTTAAATCTGAGAGCTGGAAACCAACGACGAGAGTGACGCAGAGTAGGTGTCGTAGTGGACTGTAGAGCTTCCTAATCAGATGATCACACCAGTCTTCCAAGCAATCTTGCAACTCCTCGCTGAACCCAACCCCGATGATCCACTCGATGCTTCCATTGCCAATGACTACAGCGTGCGTTTTTCTTGCACTTGTTTCGAGCCCAAAAACTAACCCTATTCAGAACAATCGCAGTGACTTCATCAAAACTGCTAAAGATTCCGTCTATAAGGTTCGCATGACGCTCTGCTATTATTCTAAGCTGACCCTACAAAGCACGCAACTCATTGACGTTATTTGTATATCACACACACACATACATTACATCAGCAAACTCACAATCAATAAAGACATGAATTGAGACACAAATAATATTTACATGTACTACTTTAAACCCCTTAAATCCACTGCAGCTATTGTTAGTACTCATGTTCATATAAATCCCCAACAATCGACTTACTGGCGCCCATTGTGGATCCATTTTAGCAAGCTCAATTGGATTTGTTGCTTTGGCAATCAAATCCAAGACACTTTGACAAGCAGGTATCACTTTCTGGTTGTTGGTGCTACCGCCGCTCGCGCCCTGACCTTGTCCTTGGTTCAAGTTAAACTGGTCACGTTCATACTTGCAACCCAATACCGTAGCTCGCGCAACTATCCCGTCAACATTCTGCTGTATCGAGTTACGCACTTCACCATCCGAAGGGCTCTGACGGCGTTGATTCGTGTACCAACTCGACACATCTTCCCTAACGAACAGATTCAATTGGTTCTCCAAATCATACTGCGGCTCCGTCAAACATCTCCCCAACGATACTATTGATGATACCAAAACTCCCTCTATCCCAATCGACGTCAAGTAATGTTGTAAATTTGGCGTCAATCTAAATGGAACTGATTCTGGATTTGATAGCTGACAATCTTGATTAATCAACCCTGGTATCACATCTGTGGTATGCATTGATCCAGTTGAAGGCGTAATCATGATTCGATGTGGTTGGCGATGTGCAATGCAGAAGCCATACGTCATGAAGATTATCGTCGCAACTTGGTTCGACATTTGCTTTCTCAACATCCAAAATTCTGATGGTGAATTGGCTGATCGATTCATATACCTCGTCAGCACATCTTCAGGAACGTACTTATTTGCAATCTCCTCAATTATTTCCATCTTGAGATTCAACGTTGTAATTTCCTAACATTCAAGTCAATTAACTTCCAATTCAAAAACCATAACTCACAGAATCATCCGCCTTCGAAACCGACTTGAGTTTCTCAATATATGTCAGTATCGGCGTGATACTATCTTCTCCCAGCTCCTCGCAGTGTTTGTTGGAAATATCCTCCAGTGACACTGTGCTTGGGTCATTTTGCACAAGTCGGAGATTTGTTGACAGTGGAACCGATAGAGGTGCGTTGAAGTATATGTTTCTCCGTCTACACTCCTTACGACGATCAATCACTCTGTTATTCTTGTTAGTTTGAACACCTCATCCCACACATTCTACGTACGCATTAAAGATCCGACAGATTTGCTGAGTACGTTCTTCACGTCTAACGTGTCTGGTGGGAGGCATCTGTACCATAAATGGATGTCTTGTGCCATTCACCGCAACGAATGTAATTCTCTTCCAACTAACCCCATGTGACTTGTAAAACTCAAACTTAGGTGCTATTCTCGCAATCTTCAAGAACGTCGACCTATCTTCATCTTCATGTTTGTTGTATTGACCTGGTATCTCAATCTGATCATACTTGTTGAGATGGAATTCAACCAAATGCCTACGCGAATACTCCAACGACTGGAATCTTGGCCTTGAATCGAGTACCTTTTCGAATCGTTTTCTCCAAATCATCAACTTCCTAATGTATTGCGATAATTGCAACTCTGAACCGAGACCTGGCTCATTCACGAATGGCTTCTGCTTCCCAATCACAGCTTGTTCAATAAACTTATTTAAAGCCTGTCTTGTAGTTGGTGATAACTCCATCGAACTCCCTTTATCTCTCGTGGCGTAATTCATTATTGCATCCCCTAACAGTGCATTCACAAATCTATACCCGTCTTCTTCCGGCGACGACTTGAAACGTGCAGCAATTTGATCAACCATTGTTTCGAGAGAGAGTGTTAGTAGTGGATAAGCAGTCTTGAGTATAGACAGCACTTCATCCACCCAGTCCCAAGGGTTCTTGTAGAGTGGAACTTGACCTTGTGTAGCTTGCTGTTGCATGCCTTGCTGTGGCTTAGCATTTGCTGTTGCCGGTGATCCCAATTGAGGCGTCAACGCGGCTTGTGCTGGCGGCGCAAGATGTGGGTTTGGTCCTTGCTCACCTCTTTCAGCCTTTGCCACTGCTACTGCTTGAGCTTGTCTTCTCAACACTGTATACTCCTCTCTCGTTGTGCGCAAGTGGAAGAAAAGCGCTTGTGGATACTTCTTTGCAATCTGTATCAAGATCAGACGGGCATGCCTCGCTTCACGATGCGATAGCGAAAGCAATAGTTGAGGAATAAGAGTTATCCAGTACCATACTTGGAAGTCACCTTTATAAGCCTTTAAAAGTTGTCAATATAATACACCACCATAGTTCAAACTACACACCTCGAACGCTTTAGAGATTGTCATATTGACATCATCCAAACTGAGTAGCCACAAAACCCGTGCAAGGAGTTTCCTAGACTTGTGATTACGATAGAGGCCTGAAGCTTGAAGATAGCAGCTAATAGCATTAGCACCAAGTGACATGTTTTCAGGATGCACCTTGAACTGCTGGTCGTTATAACGTCCCCACTCCGCCCATGCTCTTGGCAAGTTTAAATCTGTCTGTACAGCATGTGCAAACGACTGAGTTGCGTCATCATGTAGGCCTAATTTAGCCGTAAACATTCCCTTAAGTGTAAAGAATTCAGACTTTTGCGATGGAGCGAAAAAGTGTAAATTAGTGTTATTGATTACTTCTAAACCAGCTCCCAGTCCATCTGTTGTTGGGTATAAACATCTTGCTTGTTCACGCAATTTCAGAAATGCCTGAAGTGTTATTAGTTAATCGCTTTCTGGATACTCATACTAATCACTCACTTCCTGAATCTCAATGTTTGGGAGAGTATAGATCTTGGTGAGTAATGAGATACAGACGTCTTGCAATTGATGTTTACGAGCAACATGAGCAAATTGATTGATAGTCCATGCCATTTCATGGTAGCCTCTGTATCCAAAGCTGTTTTGACCGGTATTCGTTTGACCATTGCCGTTAGCTTGAAGGTTGTTGATGATTGGCAAGTAGACTTTGTTGATAGCTTGGAATACATGCGATCTCCATGCCACCAAGTCAGACCACAGATTAATGTCGTCCCATAAGTTAGGCATTCTATCTCTCCATTGATGTACTATATTTTTAATCTCTGATGAACGCTGCTCGACGTTAGTTTCATTTGTGGCGGCAAAGGTATGGAATATGTTTGAAGCGTCCCACAATTCAACACACTGTTGGAAAGTATGGAGAAGAGGAATGTTTGCAGGGCCAGGAATATCCGGTAAGGAATGCCATTTTTTGAGTGATAGTTGAATCGCCTCAGTTGTAATCTTATTAAAATCATTCGATGGCTCATTGGTATCCTGAGCTTTGACCAACGACATGAACGCCTCAAAGATTCTCCTTCTAGGAGTTGCAATGTCAGCCAAATTCTTGAACGCTCCTTCTATAACTTCTCTATCTTGCGACCAGTCAGATGTTCTCCAAGCGCATTCGAATAAGAGATCAGCATTGGATTCATTTTTTGCTAGATCAGTGAGTAGATCCCACTGTTGTAATTTTTGCGAGCATAAAACCCAATGATCTTCCCAGACAGCGTATTCGGGCTCGTTAAATGGGACGTTACCCGCTCTTGCTTTAATTTGAGCATTTTCATGCATAATTTGAGCTTCTGACCATAAACCAAGCTGCTCGTAAGACAGAGCTGCGTTGGTTTCGGGATATCCAGAACGACGCCTCCAAAGACCGTAAAACAAATCTTCTTCTGCAAGATCTGCGTAAATCTCTGCTAAAGCGTCTCTTGAAATTTCATTGACCATTTCACTTTCTCGTCCAACCACCGTTAGCTGTTCCAATAACAAAATCGCCGTGTGCCATGCACTGAATGTCTTTCCGAGATATTTGACGAGATGTGGGGGGAGGGCAATAGAAGGAGAGGCTGTTAGAATACCATCCAAGATTGTCTGTATAACATTTGGGCGAGAGTCGACTTGCTTCAAGTGATACTCTTGAGCCAACAGACCTATCATATGTCTAGTAATTTCAGCTTGTTCCTTCCTGTTAATTGAAGCCCAAGCTGAGCCGAAAACAGTAATCCAGATATCGTGCGCGGAATAATCATCCATATACTGTAAGTGGCGAACTGCATCAATGAGTCCATCGACTCTGTACGACTTCAAATTGGCGACGAAAGCATCCTCACCATATTCACCACTAACGATGAGCTCATCTGACTTGATAGAACCGAGAACAAGATCCAAAGCTTGATGAATCCAATAGACATTACTCAAGGAGTCCCAATTTTGTACACCGAGCACGTATTGAAGTCTTGAAGCAACAGAAAGGTACATACTTTCATGGAAAACTTCAATAAAACTACTCCTAAGATCATGGTTGGAAGCACGACAACCCAACAAGAAAGCATTTTCTAAACGAACAGTCATTTCACTTCTCGCATAGAAAGAGTCTTTGTAGATACTAAGAATCAACTCCAGGTACTCATTAAATAGTTTTTGTGAAACTTCTTTCGATGGTGCGTCACTAACTACCCCCTTGATATCGTACTGGCGTTCCTCGATTGACATCATCTTGATAAGAAGACCAGCCTTCTCACGGGCAGTTGGGAAAGCATTATTCTTCTCAGTGATCCATGTCTTAATCATTTCAAGTATGTACTTGATAACATCGCTACTCGTACTTCTCTCAATCAACAAGACCATGCAAGTAAGAAATATTCTTCTGGCATCACCCAACTGCGACACTCTTCTACGCGGTAAGTCAAGAGTCAATGGTACGAGTTTCGGATCTATGAGATAGCTTGGCTTTTTATCAGCTGAGGAATGCTCACGAGTGATTATTTGTAGTAAACGCATATGTGCTGGTATAAACATGTCGAACTTATCAGGTTGAACGTCCGTCCATGCACGAAGCAGACAAAGTGCATTGTGTGGGTTTCTAGAACCAGATAAGCCATCGTTGATGATATTTTCGATCATACTAGAGAATGCTTTGACTTCACGACCCTGCTGACTGTCATCCTCTTCTGTGATTGATGGAAGGATACTGAAAATGCGTTTGACGAGGGGCTCAAGTGTGAGATGAAGTCTGTTGATATTCGAAGTAAAACATTTCTCAATTATTCTAGCTAAACCTGCCAAGTTGCTATTGAAATAGGAGTCCTGCTCAGGTAATGCAAGCGCACAGAGTACTTCAGCTGAATTACAGTGGACAGTCGCACTTTCTTCCTTCAGTTCGCTCTGTGGTTTGGATGTCAATTTCATCAAAATAAATCGTAAGACTAGCTACTCACCTGTGCAAGTACTTTCAAGAAGTAAGCCAGCTTGGCACTTATATCGTTGTGACTGTCAAGAGCTTGGTAGCCCCTCAACAGGCCAATAGCACGAGCTGAAAGAGATGCTGGAGATGAAATAGGTTCACTCGATATTGAGGCAAACCTCACCAAATAGTTGATAGCATGACCTTTGAGATTCTGATGCAAAACAAAAGTCTTAGGCGTACTAGGTTGAGGCGTACTGCTACCTGGCTGAGGAGTGCTTGTAGCAGTTGAAGATCTTGTACGTTTAGCAGCGGGTTGCTCGTCAAACGATTCAGAAGCTCTTCTCTTGTCACCAGACTGTGGTTGTTCTGACAACTTCTCATCATCTGCTAGTCTTCTCTGTTCCCAATGTAAAATCAACTCAAGTACATCTATCGACAATTGGCGAGTGTCGTTTGCAGCAGAAGGAATGATACCCATTCTCGTGATAGAATTGAGCATGTGTGGAACGAACAACTCCCTAATTGGATAGAACATATCGCTATGCCTGATGATCAAAGAGTAAATTGTTGATAATTGTGCAGCTGATTGTTGTTCTTCGACTAAAACTCTTCTAATCCTGATAGCCCACTGTGGCAAATGCGAGACAGGGGCAGGTGCTTTCTCGGGTACACGCTGAGGTAACACTGGTGTGAGTATGTCTAACGCCTCCTTTGTCATGGCTTTGGTTTCTGGCTGGACGCTTTTCAGCAAACCAACATAAACTTCACGTGTAATCTTGCTAGGTGAGTCGAATGCTCTCAAAAATCTGCAAATTAGAATGTAGCCAGAGTGTTTGACTGATGCGTCGACATGACGCTGTGATAGCCATCCAAACTTGATAACATCCTTTTTGAATTCACCGAGAAGATCAGGACAAACATCAACAAGTGTGGCACTGTAATAATTGTCAATAATTTCTGGATTTTCGACGCAGAAATACTCATACTCACGAGAAATTGAGCAGTTCTATGAAAAGACCATTTCCAACTTCACTCAGTTCTTCTTCTTTTTGATATGGAGACCATACTTTATTGTGCATTTCTCCAATAAAGCCTTCATCAATAACGTTCTCTTCAGGACGATACTTTGCCACCACAGCAATAGGATTGACGATATGTCTCACGATGAACATTTTGTGTGACTGTGAGAGGTTTTCATCAGGGATCTTATTGACAAAGTGGCTAAGAGTGACATGCTTGAGTTCGGACGACGTTGAGAGGGCAACATTCTTGATATAAAATCTCGACAAACCAATCAAATTGAGAGGCAACTTGAGCGTGAAAACTTCAGCCATATAAATCAGCATAGCAGGATCAGGATGATTGATGAGATGGAGAAGCAGAATTTCCAACAGGGTTTCAATTTCTTTCGTGCGAATGTAAATATCAGCTATCGGCTTGTCCGATTGAACGTGCTGTGACCAAAGACCCCATATAGACTCCCAAAGAACACTGCGCTGCTGTTCACTAGCAGCCAATATATTTGGGTGAATATCTATCAACGCTCTGACGATCTTGAGACCATGGAGTGCAAAACCTGGCTTAGACAGGGCTTCAGATGAGAAAAAGCTGTTAACTAAACGCTCCGGATTTGCTAAAACATCTGCTCTCAGATTCTCGGCGTGTGGAGATGTAAGGGCAGCTCTGTACGTGTTGAAGTGTTCCGCTGAGTCCATACGAGCTATGCTGCGCGTTAGATACGTTCATAAAGCCTAGTCATATATCTCACCCAAGAAGAAATCGTTGGCCTCATTAGGAAATCTATCTAAATATTGAGCAAGAGGTGTGGTCCATGGGCTACCTATCACCCTTCTAAAACGCTGCTCAGTTTGTACGATTAGATTGGAAAATTGCTCGAGGTAAATATTCGCAGCTGAAGGTAGCAATCTGAACACATTGGCAATAGCCACCATAATTTTTACATCGTGAAGGTCTGCTAAATCACCAGACAATGGGGGTTGGTTCGAAGTCTGAGCTGCGATTACCGACGCTTGTTGCTGCTGTTGAATAGTAGCATTAGGAGGTAAATTTATCTTAGGTGATGGAGCAGCTTTAAGGTCTTTCTCATCAAGCAATGATTTGAAGTGCTCCAAAAGCTTTGTACCAATCTCAACCTTAAAGTAATTGGTTAAGAGTTCCAACAACCTAGCTAAACCGTCTAAGCCTGCAATATTAATCTTTCGAGTATCACTGAGATTGATCAAGATTGGTTTGAGAGCAGTTTGAAGCAGTTCCTTGGGAACTTTACCAGACTGTACGAGAACCTGCTTGATTCCATCATGAGCAACACCGTGTAATTCTGAGCTACGTGCGTATAAACTTTTAAAGTAAACACTAATAATGCGCATACGAGCTTGGTTTGCAGATCGGAATATGTCACTCGTAGACGTAGCCGCCGTGAGTAACCTGACACAGGCTACTCGCAAATCTGCCAATGCTAATTGAACAATGTGAGATGGGCGTTGACCGATAATAGCGACATCTTCTGCATCGCTGATACCCAAGACTTCATGCACAAATCTTGTCAAGTCTTCGCTGATTTCTAATACGCCGGATGATTGTGAATTAGGTGGTGCAGCTGATTCTGGATTGTCGATCTTCTCCTTGTCTGATTTCTCCTTCTCATCAGGTTGAGGTGTGTTATGCGCTGACACTTGAGGTCTTAATTGTAAGCAGTAGGTAACAGCATCGATGCGCGCAGTCTGCATGGGAACAGGTAGCGCTCTCAGTGGTTTATGATAAATAGCGCTGCTGAGGACGCTTTTACCAGGTGCCAGTAAATCTTTTATAGCCATACCAGTTTTCTCTGACAACTGCGACAAGGTATTTTGAGTATTCTTGCGCACGATATCCTTGGGTGATGTCAGGTCAGCTATCAAAATACTAATGAGATGATTGAATTGATATCTAACGCTATCATAACCTTGACCTGATGTTGAACTGAGTGAAGGTGATTCTATGGGCCTATTACCACTATTGAAAGGATTGGCTGTGCTTGCTGCCGGTGTCGATGGGCGTGAAGCATCCATAAATTCCAAAGCACTATCGTGGGTGATACTCTGAGGACCGTTACAGATATCAATCAATCTATTTTTAATTGTTTAGCAAAATTCTCAGAACATAGGTTGACCCACTTTCTAATAAAATCGATGACTAGGTCCACTTCAACAGGAGTTTCAAGTGGCATATCTTTGAGAATATACACTGCAGCTCTGTAAAATTCAATTTGATGAGAAGAGATCCATTTTTCGCCTAGATTGACATCATCACTAATCATGAGAGTCATGCCTTTCAAACCGGCAAGTTTGTAACGCCAGAGCTGATCATGACAGAGTGAAGAAAACCGCGATGACAATTGATTAAAGATAAATCCCTTCATATCCTCATCGACACCAGCGACCAATTCGACAATTTGATTCACGGAGAAGAGTACTAAATCGTAGCTCAATTTCTCGTCGCGTGATACTGCAGTTGTGAGACAATTAGCAATACAATCAAGGGTGACACCACCAAGACGTGAAAGAGACACAATGCCATCATTCCAATTGAGATAAACAAACTGAATCTCCCTCTTCATCACGAAAACTACTAGCTCCTTGACAAAGTCTAAAGATAGTGACGATAAGCTAGTTGTGGTGGCAGCGTTGATGAGTGTATCCAAGATCTCCCGGTAAGAATTTTCCTGAACTAAACCATTAACGCCATTCAGCAAAAGCGGGGCTAGAGAATGTTTCAAAATTGATATAGCTCTTTCATCGTCCGCCGATCTATTGTAAACTTTGTCGACCGATATTGAAAGCGCACATTCGATCGACGTATTCTCTATAGCTTTAATGGCCAACCTTACGAATGAAATCAAATTAAGCTTTTTCAAGCTCTCCTTCTCATGATAAGCGACGTTAATCGAAAGTGGTTGATCGACGACTTTGGCATCGACTGTTGCAGGTTTATTAATAGCTTTACGATTTCTTCCGCCGAGTTTACCAAGTATCCTCACAGCGGTGTGTGCTAACTTGTGATTATGTGGCACTGGTTTGAGTAGCTTATAAATCCCCATTTGAATCTGTCGAATGTAGGGCGTGAGTATTGGGTCTACGTAAAGAGGGTTCAAGGTCTCGACGCATATCTCCACCAATCGCAGCGCTTGTTCTAATATTTCGACATTCTCGGATTCTAATGCCATGCAAAGTGGACGAGTGAGCGAGCTTAAGAATGGTAAAACCACTTGGAACCTCATAGGTAGTATCAAAAATAATTGTATAATAATCTCTCTGTTCGGTCTGTCAGATTCATCTAGTAAGTTTGTCAGACCGTCGATATAGGATTGAAGCAGCGATTGAATTTCCATGTAAAACTTCTCATAACGGCCACCACCTATAGCTTGGCTTAGAATCTTCAACAGTATCAAATAGTTGTAAGGATTCTTTGATTTGTGAGCTAAGCGTATAGACTTGAGCATAATAGTGCCAGTGCATCCAGCAAAGAGATAGTCGTTCGGTGGCGTAATTGAACTCATTATGTGTTTAAACAGCTTGTGGAAGAGTGTAATACGTTCATGATCATCAGTGGAGAAAACCTGTAAATTTTCTATGAAAAACTTGATCAATATGCTCAGGAAAATCTGTGACTGAGGCTCGTGGTTTAGGAAAACGTTGATGGCATTGAAAAGTGGTGGATGCTCAAGTATTTCATCAATTAAGTAGGGTACCATTTTCTGCATCACATCTTGAAACACGAGCGCTTCAACCCTGAGCAATGCAGTAAAAAAGTTCTCCAGATTCTCTGCACCTTCCTTATCTCCCTTTCTGTCGTAAAGTCCAAATGATTGTACGGATGCTTTGAAAAATTCGCAAAGTGCTTCGCTGCTTGGACCTGCTGAACCCTGTGCATTCAAGTTGCCTTTTGGACCAGTGGCAGACGAGACTGGTAGATGCTTGAAGGCAGTAATAGCGGCTATGGAAGCTTGTAAAGTGAATCTGAATGTAATTCTTGCATCCCGTACTTTCTCTGATGATGGCTCTTGGACATTTATCAGTGCGCCGACAGGTTTAGACTGCTCGACTTGAATTTCATCAATTTCATTGGCTTGGTTGAACTTTTCATCGTAGCCGTTCTTATCATCTTTTGTATCCTTCTCGTCACCATCAACCTCCATAGTATTATCGGTATTGTTTTCCTTTACACCTCTTCTTGGACCAGGCACAAGTCTCATCTGAACGAGATCATCTTTAAACAACTTGATGCTTTTGAGTTTACTGATGAGAGCGTGAACAATCATATGCAGCATTTCATTAGGATTCCCATCAGATTCGTGGACATTATTAGCCGTAACAATACGATCAATAAGGGCGACAATCTTCTTGATGGAGATGGAATGAGCGTGTGGTGGCAGCGTTGGATCGAGCATGTTGACTAAGGCTTTATTGAGAGTTTGACGAATCTGATCAAAAGATAAATCTCCCCGAACAGTACCAAAGACATCAGCGAGCAAACCCATACCCAACACTCTTAGAGTCTCTCTAGTCATGATACCCTCGCCAACAATAACTTTGTCATCAAGTAGCTCATTAAACACTGACAAGAAGGCAGGTCTGCCAATCTCGTTTATACCTGCAATATGTCTTGTAGCTACGAGGATTTCCTTCCTTGCCGAATACAATTCAGTTGGGCAATCTTTCAACAAACGTAAACAAGCCTTGGCGAGTGTTTGAGCGTGTGGGGTGACATAAGAATGCCAAGCTCTGCACACATAAGCAATGAATGAGACTGTCTTTACTTGAGAAAAGATGAATTCGCAGTATAAATTGCGATTTTTGATGAGAGGTGAGATAGTTGTGTTGTTTTTGCCTTGTTTAGCAGCTTCCTCGTGCAGCTTACGTTGTGGTCCAGCTTCGAGCTGGAGAATATTTACAGAGAGAGTGACAAAAGTGTCGAGCATGTACTGCGCCAGAGAATGCTGGTATGATTGGACTATGCACACGACGGCTATTGGACATTCAGTGATGACTTTGAACGATTTAAAGGCAGGGAGTAGATCACGTTGTTGATTCTGCTCGCCTTTGTATCTGGTAATGTCGCTGCAGATGCCACTACCGTCGTTAGGGAACACCTCCTCAACAACAGCAGGCATTTGCTCGAGCATACCTTTGAAAACTTCCAGAAAGTGCTTACTGGGACCTTCAGCTTCCTTTTTAAACGACCTAACAAGATCGATGATGATCTTAACACAGAGCCAGCCATTGTCTTCGTTGTCGGTTCGAAGGATATTGAGGAGAACGGAGAAGAGATCGTCGACATTAGCGCTGATGCTAGGAGAAGGGGGAAAGCGATGAATGAGGGTGAGAATGGTGCTACGGAATTTATGCTCGTTGGTTGAAGCGTTGAGGGATATTTTTGCCTGCCTCAGGGAACCCAAGAAAGCGGGAAGAAGAGTGGATAGATATCTAGCATAATCTTGATGCTGAGATATTTGATCGATATTGTCGCGTAACTCCAGTGCGATATTTAGTTTCTCTTTGAGGTCTGCTGGGAGTGATTAGAGGTGGTCGCAGCCAATCACAACAATCGACTGACTTATTTCGGCATCTACTAGCCTAGCGGCATAGCTATCGACGTTGAAGTCCTTCACGCCGAGACTGATGCCGACTTTGGAGTTGGTGGAAGTCGTAGGCGGGGATTCAGCAGCCATTATAATAATAAATATACGTAATTATAGCTTGTAATTTTAGCTGTGGCTGGTAAAATTCAACTAAATTAATTAATTTCAAGTGGTCGTGGTGTTGGGAGTAGTGCAGAGAGAGTAGATGGCACTCAACAGTGACCATGACACCACACAGCGATTCAATGCTAGCACTATCGCCTGGAAGGGGATTAGGAGCATTCAAGCTAGGCGAATCACTCTACTCCACCCTAAACCAACTCCGCTATAACCCAATTCTATCAACTTCATCGATAACGGTGCACGGCGATAATGATGCAGTTCGTAGCAATATTCTCATTAGACTCAAACCAAGCACTATCGATTTGTACTTTGATGGCGTAACTCAGCGTCTTTCTAGCATCACAATAGCACTACCCAGTATCTCGTTCGATATAATCTACAATTCGAAAGTTATTATCCAAAGAAATACCACACTTAGTCGCACAGACGCTGGTATTCTTTTTGGTCCCTGTAGGACCGATTCCCTCGACCAATGGCCGGGTATGAAGTGGTGTTTCATACACGCGCAGTCATCTAGCTTCACAATCAGCGCAAATCCAATACCTATTCTAGATGGTATGATTGCGGAGGCACTGATTATACCAAAGAAGAGCGTTCGTTTTACTTTTACAGGTGATGATCAATCGCATCATCCAATACATATATCACGCTCTACGGCTGCTGACGTCGTTGCTCTACTCGGTTCTCCTCAACAAACATTTGAAAAAAGGGACAACAGATTGGGAGTTTATGCGACAAAAAATCACAGTTCATCTTCCAAAGGGGTGTTTTACAATTATCCTTCGTTTGGTGTTGATATCCTCCTCAATAGCATCAGTCATACAGTCGAAAAGATTATATTGCACTCGAATGTACCGGCTACACCACTATTTCAGGCGTACAATCGATGTATGTGGCGCATTAGTAATGATGATAAGGTGAATGGGAATAAATATGAGAATGGTAATGGCAAACAACGTGGAACTGACAAGCAACGTGACCATGGAAAGCAGCGTGAAAATGACAAACAGATTGAATTCACAGATAAGGTGAGTTGCTTGTTGATATCCACCACTCATACCAACTGATTCACCCCTCAAGATCGATACAATCTTGTCAAAGCTACACAACCACGCACAAGTGGATAAAATGGTTTTAGATAGAGCGCATGAAGTGGGGCTGAGAGAGTGGGATGCTAGTATGGGAATGATGGGTAGGTGATATCATGGTATTATTCCGCGTTGGGTGTTGCATTCTAATATGTGCCTTAGAGCTCGTTAGTATTGACAGGCTGGGTGTAATAATGGAGGTGACCAGGAAGGGAGACGTCTCGAATGTATGTATACACGATTAGAAAGCATAATAATGTAAAAATACAAGATATGAATGTACATTATGATCTTAGAAGACTGACAAAGTTGTTAAAGTCGAGTGGTTGTAATGAAGACTTATCACCCTCCTCATAAGACACTGAAAACTTGAACAATCTACCAAAAGTTGAAGTTATGATGATAGTGTTGATAGATTCCCATGCTAGCACAAAAGATTCTTGGAAGTTGTTGTAATGGGCGTATTGCTGTGATGAAGATACGAAGGGGGATAAGGAGGAGTGTAAATTAAGTGAAGGGAGATGGAACAAAGACGTTGATCTCGATCGAGATCCGTTTGATAGATTCCACAAGTGAAGAGTGGATTTATCGGATATCAACGCAAGATGTCTGTTATCAGGAGAGAAAGATAGTGAAGATGAAGTAATGTGAGCGATATCAGAACCTCTGCGCAGCTGGTGCGTGAGTTGGAGAGTGATTGAGTTGTATACTCTAATGATAGTTCCTTTAATTGAGCTAGTGGCGAATAAACTGTTATCAGAGGAGATGGAGATGGCTGAAACTCTTGATATGTGAGGTTGGAAGAGAGTAGAAGATTGTAAGTGTGTTTGGTGTAAGTGGTTTACGTGCAAATGACCTAATTTCATTCCAGAAGAGATAAACAAGGAATGAAAATTTTGAGTGTTGATCTGGGAAATGGGGTTTGAGTGGGTGGAATGTTTATGGAGGAGTTGAGAGTGGTAAGAAGGAGACGTAGAGTATAAGTAGACAGATGATTCTAAGGATATAGCGATAAATTGGGTTGAAGTGTCAATAGCAGTGATTGGCTGATTGAATTCAATAACACCAACGAGAAGTCTCTGTAAGGAATCGAAGAAAATGAGTTTATTAGGGCTATAGGGGTTGCCCGTAGATAATAAGCACTGAGTGTTATTAAATATAAGTGAGTGATCTCCTATAGAGTCTAATGCTAGTAGCTTGTGTGGTGGATCTAAACCTAGAATTACAAGGTTTCCATTGAAATTTACAATGATTACGTCTTTGCAGTAACTTATACAAGTAATATCCACCAATCCGCTCTCCCTAATTAGTTCGTTCTTCTTCATAACGTTAATGGCTGCTTCAAGTAAAGACGTTACTGATACAAAGAATGCTGCGAATAGGACTATAATGAGTTATAGGCGGTGTATATTCATCATTATAATAAACTCAATTCTAATTAAATACGACGTTATTAGTCTAATCTACTTGGTGTTATCTGTTGTGTTTTCAATTATGATGATACTCAGGAAGCTGGAATTGGATAATATGTCAGATTTATATAGGGTACCAAATAATTTGGTACTTATTGCTTCAGTGGTGGCCTTGGTGGTTGAGATCCTTTTACTGGTGAACATAAACTTGTAGACAGTATCCTGTGTAGACTGTGTATCCTTATATCCTTTTATATCCTGTAGACTCCTTGTAGGTGTAATATACCCGTTGAAACACCCGCTAACATATCAAGAAATCCTTGTTTATACCATTTTATATGGTTATTATTGATACATTTGTTACTTTCGATACATTTGATATTCCAATATTCCCTTTGGATCTTTAGATTTCCCGCCTTCCTCCCAACCATCCCTCACACCAAATGAACGCAGCCAAATTCACCAAAAATCTAACAAGCTCGTTGAATGCAGGCAACGCCATATCCTACAACAAATCTACAACGAAATCAATCATAAATGTCCACAGCACAAGGAACAACACTATCATAACACTAACCAACAACCTCAATCAACCGCTAACTTGGATTTCTTCGGGCTCAATTGGTTTCAAATCTGCCCAAAAAGCTGGTTATGAAGCTGGTTACCAGTCCACAATAGCTCTATTCAACAAGATCAATGACTCTTCCATCGATTCTTCACTCCACCAATCCAAGTTTGGTCCCCTTGAGCTGCATTTTAGAGGTTTTGGCCAAGGACGATCGGCTAGCTGGGCAGCACTCTTATCACAGGAAGGTGAAGCTTTTAAGCAGCGTCTGAGCTTGGTCAAGGATAAGACTAACTTGGTCAGAGGCGGTACAAGACCTAAGAAGCAGAGAAGATTGTAATTTAGACATTTCATTTCCTCATTTCTATCCTGTCAACCGTCATGCCCCGGCTGTTTATCATACTTTCCTTCTGTCTCGTAGCATGTACGCTAGCTGTGTCTTCCTGGAGTGATTCCCGCGCGATCCCAAAAACTACTCAATACGCTTTGGAGTTGGCTGATGGCCACGCCCCACACGACTCTCTCTTCCAGCAGCTCCAGTCGCGCGATATTCCATACACACTCACGCAGTCATTCAACTCCCCTGATTTGTTTGTAGGCGCTGCGATACACTTGCAAAACTCGGACCACAGTTATCACCTCCCGTCCCTCGAATCTGTCAAGCATGTTTACCCAATCAACTCCTTTGACAGCCCAAATGCGTTTACAGAGGTGGTGAATACTGAACAGCGCAACTTGGCAGAGTCTTCCTTTACGCCCTCACTTTATCCACTCGTCTCAGGCACTCAGGCACAGCCTTCCTTCTACGCGGTCCAAACACTGTCTCAATCTGTCTTAGACATGTCCGGCCTGGCATACGCCCACGCCCAAAACCTCACTGGTAGCGGGATCTTCATAGCCTTTGTAGACGACGGCGTCGACTATTCCCACCCGGCACTTGGCGGTTGTTTCGGTGCCGGTTGTCCCATCTCCCGCGGCTGGGATCTCGTCGGCGACGCGTACAACACCACCAACAACATCCTCAACCCAGGTCCGCTCCCAATCACGACCTGCAAGTCACACGGCACATCTACGCTCGGTTTCGCTGCATCCCAACTGCGCGAGCTCCCCGGCGGTGCACCTAACGCCACGTACGGCATGTACCGCATATTCGGCTGCCACGGCTCCTCAGGCGACGATGTGCTCGCGATGGGGCTTATTCGCGCGTACGAGGACGGCGCCGACATCATCAACGTCAGTGCCGGTGGCCCAGATGGGTGGACAACGTCTCTCCCCTCCGTCGTCGCCAGCCGTATAGTGCAGCGCGGCAGACATGTCGTCACTAGCGCCGGCAACTACGGCCAGCAGGGTCTCCTCTACTCTAACTCTCCCGCTGGCGGTATAGGTGTGACGCCCGTCGCTGCGCTCGACCTGCCCTACGTTCCCGTTCTCAATGCCTCCCTCACCGTCGCTGAACTGCCTGGCGAGCGCTTCCCATACATCCCCGAAGAGGTGTTCGGAGCAGGCAACGAGACGCGCAGGAGTTATGTCGTTGACGACGCATGTGGGGGCGTAAGCGCCGCCGAAATGGGCAGCCTGGACGACCTGGCGCTCATTATCGACAGCTCCACCGATGAGTGTGACCTCTCCACCAAACTCGCCAATTTAAAGGTAGGTTGACGAGCAAGAGACGAGACTTGATTAACGCGCACTCCTCGCTCACCGCTCCACAGACAGCCAACGCATCGCTGGTGCTCATCACAGACACACACTCCAACCTAACGCAAGCGCCGCACGTGGGCGGACTCGACACAGCGCTCCTGCGTACATCAGTCGCCTCAGCGATTCCGCATAATGGCACGCTCACGCTGCACTACACGCCGCAGCTGACGCACATCCCGCGCGGCGGGCTTGTCGCGCAGTACTCGAGCATGGGGCCGAGTGCCGATGGCTATGGGAAGCCAGCGGTGAGTGCGATAGGCAGCAACATCCCCACCCCGGCACCAAACAACAGCTACATGATTCAGAGTGGTACGTCGTTTAGCGCACCCGTCTACGCATCCCTGCTCGCGCTCCTTCTCGAGAAGCACGCTATAGATGATGTGCATCTCAGTCCGGAGCAAGCTCGCGCCATCATGCTCAACAGCGCCCAAAGTGTTCGGTTAGCTGTGGATGCAGATGACGGCGACGCGTTCACTGTGCTGCAGGGTAATGGACGCACGAGTATCGCTAGAGCACTCGCCGCGTCGGCTTACGCTACACCTGATATAGTCAACCTCAACGATACGTGGGGTGCGGATAGTACGGGCGCGGGCGCTGGCGAGAAAAGCGCGCAGGTCCAGCTCGTCAATCTCTCACAAAAACGCACGACTTACACCCTCGCTCACCACCCCGCCCTCACCGGCTACGTGCTCGAGGAGGGCACTATCCAGCCTAGCACCTATCTGCCTCCGTACTCAAACGACACTGCGACTGTGAAAATGGCGCACAGTGTGTCTGTCGAGCCGCTCTCATCGGTAGATGTCGACATTGTTTTCACTCCGCCCCAGTGCTCCGATCATCGTCTGCCTATTTACAGCGGTTTCATCGAGTTCACAGACGCGCAGGATGTTAATAATACCCTGCACATTAGCTACAATGGTATAGCGGGCAATCTCTCCCAGATGACTATTCTCGATAACACAGACGATTTCTTCCAGCAGGGCTTCCCGGTGCCTTTCACGTACAGAAGCAGTGACAGGACCATGTTGAACGATACAAACACGCTCACCTTTTCCTTGGAGGATGATGATAGACCGGCACTCGTGTACAGACTCGCTGGCCCATCGCCATATTTGAGGATAGATCTCGTGGGCGCGGACACGGAGCGCAATCGCACAACTAGCAGCATCACTATACCCGCACAAGAGAGCAATAACAATAGCAGAAGAACCAGTAGGAGCTTAGCTGATGGCGTGATGGGATGGATGGCTGATCTTCTCGGAGGCACGAACATTAACACCAACACTAACACTCACGTTGACTCTGACGTGAAGAACAACAGCAGCACACTCACCATAAACACCCTAGGTATCTTGTACGAAGAGCTGGGCGTGTCCCGCAATGGCTTCAAGGGGTCCGGTCAGGGATCGTCTTTCTATCGTTACGACATGAACACTTTCGCAGATGGTGCACCCATCCCAACTGGCGAATACAAGTTCTTGCTCAGAGCGCTCAAAGTACACGGCGATGAACATGATAGTGCGGATTGTGGGTGGTATTGAATTTACGTGGATGCTCTACTTACAGTTTCACTCTCCAGACGAATCATGGCTGTCTGACGCGTTCAAGGTCATATAGACGGATTATGTACAATATTTTCTCTTTTCTTTTAATTTACATTTATTATCACACCCTACTGCCCTTCCATATCCTCTTTTTCCGCATTTGCGACTAGATTGTCCATGTCCTGGTCATTGGTGAACCGCGGTCTACTCCCTCTTAAGTTACTAGCAGGTCCACTCTGCCCCTTGAGCGCACTGACATCTTCGCCGTTGTCGAGGTCCTCAACCTCACCAGAAGGGTCACCGGTCTGTTCTGAGCTGATTGTTTTTTCATCCTCAGCTGAGGCATTGACGGCGGTATCCGCTTCTTCATCCCCTTGCACAAATTCGTCGTTCTTGTATTGGTCTTCTCCGTTCACTAAATGTGTCAGGAATGCTAGCCTTTTTGATAAAAAGAACTCACTTTCAAAAGTTAAGGTTGTTATTCAAGTAGATCACACCCCTTTTATACCCTTCATTTAATAGCGTCATTGTTTCGGTGGCTGTGGTGCCTTGACATAATACTGCCGAATTTGGTAATCTAATGCGCTATCCATTGGAGTGGCGTGTGAAATAATAGACTAGTCATGTACTAAAAATGTACAAATGGTGATATGTAAAAAGATATATTGTTCTGAGTTTATTTGTGAAAATGCTATTACGAATGCTGAAACAGTTTGCTGAAATGTGATCCATATTACTATGCTACTCAAACGACTTCAAATACTCTATCCACCGTTTCCTATAGACGACTCCTTGGACTAATGATGTGGTGATTAGCTTTTGCACCCTCACAACGCACCTCACTTACATCCACCAACTGAATCAACCACAAACACCTGCCTTGCTCCCAGCTTTGAGAAGTTGTCGTGCACAAGAGCCATTGGTGCTTCTGGTCTGACTACTAAAGGACTGAGATCACAGTACGCCGATAAGTCGTACGGGTTTGCAGATAGTGGTGCACCATCACACACAACAGTCGAAAACCTCTTAGGAGGATTCCTATTGTTGTTCGATTTACTCGTTGATTGAGTAAGTATGCTGTTCTGTAACGTGTCAAATTGTGCGAATCTCACGCCTGCTGTTGGATTGTGCGAGAGTGAATCTAGAGCGTGCTCTAATTCATTCGCTGCTATATATCCAACCAGTCTTACCACCCCTTCGTCTTCAATTATCAACGGAAATCCTGAGTCAGATAATCCTTTCAAGACCAGGGTATCCAGTTTATCCAGTAACGTACACACTGAATGCTCAACGTCTATCCTTATCACTGGTATCTTCTTTGTTGCGACGTCCGTGACTGAATCTTTGCCAAACTTGTATTCATGCTTTGCATCCAAATACGGAAGCCTGTTCATGTCAATTAACTGGTCGTATATGCCTTTTTGCTCAATAGTATCTGCTAACGTCTTGGCTATCAGAATTGATAGCATCGATGGCTGTTCGAATATCAGCAAGACTAGCAGCAACAGTAACAAACCCAACCCACCACGGCATAATTTAGCGTACCCGTCAGCTCACAAACTATGACAACAAGTGATATTGTCATCCTCGTGACACCAGATAAGGCGGAAGCTGCACCGATCAACGCGTAGATAGCCGTCAACATGCACTTCTCTTGGCCTACGCACTGATTGAATATTGCCAAGTCAGGCATCACTTTCGACCAGTATTCGACAACTAATCCAACCATACGTCCGAAACAAGCACCGACAGCTAGTGTAGGTATGAATATCCCTGCTGGTAACTTCATTCCAAATGTGACTACAGTCAGCACACCTTTAATAATCATAGCTAGTGAGATCGTCTTGAGTATACTCCAAGGTGCCTGTCCTTCTTTTGCACAGAGTGTCGCAAATATACCTTTGAGTTTCTTACCAGACGTTTTGGATGGGCATTCACTTAACAACGTTGAGACTAATTCTGTACCTCCCATCTCAGTTAGTGGGTTGTATGATGATATGACAGCTGTGATCAAGGTAATAAGAACAACTTCGACAATTGGATGTGACTTGACTGCCGTCCTCATTCTAACGTTTTTTCCCCACCAAATGTTAAACTTTGAGAAATATGCACCGTAGATACCCCCTGCTATCGCTATAACAAAGAAGAAAGGCAATTCAAAGAACTTCCAATCCTGATCGTAAGTGACTTGAAACAAAACAGTCTTGCCCGTTCCGAAAGGATCCAAGAACTTCAAAGTAACTGCTGCTAAACTGGCGCAATAGAAAGCTCTCCACATAACTTTCGGTGGGAAATAAGTGCAGACTTCTTCCAACGCGAATAAAACTCCACCGATAGGTGCACCAAACGCAACACTCACACCTGCAGCACAAGCGGCCGAAATAAGCTCTCTTCTTTTAGCTTCATTTGTTTCAAATTTACGTATGAATCTTGAAGTTATGTTTCCAACACAAGCGGCTATCTGAACCATGGGACCTTCTTTTCCTAAATTCAACCCAGATGCTACACTGAAAGCTAACCCGATACATTTGCAGAATAGCGTGCAAACTCCCAAATACCCTCTTATCACAAAGCCGGATAGGATTGCTTTCATCTCTGGTATACCGCTTCCAGCAGCGAAGTACATAACTGGATAAGCTTGTACATCGCCTGATTGAGATTTCTCAGCTGTAGGTTTTGATTGTAGGTTATTTGTATCATACTGAGCACCACCCGGGTCGCTGTGTGCGAGCAATTCTTCCTCAAGGTCGCTCGAAGAAGACTCATTACCCCCATCGCTGCTTGACTTTCTTGAAATCGAGCGTGAATGTAATGAAGCTGTCTTATTTGCGTCATTACTGTAGAGATAATTGCTGATGGAGTCCCTGTGAGAACTTAAAGAAGGTTGCGGTACAATTGAGGCAGGAGAAGGGGTAGAAGTTGATTGCCTGCGTCCAGAAGCGGCGTGATGATATGCGTCTAGGTGTGCCGTGCTCGAATTGTTCACCCAAGGAGCATCGGATGCAGAAATGTAGACGGTGATGACGGATGATATAAAAGCAAATCCGACAGCTAGTGTCATATTAGCCAATCTTGCCGAGCGCTTTCCAAGTTTTTCCTCCCAACTTATCCAGTCTGGACAATCTGTCGACGTTGAGAAGAGTGAGATAACGTTGTTGTCTTGGTTTATAGTATAGTTGTTATCGCAGCAGAACTGCTTGGATTGGAGGTAAGATGATGAGCAATAGCCTGATTTAAAGCTGAACAGGAATGATTCCGTGCGTACTATTGAAAAAGCGATAATCTGTAGTGATGTCAGGTGATACCAGATGACGTCAGGGATGTTGAGATATGAAAACAATGATACGCACGGCTGTAACTATTCCTATTATAGTAACAGCAATCCAGCCTGTAAAAAAGGATGTGTGAGTAGTTGAGATAGAAATATCAAACCAAACAAACCCTGTGCTCTATCGAAAGACTTGTAAATGAATCCACGGATACCTTTCTTTCTAAGCAAGCGCCTAAGCCTTACGCCCTCCTTAACCTGTCCAATTTCAGCTGAAAATATCCAGAAAAACACAGCAAATCACCTTATCGTGGATGTAATCAATTGAAGTGTGAGTGTGAGCGTATGTGCGAACACCTTTGCCAGATTCGACCATATCATTCTCGTAAAAGTCATCGTATCCGCGCTTGTATTTGTTGGCTTGTCTGCTAATAGCTTTACCGAGGGTTTTTGAACCAAGGTAACTAGGAGCAGGGCTAGGAGGGTTAAGTAGTGGAGTGCGTTCACCCAGGCTGTGTCCAGGGAAAGGAGTTCTTGGGAATAGAGCTCGGGTATTTGAAGTGCTACTCAAGTTATTCGAGTTGCTCATGTTTTCTGAAGGTAATGGTGGTAAAGTCACACGCGGATTCTTAACCGTGTCGCTGCCGCTAGCGTTGTTCGGCTGCATTCTCCTCTCAAACAGAGTTGGTTTGGTGGAGTTGATGGTGACCCTTCTGGAATGAAATTAGCCACGATATTAGCGGGATATCAAGTATCCTAATCAATCGCACAAACTTTCTATTCATTTGAGATTATCGTCGTCATCCTCAGAGCCATATATACACTCGGATAAAAAGGTATCGGTATCTTCATATTTACATTCTACAAGGAAATCACTTAAGTAGCTTATTCAATGCCTTCTCCACGTTAAAGCCCGTCTGCTCAAGTGCTTCAATGGCTTGTGGTCTATCAAAACCCATATTGACCAACTGCTTTACCTGCTTTATATCATCATCCTCTGGTTCATTAAGGCGCGGCGGCAGATTTGGCTTGGCTGTGTTTTCTGCCTGCTCACTGCCTGGTGATTTGACGCTAAATGTCTCGCTAAAATCTACCAATGACGTCAGTCAATAGCTCAATAATAATTAACTAAACACACCATCGAATGCTTTATTTGGAGCTGCCTTGTTAGATGTACCAGGTTGATCGAAATCAGCGACGAAATCAAAGGCCTCATCATTCTCAAAGTCATTCTGATCCCCATTAACGTTACCAGCCGCAATTTGAGCAGCAGGTAGATCACCAAATGAAGTATCAAACTCATCTTCATCTTTATCATCTTTCTCATTCTTATCAAATGCCCCACTTCCCATCATAGCTTCAAATGGATTTTTGTTGCTTGATTCTTTCTGTGCAGATGCAGATGTATCCGTTGGGAATGACGCGAAAGCATCATCGAATTCATCTTTGTTAGGATTGAGATTAGGTGGTTGTGCTGACAACTCTGGTAATTCCTCTGGTCCCTCATCGTCATCACTTGAGACATCACCACGTTCCTTTCCTTTAGAGTGAGTGGTTGTGGTTGTGGTTGTAGGAGGTGGTGTGAAGCTGTCAAATGGTGATGAGACATCGTGCTTCTCAGCAGCAGGTGGTGGTACAATCTCAGCTGTTGACGCTGTTGGTGTGAAGCTATCAAATGGCGATGAGTCTGTAGCAGATGAATGCCCATACGCTCCCGTCGACGCAGCCGGTGCAAAGCTCTCATCGAAAGCTGCTCTAGAGTTGTCCATATTCGCCTTGTCTGACTTGCTATTGCTATCGAATCCCCTAAAAGCATCATCGAAATCAGAAACGGACACAGGTGCAGATTCATTTACGTTTATCTTGTCGCTTGCCTTCAAATTAGCATCATCATTAGCGTCCTCTGATTTGACTACTCTGGGCTCGTTTTCACCTTCTTCCACACCCATCTTGCTGAATTGATCTTGGAAAGGTGTCAAAGCAATTCCAGTGCCTTTGTTAGACTCAGACTCCACCTCAGCGGCAGCGTTCATGTCAGTCAAATGACTATCGCGAGTATCATTAGCATCATGAGCACCGTCATACTCATCGTGGCCACCTGCTCCAGCGAACGGATCCTCATCTACCAATTCATCATCTTGAGCGCGTGTACCTTTGAATGCCTCCTCGTCTTTTATCGCGGTAGTCGCAGAAGCTGAGGGAGTGAGGCTATCGAATGGGTTTGTTGATTTGGCTGATGCAGGGCTCAAGACGCTTGAGACGTCTTGGTGTTCATGATGAGCTTCGCTGTCTGGACTGATTGGGAGGGCGGTTGCAGCAGCCATATCAAGCGCCGGCGAGAGATTCTTGTCGTCTAGATTTTCTGCAGTTGACGTTGCATCTGTTGTATCTTTTACGTTTGCTGCGGTTGTTATATCGGACCTATCAGTTGCATCTGCTGCATGCTCATCCATAGCCACTGGGGTGTCCAAATCCTCAGCCTTAACGCTTGGATGAACTCTAGAGTCTTCAATCCCCTTGAGCGTGTCATCCAACTCCTCATCACCAGGCGGAGGGAGAGCGACAGCCGGATCGACATTACTATACCTCTTGAGCTCATCTGCAGCCAAATCCCTATCACTTTCTGCCAATCTAAGCTGCTCCACTGCATCCTCATTCTCGCCATGAGCCACCACCTTCGTCTCTCTCAACTCGGACAAGCTCTGACGCATATCAGTCGTATGTTTACTAATCTCCAACACCTTGGCTTTGACCACTCTAGCCTCCTCCTTCTCGCGCATGTAAGCCGTCTCAAGTTCAGCTCTCTCGACTTTCAGTGCGGAAACGTCACTCTCTGCGCTGATGAGCTCATGGTCGAGGCGGCGGCGCTCGGCGGTAACTTCCGTCAGCTTAACCTGTAGGTCACTGACGAGGTGCGCTTCTGTGTCGTGCGCTTTATGCGCGTTGCTCAGTCGATGCTCTAGATTAAGGCGCTCTGCATCTCCCGCCTCCACAAGCCGCTCTAGCTCCGCACGTCGTGTTTGGTAGTCGGACAACGCGCGGTCCGTCGCGGATAGCTGCCCTCGCGCTGCTTCAGCCGCCACTGCGTCCTCGTGTAGCTTTGTCTGCTGTACATCGGAGTCGCCGAGGAGATCGTCAACGAGTGCTGTGCGTGGCTGCGCGTGTTCGCTGGGGTTTTCGAAAGGTGATCTGGCTTGTGATTGTGGTTGTGGGGTTGATTGTGGTTGTTGTTGTTGTGGCTGTGGCTGCTGCTGCTGCTGTTGTGCAGGCGAATTCTGCCAGCCAGTCACACCCTGTTGCAATGCATTTGGCTGCGAACCGCTAAACTGCGCAGAAAGACCAGTAGACTGCGCCGACAAGCCTGTACCCTGAGCAGACAAGCCTGTACCCTGAGCAGACAAGCCTGTGGGCTGGGTCGAGAGAGGAGGAGGAGCGCCGCTATGCTGAGGCTGCAAATCAGACTCATCGCCCATGAGATCAAAAAGGTCGTCTGTAGGTTTGCGTGGAGTTGTAGAAGCATTAGCAGCAGTACCTGGCATTCGCGACGATGCAGGTATTAATGAATCGGGTAAGGTGGGAGGGAGTGGATTGCCAGCGAGGCAGCGGTGGATGAGATGCATAGCAATTGCAAATTCGTCCTTGGAGAGACTGCCGGACTTTCTGACATCCGCTAAATCCCACACATTCGCTAAGACGTCTATGGGGAGACCTGATTTACTGAAAAAGTCGACAGCTTTGTCAGCTTCCAAGACGCCGTTTCCGGAGGGGTTGAGGGATTTGTAGAAACCGTCGTAGTTGCTCTTTTCTTGAGGGGATATTTCTGTGTTGAGTGGAGTGTGTGGAGTGTGTGGAGTGTTTGCTGGAGTATTTTGCGTAGGTAACTGAGGTGAGTCGGTGTCACCGACAGCAGCAAATCTAACCTGACGACTTGGTGGAGGAGAACCAGGCTGAGTGCTGCCAGTTGATTGTCTCGGAATTGGAGAAGATAAGTTTCTACCCCCAGAAATCTGCTCGTAAAAGCCTTGTGGGAGTGTTTGAGGGAGACTTGCGATGGATTTGTTCATATAACACTGAATCAAGTGCATACCAATAATGAAATCAGTCAAATCAAGTGAACCGCGATTTTGAGTGTCAGCGAGGTTCCAAATCTGGCCAAGAACCTCAAAAGGCAGTTTGCTCTTTATGAAGATATCTCTTGCCTTATCGCCGCTGAGGAGACCGTTTGTTGGACCAGAACCAGCGAATATCTTGGTAAAGCGAGATTTTTCATCGATTTGAACTGGAGGAGGTGAGTTGGAGGGGTTTGAGTGTGCAATAGGGGAAGAAACAGGTGATGAGATTGCAGGCGGAGGAGGAATACCATCGAATTGAGGAATAGGCCCAGCTGTGAGGGGAGTGAGTGGGTGTATCTACCACCAAAAACCACCAAACACACGCTTATCAACGAGATCATCGCTAACAGGCTGATTGTTCTGTACATGGCCAATCAGCCTCAAAGCCACGCTGAATCCAGGCTGATCGAGGAACCCGTTGTTGTTTCTATCTGAAAGTTGCCAGATTTGGCCCAGTTGTAAAGGGGCAAGACCAGAGTAGCTGAAGAACGCCACTGCTGATTCCCCAGATACGATCCCATTTCCCTTCTCTGCGATGGAGTAGAAGTGTGCAAACGCATGCCTCTCTGATGGCGTCAGAGATAAGTTCATTGAATTTTTATTTAATTTAATTTAATTAATTTTATTTCTTGTCTTGGTGGTTACGTTACAACAGATCTCCCGCTTAGTCCATGCCCACGTGATTTGAGCGATGGCCCCACTCACGCTCACCAAAGCACTAAAAGACAAAAAACCAAAATCCCAAATCCACAAGCACTGCGATAAACTCTCTTACATCGCCCTATTATCCTTCTTGCAGCGCACTGCTATGGAGACTAGAATCGTTTCCCAAGAAATCCACGGCCACGACAACAACAGGCTAATGACACGCAGGGAAGTTGGGAGAGCAGGCAGAGTGAGTTCCGTGTTTTCTTGCCTAGTTCCCCTCCAACTAACCCATACAAGCGCGTTTTGAGACGCGTAAATGGAAATCAAGAACAGCCATAAAATGAATAAATAATGTAAATCCATGTAATTTATATAGGGTCTCATTTCCCTGCCATCTTCTTGAACTTGGCCTTGGCTTTCTGTTCACTCTTCTCTTCTGCCCTCTCATCACCCAATTGATCCACTTTCTTACGCATTTTATCCTCATATTTATCCAGCTCCTCTCTGCGTTCCTTCTGCTTATGCCCTGCGATGAACTTGGCATCTTTACGCAACTCCCGTATAGCTCCCTTTCTCTCCGCCTTAACCTCTGCCTTGAGTTTCGATGTTGCGGCTCGATCGTGATCTGGATCGTATCTCCTATCTGCGTTATAGTTCTCTTCAAACTTAGGTACGAGCGAGTTGATAGCGATTTGTTTGTGTTGCTGCATTCTCAATGGTCTGCGCGATTGTTTCGCAAATTTTACCTGATTGCCAAGCTGTTGTAGGGTGTTTTCTGTCTTATTCTGAGGGTATGTGAGCCTAACACTGACAATTCACTACCACTTTAACTCACTTTCACGCTTCCCAACATTCCCCTCTTCTCGACCATCCTCAAACTCCCAACGAGTGGATCAAACGCTTCGATGAATCCATCAAGCGCACTCCACATTTGCGCTGCTTCGCGGGAAATCGTGAGTATCCTATCCATCACGTCTACCTTGGCTTGTTGTTGGTCAGACTGTGAATTTGATTCGCTTTGAGTGAGCATGTCTCTGAGGTTCGTATCACTTGGCGTAACAACCGGGTTATTCATCGCCACTCCCCGCAATCGCCCTACATCAGGAACTGGATGCTGTCCCGGAACATTCATTTCCCTGCCAACTCCACCCAGAATAAGCACACTGCTAATCAGAAAGTTTACTACTTCCGGTATGAATCTCTTTGAGTAATGTTCATACTGCAAAGAAATGCCGCAAAGTACCAAACCTTTGATTATATCACTCAAACTCCTTATGCGCGCCTGTGAGAGGTATTGTCCGATAAGCAGTTGTGCTGCAGATCCTACAGGATGACTGTAGTCGGAAGTTGACCACACAACACCAACTACCCTAAGTATACTCAGTTCAGGTATCCCTGGCCACGTTTTGCTCTTATCGTTCGTCGCGCCGGCTGAGACACCCTTGTTGAAATTCCGCTCAAGTAGCTCGAGCTTCTGTTTGAATATATCGGCTGATGGGATTGGCAGTAGTTTTGTGAGCTGCTCAATATGACGAGAAATGGTCTCCATTATCTTCATGTCGACACTCGTTGACGCTGTGTATAGGAGGTGGTCGAGTAGAACGCCATTAAAGAGCGCCAACTTTGCTTTGTTTTCTTCACCTAATTCGGGGTGATAGAGTGTGCGTATTCTCTCAATCATTATTGGGATTTGAGAAGGCTGGATGTTGTTAGATTCAACAATGTCCATGAATTCATCGTGATTCGATGGGCATTCAAAGGTGTATGGGAGGTTTGAGGAGGTATTTGAGGGTGTTTTTGATGACTTTTTCTTGCTACTAACTAGGTTCTCTACTGGTGCATCATTTTTCTGTGGCATATCACCGAGTTCGCCTTCATTTGATTCAGCGATGCTATCTTCAGAGTCGTCAGAGTCACCGTCTTGGTAATTCTCCCCCTCCTCATTGACATCCTCATGATCCTCATCATCACTTTGCTCACTATCATCACCACCAAGACCCTTACCAATACCATAAGACTCGGCATTTTCCACTTGTTCATCATCTGAGGGGTTTTCATCGTCATGACTTTCATTCTCAGCCTCCTCTTCTTCTTCACGAGCACGTTGTCTTTTCGCAGCAAAACCACCGGTGGGATTGGTAACTTGAGAGTCATCCTCGCCTCTCATTCTAAGCAATCTTGCCTTCTCATTCTTTTCAAGTTCTTCTCTAGCTTCGAAAGCCACTTCAGCGTCAGATTTGAGTCGATCGGTAGGTTTTGCGCGTCTATCGAAGGCCAATTGTCTAACGAATTGGTCGTAATCTTCGTTACCGCTCTTGTCTCCTTTGTAAGGGGCATTCCTTTCTCTATTCTTTCTCTCCTTCTCCTTGTCATTTTCTGCTGTACCATCAAAAAGCAGCCCTTTAATATCATCAAGATCAGCATCAACTTGTTCTCTAAGCGCATCGTCATCTTCACGCTGCTGCTGTCTTTCCATTTTGTGTGCTTTAGATTTAGTGATGAGTTCCTCCATGACCTCTGCCTTAGTTTTGCGTCGAGGGGGTGCATCTGGGTGAGAGTAATCGATGGGTTCTTCCTCCTCGCCGTCACCAAAGCCGCCGAAAGCGTCAAAACGAGTACTCTCGGCGGGGTCGTCATCATCGGCCAGACCAGCATTAGCAAAGTCATCGTTAAGAGCGAGGCTCTGGCCGTAATGAGTCAATTCATCATTATCTTCGAGATTGTAGTCGGCGTTGTTTCGAGTACGTTTGCCAGTATTGGCCTTCTCGGCCTGGTATCGCTCGAGCATCCTATCCTCCTCGTCGAGAGTTGGGTCCTGCTCGCCAAACCTCCTGTCTTTGAATTGGCCTGTTCTGTTTCGGTTCTGGAGTGCAGGCAGCAGTGCTTCTTTACGACTGTCTATACCGGCTTGCTTGGCTTTGGCGGGTGCACCGAGGCTGCCAATAACTTTTCTACCGCCCACATTATGCTTGAGGCGCTGCACTTGAGTATCGAACTTGTTAAATTTTGAGTGTATATCGCTGCTGACCTTCTTCTTCTTTTCTTTGTCGGAAGGAGTGGTGGATGTGCCTTCGAACTTTCTCTTGTTTGGCTGCTGGTGTTTATTTATCCCTGCATTCTGCACTGTTTGCTGGAGTTGCTTCAGTTGTGAAGGCATTCGTGGGAGAAACGGAGAGAGAAGGCATAAAGATATTAATGATATAAATACACAAGGACACTTCTAATCCTCCTCATCAGATTCTACACGCTTCTTATAAACCTTCTTCTCCTGCTCGATGCGGTTTTCTGCGTCTTCAAGTGAGTCAAGCGAGTGTTGACCGTCGTCGTCTTCTTCGTCGTCAATTCCTTCTTCCATAGCGCCGTCCTCTTCATCCTCCACGACGAATCCATCATCTTGGTCTTTTTCGTAGGTTCCTCGTGCACCTATACGCCTCGAGGCAGCTGCCCTACTAAGATCATCATCATCACTACTCCAATCGAGGTTGTGTCCAGAAGCAATGGCTTCCTTCTTCGCGGCAGCTCTCTCCATTTTAGCTTTGTTACGCGCAGATTTCTTATCATCTTCCATCTTTTTAAGGAGTTCCTTGTGTGGATCCTTGGATTCTGTTTCTTTATCGACCATTTTCATCTTTGCAGCCTTAAAGTGCTTGTCATTGACAGTCGACGCGTACTTCTTGTGTACATTTGAAGCCAGTGAAGGTGGTACAAAATTGAGCTGGGTGTCAATCACGCTATCGCCCATAACGACCTGATTCTTTTCGTGATGCAAGAAAGCGAATTGACGGGGATTTGTACGAGTTTCAGTGTCCGCGTCATGATTGAGGTTTATATCATACATCTCTTTTCCCACTTGCAAGCTCAAGCTGCCGTCAGACCAGCGAATGAATCTGCTGTTGGATTGTGCAATTGTGTGGCCATCCTCATCTTGATTCCACCTCCATCTGATAGTATTTGAAGTATTGGCGTTTGAAGGTAGATTCTTATCATCATCTTCAAACGTCTGCCTATCAAAACCAGCAGATTGTATGTTTAAAAAGTTTGGGATTCTGGCAAGTGAATTGTAGGTGGATGTGCGTATAGGTGGGAGATTGTTTATATCCATCGTAGCTGTCCTGACTTGCTCAAGGATAACGCCATCATTAGGCATATCCTCTTCATTGTATTCCAAGGGGTTATTGGTAGGTTGTGTGTGAGCTTCATCCGTGTCATTGTTCTTGTCGTCATTCTTGTCGTCGTTGTCGTCGTTGTCGTCATTAAAACCATTAAATTGATTCAAAACCCCAGAATTTCCGTGATTATCGACATTCTCACCACTCACACCACCTTCTCCAAATAAATCGTCCATCAAATCATCGTTATCAGACATATTCACCGGCTGTTGGTCGTTTCAATCCAACCAATCATGTTCAATCCGAGTACGTCTTCCAGTTCAAATAAAAGGGTCTGTTACTTCCATGATAGCGATATTGGCCATTACCACTACGGTCCGAACCACCCCATGAAGCCTACTAGAGTAAATATGTGTCATAGCCTTGTTATGAATTATGGACTCTACAATAAAATGGAAATCTACCGCGCTAAACCTGCGACGCGTAAGGAAATGACTCAGTTCCACACGGATGAGTATGTAGACTTCTTGAATAGAATTTCACCGGACAATATGGATTCCTATGCCAAAGAGCAAGCCAAGTGTGGGTGTTATCACTGTTTCTTCTTTGCTGTTTTAACACCACTGCCAGTCAACGTAGGCGATGATTGCCCTGTTTTCGATGGTCTGTTCGAGTATTGCTCCATTTCTGCAGGTGGTTCAATGGAGGGTGCCGCTCGACTCAGCCGCAACAAGACAGATATTGCCATTAACTGGGCTGGTGGTCTCCATCACGCTAAGAAAGCTGAAGCTTCCGGTTTCTGCTACATCAACGACATTGTTCTCGGGATCCTCGAACTCCTCCGCTACCACGACCGCGTCCTCTACATCGATATCGACATCCATCACGGCGATGGAGTCGAAGAGGCATTCTACACCACTGACCGTGTCATGACGGTATCCTTCCACAAATTCGGTGAATATTTTCCAGGTACGGGCGACCTCAAAGATATAGGTTTGGGGAAGGGAAGGAAATATTCCTTGAACGTGCCTTTGCGAGACGGGATAACGGATAGCAACTACCAGTCGATATTCGAGCCAGTAATCGAACACGTCATGTCGTGGTACAAGCCGAGTGCCGTGGTGCTCCAAAGCGGCTCCGACAGCTTAAGCGGGGACAAGCTGGGCTGTTTCAACTTGAGCATGCGCGGGCACGCCAACTGCGTGTCGTTTGTGAAGAAATTTAACCTCCCCCTCCTCCTACTCGGCGGGGGCGGGTACACGATCCGCAACGTCAGTCGCGCGTGGGCGTACGAGACGGGTATTGCCGTCGGGCAGGAACTCAGCCCTCATCTACCAATCACTGAGTACCACGACTACTTCGCCCCTTCACATACACTCGACGTACCCGCTTCCAACATGGAAGACCTCAATACTAAGCAGTACTTGTTTAATTTGAAAGCAGCCATTTTCGAGAACCTCCGCGATATAGACTTTACTCCTAGCGTTCAACTCCAGCCCGTACCACGTATGCTTCATGACGACGACGACGATCATGTCCTTGAAGACCGCGATGACCCCAACTCTAGACGCCCGCAGAGATTGTGGGATAGAAACGTGCAGAGGGACGACGAGTTTAGCGACAGCGACGGCGAGGGTGAGGGTGAGAATGCGAGCGGTATTCGTGGTGTGCGTGCCAAACTTAACGGCGATTCTAACGCCAGACGGAATGAACAGAGCTATGCGAGTACACAGCCGGTTATATGATAAAACATAGCAAACGAAATCTAACAAGGTAAAACTTGATGTAATATTACATGGACATATAAAACGGCGTATGCGTACTGCTTAATGCTTGCTGCCAACTATAACATGGGTGATCAGCTGGCGTGTAAACCACTCCCACTCATACTCGCGCGTAACTGCATCTCTCTCTCGGCCAACTCAGCCAGATGAACCTGCAAGGCCAGTGAGCCGACCTGCAATTCGAGATTACTGCTGACGAGCGCAGACCAGTTCTTCTCGAGTGCATTGAGTCTATCGCCCAACTTGCCCTGTTCAGTCTTGCGCAATCTGTTGATATCGACAACCCTGTCGCGGGTGTGTTGCGAGTGAGTCTCCAACATCCGCGCGTCATTGTCGAGGGAATGATTAGAGACTTTCCACGCGTTTGCGCCGAGTGCAGTGAGTAATTCAAGATTGCTTGTTCGCTGTTGCTGGTATTCGGCGGTAATTGCGGCTGCGTTGAGCGACTGCTTCCATGGCGATTCCGCGGTGCTGCCGTCGCTGCCCTCAACATCCTCGGGCTCGGCCAGGGCATAACGGGAGCCGTCGAAGGCTGTGAGAGGGCTGCCGTGACCCACCCGCTCCAATTCCTGCGTGAGGAGGTGGCTAGAGGAGAGCGACGTAGATTCGTGTGGAGAAATATCGCTTGCTGGATTTGTATCGCCACTCCTCATTTCCTCAGCTACAAGACGTGCGGCGGCATCGCGCAGGTCTGGAGGTGGATAATGAGCGTGGAGTAGAGCGGGATACCAGCCACCCACGCTGATCGCTATCGATCTCCCTATCGTAGTAAGGCAGGCTGTCTAATTTGTAGTCTGCCTGCGTCGCTGACATGGCTGTACCGGTTCAAGGAGCACTTCCATGGCCACCAAACGCACACTTATTGCAGCTATAGGCGATGACGATACAATAACGGGGCTGCTGTTGGCCGGCATCGGCAATGTGGACGAGGGGAGCGAGAAGAAGCAATCCAACTTCTACGTCCACGAGCAGCACGCGCAGTTGAGTGTGTTGGAGGACCATTTCAGGCAATTCACGCAGGAGAGAGAGGATATAGCCATTCTACTGATAAATCAGCACATCGCTGAGCTTATTCGCCCGCTTGTTGAAAAGTATACGCAGCCATTCCCTGCGCTGCTTGAGATTCCATCCAAGGAGCATCCCTACGGTGGGGATATATACTACACACAACACCCTCCCTTACACTTACCCACAGACCCAGAAAAGGATACCATCCTTAAACGCGTGCAGAAATTAGTCGGCGATTAGGTAACCCTTAATGCTATCTAATTGGGTATTGCTGATTTCATACTCATAACAGCCGCGCTCAGATTCTTGATAAGGCTACACAAGCTCAAACATTGTATGATTATAATCAATATATCGCATTTATGGCTCGTGACGTCTGTTTGGAGAAGAGTCCAAATTTGCTGTCTTGGATGAGTGCAACGTCCATGTGAATTGCGCGTAGTATACTACACTTACTCAATAATATAAAGATTGACAAGACCACTCGCAATGTGTCTCCTTCATCCTTATCTGCTAATCTAGTGAAAAACACCGAGGAAAATGCACAAGCGAATACGCAGGAGAGAAGCCACAAAAGCGGCCTAAAAAGCGGCAAAGTTACTCTTAAATGCAGCTTCAGCCAGTGTATCAAAGGGGATGTGAAAATCTTGTTTGGAAACTTGTCTTAGAATGACAACAAGGTGAGCCAAATCAGTAGATGAGAGAGGAGTGTATATTCTCAGTCAAAATTCCAAGCATTTAGCTAAATCAAATGCACTCAATCATTTATTAGAGATTGTTCTGGAATTAGTCTGATAGAGTGAAATAATTAGTCTTGAAAGCTAGCAGCGTGTGCAGAAGCGTTGATGATGAAAGGCTAACCATAATGCCTTAAGCTTCATCGGCATGTTCAGCGCTATGATATTAGTTTCCCTCGTGAAGACTCCTCTTGTGTTGTAACAATTTCCCACACTGCGTAAAGTGCGTATCAAGCATGTTGCATTTAAAGGGCTTTTCTGCTGGAAGATTGTTATGGGGTTATGGATGTTTGTTAAGCTTGCCAAGCTTTGGCTTTCTGAGATGGAGTGGGGTAGGATTGTTCAACTCGACGTCTGGCTGCTAACAGTGTAAGCCTGGGCCTGTATTATAAATGACCATTCGAAGCGTCTCTAGGTCGCAATAACTTACTCATTCTGCGCTGTGGTTCCTCCTGGTCATAAAATTTTGGCCTGGAAGTTGGATTATCGCCCAGTACCTGTTTGAGATGCTCATAACTCGTTGAGCTGCTGGTGTTAATGAATTAATGGGTGTTTGTATCTTGGTGAATTGAAATATACAGAGAAGTGGGTGAATACCAAGGCGAAGATACTCCTCCGGATAACAAGTAAATCACATCAAAATTACTCCTAAACTTGAACTGCTTAGCTCTGTGCCAGCAATTATGTTGAAATTTGTTTCAAGTTCTTATGTTTGTCTGTTCAGCCAGGATTCAAAATTTTCATTCACGCTGCTGAGAGTGCACCGATATCAAACCAAATCGCTTAGCAAGGAAATCATAGATATACGCTGACCAAAGCATTATGTATGTCAGCCAGCAACAAAGTCAATCGAAATAACAAATTCATTTAATATACAATTCCATAACAAGAGCAAGAAGAACGGCGAAAAACCTAAACAGTTGTAGTGTATTATACAATCCAATCTCTATAACTCATATGAGCTGCTCTAGCGTATGCAAATACCCTGCCCGCTGTTTATGCAATCCCTTCTGAAACCGCTTGATAGTGTAATTCTCGATCCGTGAGCGCATAACATGCACGCCGATATCCATCCACGAGGAGGTAGATTTGCCGATGTTACTTATAACAGTAGCGTGAGTGTAGTGTTCTGTCTGTGAGTTGTTGTTGCACCCGCTAAAGCGCGCATCCTCCACCAAGCGCATCAGCTTAACGTGATCGATGTTATACGACTTGCACTCGAGCGTCTCCCCCACGGCATCCACGCGACTCTCCTCCACCACCCAGCTCTCTGCCCGCTCGACGAGGTTCTTCGGCAGCCATTTGGGCAGCTGGCCGCGTTTGAGGATGAGGCGTGTGCTGTGCAGCGTGTTGTCGGGTGCCACTGCCCGCCTGAGCACATCCACACTGACGATATGGCCCGCGAATGGGTTTGGGTAGCGAAGGAAGAAGGCCCTGGCACACAAGTTGAACGGGAAGCTGCGGGGAGTGAGAGGGCGAACACACCTAAACACTAGAAACACTAGAAACACTAGACACACTCGTAGACGCTGCTTATCGAGAAGCTGTTCACCATCCTTCTCCTTCTTGGTTGCGGTCCAAGAGAAGCGAGCGTTGGTTACGTTCCACCAACACATATCACATATCGCATGGCAGACAGCACCCCATCGAGACTGAGCAACGTCTTCAAGACTTTCATGCCTCCGCCTCGCACTGGTCTCGCAGACTCCAACTACACAGGCGTCGAGCTGCAGTGGAAGATGTTCGTCATCAGGCCTGCGCTGTTCAAGTGGGATCTGATTGGATTGGCGTTGGTATTGGTCTACATTCTCTGGTCATTTGTTGGTCGCCGCTGGAACAAGCGTATTGCGGATAGCTGGTGGGTAGCGTAGCGGGACACGTGCACAAACTCACACTTAATCAGGGCCAACCACTGGCGCGCAGTGATCAACAAGCAAGTAGCCGTAGTCAATGTCTTCAAGCACTCGCCCACCTTGGCCGACGGCCCCACAGATTTCCTGACTTATGCGAGTGGCCGTCGCGGAATGGAGAGGCTGTACACGCACATACACACCCGCCCCCGCCACGACATCTTCCAGCAACTGTTCAACACGGCCTGGTCACTCGTAGACTTCAACGCCGACTCGGCAGATAACGTCTCCATCACTGCCACACTCACACCCGGCGCGGGCGGCCAGGATGTCGGCTTCGTCTATGCCCTCGTGCGTAAGAGCAAAATGACAAATCTGCGCAAGAAACGTTTTGATTTGGGTCTCACCAGGACCGTCGATGGGGGTGAGGACTGGACGGATTTCGCTCCGATGGCCGAAGTACACGCGCTGGCTACGTCTTTCGCTAAACCGCACCTCACTGGCTTAGTGGAGACGGTGCGCGAGAAGGGCGATCTGCTCAATTGGCTCATCATCTCAGACCAGCCCGCTGCGAAACCCACAAAGGGGCCACTCAACCCAGACGAGAAAGAGAGAGTGATCGAATTGAATTTGAGACTGCCGGAAGATGTCACCGCGCTTACTCCTTATATCATGCTCGTATTTAACCTCATCGACGCCATTCACCTCCAGAAACTCTCCCTTAATGCTGATGTGAGTTGGTTGGTGTGTTCTAGCATTGCGCTTAATCTAACAACTCCATCAGACTCTCCGCCGCTTACAAAAGAATCGCGTCGAGCTAGGCGCTTCTCTCGCTAAGGAATACGCTAAACAACTCGAAGATGAAGAAGAAGAGAGGACTGGCAAGTCGGCAGAAGAGCGCAAACGCATTGCCAAGAAAGCCATCGAGGATGCCAAGTATGAGAAAATGTCCAACGAAGATAGACGCAAATATGAAGAAAAAGAGCGCAAAAAGGTGGCTAGGAAGGCGCAACCCAAGCCAAAAATGAAGCGTTAGCCTGGTCGATAGAGTTGAAAATTTAATAAAAATATACAACAAATGGAATATAACCTGATTTACCAATGAATAATCCCATCTTTCACTCATCTCTGCCATGTTTCAGTTGTGTTTCGCAAAACTCTCATCCAGCTTGAGTGCATTTATTGTCCTGAGCTTCTCCACCTACCCAAGGCATTGTGTTAGTGGTGTATGCCTCACAATACACTAACAATCCCCACCAATCTGACGAAATCTGGCTCGCGCACGACTCGAAGAATGGATTCAGTGAGCAGCTCGTCATTCTCGACGTTAACATTCACATTATCAGCGCCTTCCATCTCCCTAAATGTAGTGCCAGAGTCAACCAAGTTACATCTCCTACGTTTCTGACTGGGAGAGGGGGCTGAGAAGCCCGTTTGGGAGTGTCTCAAAGACTGGCTGAGCTGTAATTGCGTCTGTGTTTGTAATTGTGTCGGAGGAGGCATAAATGTACTTGACTGGCTGGCTGATGGCACTCCAGACATGCTGTTCAATCTGTTCAAATTTTCCTTTTTCCCATTTTCACATCTGAGCAGAGGAATCGTGTCATTGGCAGCGACGCAATCGACTCCAAGTCTTCGAATACGACCTACAAACTCCATAGCCGAGGCGTTTGTCGTGAATGTTATCTGGAATCTGCCATCGGACTTGTGTGGTGGGGTGTGGGCGTAGGCTATTTGAGCTACTGTAATATACGCCACTTACATGCTTCACCATGACTATATTCTCTTTGAAAATCACCTTGGGCGATGCTGTACCTATCTCCACTGTTTCCTGCGACTCGTTTAATGGCGCATTGAGCACACCAAGTTTCGACTTTACCATCGTATCAACGCTACCACTCTCATACGTTATGCAAACCGTCAGCCTCCCCTTTTCCCCCTCTCGCCCATCTCTCTCCGCGTGCGAGATCTCCAGCGTTGCGGCCATCGATGGAGAAATGAACGTTGACCAGTGTTGCGCGTCTATTTGCGACGATCTGAGATATTTCTTCAGTGGGAAACGCAGCGTAGTCGACATGGGTTATGGATGTTGTCAATCAAGACAAGAAACACACAAGACAAAGAATCTGGAAATCTGCAAAATACATGTAAAATTACACCCCTAAAAATCAAAACCCTGTCCTCTGAACTTACTCACTGCCGTTCCCGGTCTGGCAATGTTGGCTAGATCGTGTCTGTCGATCGCAAAGAGAGCGCGACGTAGAGTCTGCCACAAGCTGTGACTTTCGTTGATGCTGTTGTCATTAGTCGCCTGCTGCAGTGCAATAGCCCCGAGGAGATGCTCAGTAGCCTCCTTGTAGCAGCCGATATTAAGACAACTGACTCCGAGGTTATGAATTGCACGTGTAAAAGTGGGGCGCAGTTCCAAAGCCTTCTCATAAGCTTCGATGGCTGATTCGGAATTACCTCCGTTTGCCAACGTAGCACCGAGTCTGTTCCATAGCAGCCAGTCATCAGGTCGGAGTGAGAGAGCCGTCTTGAAGCAATCCTCAGCCTGGTCGTAGTTGCTCGTAGCATAGCTGAGCACACCAAGCCCAACCTGTACATCAGCATCCAGAGTTAATTTGTCAGCACTACTGAACTGCGAGCGAGCGACGTCGAGGAAACAGTCTATCACACGCTGGTGCGTCGCCCATGGCCAAGTACTATTTGTCGAAGTGCCCGTATCTGGAGTGAGAGTGTGGGGATATTTCTTACTTAGCCACCTCTCAAGTGTCAGTGTAGCTGCATTGTCATCGCCTTCGTTGGTGTACGATATCGCCAATGGGATCATCGCTTCGATCTCGTTGGAATCCTCGCGTAGACACCGCTCAAGAGCGCGGATCGCTGCTTCTTCTTTCTCGTCCATGGCGTGTGTATAACCAAGCCACAGCCACGCTTTGGCGTTGTGAGGCGTCTGTTGAGCTGCAGCCTCGAACGCTAGCGCTGGCTCACTCAGCGGTCCACCCTCCCTAAGCAGCCTCTGTCCTTCGGCGAAAGGGTCAGAGGTGTCTAGCAGGTGATTCGCGGTCTCGAACTGGTACTCTTGCTGGGATACAGGAGCACTATTGTTCTGCTGCTCAATCAAATCATTTTCTATACTTTCCCGCGTACTATTCATTTCCATGTTAAATTCCCTCTCCCAACCTGCAAGATTCTTATTGAATTCATCTTCATGGTGTGCTTGAGTCTGGGTATTCCAGACATTCTCAAACTCTGATAAATAATTCTCATTCTTGTCAACATCCAACCCTTCATCGCGGAGAGCCTGTTTGAATTGCTGCTGTATGTCATCGTCCTTTGATGTGCTTTGCTGGTGTGTCTGCTGCGACGCCGCCTTGCTGGAAATATCCTCATAGAGCCTATCAAACTGCTGGTCCCACTTGGCTTGTTCTTCTTCCTGATTGATGGGGTTGATGGGTTGTGTATGCTGGCTGGTGTTGGTGCTTTGCAAGGAAGGTGAGATAGGCATATAAGGGGAGTAAGTGGAGTAAGGAGATGTGGTTGAATGTCCCAAGGAGCTGGGGCTAGCGGAATCACCGCGTGATCCACGTTGCTGCTGTTGCTGTTGTGCGAACTCGTCGTTCCAATTCGATTGATTCATATGTCGCTGATTGAATGAACGCTCGAGGACATCCCGCTGCTTATCGCGGTAGTTGAGAGTGCCAAATTCACTACTCCAAGCGGCTGCAGCCGGACCTGCTGACGGTCCCACCCTTCCAATTTCAGTCTTGATGGCTTCCATGCCAAAAGGTCCTGTGTGTTGCGCGATGGGGACGTTACCACGTAGCTGATCAGCTTCCTTGAAAGATGCCGATGATGTCGATGTTCTTGGGAACGCGGAAGCTGTCTGTGGGGCGTGAGAATAATGAGAGTAGTGTATTATTTGCTCACGGAAGATCCCAAGCCAGTTCTGTCCTACAAAATACCCAAATTAGCCTAAGAAACTTGCTAAGTACTTCCAAACACACCTTTACTGCCGATCTGTCACTATCTGCGTGCTTTATAGCGCTATTTAGTGGATTGTATCCATTCGTAGAGCATTCAGCTCCATTTCCAAACATTCCTCCAAAAGACATGATCGCTGTGCTGAGTAAACCGAGCTCCGGCAATATCGCTGGGCTGGGCTGGGGTTGTGACGCATGACCGGGAATTAAGAATACAAGCGAATATACATGTTTATATTACAATTTTATAGCTCCTAGCCACTCGCTGCACTCGTCTTACGCCCTTGAATGATGATATACAGCGACGCTTCAACTAGAGCGATAAAGATAGCGCCCAAGAAGGCAAAGAGTGTTTTCTATCGAAATTGTTAGCCACGTAAGCCCTCTAAACTGGTTAAACTGACGTATATTGGGTTTATTGAACCGCCTGCCCACCAAATCGCAGTGGCTACGGCCAACATACTTGCGATAACAGATGTAACCACTTGCAGCTCGTCTTTTGTCTGCTTGTACTCAGATTTGGGCTTGGGCTGTTGCTCGTCTAAGGGGAGTAGAGAAGATCCCACCATACTCAAATAAGCATTCCTATCGAGCTGGTCTTTGATTTTATCCATATTTGCGTCATATTCCCTGCTTTTATCTAAAGAAAACTTGTGTTCTTTGTTATCAATGGGTTTTGAGCCAGCGAGTAGCGTAACCAAATTATAACCGCGTGTGTCTGTATACCAGTTAGCTAAATGATCAAAACAGTCCCCACACACCCAATCCACGCCGCTCTAGCTGCTCGCTGTGCTTTCTGACAAAGTTGAGAAGCTGGAGAATGTCTTGGTGGGTTGTACAGTTCCCTTGGATTCTCTTGTGCTGTGTGTGCTGCGTGTACTGCTCATACTCCTCAGAAAGCCCCACGTCGGCATCCACAACCTCATTCAACGTGTAAATTAACTCAACGGCATGATCCACCAGTCGAAGCATCTTGAAGAAGCACCTTGAACACTCCAAAGCATCTTTATTGTGAGAATGCGTACAAATATACGAAGATATTCTAATCCCTACTAGAATTATGGCTCGCAGCGCGTTGCATTATTCCTGGGCAGCTGGACACGCTATCCTCTTCGTGTGTAGTGTTTTAGCCTCGAAACACACTCGACTAATGCAAATGGACAGTTAAGCACACTCAAATATGTTCTAGGCCTTCTTACGCTTAAGTAGGTGCTTTCACTGTCCAATTTGGCCCATTTTACACTCTTCGCAGAAGTGGTCTTATTGGCTGGGCATACAAGCGTGAGTTTGGGAAGCGCGTTGAGCGAAATCTAACATCAAAACAGTCTCTTACTTTGGTGCAATGTGGGTTTACACACATGTTTCCGTATCCAGCTCACACTCACCAGCGTCTCATACGGTGTCGTCGTTTTCAAGTCATTTGGTATCCCACAGGCCAATTTAGCATGGGTACAGCGTGCTATGCTGGATGAGGTAAGCTGGTTATATAATGCTATTCGCTTGAAGCTAACGTTTAGAAGAATGTCCAATACTTGATTCTTGCTGCCTTCTTCTTTGTGAGCAAGCCAATTCCACGTGGGTGATGTATTTACGCAGGCGAATCCACTCACATTCATTCACATAGTCACCTTAATCCCATACGCAACCTTCTCTCTCTTCCACATACTCTCTTTCCTTAAGAACACGGTGATCCCTTTGATATTCCCACCACCACCACAATCAAATGCAACTTCCACAGACGGCTCAACGCCTCCATCAAGCTCAGGCGCTGGTCCATCCATCCAAAAGTCAATTGGCTCGTTCGTCAAGTCAAACTACGCCAGGGCCAGTGAGTTGGGTTTCTTTTATCAACACTAATTACTCACACAGCACAGTGAAATTCGTCTCCTACTCGGAAATGATCGTTTTCCTGAGATTATTCTTTGGTGCCTTGATGTGAGTTGAAGCTTTTGGTTCCTGATTTGGTTCAAATACACTTACTTACAACCCTTTACAGCTTCAATAACGCCTTGTCAATGCCAATGTTCTACGCGCTCTTCTTGCGCTCCAGATACGTTTTCAGCCCATACACTAGAAACGCGTTTGCTCACGTCGGCGCTCGTATTGATGGATTAGTGGCGCCATATCCACAACCAGCAAGAATCTGGACCCAAGCAAAGGGTTTCTTAGCTAGAGCAGGTGGACAAGCCGCTTAAAATTTTCATTTTTGTACAACGCAAAGAGATCTGTGCAATCATCTATATTTAGTAATGCTGTGCTGTATGTAATGTTGTACAACATTTTAATTGTCATATATTGCTTGGATTACGTTTATCTTGAGATCTAAATTACACCATCTGCTGCGTGCACTTCCAGGCACGTCGATCCCTTTAATCTAAATAGACTTTTATACAAGCAAGATATACCAGCGCTCATCTTTATCTCCCATCCCCGTTCCTCGCTTCACGTCTTCTGAACCAAAACAGCGGAAACGCATCTTAAACCAAAACCACGCAACCGCAATACCCAAAGCTTTATTTGCAGCGCATGAGATCTGGCTCGAGAGATCTCAACGTCGATACGCACGTATCTGCCGCGGATACTGAGCAGTACGAGGATATAGACCAGCTCGGTGCGTAAACTGCGGCTGTGATGCTGACGCTAGCAGCGCTGACGAGTGTCCGCAGCCACACGTAAGGACTACGACGATTACAACGATTACAAGGACTCGAGCGATACGCTGATCGGTGATAACGTCTTCGGAGCAACTGCAACTGCAACCGTTCGCACAACAGTTTCTGCAGACTCCAGCAATCAGAGCCATCAGCGCCATCAGCGCCATCAGCGAAAGCCGGAATATTTCAGCTACCCGCCGTGGACAGTGCAGCCACCAACGCCGTCCACTTCTGCTCCTCCGCAGACACTCTTCAACAGCGACTTACAGCCTTTGCAGGACATGTACTCGTCTTGGGCCTCCTCACTATACACTCCCATCTCGATATCTGAGATAGAAAGCATTTTCCACGATATCTCACTCTACCTGGGCTTCCAACGTGATGCTTCTGGCAATGCTTTCGAAATGTTGATGCACCAATTAGACTCCCGCGCTTCCCGTATGAGCGCTGATCAAGCACTACTCACTCTCCACGCTGATTACATCGGCGGTGAGCACGCTAACTTCAAAAGATGGTTCTTTGCTGCACAGCTCGACCTCGACGATGCAATCGGTACAGAAAATAATCCAGGTATGGCTGTTCTCGGCGAAGCTGCACACGAGGTCAACGCTACTTTCGGCCAACGCTGTTATGCCTTCCTCACGCGAAATAGAACTAGACAGAAATCATTGCGTTCAGCTACAGAGCGCTGGCGCAAAGTTATGGAGCAAATGTCTAGTCGCGATAGAATCGTCCAAATGGCCGTCTTCTTGTTGTGTTGGACTGAGGCTGGTAATATTAGGTTCATGCCTGAATGTCTCTGCTACATATTCAAGTGTGCAAACGATCACTATAGAAGTCTTGAGCAGATACCGGAGCATGAAAGACGTATTCTTCCCCAAGGTTACTACCTCTGTCACATTATTCGCCCCTTATACCGCTACTATAGAGACCAAGTTTACGAATTAGTCGATGGTAGATATCTAAAGCGTGAAAATGACCACGCTAAAACAATCGGATATGACGATATCAATCAGTTGTTTTGGTATCCGGAGGGTATCAACCGCATACATCTAGCAGATGGCACTCGGCTAGTCAACATACGTCCTGATCAACGTTACAGAGCTTTATCTAGTGTTAGATGGGACCAGCCATTTTTCAAGTCGTTCAAGGAGAAGCGCACTTTTGCCCATCTTCTAGTTAACTACAATCGGATTTGGATTGCACATGTTGCCGTCTATTGGTTCTTTACCGCATATAATGCCCATGAAGTATACAAGAGAGATTGGGAATCCCAGCCTGCAAGGCCGATGCAGTTATCAGCATCAGCTCTTGGCGGCGCTGTCGCCTCTTTGATCATGATAATAGGCGCATTTGCAGAGTTCAGTTTCCTCCCTGTTAGTTGGAATCATTTTTCAACGTTATTCAGAAAACTATTACTCTTCTCAATCACGCTCGTTTTATGCATTGGTCCCACTTACTACATTGCAACCTACGAAAGAGACACGCCTTTCTCACTGAATTTGGCAAGAGGTCAATTAGCTTTCTCGATATTTATTACTGCATTCTACACTACCGTGCCATCGGGGAGAATACTGGGCGATAGAGTTAGTTCGAGGGCAAGAAAGTATGTTGCATCACAAACATTCACTGCTTCATATCCGAAACTCGACAGTAGCGGGAGATACACTTCAATTGTTTTGTGGATCTTGGTGTTTTCTTGCAAATACGTTGAAAGCTACTGCTATCTCTCGTTGTCTTCCAAAGATCCAATGGCTGCTTTAATGAACATTAGCGTGCAAAACTGTTCAGATGCTCTTGTCGGAGAGTTCTTCTGTACACATCACGCAAAATTCACCCTAGTTATCATGATAATGATGGACCTGGTGCTTTTCTTTTTAGATACGTATCTTTGGTATGTCATCTGGAGCACCTTCATCTCTGTTTTGAGGTCTTTTGTTCTTGGTCTGTCCATTTGGACACCTTGGAAAGATCTTTACAGACGTATACCAAGCATGATCTACTCTAAGCTACTCGTACACAACGGACTTCCAATGAAACCAAAGATTTTAGCAGCTCAAGTTTGGAATACGATTGTGCTGTCTATGTACAATGATCATCTGTTGTCCATCGTGAGTTACATACCAAACCATACTCTTCTCTAATAAGACTTCAAGGACCACGTCCAGAGGCTCATTTATACGGAGATTCAGTCAAAGGAGGATGGCAAGCGAACGTTTGAAAGCCCGCCGTTTTTCATCGATTTTGATCAGAAATATGGTACACGTACCGAATTGTTACCATCCAACGCTGAAGCTGAGCGTAGAATATCGTTCTTTGCAAGGTCACTGGCCATCAAGATGCCCGAATCGATCCCAGTACCTGAGATGCCGTGCTTTACAGTATTAGTTCCTCATTATTCAGAGAAGATGTTGCTGTCATTGCGTGAAATTATCCGCGAAGAAGATGAGAGCACAAGAGTCAGTTTGTTAGAGTATTTGAAGCAGTTACACCCAGTCGAATGGTCGCACTTTATTCGTGATACACAGACTATCGCTGAAGAGTCGGGGATGTACCGCACCCCCAGTGCGACCCCTAGTGCCTCACCTTTGATGACAAATCTCGCAACAAAACCAATGACTACCAACGCGACTCCTAGTGCATCGCCATCAATGACAAATCTTGCAACACCGTCCATGACTCCTGCTGCAACGCCACTCTTATCACCCTCGATCAATATCTCAGGTAGGACCTCTCCAGGTGGATTCGGCGCACCAAGGACACCACTGCCTGAAACACTGCACAGATCCTTCAGCGATACCTTCGCTAGCTACAACAATATGAAAGCACAGCTACCCAACTACACACTGCGTACACGTATATGGGCATCTGTTAGATCACAAACTCTTTACAGAACAATATCGGGCTTCATGAACTATAAAAAGGCTATCAAACTTCTATATCATGTCGAAACACCCGATTTAGTTGATAGGTTGCTCGACGAGCGCAACCATTCATCAGTATCAAGTGAAGATAGTCAGAAGTTTGGTGTTAAACACGGCGAAACATCTGACTGCGACGAAATCGATGAGGATACTGATCATATGGTGGAAAGAGCATTAGATAGCATGGCGACAAGGAAGTTCAAGTTTTTAGTGTCGATGCAACGTTACTCAAAATTCAACGCCGAGGAAAGGGAGAATGTGGAGATATTGCTGAAAACTTTCCCGGATTTACAAATCGCGTATATTGAAGAAATAGTAACACCTGATGAAGATGATATCAGTGAGGACTTCGATGAGGTCAGATACTACTCGGTGTTGATTGACGGTCATTGCGACAAGCTGCCAAATGGCACTCGCAGACCAAAGATGAGAATTGAGCTGCCAGGTAATCCAATCCTCGGTGATGGTAAATCTGATAATCAGAACCATGCACTTATTTTTTATCGTGGCGAATATCTCCAGCTTATCGATGCTAATCAGGTGCGTATTTACTTCAGTTCCCATAATTCCGCCAACTCACACTCCATTAGGACAATTATCTCGAGGAGTGCCTCAAAATTCGTAACGTGATTGCAGAATTTGAATCATACCAGACGTCTAAACAGTCGCCATACTCTGATTGGGGACAGCACGACTTCTATAAGAAGTCTCCAGTCGCTATTGTCGGTGCTCGTGAATATATCTTCTCAGAGAACGTCGGTATACTAGGAGATATCGCTGCTGGTAAGGAGCAAACATTCGGCACTATGGCTGCTAGAGCCTTATCACACATCGGGGGTAAGCTTCACTATGGTCACCCTGATTTTCTCAACGCAATCTTCATGACGACCAGAGGTGGTGTTGCGAAAGCACAAAAGGGTCTACATTTGAACGAGGATATCTTTGGTGGTATGACGGCTTTCAATAGAGGTGGTCGCATCAAGCATGCTGAGTATTACCAATGTGGTAAAGGTCGT